AGTGCTAGGACAGTGGTCTACGTTTGCTGCTACTGATTTTATTTAATTCGAGGCAATATGCTTCCATAGAGCTTTACAGTACAACTCAGCCCACTTAGTTCTTAGCTCTTGCATCTATCCGGTACGCACTCTGGGGAAAATCTTTGGCTATTTCTCAACATCGCTATACCGCCCTACTCCCATTGATATCGCCCACCCAGCCCACAATGTCGGAACTAGTCCAAGGCTTGGAAAACATGAGTCTAGATCGCGATATCACAAAGACATTTTTTGCCAGCGCTGCAGAAATTCTGCCGGGAAAGGTCGTCACTGCCGCCGAATTCTCGCTTTTTCAAGGCACCCAGGCGCTCGAGGTGAACAATCCCAGACTCGACACCACACTCCTTCTTTCCGGGAGCATCGATTCTGCCGCCATTAGCTTTGATCTCGCGCGGCAATGCTCCCTCGAGGAAGTGCTAGCGGTGATGGATCGGTTGTTCGCCGGGCTTGGCGACTGGTTCGACAGCTCTTCGTTGGCTCTTACAGCTTTGGCGTGTCAGTACTGCGAAAAGATGTTGGAAAATTACAATGCTCCGCTGTCTCGGAAAATTCTCTCCGATTGCCATTTCTTTGAAGAAAAACAAGCTGATTCCGAAGACTTCATGACCGGTGTGCTCCGCACCTTTTTGATAGGATACCTCCGCTTCATCGGGTATGTGCTCCTCATGGCAAAGAGCGGCGTCATATATGACGAAGAAGATATTGTTTCAAACAACTTTGGCTTGAGCTTCTTGCAGGAGCTTCCCTTGGCGGTGGTGGTGGAAAAGCTCGAGTCGACACGGAAGGTTATCAGAAAAGGCCCAAAGTTTGCCCTTTTGGAGAGATACTTTGGCATCATCCTCGGACTTTTACGCATCGAAACGATTCTATCGATCGATATCGTCACAGACGGAAAGGCTCGACACTTTAACATCTCGTTTATCGATGACACTCTCGCTGAGCTTTCTAACTTGAAGCAAACACCTTTGGAAAGTCTTAGGACATCCCTCCCTTCCGGCAGCTTCAGCACCCTATTCCAAACCCGCGTGGACAACAACCTACCGCCAAAGCCGTTGCCCGTGCAAAGCCCCTCCCAGATGTACGTTTCCACGTTGACGGCACTCTTTGGCGACTTGAAATACATCACGAGACTTTTGAAACCAGCGGAAGGGGGCAAAGTGTTAAAAAATGAGCAGATTCATGAGTTTATGATGTGGTTTGGAAACCGCCGGTTCAACCATGTGAGTGTTGTGGTGCGGATGATGGTGCAGTTGTGGTTGATTCGCGACAATAAGAGCATCTTGGGATCGTCCGTGCAGTTGATGGATATGATGGTGACCGACATGAACCGTGTGAGTATGCTCAACACGCATACAGCTCAGTTACTTGAAATCGGCTTAGGGGAGGAAACTCCGCTAGGGGTGCGAAACTGGGCCGAGATCAAGACCAGAATCCCACCCCTACTCTTGAGCTTGGAGGGGGGCTACTACGAAATTTTATCCCTCTACTCGCAGAACCCGTCCCGCCAGCGCCAGCACGTCAACCGTTTGCTTGTGCTCTTTGACACGTTGCAGGTGGAGGCGGAGAACTTCGAGGTTCTCGTCTTCGACTCGCTTCCACAGGGCAGCGGTGACGTGTTTGAATACGGCGGCCAGCTCGTTCCCCAGGTACCATTGAGCTCGTACGTTTATTCTAAAAAGCTTGGCCTTATGGTTGAGATGCTCTTCCGCGGCGTGGAACTCAACCTTTACAAGCCGTTTGAGCTACTCAGCGTCTACTGGTACGTGTCGTACCTCTTGGAGACAATGCTTACCCACATTAATGGCCGTCTTGTGCGCATCAACGAGCAGAGTATCGCCCAGGTTGATGTGGCAAAGATGGCTAAGAAGTTAAAGAAGCTTTCTGGGGATAAAAAGGTCCGGTACAAGGCCCAGATAGACCAGGCAACTGCGGTGTTACCCGAGTTAAAACGCATTCAGCAGCGCCTCCAGTACGAAGCACGTTACTACCAGCTGCTTCTACGCTTGGCCACCGCCTACCGTACATATCTTGCGATGGTCAACAGCTTGTTGCCCGAGCCTCCGTTCAACCGCATCTCCGTGGATCTCATGTACCAGTTCCGCTTCAAGCCATTTTCATCCATCGGTGTGCCGGAACAGCCGTCGTACAAGCAGTTCAACGACTCGGTGGCTCAGATTATCCCTGCTGACAAGGTCCAACGAGCAAAGCTCTGCGTGCTCTCGCAATCCATTGTGGACGACGTAATTGCTGAGTTTTCCGAGATGGGGGACGTGGATGTCTTGGGCTGGGGCTTGACCGAGGATGATGCTCAACAGTGGTATGCGAAGTTGCGGAGTTCTGCAGAGAATTTAAAAACCTCGATGATCGAGCTTAACGGGTTGGAGGGTGCCTTGAGCGGGTGCAAGTTTTCCGTTCACGGGCATATCGATGATAAGCAGGAGGGGTGTCATCCGTGGTTTCCTCGTTACAGAATTAGACATTAAGTTGGGCGCTCAGATATGTACCAATGGGCTTAAGCCGTGTCATTGATAGACTAATCTAATGAATACTGTATTTAGTTATAAGGTATCTCGCGATATTACGTCTGGTGAGTAATTCCACACAAGGGCCGTTCAATAACTGGCCCATCGACCATTGATTACCCCTTGCACTCCTTTTAGGGGCGCAATGGTTTATCCCCAGGGGTAGAGACTCAGGATTAACGATATCATCATCCTCTAAAGAGGTTTGCGATTAAGCCTCTCTGTTTGGAACTGTTCAACCTGATTTACCGATGTGGCTACCGGGGACTGAGTTAACTAGAAACTTGGCGAAGCCTTGTCAAGTGAAGCTAAATCACCGGGCAACTTAAAATGCGTAGCTAAAGTTTATGGGGGTTCTGCTTATGAGCGAAGGGCGCCAAGCTTAAATAATTGGCTAAGTAAATTATCCCAGTCCAGTTCTCACCAGCAGGTCACGCATAGGCCCACATGACAGAATAGAATGTAAAGATGTATAGCCAATAGGAGAAGAAAGGTTACTCAAGCATCATAAAGACTGCATCATAGATAATATATTGCAATCGCACGTCTTTTAGCGAAAGTACCTTTAGCAAGAGCTTCCAATATGTACCCATAGGATTCACACATCGGGTTATTTTTGGCAACATAGCCTTCAAAATATGCAGGTATTAATTTAACAACTCACTTCTGTCGGTCTCAGTTTTTTTTTTAAAAAAATTCTTCGTTTGAACATTGGCACGATGCTGAACGTAGGTTTTACAAAAAAAACTGTATCAAATGCTAAACCATCGGCTAGTCTGGTGAGTGTAGGCCCATTGTAATTTGACATGCCTGCCAATTAATCTTGAAAATATTCTGGGTTTAGAAACCACTGTCCCTAATCTCTGTGAATTCACTTGATTCCTTAATAAATCTAACTATATGTAAAACCCCACAATCGGTCCGACACCCTGGCCGTTTATAAGCTCGCGATCTAGAAGAGTCTCCTGGCCTTGAGGAACATCTCGCCATATCCTGCGCTCTGTTTTTTTTTTCTTTTTCGCCTTCGCATGGTAACGTTCAGGCCGTTTCCATGTCAGATTCACCTGGTGTTTTTCTCGTATTACTCAAAGGTATACCTTACTGGAATTATCTTTGAGTTTATCTACATCTAAATTTGCTCAAAATACCTGAGATCGTCCCTATTCTGGAACACTGAGCCTTACACTCTCACCTTCCTTAATATCACACTGAACATAACCCTGGACACCCTTCTCATTCTTAAATCCCCGCACATCTTCCTCGTTTCCTAGCTCAGTTTACGTTTCCCGACCCATCAGTGGTAGTCACTTTGTACCTAAAGATGTCGCTCTCCTACCTCCTACCAGCCAACTTTACATTGTCTGTGGAGCCTACAGTCCTGGCAACGCCCAAGCCGGACTTGATAGAGTCGATTCCTGACGGGATTCTCGCGCTCATTGCGCCAATCGTGGCATACTGGCTCATGTCCTCCTTCTTCTACGTGGTGGATTGCACCGATATCTGGGCCAAGTACCGCATCCACGAGTCCGAAGAGGTCAAATCGCGCAATAAAGCAACCATCAGTGACGTTTTGAAGGACGTTATCATCCAGCACGTTGTCCAGAGCGTTGTCGGCTACGGATTCTACCTCCAGGACCCAAAGCCGACCACCGGCCACGAGTTTCACGTAATGTGGCGCATGAAAACCGCTATGCCGGTAGCAGTGCCTGATGCCGTGATCTACCTCGCGTACGCGTACGCGCTTCCCGCCGCAAAGCTCCTCGGCGCGATCGTGATCATCGATACGTGGCAGTACTGGCTCCACCGCACGATGCACGACTACAAGTTCCTCTACCGCCACTTCCACTCCCGCCACCATCGCCTCTACGTGCCGTACGCGTTCGGCGCGTTGTACAACAACCCGGTGGAGGGCTTTTTGTTGGACACGTTGGGCACGGGAATTGCTGCGATTGCCATGCGCTTGGCGCCGCGTGAAACATGTGCGTTGTACACCTTTGCGACGCTTAAAACCGTCAATGACCACTGCGGCTACGCCTTGCCCTGGGACGTCTTCCGCATGGTGTTTCCAAACAACTCCGTCTACCACGACATCCATCACCAGATGTGGGGCATCAAGCACAATTTCAGTCAGCCGTTCTTCTGTTTCTGGGATAAGTTCACCAATACGGACTACAAGCTCGTTAAAGGCGATTCTGTGTCGGTAGAGGAGTACAAAGACTTCTTAGTCAACAAAAGGTACAAGGCGAAGAAGGAGAACTAAGCATGTTAATATCACCCCAATTACCGGTGAGCTAGGCTTAAGGTCTATAATAATCCCCTAATATAATAATAATAGCGTTTGTGTAGAAGGATAAGATTTGAAATTACCTAGATGGGTTTATGTTGATCTCACATAGGGATATTCGTGGTATGAAGGGGTTTATCGGAGATACCTATCTGCATGTAGGTTTGGCTTTATTGGCGTAGCGAGTATATTTAATTGTCGATGTCATTTGGTTAGGTATCAGGTATATTGCTACACCTAGGAAGCAATACTAGGAAGTCTTGGAATGTTATAACAGATATTTAAATACTTGTTATATATACATGCTTTTCTTAGGCGGTATCGGTGTAGGGCTAGTTGTGTTAGTTAAAAACCACGCTAAAGGTCTTGGAACTAAACCCTTGGTAGGGCACCATACTGGATAAATAAAGCCTATATCTATATTTTTAGCAGTTATAAAACAGTTATATAGCCAGCTTTTTATCCAAAACACTGACAAACCGTCTAATGCAAGAGGTGTCAATATGTCGACCCCAGCCGCAGCCGACTGGGAATAAAACGTAATTTATCTTATAGCTAAAGATACTATCTATACTCCTGGGATGTTAAGATTATTTGAGCCAAGGTATCCCTACTGGCTACTCAAGATGTAGCGATATCTTAACTTTTATACTAGCGTGGATCCATCGCTAACTCGTAGACGAAAAGAAACCCTTACCTAGCTGCGTTATTGGTTATCGTAGGCATACCAGGCGGATGCCACATAAATTTACCCCTTGTATAACTGAAATATCCCGCACTAGAATTGACATTCAAGATCCCCATTAACCCCTTCGAGGATAGTCTAGCTGCCTGACTTCTGCCCGAAACACGCTCTATATCTCTAAAATCTGCCTTAAAACCCATCTTTTCACTTACAGTCCTACACTCCTCTTCAAAAACCATCGAATTATCACACAACATCAATCGCGATACCCTTCACGCCGAATCCCAACTCAAACACGCGCCATACAATCTTCAAAAACACACGGTTAAGAAAGCCTTGGCTCTGGAAGTCGTCAGCACTTAGAGGAAATACCAACTTCTTACGGTCCTTCCCAGATACAGGGTCGCGCGCACTGACAATCCTGACGCTGCGTTTGATGATCCACACACCAATGACAAAGAGCACGGCGTTGACAGTTAATGTGCGGAGAAAGGGTCCCACGAGCGTGCGCGCGGCCTTCGCAGCCTTGAGCACTGCAGCCTGGCGTGGCGTGAAGCCCGCGTACGGGTCCAACTCGTTCGGCAGCTCGCGTGCGCGACTGTGACCGTAGATCGAGTTGTACTGGCGGTTGGTATATATCTCGCGCGAGAGCTGGTTAATCACGCTGCAGACTTCTTCCTGCCACTTCTGCATGGCCGCGTCCGCAGGCGGCCCCGTGGACGGCTCGGAAGCGCGCGATGGCAGGAGTGGCACAGGATTTGTGCGGTACGTCTCAGAGCGCCCACCCGTGTAATACATTGACCCCGTGCGCGACGTGGCGGACATCTGGAGCTGGCCATGTGCCATCGGAGTGTTACGGCCGGTGTGGAACGCAGAAAAATCGCCAAATGCTGAATCACTGCCGCCGCGGAAGTGCCCATCACGCGCGGTAGGGATCTCCGGCGAAGGTGTCGGGATGATGTCCTTGATCTGGTCCCAGAGATACTCCAATTCGCCCAACAATTCGCGCGCCTCGTGGGTACCCGATGCGTATGTCTTCATGGTCTCTATTAAGAAGGAGATATATCTGCGCTTAGCCTCAGTTTTGGAGAGGTTCGCCTCGTCCTTCCACGCGTCCCACTTGCGCTGCGCCGCGAGGTCCGAGGGGGTCCCCCCACGCGGTCTGGGCATGATACCCTCCACATTACCTTCTGTGGCCTGCTTGTAGAGTCCGTACAAATGGACCCTGCTTTCCACCGGCGGCCGCGGCAAGGACCCGTAGCCTGATCTCGTGGACAAGGTCCTGATGGTGGATATTGCCTGTACAAACACGCGGTCGATAGAATCGGACATTTGGGGGTAGGATCGGGGTAATATGGGTATATCTAAATGATATAGCTCGTATAATGAACGAATTTGCGTGTGTGCCACGATCCTTGTATCTGTTGTTGTGGGTCAGATCCTGGGTCATTTTCTGACCCGCTGGTCTCGAATCACATGCGCGTATACGGCGCAGATTGTGCAGCTGCGTTCTCTCTCCCATGCGGCGCGGACGGGAACAGAAGATAGTAAGGGTACTCAGTATTTACCCAGTTGTGAGATCTGTAATATTGAATACTACCCGCCTATATCCCATAATTGCATTTTTTTTATTCAGAAATAGCAAGAACGTAGTACAAGGTGCTTCACCGCCCATTACATAGTGTACGTTCCTATAGAGTAATTATACTGCCTGATATGACTATCTTTCTCTGTTGTAACCTCTGCCTCGAGATGTATTCAATTTGTGATATACTTCTTCCGCCGTAAGGAAGCTAAGATCCACCCGTTTGGCTTTTTTAACGTTTGTGCTTCTGTGTACCTCTACTGGTTAACTGGATTAGTCCTCTAGATATCTCAGATGCCTTCTACCAGGATATCGGTAAACCGTGATATAACCCAACCTGCAATTATTCTGTTTTATTGATTTCTCCTCTCTTATAAATCCCGAGCCTATTGAATTAAACGACACCGAGTACAAATACCTGTCACTATATTCTGTACTAGGGAGTTAGTAATCTCATTCGGGTATAAACTCTACGTTTCCACCGATCAAAATTTCATATCTACCGTTTTTCAAATCTTCATCTCCATAAATAACGCACTGAATAATCCAACCCCACTATTCTATAACATTTTCTAGCAAGACCGAGCTATAGCGCTGGCGAGTTACTTCTGGATTTTCCTGGAGCACTGTACGGGGTAAGTGACCTGCTGGGTCTACCGCTTCTCCCCACAGGCATCAATGTATTTTTTTCCTTGACAAGCTCACTGAGCTTGCCCACGTACTTTTCAAGGAACGCGTTTTTGGTCTGTAGTCTGGCGAGCTCCGAGGTGTGCGCATTCCTGTTTCCGGCAATGGTCAAGAGGCGTAACGGCTTAGCTTGGGTATCCAACTTAGCCCGGAGGGCCTGGTTCTGCGCTATGAAAATGGAAAGCCGGTTAGCAGCATCTACTGCGAGCGCCGAATTGGTCTGGTACGATGCTCTGAGCTCGTCGTTTTCAGTCGCTTGTTTCTGGTTGGTGTCAGTGAGTGTCTGGAGCTGGAGCCTCAATCGTACGATCTCCTCCTGGAAACCACCGGAAGATGTAGGTACCGCATCAAGAGTATTCTGGGGTAACTGTGTGCCACTAGAAGCATCTGTAATCACATCCTTGTTGCTAGAGGCGTCTTGACTCCTTTCTGGGGTGATAGAACCTTCCTTGACTAATTCAGGGTCTTTAGAGGTATCCCGACTGCCTTTTGGGGATGCAGAATCACCAGTGGGCAGTTCAGGATCGTTAGTGGCATTCATAATCTCATCAGGATCTTTAGAAATATCCAGGCTGAACTTTGGCGTATTAGAGCCGTCCTTGGTCACTTCGGAATCGTTCGCGCTACCCATGGCCACATCTGGGACATTTAAACCTTCCAGAATTGAAAGGGGGTTTTTGGAGCCATTCAGGCTCACGTCTGGGCTACTAGAAGCTTTCAAACCCAGTTTTTGGTTATTTGAGATCGCTTCTGGACCTCCTAACACCTTCATCTGCGCTTCCAACACCCTTAATCGCTCGCCCACCTTATCGTGTTCTGATTCCACTCTTGCCACTTTCTTATCCACTTCTGCGACGTTTTTCTCAAAGAACTTCAAGCTGCGGTAATACTCGGCCATGGCGTCAGCCAGTTCTTCCACACGCAACTGCCGCACGCTCTCCTTAGCACGCCACTCGTGTATTTGTGTGCTCATCGCATCGGCTTCCAGGGCAAGGGCCTCGAAGTGGGCGTACACCAACTGCGCCATGCACGCTTTGTATTCTTCTGCAGAGACATATTCTTGAGTAATTTTGGCTCTTTTGTGGCTCGTTTGATTGTTCAACGACTCCACAAGCTCCCCGCGGGATTTTCTGGTGTAGTGCCGTTCGAGCGGAGGGAGCTGGGCCATCGCCGATGAGGAGCCCAAGATCTGGTCCAAAAGCTCTGGGTAGAGTCTACTGGTGGCTTCATCCAAATCCCCAGTGTACTGGCGGTTGAGCAACGTGGTATAAGCGATGTTTTCTAATCCCAGTTCCAGTAACTCCACGTGATTAATGGAATTGACGGGGACGAGCTTAATGAGCGGAACCAAACGGTCCCCCGCTCGCAAGCGGTTGATGTGCTCATCATCACCAGGCAAAGAAGTATCGAAAGATACGATTAAATCAAGCCTCTTGGTGCCAGTGTCCATGTTAAAATAGTTTGTGCGGAACTGATTCGACGTGATTAAGAAAATCTCACTGGTCTCAACACACTTTGCTTTTAATCGCTCGCCCTTAAGGTACCGGTATTCATCGTCCTTCAGTAAGCGTTTGAGCTTTCCGTCGGTGTTCTCAGAGCTGGGAGGCGAAATGGTAGGTGTAGGAGCCTGGTAGCGACCGGTTCGTTCCTCATTGAACAACTTGGTGCCAGAAAAGCGCGAGTAGTCTAGTTTTCGGCCAATAATGAAGCCCTCGATCAAGTCCAACTCCTTTACTGACTGCGAAACAACCACAAGCTTCAAGTTGCGGTGCTCCGCCTGGTGGAGAATTGTGTTAAAAACTTGGAACTTTCCGCTCACCGCAGATAAGAGTTCGTGGTTTTGCACAAGGAGCAACTTCTTGGGCATGTAATGGTCCACCACGAGGTACGGGTGGGCCGTGATAAGTTTCACATTGCGAACGAGTGTTTCAAGCATATCGGTGGAGGAAAGCGCGTGTTCTGGCGTGTCAATGGACCGAATAGGGTCGAACTGACGGGGGGAAAGGCGCGAAATCAAGCTCTGTTTGTGGATCAGTACCACCAATTCGATTAGTTGTTTTTGCAAAGGGGAGAGTCCGGTGCGGAAGTGGTACACACCGTCGGACGGATGGCCAGCTGGCGGTTCCACTGGGTCTGAAGGGCCCAAAAGATTCATCAAGTTCATAGTTCCGGTGAATATTGATAGGCGTAACCGATATAATGGGTGCGAATGGATGTGGTGTTTATTGTTAATATTAATGGCTATAGATATGGTGTTGTTGGCGGTAATCGTGCTACTTTTTGTGTAGCCTTTCCGTTATCAGATGAGTGAAGGTTTTGGGAGATAAAAACTAGTCGTATTTTTGTAGACGATAAGTCTTAAGATCTCTAATTCGAAAAATCTTGTGCTTAAATCTTGGATATAATTGATAGCTGTGAAAGAGTCTGGCAGAATAATCCGAGTTTAAGGTTTGCAGGGCGGGGATCAGATTGCAAGTCTGGTATGCACACAGCGGTTGACGGGTGTTAGACGCGACGTTTTAGTTATTTCATTCTATGATATTAATATTTACCGGTTCTGGCATAGATTGGATGCCCCGATTAAAAGTTGGTTATCTGGGTATTATGAAGCATTCTCGAATGGATAATTATATAAGCTACGGTATTATGATCTGTGGTGCAATAGTATGTATTAGCCTGAGGTTAGCAATATATCGAAAGGGGTTAAACCAATAATTGATATATCAGTATGTATATAGTAGCATGTCTATACTTGATTAACCGTAGATTCATTCTCCCGGCCACAATTTCGTAAATTAAGCCAACGTCATACAACTAAACTATTCTATATGTAACCGCTATGGATGATCAGAATTCTCCAGGATGGAAGGGTATCACTACGCAGGGCAATTTCCGGCCTTGAAAAAAAGTAAACTCGATATCTGGAACAGCTTACTATCTCGACCGAAGCCAGGTATGCAAAAAGCGTCGCACACATGGCGAAGCTGAGTAATTGCCGTGTTGGTTTGCACTAAAACGCAAACCATATACAGGCGCTCCAACCTGCTCTAAGAAAAGGGTGGCACAAGTGTGGGCAAACTGTCAAAGGACAACCATTCGTAGAAACCGTGCCCGAGGCTATTACAACGGCCATCTAGGATAAGAATCAGCCAAAGTTAGAAAACAAAACCCATTGAATTTCATATTATTTTATACATAAAGAAAGTAAAGAGATAGATAAAAGGACACCATTAGAAAAGAAGACAGAGATTAATTCATAATATCTAGTTTTCTGGGACGTCGATTTCACCAGCGTCAATAGCTTCAATGATGTCGTGTGGGTTCTTACCCTCAACACGACAGCCGACAGACTGAGCGGTACCCAAGATTTCCTTAGTGACGGAAGCCAAGTTCTTACCGAAAGACTTTTCTCTCATTTGTCTGGCAATGTCAATGATCTCTTCCAAAGCAACGTTACCAGAGTGCTTGATGTTCTTTTCCTTCTTCTTGTCTCTTGGTGGCTCTCTCAAGGCAGTAATGACAAGGGAGGAGGCAGATGGAACAACGGAGGCGGTGGCCTGTCTGTTTTGAATCTTCAAGCAGACGGTAACCTTGATACCCTTGAACTTAACGGTAGCCTTGGCAATGTCTTCACCGACCTTCTTTGGGGACAAACCCAATGGACCAATCTTTGGGGCCAAGGCGGAGGAGGCACCAACTTCACCACCGGTGGCTCTCAAGTAGAGGTACTTAACTTCACTAGGATCGAACTTTGGAGGCATCTTGTATGTTATTAGTTGAGGTTCGAAAAGGAAAGTGCTATGAAATGTTCCTAGTATTTTTAACTTTTTTTTGCCTACCTCTGCCGGCGCTGCTCACTGTGTGGCACCCGCACACCACTGGAGAGTATGTAAGAGTAGTGCTGGAGTGAAAAACTTCCTGGAGGGGGGTCGCCCTACCTAACGTCTCCCTCTAGGCTGATCCCGCTTAGTAGTCACGGAAAGAAGACATAGTACAATGTATATACCGGATATGTCCCTCCGCTTACAAGAACTTTTCCACGTTTCTTTTTCTCCTCCGTCCAGTATTTTCAGATTTCTTTCTATCCGGCATATTTCTTTCGCTTTTGTAGCCTGTACAGTCTCCGCTGGCTGTCGCGAATTTCTCCATAATATGAAAAGCAGTCACTACCAACTACGTTCATACGCCACGTGATGTTTGTTAAGCCCTAATCTAACCCTAATCTAACCCTGACCTCATGCACACCACGAGACATGTGCTATCTGCCCCACGATTTGAATGAGGACGTTGAAGCCATGGATATAGGGTGACTGAGTAGTAATTAATGCAGGTAATGAATTGATGGGGCTCCTTGTGGGTAGGAGAGCTGATTGCCCTAGAGTTCTCTATGATGTTCATCTAACGTGGATCCCCAGAGAGCACCAGAGTCTTCTCAGACTGAAGGGAACAAAACGGTCCAAGATGAGGCTACATGCTATTCAATCAATTAATATTAATATATAATGAACACACGAAATCACAGTAAAACACACAATAAATGAAAGCATGAAGGAAGAGTAACCAAAAGAAAGTCAAGAAGCATAGTAAACTTTTATCAAAGAAATGAAGGTATGGGGGCATTAGCCATACAGCGTAAAGTACAATAATATATGGGACGGTGAGTGGGGGAAAGAGTTTGGCTAAAGGGCGTGGAGTTCAGAAAGAACTCCAGGTCCAGTCATTTGGAACAATACTACCTGATCGTTTGTTTTCCTTGGTAGTTCCCTTGTCGGTAGTCTCAGTCGGTTCTTCCACCTCTGCCACAGCCTGTTTCAGCTGGAAGAGTAAGAACTTCAACCAAGAGTCGTGGTAGCACGTGGAACACACCTTGCGCACAATCTTGCCTCTGTGCAAGCTCATCGCGTTGCGAGGACCCTCCCTGTCATCTTGGAAAGATGGAACCGTAGATTTGTAGATTGGAACCACCCAGCCGCAGCATTCGTCCATCATCGCCTGGAAAGATACACAGGCGAGGCAAAAGATGTCGCCACACTTTCTGCAGTGGTGCTTGCCAGAGACGGTTCCACTTCCGGATCGGACCTTTCCGCTGGCAATGGGATCTATGGTAGGAGTAGGGGTGAGCTCAGCGTTGGTTAACGCAGACACAGGCAACGAGACCCAGGACTTGAAGAGCACCCCCGGCTTCAGAGAGAACTTCACATGGCAGGCTTTACAGGCATCGCGAAAGTTGTTGGGAAGCCAATGGTGGTGAGATGGCTCAATGCTAAGGTTCTCGTTCATGATATACTTCGATGCAAGTGGGGTGGTGGCCAATGGGGTTAAATCATTATCGTTCTCATCATCACGGAGGGTCGTCTCGGTCGGGGCAGCGGAAGGAGGGCGCAATACGGCAGGGATGTAGTTTGGTGTCTTCATCTCGTAAACCTGGTTCAAGAACGGAGAATCGATGACAATTTTCTCTCTTCTGGGAGGGGAGTCGGCCGATGTTGTGACTGGCGAGCAGAGGCACGAGGAGGATGATCTGGAGGAAGACGTAGGCGTTGTAACAGTGGTGTTTGCAGCATTGGGGGACGAGGAGACGGAAGAGGCTGAGGAGACGGAGCCTGAAGAAAGTGCGGTGCGTAGCTTTGGTGTGGTTGTTGGAGGGGGGTTTACGGTGGCTTCATGTGACATGGTATTGGTCTGCAAGTTGTACAAAGCCTTTCTGGCCATTTCAGAGAACGAAGTCGATTGTTTGCGCTGGAGGGTAGGTTCCTGGAGCGGGACGCTCAGGCCGGGGAGGGTGGAATGTGGAAACGACTTGAATGGGGCTCTGAATTCCAACATCTGCGGCTGCTCCGCAAAGCTCCCAGAGTAGATATAGTTTGTTTCCTCCTCTTCAATCAGATATCTACGCGTAGGTTGGTTCAAGTCAAAGGTTGCAGGGAAGTACTTGCTTCTGGTAGTGGTCGGTGGCTGTTCAAGCTGTCTGGTGTTGTCGCTGTTGGCCCGCTTGTTGCTACGGGTAGTTCCAGCGAGGACAAACGAGTCACCATGCGAGATAGAATCCCGGTACAGCGGCTGCGCCATTCTTGGTGCCCTGATCTGCTCGTCATGGTCCACCCACTGAAAAGAGGAGGCTGGCTCTGTGGCCTTTCCAAGGACACTGCCCTTTCCGCTGGGGAAGTTTTCGCTGATGACGGACTTTCGAGATGGGGCACGGGGCAACACAACCTTCTTGGCAAACGAGAGACAAAAGTCGGCTGGCGCTGCATCATCTTCTTCAGCAATAATGCTGGGGTGGCCCGTGAAATTGGGTTCCTGCTGGTCCATGAATCGGTGGTGATGTAGCTGTATCAGTGACATTGTGAGGGTTTATATGAGTTTTTGCAGGAGGGTTAGGGGAATCTATAGTTGGAAGATACTGGCAGGACTCGGGTAGAGAAACTGGGAGTGGTATTATTGATGGGAGAGGACGGATATATACGGATTCCAGCCTTAAGGCACTGATTTGAAATCAAAGAGGTTAAGGGGGCGACGTGCGATTACGCTGGATGTGCGCGAAAAGCGACGTGCATAAATCGATTGTCATATCCAATCTTTCATGCACAAGCCGCTCACTACTCTCGGACGCACGGAAAGCTCTCGACCTCCTGACACAGAGCCTGTCACATTTGAATCCAATATGGACGCCGGGAGGCAAACTACAGTGGAAATACAGTATCGGAAGCAATCCTCTCTTCTGGTGGTTCAGTGTCTAGCAGCTGCACAGAGGGCATTGGCCTATATGTTTACCCTGGTCAAAGTTAGGCTGCTTTAATGGCCTGTTACTAGTAGAACAAAAGTCAAGGGGTCTGCAGCGAGATATTACACAAAAAATCCTAGCTTTGGAGGATCGGCCATGAAGCCAACCGGTCTACAGAGGCATCGGCCAGCGGACGCTAAACTTGCGTGAAGTTTAGATGGAGTCCCGCATCCCTGGCTGCGATTTATGGCTCAGTGCATGGATAAGTTTCTGTTTATGGTTTCACATGCGTACAGTATGCCTGCACAGTGGGAAAACAGGACTCGCCCATTGGACCAGAGAACGAGCTGCACCGCTCACTCGTGAGAGAACGCGGGTCTAAAGATTATGATTTGCTATGCATACAGCTTACATACGTCCTCTTGCTCGTGTAGCCAGTTGGCCAAGTTCGATTAGTCATGGGAAACGTGAGACACCATTGTACAATGCTCCAAATTGCAGGTTCACCCTCCCCCCCCAAATACACACGGTTTCGTATCTCCTGAAAACGGGATGAAATACGTAGTGCATAGGGAAAACGGCAAGCTCCTTTCCTGATTCCCCTTGAACTTAAATATAGGGAAAGCTAGCGGAATAGGCCCTCCTTCGGAAAGGAGCGTCCCTCGCCTATATGTGCTAGCCATGTAGGTTACTGTTGATTAGTGTATATAGCGACAATGACATTACGTAGTTCCTTATTTTTGCAGCAAAGGGTGCACGCTAAGCTTTAGTACCTGGTCCCACGACCGTACAATGGATATAACAGTCAAGTTCTACCGAAAACATAGTCACTCACCGGTTGTTAGGCTCGCGCACATTGTTTTCGAGGTGAAGCTGCGAATCTAGTAGCTTTTTTACGAATAGAGGGTCCAAGCATTGGCAATTTGTAATGCGTTACAAATAGCGTGTTAGGGCATTGGAATCTGGCAATGTGTTACGAATGGAGGGTTAAGGTTTTAAGTGTTTAGGCTAGGCAACATCTGTACCGATCGTGCTATTCCACTTATGCTTGAAGTAGCATTTCCTAAAGCGATTATCCCCGATCACGGCATAGACCTGTAACAGCCCGTTGAACTAGCTCTTTCCAAGGGTGAGCTGAAACATGGCATACCGAAACAGGAGGTGATATCATTGTTCCGGGCGAGGTACAAAATGCTTATTATCTCATTACAAGCGAACGTTTGATCTACGTGTAAGAATCCCTGTGCGCATGTATCTTGGTAGGTTATTAGATGTGTTCTTGCTGCAGCACGCATACGGCCGATACCCAGAGAAAGCGGTTAAAAATGCAGGCATGATGAGATATACTCTACAATGAAAAAGAAAAAGAAAAAAAAGTGGAAACAGCCTGTGGTACTGACAGTGTATATATGCGTAAGTGCGTAAATACTATGTGATTCTAATTCACGCGGGCCTAAGGGGGGTGTATATGTGGTAATGTAAGACGTGACGGAGAAGTATATACGTACACTAATCGCACTTACAAAAGCTACAGTTTATATATGGTTACTGTAATGGTATACTACCCTTGTATATATACTTGCTTATATACATGCTCACTTAATCAAATACTTAATTATCTATATATGGCCAATACCAAGTCTATTTGGGATAGTGACCTTTTATAAGTATGAATAACAAATTATATATATCTAATATTTAACCAGCCATATATACGTATTATGGCGTTAGTTAATAAATACTTATATATACTATACATACTATAGCATTAATTAATATAGGTAAGTGTAGTACCGACCAGTGTACAAGTATTAGCTATGTATACGTTTACTATATCAATTGGTATATACGTACAGGTATACGCTACCCGTTCTAGGTAATAATAAATTAAGCGTTGATCATAGGGTATACATGAATACATATGATGGCACGGCACTAGTTTAATTTTGCGCTGGGGTCTCACAGATGAGTCATCACGTCCAGAATAAGTTAAGATTACCCTATACTAGTCTCATGCTAAGCTTGTCGCCTGTGTGCAATTTCGAGATTTGAAGGTCCAACTTGAAGATATCGTATGCGGCAAGCCCAGGATCGGGCGTAAAAAATAGGGCTCACCTGCACGCGTATTCCCGGGACGAATAAAAAGATCGTATTCCCCAGGCTTGGCCCATCGCTAACTGCACTTTCTTTTCTCTCCCAGTATGTCAACTACATTGATTCGGGCGGTGGTCTCGGAAATACGATTTGCGTACAGCTCCGCTATCCTACATACCTCTGTCAAAAAGTGGTATTAGTCACGGGCATCTAACTCAATTGATTGTGGTACACCGAGTGCTTGAGGTTACGCAGCGAGAGACACAACTAATAAATACAACTCAGAGAAGGGTACCACTACCGGTTTACACTGCCAATTGACCTGGGCACGAGATCGCACAGTGGTCGTTATTTAAGGGCTGCTCCATCGGTCTGGCCCGGAGGGGCAGAGCATTGTAAGCGATCTACAGCCATAATTATTCCAATACTTGGTGCCTTGTGTGAACTTTGCAGACTCTGTAAATGGGTCATTTCTAACATGTAAGAGGCTCAATACCATTCGAGACCGAAAAAGTTCGAAGTGGCTGCCTGTTATATCCGAAGGCGCCACTGTACTCCAGTAAGATGAAAACTAAGGAAGAAGCCAAAGCAAGACTTTCGAAAAGAAAGGGGCCACTCAGACCTCGTGTTTAGGAATATACGGCGTTACCATACAGTGGGTCGTTTTTCCTTGGGACGGATATTTGGCAGATGCAGCATGCATGCGAAGCGCTTCGGAAGTATAAAACGTGACTACAAAACCTGTAAGATGCTGCCTGCACTAAGGAGAGCTTCGACTGCGGCTTGATTTGGTGCCGTGGCACTTATCCGAAAGTATCTACCCAGCGGAGTGCCCGGGATAGAGATAGAGATCAACTTGTTTAATCTTCCCAAATGCAACGATGTTATATTTTTTTGGTGTGTTGAATGAAAGGGAACTTCAGAGAAGCTTGTTGTGACGCGAAGCTGTGAGATCCCACCCTACCATATATCTGATAGTGCCACGGCTTGTTATATCCGAAATAAACATCTAACTTAAGCAAGAGAAAGTTTTGTTAAGAATCAAACTTAACTTGTTTCTCCTCAAAATTTCATTATCAAGTTGGCCTGAGTCACAGAAAAAGTTCTGTATGTCCTACGTGGTGAAACGAAGAACCCGAAAGGCGTGCGACCTCTGCAATATCAAACGGACAAAGTGCGGAGGCGGGGACCCGTGCACTAACTGCTCGCGAACCGATCTGGAATGCACCTACAACCGAGTGGAAAGGAAGCGCGGCAGAGCCAGCGAGAGATATCCCAAGGTCAGACGCAAGAACGCTTCAAAGGCCACGCCGGATAGCCAGTTGCATACTTCTAGCATGGAGTACCACCAGGAGGGATCAATCTTGTTGCCATTCTCAACGAGTATTATGAGCTCTAATACAACTTACAATAGAGCCGGGCCACAAACCTACTATGGTCATACCCCACCAATTTGTGCCCTAAGGAATCTTGGAAACATGCCCTTCCAGCTTGAAGACGGATCCGAAGCACCACCCTTCCGGCCAGGGGGGTTTGAAATCCTCCGCAAGAAATTAGCATATCCGAAAGCTACACACAGATCTCTGATCTACGACTACAAAACTTCACTCCTTGGCAGAGGAGTGCCCATCCGTGAACTGTTGTTTTCTAAGATAGAACGCTCAAAGGAGTCATTTTTTACCCAGAGAGGTGACCTTTCCCAAGATTTGACAAAGAATGTCTCCTCGGAAGCAAGTCTAAAATTCTCCGAGTCATTGCACAAAGAGGTGTATTCCACAAACGAGCTTAAGAAGAGACAGGGAGACAGACAAGGTGCGGAACGGACATACTTACAAGACTCACAAAAATACCACCAAAGGGGCTATACATATTACGGGCTATTTGGCGGTGAGTCTCTCCAGACTTTTTACGACCAAAGCTCGAGCAGTTATGGCCACCAAGGAACCTCCCCAGGATTGATTTTGCATAATATGATGTATACCCCACAGGAAAAACACCTGGGGGATGTCTATTATCCGAACTCTGGCGAGGGTCCTCGCCCTCGGTATCTCTGTTTGGAACCCGTCATAGGGCTTCTCAAGCTCATAGGAGTATCTCCTGACCTCGCAGACTCTCTCCTAGAACACTACTTCGCCTCTCCTAGCCCGCCGGGCTTGGTCGCCCCGGTTCTTCGTCCCGCATCCTTCTTAGTTACGGAGGAGACAGACAGACACCGGATGCGGTCAAGTTCACAGACACTCCTCCTCTCGATGCTCCTTGTGGCGATTCTCGACTTTGATCTTCCATTTCCTGTCCAGTTGAGCGCACGGCAGGACATATACGAGCGTCTTTCGGCATCCGTGACGGCACTCCTCCCGCTAGTGAAGTCACTGGGTACGTTGGACGACGCGATCTGTTACATTCATCTTGCGGGAACCACTCCACTTAGCATTTCACCGCTGAACGCGTTTACCTGGTGGAAACAGCTGTACGCATGCGCCTTATCGCTCAGGCTAAATGAGGAGTTGATACGGGACAGTGAAGGGGTGCGGTACAGCAGCGAGACACGAGAGGAGCGGCGCCGTGTCTTTTGGCTTGTGTATTTTATGGACTTGCACGTTTCGTTTATGTGTAACATGAGGGTTGTTTCGCATTCGGAAAACATCAGTCTCGATGCCCTTCACCCGTGTAGTGATGAAAGTTGGTTGGACAGGGAGATAACTGAGTTTTGCGGGACGAATGCCATACCAGGCGAAAGCGCTAGCCTAGACGAAACGAGTAGCCTAGAATACGGGCTAGGCGAAATTGGGTTTATTCAGAAGGAATCCGGCGCAGATTTGTCCCACCTGACGGTCCAACCTGACACCTTCGGCTTGTTCATCGCGTTATCCCAGCTCGCCTCCACAAAATCTTCTCACAGCTTGTATCTTGAAATGTTCCAGGACTACCTGCCGCTCAGGCAGTCCATTCGCCTATACAACGCTGAGTTGGAGGCCTACCGTGACACCTTTTTGTCCAGCGATTACCACTACTTCAAGTTCATCACCGGGGTTATGAATGGAATTATTTATCGTCCCTCCAGCTATAATACTGCGGTGTCTCAGAGGGCGAGACTGGGAACCCCGTCCTACATATGGGAGCCGGCATTCGTCATGGAGTCGCCGCTCATGGATTTTAGGGCGGTCACCACAGCCCCCGTCTCGGGCCAACTTCTTCTGAAGACAAGATCAGGGCAGAGTTCCATCCCAGATGCATGGGTGATAGAGGGAGTCGGCCACTTGGAGAAAATTCTGCGAGCCGACCCGGGCTTGCGTAGACATCCACTTATCATGCAGTTCTTTTTATTCGTACTCGCGGTCGAGGTGCTCAGCATGACTGACAGCATTCCGCAACGAATCAGCACCTACGGGCTGTTTTATGCCGAGTACAAGCGGTACTCAGATATCGTTGTACATGCCATCAAGGGGCTCACCACCACATTGCAGTGTCCGTACTTGAAACTTGTTCAGAGCTACTGCTGCGAGGCCGTGAAAGACGTCTCGCGTTTGATGCTATCGGCGAACGATGAGGAACCAGAGGTGACGGCTCGCAGGCTCCGGCGGAGACAGGGCTTGTCCACGTACAGCTGGTTGGGAGATGCTACTGGATTGGCTGCGTAGGGAAAGTTACCAATACTAGGGAGAGATGGGCAGAAATCGAGGCGAGAATGGATAGAGAAGGTGAAACTGTAGAGCTCAGACAGTTTCATTCGGGGACGTAAGAACACTCGGATAAGAGCACCTGGAGTTGGACAATAGCTATACCAGTGAGTAAACCGACAGTCATATGCAAGGGATAACGGATGGTTGATGATAATGTGTAAGTGCCATTAAACAAAAGATCTGGGGTAAAGCAGGCAAATGGCCGATAATCGAAGATCTACAGATATACAAGGCGGCATTGGCTAATCGAAGGGAGGCGGGATAATAAAGCTGCAGAATATGAAATATCAGATCTTTGTTGTTTGAAAAATAATCTGACAGCCCATTCTGGAATATCCCCCTCCGTGTTGGACATTCTACAGTTTTTTTTTGCTATTTTTTTTTCTTTCATATTTTACACTGGTTCAGTCACAGGTTTAAGAAACAGTCTTTTCAACCAAGAAGATCCCGTACTTTTCCTTCAAGGTCTTCATAATTGGGTTGTTGATCTCCGGAGTCATTGGAGCCAACAAGCCCGGACCCTTAAGAGTGCCATCCAAAACTTGCTGGACAGCAACGGCACAAGGAACACCAACGGTCTTGGCCATAGAGGAGTAGCCGTCTGGGTTGCCGTAGTCAATCATGGTGGAGGTTCTGGTTTCAGTAGTGCCGTCGGCCCATTCAATGCCGAACTTGTGCTGGAGGGCAACCAAGTCACGCTCGCCAGTCTCGTACTGCATCAAGTCTTCCAAGGTGGCGCACAAGGTGTCTAACGGGTTTCCTCTTGGGGTAATGGAGGTGGCATCGGAGAACAAACCCAACCATTTGAGACCGGAGATGATTCTGGTCTTGTCAGCTTCTGACTTGAAGGTAGCCTTGGCTTCAATGGTGGCAACCAAGTCCGCTTCGGAGGTGGATGGAGCGCCAATATACCCGGCAAAGACCTTGTTCCATGGGGCGGCAGTCTGGAACAATGGAGACTCGTCCTCCTTCAAGAAGCCCAAGTCGACAAGAACCTTGACAAACTCTGGGAAGCCCTGGTAGCGCAATGTTCCTCTGATGACAGTCTCAGCTTCTGGGATGTTGTACAACTCCTTGTAGGCAGTTGAGTCTCTGTTCGGGTAGGCAACAAACGCGAAACCCGGATAAACGTAGTATGGCTGGGCAGAGGCCATCAAATCCTCCGACTTGATGGAAACGATCTCGCCATCCTTCCAGTACTGAGCGGAGTTTCTCAACGCCAACAAGACACCGCGAGAGGACCACGAGAACTTGTAGCCCAACGGGTTGTCGGAACATTCAGGGGCTGGCAAGCCACCGCAGTAGGACAAGAAGGACTTGATCTTTCCGCCTGCTCTGTGTACCTCGTCGAAGGTCTTGACGGCGTACAAGTGGTCGATACCCGGGTCGAGACCGATCTCGTTCATGACAATGATCCCGGCGTCCTTGATCTGCTGCTCCAACTCGCGCAACTGCGGGTTGATGTACGAGGTGGTGACCACGTGGACCTTGTTTTTGATCGCAGACCTGACCACGGTCGCGTGGTAGGTGTATGGGATCAAGGAGACCACGACATCGGCCTTGGCCACAGCGGCATCCAAGGCAGCTTCGTCGGAGACGTCCAAAGAAATAGCGCTGGCAACGGAGCCGGCCAACTCCTGGGCCTTGGAGAGCGTGCGGCACGCGACGGTGACGGTGATGCCCGGGGTCGCAGCAAGAATATCAACTGTTGGCTTCGCAACGAAACCGGAACCTAACAAAAGAACGGATCTGGGGTGTTAGTATTGAGCGGCATACGAGAGGAGTGGGAAGAGAAAGCAAGAGACGATTCATGGAGGATTTCAAAGGAAGCTGCAAGATTGCGGTAACCTTTGATCAAATTTCAACAAAATGAAGGTCCTGGAAGAGATTCAAGTAAAGGAAATCATTCTGAGCTAGCAAAAGCAGCTTCGTGTCTCATCTGCCTTGATCATTTCTTGGTCTTTTGGTAAGATTGTCTCATCAAATGTTTCACGGAGAGTATCTTAGAGAGTGTCCATCTTGTACTTACTGGGCCATTTTGTGTACGTGTGTGTGGATGGTGTCAAAGGGAAAAGGAGTAAAAAAGGGCGGGAATGGCTCGCCTAAATACTCCCGAGGTTTGAAAATTCAGGTGTAACCACGCATAATAAACCCGGAAATGAGAGCCGTGGGGGGGGGGGGGATCGATGCAGGACCCCACGCCAGTGTGTGTCATCGCTTACGTCAGCAGACCAAAACTACCCGTTACGTTAGCCGCTGGCGAGCAGGTTGCCGTTTGCAGTGGAAAGAGATAAGAGTCAGAGAATTGGGTGCAGGAAGCAGTTTAGCAGCAACCTCGAAGGACTAATGGTGGTTGTCTCAGGTTAGTAAAAGTTCCAGCGGAGGAGAGGCGCATCTGTTGAATTTCATGAGAAACGAATCCAAGATTCTCTGTACGTGGACATGGCCCGAGAGGCTTGCTGCCCTCTAAAGGACCAAGACCCTTATCCTTTGTTTAAACACTATTTGGATAAAATACACTATATATGCGTATTTAGCTCTAGTTCCATTACTTTTACCAGACATACTAAACTGGTCAGTTTTCAGGAATTTCCCCGAAGCTCGTGGCCAAGGTTCAAGCACTAGTATTTTCTTTGAAACAGATTTCGAATCGGGGATGGTATTATAAACATTCATCCAGTTAGAACTCAAAAACCTGCAAGGCGTGCCAATGAAACCGACCACGACGAGGATAAACCGTAACAAATATGACTCTCGAATCACGGACGAGGTCAAGGTTACATCTATACACACTCCGGGGAGAGGTCACCAATTTTTCTGTAAAACAGAATATGTTTCATAAACGAGATGCTAACCTGGTGTGATGCAGTTTTTATCTACAGCTGGGAAACGAGCCTACGTAACAGCAGTGTAGAACATCTAAAGTTGTAGCTCTTATCGAGGAGGCATATGGATCCGAGGATTCACAGGTTTAAGGGGATACACAATACGACTGGGTATCTCAAGCCTATTGAAAAGCTTGCAGTACGGAATGACTTGAACCATATCTTGTGTAAACGTAAGGTAACTTGTGGTGGATTCTCGTTAGACGGCATGGACCAAAGATATCAGTCAAAAAGACATAAGTGTATGCCCATAAATCGTGTACAATTCATTGGCCCTGATACACAAGCGTGCATCTGGTTCAGAATCCAATGAAAATCACAGACGAATCATCGATTTAGACAGATTTTATTAGAGCCAAGATGGCAACCTTCTTCCGCCCCAGCTTTTCTTCCGATATGACAATGGTTATGCATGCCTGTATTACCCAGTCTGACTCGTCTCACCGCGCTTAGCACCACTGCCGAAAGCGGCAATGTGTCCTTTTCCGTGCGCGAAAATTTTTCACACCGCGGCTAATCTTTCGCCGGCGCCTCATTTCCGCACTTGACGTGCCCACATCTGCGGCGATTAGAAAGTGCGGGTAAAAGCAATACTGCACAGGGTGGATCTCTACCAGACAAACTAGCACACACATAGACCGTGGTGTCGAAGGGGCGCTGTAAATGATTAATTAGACCGCTTAAGCAACGATCAGCACTTGTCCTGATTTTGAAGAGTCAACGTACGTGTTGTGGCTCGTCCCTTACCCGATTAGGAAACTGGTGGCCATAAGCGCGATGATCAATCGGAGCGCCGCACGTGATCGTGCATCAACGCTTTGACTCATATCTGAAAATTTCTCCCTATAAATAGTCCTTCTCACTCCCCCCTCCTTTTCCTCCTCTTCTCTCCACATACAATTTCACACACACACACATATGTTGAAACACTTGTTGCCTCAGACCGCGATGTCGGCCAAGAGACTCCACATGGTTTCGCTCAGAACGTTGGCAACCGCTGACGCTCCCGCTGCCTACGCCGGTGCCGGGATTCTCCAGAAAATAGCAGGCTACAAGCCGGAACTTGTTGACGTTTCCAAGGTACTTGTCATCGGTTCCGGTGGCTTGTCCATTGGGCAGGCCGGTGAGTTCGATTACTCGGGCTCGCAGGCCATCAAGGCTTTGAGGGAAGCCAACAAGAAGTCCATCTTGATTAACCCAAACATTGCAACCAACCAGACCTCGCACGCGCTTGCGGACGAAATTTACTATCTCCCTGTAACAGCGGAATACATCACCTACATCATTGAGCGCGAGAGGCCAGACGGGATCTTGCTCACCTTTGGGGGCCAGACCGGGTTGAACGTGGGTGTGCAGTTGGAGAAAATGGGAGTGTTTGAAAGGTTCGGTGTAAAAGTCTTGGGGACGCCAATCAAAACTCTTGAAACTTCCGAGGATCGTGACTTGTTCGCCAAGGCGTTGAACGAGATTAACATTCCGATCGCCGAGTCCATTGCTGTTGACACCGTTGATGACGCCTTGAAGGCGGCGGAAACGGTTGGGTATCCGGTCATTGTTCGTTCTGCATACTCCCTCGGGGGGCTTGGGTCCGGTTTTGCCGAAAATGCTGAAGAGTTGAAAAACTTATCCTCGCAGTCGCTTTCACTTGCGCCGCAGATTTTGGTTGAAAAGTCCTTGAAGGGCTGGAAGGAGGTTGAGTACGAGGTTGTCCGCGACCGCGTGGGCAACTGTATTACTGTTTGTAACATGGAGAACTTTGATCCGCTTGGTGTGCACACCGGTGACTCTATCGTGGTAGCGCCTTCCCAGACGCTTTCGGACGAGGAGTACCACATGCTCCGTTCCGCCGCTATCAAGATTATCCGCCACTTGGGTGTCGTTGGTGAATGTAACGTTCAGTACGCTTTACAACCAGATGGCTTGGATTACCGTGTGATCGAAGTCAACGCCCGTCTTTCCCGTTCCTCTGCCCTTGCTTCCAAGGCTACCGGGTACCCGCTTGCCTACACCGCTGCGAAGATTGCGCTCGGTCATACCTTGCCTGAGTTGCCAAACCCTGTAACCAAGACCACTAGCGCCAACTTCGAACCATCCTTGGACTACATGGTCACCAAGATCCCAAGATGGGATTTGTCCAAGTTCCAGCACGTGAAGCGCGATATCGGCTCCTCCATGAAGTCGGTTGGTGAGGTCATGGCTATTGGCCGCACCTTCGAGGAGTCCTTCCAGAAGGCCATTAGACAGGTTGACCCAAGCTACGTCGGTTTCCAAGGCGACACCTTTGAAAACTTGGACGATGTTTTAGCCAACCCAACCGACAGAAGATGGTTGGCGGTCGGTCAGGCGTTGTTGCACGAAAACTATTCGGTTGAGAAAGTCCACCAGATCTCCAAGATCGACAAGTGGTTTCTCTACAAGTTGATGAACATCGTTGAGATGCAGAGAGAGCTTGAAGCTTTCGCTTCCTTGAACGCCCTTACCCAGGATGCCATTTCCCGCGCCAAGAAGTTGGGGTTCTCCGATATCCAGATCGCTAACGCGGTCAAGTCGACCGAATTGGAGGTTCGTGCCTTGAGAAAGTCTTTTGGCATTGTCCCAGTGGTCAAGAAGATTGACACCTTGGCTGCTGAGTTCCCAGCCAACACCAACTACCTCTACACCACCTACAACGGGACATCTTCCGACGTCGGGTTCAACGAAAACGGTACTATGGTGCTCGGTTCGGGTGTCTACCGTATCGGATCCTCCGTCGAGTTCGATTGGTGTGCCGTTTCCACCGCTCGTGCGCTCCGTGCCGCCGGTAAGAAGACGATCATGATCAACTACAACCCAGAAACCGTGTCTACCGACTTTGACGAAGTTGACAGATTGTACTTTGAAGAGCTTTCCTTCGAAAGAGTTATGGATATCTATGAGTTAGAACATGCTGCTGGGGTTGTTGTCTCTGTTGGTGGTCAATTGCCACAGAACATTGCTCTTCCGTTGCAGAATCAAGGCGCCGTGGTGCTCGGGACTAATCCAGAAGACATCGACAAGGCCGAAGACAGACATAAGTTCTCTTCCATCTTGGATTCTCTTGACATTGATCAGCCAGCATGGAAGGAGTTAACCTCTGTGGATGAAGCCAGAAAGTTTGCCGAGCTGGTGGGCTTCCCGGTCTTGGTCAGACCGTCTTACGTTTTGTCTGGTGCCGCCATGTCTGTAATCAACAACGAGGGGGAATTGGAATCAAAGTTGTCCAATGCCGCTAAGGTTTCTGCCGATCACCCGGTGGTCATTTCCAAGTTCATCCAGGGGGCCCAGGAGATTGATATCGACGGGGTGGCTGCCAAGGGTACCGTGTTGGTCCATGCTGTGTCTGAGCATGTTGAGAACGCTGGTATCCACTCTGGTGATGCTACCTTGGTGTTGCCTCCACAAAACTTGTCCCCAGAGCTCTTGCAGAGATTGAAGACCATCGCTGATAAGGTTGCTTCTGCGTGGAAGATTACCGGGCCGTTCAACATGCAGATCATCAAGAACAACCATATTGCCCAGGAGGACGGGTCTGTTAAGACTGTGGGTGATTCCGAGTGTCAGTTGAAGGTTATCGAGTGTAACATCCGTGCCTCGCGCTCCTTTCCATTTGTGTCCAAGGTTTTGGGGATCAACTTCATCGACGTTGCTGTGAAGGCGTTGTTAGACACGGATGTGCCTAAGCCGGTGGATTTGATGTCTGACAGAACCTACAATTACGTGGCCACCAAGGTGCCACAGTTTTCCTTCACCAGATTGGCTGGTGCCGATCCGTTCTTGGGGGTTGAAATGGCCTCCACTGGTGAAGTGGCCTGTTTTGGCAAAGACATGATCGAGGCCTACTGGACCTCCATCCAGTCCACCATGAACTTCCACGTACCAATGCCTGGCTGCGGTGTGTTGTTTGGAGGTGATTTAACCAATGATAATCTCGGAAACGTTGCCAAGACCATCTCTGGCTTGGGCTACAACTTCTACACCGCTAACGAGGGAGTCAAGCAGTACTTGGCAAGCTACACCGACCAACCAGTTGCGATCATCGACTTCCCTACCACCGACAAACGTGCCTTGAGAGAAATTTTCCAGGCGAACGATGTCAAGTGTGTGTTCAACTTGGCCGCTGCCAGAGCCGAGAGTTTGCTCGACCAGGACTACGTCATGAGACGTAACGCCATTGACTTTGCTATTCCGTTGTTCAACGAGCCAAACACCTCCTTGTTATTCGCTAAGGCGTTGCAGCAGAACATCCATACCAAGACTTTTGATTATGAAAACTTCGATAACATCCAGGTCCCAGTGGAAGTCAAGAGATGGAGTGAGTTTATCGGCGGCAAGCCGGTGTAAGCTCCACACATTATCCATGTATTATAGTTTAATTAAAGAAAAAAATAAAAAAGAGCTGTAAGACCAAAGGTATGGGTAACGTTTACGTAGATTTTCCAATACACTGGAGTTGGCGAGGCAATAGTTTGGAAGTCTTATACTTCTAGACAGACATGGTCGGAACTAGGATCCCGAACGGAATCGACTATGTGACTCCGATACATTATCAAAATATAGATAATCACACCAATTGGAGAAGCTTATAAATCTGCTTTGATGCGTCATAGAGTGGTTATTCGGAATTCGCAGGAATAGATGATTTAACCATCCCCGGAAGGTTCGAAATACCCACCTAGACATACATAATATATGCACTATTACCGAACAGTTGAGGGGGAGAATTTTAAAATTCAATAATCTACCCATATGCAATATAATTAACCGCAGCCGCAACAAAGATTCACTATCAATCAGGTTGAATTAGAATAGGGTATTGATACCATTGGTATTGCAGGAACATGATTCTGGGTGACACATCGTACCGACAATAGACCTTCTACAAATAACAGATACAATACCGTAAAATTACTAGTAAATATAAGACAAAAAAGACTGAAGCCAACACAAAGTAATTTAATCCGGAATAACCCTTTGATTCCTAGCCTAGTAAAAATCCAGACCTTCAACTCGTAACCTGGAAACACACCAATTTCCGGAAATCACATAGACGTGACAACTCTGGTCCCCTGGAACCAAATCCGGGCGGCTGAACCAGATCCAATCAAGGTTTTGCAGCTGGGCCTGTCCTCAGGGTTCCCATCCCCGCCTTGCCTATCTTCACCAAACACACCGCAGCCCTTATCTCCAATCTCCTTTCGGTATAACTCGTACTTTTCCGGAATGCGGTGCGGTTCGAAGGTCATAAAGTACAAGCCGTCTTTATCATCGTACATGTACTTATGGAAAAGCACTAAATGGCGGTGGATCTGGTACTTGATTCGCTCGGAGTGGGTGGCATCCTCGCCAAACACAAGCACATAATCCGCAAGACCCTCAAACAAGAGCTGGATGAAGTATGACGGGTCTCGCCAGTAGCGCTTTTCGTGGTCGCCGTAGTCTCTGTCAAACAAAGTGGTGTTGGTATCGATAGCAGCGCCAACCAATTCGTCGCAGATCTGCTTCCAGGTCTCGTCTTTGGTGAAGGAGTACAACAACGCGGCCGCAGAGATGGTTGTTCCGGTGTTATAAGACCACTTGGTATCGTTGACACTGGTGGAACCCCTGTCACAACCATCCTTGATCAACTTATCACCCTTGTCCTGTAAAAAGTCAATCTGCCACCTGATACAGCGTGCAGCAAACTCGACATAGTAAGAGCTCTCGGAGGGGATGCACTTTGCTAACGCCAACGCCGCCTTAGCACATTCTGCTGTAGTGCAGGCATTCACATACAACCTCTCAATGTGCCACAACATTCCGCCTTTCAAAACATCATCGTCCTGATTCCATCCACCCATGAGAAAGCGCACAAGCTCTCTTCCTTCGTCTAGGTACGGCTTGTACCCCGTGGCCTCATACGCCGTAATCAACGCCTGCGCCACCTGTGCATCGTCGTCGTAGTAGATGTCTTTGTTGCCACCAAAATTTTCGGCCGCACAGAAGCCCTTGTACTGTGGGGATTTATAGCGCATCATGGCATCCACCGCCGGCTTCACCAACGGCCCAAGCTCTTGGGGGTACAACCGCGCACCGTCCACAATGGCCTGCACCCCCACCGACATTGACCACACGTTGAATTTGCCTTCCTGACCGTAAACGCCGCTACACGGAACCGGGGAGATAAACGTGCCCTTGGATGAGTTCCAGAACTTCAACCACATGTTGCGCACCACGCTGTAGCCTTCCATTGCGGGATTGCTAACGTCCATAGTATTGAATGATTAGAGAGAAAGGGATGGTTAAGGAGTTGGCTGAATATGGTTCACTCAGGCATATCTGGGGTTCTAGGAAGAAAAGTGATGAAGATTCAGAGGGATCGGTTTGAAGGGGCTCATGACGTTGCTTCCGTCATCAGTGCGGCAGAATCCAAAGTTTAAGTTGCTGCTGCGTCCCACACAGACCGATGTGACGTCATCGACCGAAAACCGTCCAAGAGTTAAGGAGGCTTGAATAAGTTAAATGTAGAATTATAAAAATAGACACTTAGTGCATATTTCGAGGGAAAAAAGAATGGAGGAAACAGAAAAAAAAGATAGAGCAGAGACGAGGGGTTTTCCCCTGGGGTTTACGATATGGTTTATGGAGTTGTTTGGGGTTGGAGTTTTCACTGGTGTGAGATTTTCTCGAATATTTGACTTAAAGTCATACTTGGACTGATTGCGACTCTGGTATGATCCCACGTCATGAAAAGTATGCACCAAAATTATCACAAAAAATCTGAAGGAAAATCAGAGTGCTGCCGACCAGAGTGGGTAAGTGTAGATGGGCTTGAACACTAGGCTAAGTTTAAACAGACAATTCTATTTTTCAATTTTCTCTTAACCTAGAAACCCCACGGCTTGTTTCCCTGTTGCGTGCCCATACCATTTGCCTTCCACGACTCATCGCTATGTTTTTGTTTATGTTTGAGCTTTTAAAATCAAAGCAAGATTATCCATGTCCCCCACACCCCCTTTCATCCACAATGACAACACATAACAGCCAACTAAAGATTGCGGCAAAACTCGAGACATTTGAGCTGATACAGCAGGCTATTGCCCAAATTTTCCAGGACGCCCAGATGACAGTGTCGGGCCACCGAAAGCAAGTGATTTTGTTGAAGCGCATTCATTCGCGTGCGGTAGAGCTTGAGTTCGAGGATGAATTCAACATGTTCTTCACTAAATTACTCAACAAGGTGCTCCCGATCAAACGAGGGGAGCGGGTGGCGGAGAACATTGCCAAGTTCTGCCTGTCGTACGTGGCGTCGATTCAGCCAGGCACAGAGGAAAAGCCAGGGACCGCTGAAAAGCTAGACGAAGATGACCACGTATCACGTTTCACAAGTTACATCCTCAAACACTTGTTGCGGGGTTTGGAGGCTAAACAGAAGAACGTGCGATACCGTGCGATCCAGTTCATCACTGTGATCATGTCTGGGGTGAGCGAAATGGACGAAGAATTGTACCAAGTTTTAGTCTACTCACTTAACAACCGCTTATACGATAAAGAGTCGTTGGTCCGAGTGATGGCGGTGCGGTCAATTTCGCGTCTCCAGGGCCACGAATGCGATGATATCAACTCTGATAGGATCGACGAGGCGGTGGAGAAGTTGTTGAATGCGATCCAGAACGATTCATCACCGGAAGTCAGAAAGAATGCGCTCATAAACTTGGTGATCAACCAGGTCACGAAGGATTACATCTTGGAAAGGGCCCGGGATGAGAATTCAGTCATTAGACGAAACGTCTTCTCCAACGTGGTCAAGAAGTTTGGTGATTTCCGCACTATTGACTTTAAAACCAGGGAGAAGTTGTTGTCCTGGGGGTTGAAAGACCGCGATGACTCGGTGCAAAAGGCCGCCGTTAAGATGCTTGCTAACGAATGGTTTGAGACCGTCAATGGCGACTTACTAGAGTTTATTGAACGACTCCATGTGGTGGACTCTGAGATTGCAGATACGGCGTTGCGGCTCTTTTTCACCGCCAGGCCTGACAAGGTGGCGAAGATTCTGATTACCGAGGAGTGGAAGCAGTTGACGGTGGAAACGGCCTTCATGGCGCGGGTCTTCTTGAACCACTGCAACGAGAATAACATGTACGACACGGTGGATAAAAACTTCCCCGAGGCCACAGAGTTGTCGAGCTACTTACAAAAGTACCTCCAGCTTCGTAAGAAGATGGCCGAAGAAACTGATGAGCAAGAAGCCACGGCGTTGACCGAGGACCAACTAGCCCTAGACTTTGTCATCCAGCAGTTTCTTCTCATCGCCAGAGATTACGACTTTTCCGACGACTTCGGCAGACGGTCCATGCTTCAGGTGCTTAGATCGTCCCTCACCAACGACAAGCTTCCAGACAAGTTGACCGAGATCTCGCTCCAGGTGTTGAATAAAATTTCCATCAACGAGCGCGACTTCTGCTCCATGGTGGTGGAAATCATCACCGACATCCGTGACTCCACCGCCGACGACGAGGAATTCCACTCTGCGCTTGAGAACGACGATGACGGGGTCTCCTCGGAGAAGAAAGAGAAAGAGATCCCCGAAGACGTCTGGCTCCAGTGTTTAAGCATTGCTCAGCACTTGCTCGAACTAACCGAAGAGCCATTGCAAGACAACATCTCGTTGAACTCCATCTTGGAAACGTTGATCAATCCGGCCATTGTCACACGTAAGACGAATCTCCGCGCCGCCGGTATTCGCTGCCTTGGTCTTTGCTGCCTTTTGGACAAAAGCTTGGCCATTGAGAATCTCTTCTTGTTTGGGTTGTGTGCTGCCAGAGGTGACGAGACGTTGCGTGTGACGTCTATCAAGACGATCATTGATGTGCTCTGTATCCATGGCACGCTGGTGCTTGACAACGACAGAGAAGGCTATGTGGATCACTTGTCGCTTGCCAAGCTCTACTACAAGACCTTGCGAGCCGTGGACTATCCCCAAGCGCAGTACGTCACCGCCGAAGGCTTGATGAAATTGTACTTTGCGGACATTATGACGGACGACGATTTGTTTGAAACGCTCATTTTGACATACCACAACCCCCAGAATAGTGGTAATGAACCCTTGAAGCAAGCGTTGAACTTCTGTCTCCCGGTTTACGCCTACTCACACCCTGACCACCAGGAAAGACTTGCACGAGTCTCTGGGGATGCCTTCAACAGACTAGCCAAGGAGTATGCCGGCTTGAATGGCGACGAGCAGCGAAAGATGGCTAATCCAAACAAAATCTTGCAGTTGATCATTGACTGGACTAATCCCGAAAAGGTGGTCAACCGCTCGAGTGACCAGGCGCAAAAGTCTCTGTCGCACGTGATTTTGGCGTTGACACTTTTGGAGGTGGTTGAGGTCTCTGAGACGGCGGTTATCCGAAAGTTGATCTTCACCAACCTTCCAAGGCTTTCGATTACGTCTCAGATTCCCGTAAAGTTGTTGAAGCCGCTTTCGAAAAAGTTGGAGGCCTTTGAGCAGGCGTTGGAAGATGAGCATTTTGAGCTTGACAAGACCTCCAGCACCGCCTTTGCCAAGTACAAAGGCTGGTTTGACGATTTGTTTGAGCAGGCAAAGACCTTGCAGGATACCAATGCCGATACCACGATTATCCATAACACCACCACGGCCAGCGACAGCGGTAATGAGCTCGACCCCGAGGAGGACATTCTCGAGGGTACCAGAGATGAGGATGCTGAAGAGGAGAGCGAGGAAGAAAGCGAGCAGGAAGCCACTGAGATTAGTTTGGAGAAGATTAGCGCGCCAAAGCACCGCCGAGCGCGGAACATCCGAAATATCAAGGACCCGTCGGTCCTTGACGGAGGGATTGACTCAGAGTCGGAGGCTGACTTGACAGACCTTCATCCGAGTATCAAATTCCGGGCCCCGTTACTTGCGCAGAAAGATGCCGAGGCGGCCAAGCTTGCCGAGATTGACAGACAGTTAAAGGAGTTGAACAGTGACAGCGAGGCGGAAATGCATTCCGATAGCGATGTGGAAATGGCCGAGAATTAGTAAGCGTCAATGATGGATTATAAATGGTATTGTATTAGAAGACAAATAGAGAAGCATATGCATATACCTTCATGTACGTAGATGCCTGATAAAGAGACTGTATGTAAGGCAATAGGAGTATGTTACTAGTACTATTAGCTTCTGTGGTTTAGACGTTTAGTTTATGGTAAAGAATGATAGGTTTGTAAGTATTTATTATGCAAGCATAATAGAAAATTCATCCGTATTGGATCTCTTAAAAGACTTCAGACTTGCTGCATTATTGGGTGTGGAGGGGTAAGTTAGCATGTGTACAGCTTCCAAAGTGGTTCTTTTCACGTTACCGTTCACCGCACGTGTAGCCACTACACCTATAAGAGGGAAATCATTAACCCCCCGGTCTAATACCCAGAATAATACCACAGCATACATCCAACGTGGTGTACCATTTGAATTTCTAAAATGATTCTGTAGACTGCCAAGCCGAGTACGCTTCAGACATCTAACAACTCCCATATGAAACCACAACCAGCAGAGTCCCAATACCATTAATCTTATCCTCTAGCCGACAACCAACCTGGTCACTTCTCGCATGTAGCCGTAAAGCGAAACGCCATCGGTCAACACCAGACCGTATATACCCCCTTCCCGGCCGGACGGATTCAACTTACACGTCAAAAAGCGTGCCTGGGACTTTCCCGCATCGGTCATCACGTAGCGCGGCAACGGAAACCGGTTCGCGAGTAACGCCGCGGCTTCCACCTTTGGCCCCTCGAACATGCGATGTACGTGGGAAAAATCCGCCATATCGAGCTCCGCGTCACGCCACTGGGCGGCAGTACTCCCGTACCAAATTACCACGTAGAAGAACGCATCGAGAAACAACACCTGGTCGGGTTGGAGCGACGTTTCGTCCAAAACCACCGGACTTGGCTCTGCGACTGCGCTGTATGCCACGAGTGATGGCTGCACCATGACACAGGCGTCGTAGGCATTGGCCCTGAGCAAAGTGTGATGGTAGAAGGCGGTTACGTCGGGCGATGAATTAAAAACCTGAAGGAATGGTGACCGTCTGAGGTGGTATACAAACTGCGGGAAGAGGGTGAAGGTAGGGCCTAGCGCAAAGGTTTCGGGGTGGCCGCGCGTGTACGTGCCAAATGTCTTGCACAACTTGATGGTTGTCGCATCGAGCCATTGAACGAGGCTGGCAAAGGTGTCGTAGAAGCTGCGCTCAAGCCTGTCAACTGCGAGGCGCGCAAGCAACACAATCGCAGCTTCCTGATCGAACCCGTGTACCAAGTCTACCATGTTTGAGGTTGGCCGTGTGAACGTTGTGACACGCACACGCATCTTCCCCAGGTGCATGTATGTGGTTTTGAACTGAAAATGGAGTTCGCGTGGAGCGGGTTTGTGGCCCGAGTCTACGTGAAAGAAGACCGCGTAGGTGTGTCGTGGCGAAATAGCGGCCATCTTCCAGCGTCTTGTGAGCCCCTTTCCAACCTGTTCGTCGTGGACACACGATCCGGGCTCTTTAAGGGACCGGCAGTGGCCGATGATCCCGGTAACTTTAAGTCCGGAAGAGGCAAATATCTCGAGCGTGGCGTCCAGATGAGTGGATATGACGTGTGAGACCCCAGGGATGGTTTCTTGGATAATATGGGAAATCCAGGCCAGAAACGATTGCCGGAAAAGTTCTGTCGTAAAAGAATCGTTAATAACCATTGCACCGCCTGTATCATTACACAAGCGACGCATTTCATATACCCCAACCTGGTCATAGCTGCCCGCGAAGATGCTATAAGAGATTGACGTTGAGCCTTCCAATAAAGATGCGTAGAAGTCGTATGCGGATTTATAGCGCTTGGCGTCGCTCTTTTCAATACTACTGTGCGAGCGAAGGGTAGAGGCTTTCGACGGGGGAACGACGGTTCCGGGACCATAGGTAGCGGGGCCTCCGCTGAAGAGCATCACATGGGCACAAAAGTCTCTGAATATACCGGAGACTAAGGCAGTGGTGACAGCTAAAGCAGTACCTGTGGCTCTTAACGGTCTCTCGCCGATTTTAGATTCCCATTTGGAGGTTTGAAGACGTTCCACCGCCGACAAAAAAGGCTCCGACGTTGAAGATAGGTATCTTTGGGAGTGATCCCACAGCCTGGTACGATTTCCCACAATTCCGAGAATCCTTTGAATGCGTCCAGTATCGTATCCTTTGATATCACCCGCTATGCAAACAGTAGCAGGGAAACCTCCTAATTGGTGGACCTGGACGACCTTGTCGTAAGTTACCAACCCTACCAAACTTCCCCGAGGAAGCAATTTTACGCTCTCAAGGACGGTTCTCTTTAATGCTGCCAATTCCAGCAGTTCTAGGGTGGTGTCGATGACGTAAAGGTATGCGGGTGGACACGATGGGGGTCTGTCCAATACGTATTCCACGGTCGAAGATCCGGGCTGGACTTCGGGGGGAACTGCACCGACATCCAATCTGCTGGTGTGCGATAGGGGAAAGGTGTTTTCGAGACAGCACAAGCAGCAGCGCCACAGCCGTCTGACCAGATCAATCGCACACATAGGGTTGAGCGTGGCATTACAACCGGTGCAGAGCACGAGAGGTGTATGTAGACGTGGAATGTCAGGGTTATGTAGCGGGGTAAACAAGCAGCCAATAGGCATTGCGAGATTAGAGAGCTCTGACCTTGTCACCGGGAGCGAGTTCCAGTTGAAGCGGACGCCATCGGAGTCCAAGTCGGGCGGAGTGTTCATTGGATGTGGTGGGCGTATGTTGGACAAGCTATGCGGAATCCGTGAAACAGCGCTAAAATATAGCTGTCGGGGGATTGTACCTTGGTAATTACCGAGTATGACTAGCTAGTTGAATACAAGCATATGTGTAAAAGAGAACCTCCTCTAGGTTTTCTCCATGTTTGATCTCTGAACGGAAATTACACTTTTATGCAGGCCGTACCTTATCTCTGACCTAACCCCGGAGAAGGCCGTAATCGGAGGTCCGGATGTGAATGGTAGCATGCCTTTGGTAGCCATGAGCGCGTTGGGTACAATACAATGAATAAAGAGGGATTATTTTAAATAGAGTCCGTTAAAAAGGTACTGTTACTCTTAGGCGTCGAATGGGAATTACAATCACCCAGCAACTCTAAAACTGTTCCTTTCTTAATGAAGTTGAGGATACAATGGATTAGCGATACAGCTATAAGACATAAAAATTACCCCGGTCATGCTTGGGTTTCTTCGAATAAAAGGTGCGCAGGTACTCAAGGGCCATATACCGGCTATAGTGGTATGATCCCCGGAGGTACAATAGCTACGGTCTGTGTTTAACTTTTACATTTACACACCGTGGCGTCGCCAATTCTAATATTAATGGTTATGTAAATTCGTAGGTGGTGAAGGGTGACAGCCAAGCAGCGTGATAACAGGGGCTAAGCCATCATAGTTGGTCTTATTAACGCCTTTAGCTGAATTACAGACCAAAAGGTTGTCGCCATTTCCAAAGAGTATGACGCATGCCGCCCGGCCTGTAAAGCTGCTAAAATGTGACAAAGGCTTGATAGAAACCAGAAAAAAAGTCCGACGCGCGCCTGGCAAAGGTCTGATAGAATTTTGGCAATGGTCTTTGACGGCACTTGTTAGCCAGTTCGCGGTAACGTTTAACGTTGCCACCTTCATTCCTGACAGCAACTTTTCGTCTTCGACTTATAGTTCTTTATAACATCCCTTCAACCTCACCACGAACAACTCCAGGTCCTTGACATCCACTACGGCACTTCTCAGCCCCACGGATCGCTCCAACTCAGCAAGACTCAGCCACCCGAAGTGATATTGTTTCACCACGGTCAACACATACGCGAGGGCCAACTTGTAATCATTAACCACGACGAGAATCTCCAAGAACCGCTTGACCGCATCCCCATCGGTGAGTGACCACAAGACCCAGAGCGTCTTAGAGTTCATACCCGCTAACTCCTGGGGAAACCCCGCGAGCAGCCTCTTGAAATACGTATTACCCAAACCTTTTGTGAGCTTCTTCACAAACTTTTCGTTCACCACAAGGAGTTTCATCAACTGGGTCATTTCGAACACCTCCTTGAGCGTTCTGTCGGGAAAGAACACGAGCAAGCTGCCAATGAGAAGCTCATCGCCGTACAGCAACCCGGAGCGTGAGACCAGGAGTAAGAGCACAAGGCGCTTGAAACTTGCCAGAAACAGCTCACCAACACCTCTGAACATCGGAAGCTGCGTCAAACGATGGACACATCGTGTCATCTCTTCCTGCTTGTGAGCCATGTCAAGCGTATCGAGGGTGCGGGACAAGACCTCAAACTTATCTAAAACCTCGTCCTGCTTGGATCCCGTCTTGTGCAAGTGGTACTGGAGGTTCTTGGCCCAGAGCGAGTGTCTGAGGCGCGCAGGCACAGGGGTTTGCCACACCAACAGCTTCACCTCCAGCCGGCTGGCCTTCTTGAAGTTGCTGGAGAGCGAGAACTTGAACCACTTTTGTTCGTTGTGCTCGTGCTGCTGACGGAGCTTCGACTGCCGTTCCAGCTCTTGGACTTCTTTCTGGGCTCTCTGCCCTGCGAGACGGGCTATTTCTTGCTCGTGTTTACGCAACTCCAATGGGTTTTTTGGAGGGAGCCAGATGTCCCGTGTCCCATGGGCGGTCTCGGAGGCTTCAGGTACGTTTCGAACGCTGGGGTTGGATCTAGAGCGTTTTTGGAGCTCTTCCAGCTGCTTCGCGGAGTAGTAGTCGGAGATTCCGCGGGAAATCGACAGCATTGGATAGCTTCCTCTAATATCTGGCATTGACTTGACCTGCTGCGGGTTGTACAAGTGTTCCAACTGGCCTGGTAACGGCGTTGGCTGCAATGAAACCGCGCTCTTAGAATGTGTCCGGGGGAAGTATCCACCAGCCATGGGAACATTCCACACTACATCGCCGGGAATATCATCATCGTCAAGGTCAATGTCATCTTTCAATGCCTGGTCGAGGTCCTGTTGGCTCTGCTTGCGGTTCATGCGGTTCAAACGATATTTCTGGTGTGGTTGGAGCTTTAGCGTGATTTCCGACGAATTGGACGCCTTCCGGGTAAGGGATGACGTTGAATCCAGCGGTGCGAAGGGTCCGTTGGTTCTAGCCTGTCCGCTGAAGCTTCTAGATTGTCCGCTGAAGCTGCGGCTCGGACCGTTGAACGGTATACTCTCGTTGTTCCTGGTTCTGAGGGTTGCCTCGCCGGGGATCGTTCTTGCTTCTGGCCTTTTGCGTCTCTGTGATTGGGAGTGATCCTTGGCGAGCGTTTCAGGGAGAAACTCAGAGTCGGATGTCGAGGTCAAGCTGGAGAGCCGGGAGTGGAGAAAATCCGGGTCAAGGTCCGACGCAAGGGAGTCGCCTGAGACTGGTCTCATTAAGTCAACCGGTCGTGTTTCGAGCATCTGTGTCAACACCGACTGGCTGGGACGCTTAACCAAGGATACGCGGCTACCCACTCGGGATCCTAGCGAGGAGGAGGATGGGTTCTGATGGTGGATGAGCTGGCTCTTCGAGCACACGCGCAGCGGTGGAAGTTTAAAGGAGTCGGTGATGCAGATGTCGACCATTTCCTCCAGAACTGTATTGAGCGACTGGTCGAAGCTGAGAGACATGTCGAAAGACGTGTTTTCGGTGTAGACTTTGGGCATTGTAATGAGCTTTGTTAGAGCAAAAGTGAGCGAAGCAAGGGGTAGTATTCCAAGGCTACGACGGTTTGTGTAGATCCAAAGTGTCGTCAAATCTCCCTGAGGTCTAAACGACTTGCGATCGATTACCGAGGTGTAAGGAACTCCAAGTGATAAAGGATAGATGGAAGCAGCCTATGCAGATTCCAAGTGAATTTTAGGGAAGTAACGTCTGAGGTGCACGTCGTAAGCGAATGTGAGGAGCCGGATAAGCAAGAATATGTAGCCTGTTTGTTTGCAGAGCCAGACTCTGGTATTCAGGATGACACGTGAGGGGTGGATATCCTTGGATAAGGTTGTAATTGTGAGAGCAAAACGGAGTATAAGCGAAGGAGATCCGGCAACCTCGGAGTAGATAGCGAGCGTGGAGGGTAAATTATTAAAAAAAAGATTACTACCCTTCTGATAGACAGGTTTGAATAGAAATGTGGTGGCTGCAAATCGCCAAATCGTGAGACGCACAATGTTTTTCTTTTTTTTCTTTTAGCGGCAGGGTATCGTGAAGACGGAATAGGAGGGAAATTGAAGATTAATGGTTGGTGCACGTCTATTTGATCGGAGGCGGCCGTTGTTGGCCCATCAATCTAGGCGATCCTTTCTGGCGTTATTATTTATCCTATGATTTGATCACTGCCGCCGTGGCTACGTAACAGAAGGCTCTTATGGTTGTGTTTACCGCAAACTTCAGATACGCATTTGGATATAGCATGTATATTGCATTCAAAAGTAAATTTTGGTTGGGAAAATTCTTGGGATGTTTTCTGGGAATGTCGGGATTCGTAAACAATACTGGTTTAGGCCTTGCATGGAGCTATTGTTGTTATGTAAGGAGAGCCCCACATACATGCACCAAGAGAGTTGCGGAACGCGTTAGTAAGCGATGAAAAACGCGCCTGGCGCGGAATAAAGTACTAGTTGTATTGGTATCTTGATTCATTTGTTCTAAAATTGAATGATAAATCAATTTTACCTAAATGCACCTATGGTATACCTAATGAGTGGTAGATACTATTAGTTATATCCGTTGAAAAATATATTATATATGAAATGCATAATTAAAATTAACATTAAAACGATACAAAAAAAAATGAGCTAAAAAGATAGAGGAAACGCAAAGGAAAAAAAAATTATAAGGAAGAAATATAAGAAAGAAAAAAAATATGTAGGAAAGGAAAATAGATAAAAAGGTAAAACAGTGAAAAATATGTAAAAAAAATACTAAAGTATAAAAATAATTCTTCTCACAAAAACAGTGACAAAAAAAGCACTAATAAAAGAATTTTACGCAACTGCGCAACATTACATAATTGGCTTACTAGCTGGATAATCGATACTAGTCTGTCCGAAGTGTACTGAGTATTGCTTTCATAAACATGATTACTAATCACCACAGCCATCTTGAGAACACTGTGCTCCATCCTTGTTATCATTGCAGTACCCATCTATACCTCCATAGGTATTAAGATAGGTTTCACCGTGGACAACATTACCTCGGCCAAGCTGGTCATACCCTTCACCCTGACCGGGGTTGGGGTTGGCTGTCGCGGTAAAACACTTCCAAGCTCTATGTTGTCTAAAGAACGCACCAGAATCCCGCCATTCTTCAGTCATAGCCCTGTCTTGAACTAAGACCATATCTAAATCAACATTAACGTTATCCCAGTTCCAGGTCACGTATTGCACATCAAAATCCGTTCTCTTGACAAATTGCTTTGCGCCTTCTGAACCTGCGGGGATAGGAACAGATTGCACAATCAACGACGCTAACTCTTCGAGAGTTATATTCATATTAGCATGTGCAGCGGCATGATTACCGTGGATCGAAGACCACGTAATGGCGAATGGTGCAGTTGAGTTCTGAGACTGCTTTGATGATCTCGGTGTGTCCCGAATGATCTGAATGTTGCCCAAGCCTAATGTTGCCATTACGGATGTAAGTGCGGCTATGGTCAGACCACTCGTCGTTATGGTGAACTGTTCGAACATAAAATCAAGTTCACGTTTAGCTGTTGATAGCTTTGCACTAGCAGCAACTGACAAAGCAGTGCCCAAGCCGGCAACGAGAACTGTACCGATAGTAGTCGTTCAACATGGTGGCGTGAGAAGAGTAGCTGCACATAATTCTGTATAAAAGATCCAGCTATACCAGCCACCGCTATCAACGAACCACTCAACGTTCCCGCATCGAACCATGCCCACCAGTTCCTCTGTGAACTTTACTGCCATAAATACTCATGTTAGTGTGTGTTAACTGACGTTAATGCATGGCTAGTCTGTGTAGCGCTCTCCTGGATATCACGCTGTTTAGAATACATCCGGAATAATATTGGTAAGAACACGGCAAACACGAATAAAAAAGTGTAGAGTGTAAAAAATATTCTCCGAGACTGGCGCACTCCTTCAGCCTTTTTTCTCGCCAGTTCTAAGTCAGTATCTTGCAGAATGGGGTACATGTGGTTGAATGATTATTGGTATTTGAGGTTATTTTTTTCAAATTTTTTTGGAGTGAAAATTTTGTAGGTAGCGTCGTACGTTAGAGATATAATCAAGAGGAGGGCAAGGGGCCCTTTATAAGCCAAAAGGATAGACGTATGACGTCACTTTGGATAAAGGAAAGGAGCAGGCGAGCTGAATGACACTAGCGGAAGAACACTAATGACGCACAATGTATACATTGGTGTCTTTAACGTAATGCCTGTGCTAAAAGCTTAATGCCGAGCCCCTATTACATCACTATAACATTGTATCATCCACGATAGTCCACCATTACCAATAACACGTAATGAATGGTTACTTATCCTAGGTCATCCATTTCATGCCAAACAGGTAGATAAGTTCATTGGTGTTTGATTGTATCTCTTACTATCGAGTACCTTATTCTGTTACGTTCGACAGTGAAATATAGCATTACTACGACTATTATAATACCTATGACTAATAACTACAAGGAATAGTCAAGCCACTTGCATTTCAGGGATTGTGCCATTCCGTCTAGTAGCGCTTAGTTAACTTGGCAATAACGTGCACAGTAGCTCATGTTAATGTCCACGTGAAAATACTGCGGTATTTGCAGACTAAGTCCGCGGGATTAAAAAGCGTCTTTAGTGTAGCTTTAGTTTCTGATAGTTCAGTTGCATTTCCCTGTTCTGTCTAAGGGTCCTGACCGGTATCTGCGATACATCTAATAATTAATAGTAGGTTCTAATAGTCAGCTAGGAGAATTAATTTCACCCCTAAGATATATACAAAAGGGGAGACAAGGTCCTAATATACTAAGGGCTGAAAGCAGTATCGCTATTATCAGACGACAATATGTCGTGGAATTGACAGATTATCCAGGTTGTAAATCTACCGCTTCAAATTATGCAGTTAAAGGGAGTTGTGCGTAAAATTCCTCAGCTATAGTATAGAATGGTGCGGTCTCGAACGTAAATCTGGCGATCAAAAGTGGCGATTAAACGAGCTTAGTTCGATACTCCCTAACCCTTTTGTCACCTTCAGCTTTGACAACGGATGTTTCGGATTTGGGCCGTAAGTTTTTCCAATTTCATTATCGTTACACAGCCCTTGTTCCTATACTATCTGTAAAAATTCTAGATTAATATGAGCTAGAACTTATCATCCAGTTGAAAATCAGAGATATAATATCGATAACCTTTCATACTATATAAGGCAGCGAGCCACTCTTAAATAAATAAATCTAACTAAGCAACTAAGAAATTCACCTGATTACACACCTCTTAAGATAAGTGTGTTATATCTTCACCCAATAGGTAGGATATATACTTAATATAATGGCTGGTTATATAAAGTATATAGGATCAAAGGGAGAGTGGTCAACACCCTCATAGGGTAGTTATCCCTATAATGTGACAGCTACATACTTAACGTAGTATGTGTTGAGCAAATTGATGAAGCAAGTCAGCATAAAATTATCCATAACATCAGAAATATATCAAAGGTTCTATTTAAGCTGGCAGAAGTTGGCTGATATTTTCCACCTTTGGTCGGGCAATTTTCTATACAATCATCGATTTGAAAAACATTTCGGCATTATCTAATATACGATATATATGGGCTCTGACTCCTTTTTATCTATTATAACCTATTTATGAAAATTATTCTCTTTTGGCCAGCGAATAACATCTACTATCACTTACTAGATATACCCCAGAGCGGGTATGGCAATATTTACTTTCTCACATGCCATATAAAGGGTTTGGCATCGGCTAGGCTGCTGGCCATGAGGTTATAATCAGGCATTTTTTCCACAAGTAGACAAGGTCACTATGACCCACAAGAATGATGGTAATTATAAACTATGAAGATATCATAATTGAGAAACAAATTCCTCAGTTAATCCTATAAGACTGTAAAACCCATGTTTTCATTTGCTAGGCTCAACTATTGTGTTTCTATCTGTCTTATTCAGCACTTGTGTGACTGGATACAATCTGTAACCACTTCTGGAATCAGAAGATGCCAGGTTCGACACCCGGTGGAGATGCCTTTCGATCATCATATTTTGACAACCAAAATTTAGGTATCATATCGTTGGCCAAGTTATTATTAATACAACTTGCGTTGGAGCCCTTTATATTCCGTTAACTATGGTATACAGGTAGCACTAAACGAGGGTTAGAGACTATAGAGCTGGAATCCGGGAGCCCCCGCAAATTCCATATGGGCCATAAAAGAGCTAGGCAGTCATTTCATAAGTAGACTATTGAAAAAATGACGGCAATTCCTAGACAAAAGCATATCGATGAAATGGTGCGTACTTCCACAGGGATTTTATCTTTCCGATGGGGAAACCAGAAGCACCATGGTTTTCGAACCCTAGTTCTCACGCTCTCTATTTTCAATCCATATAATGTATTAGATACTTAGTGTGGTATACATAGTAGGCACTACTAAATACCATTATATCAGATAAAGGAGGAGGAGTTTAGAACATCGCCTGATCAGAGCCAAGGGGATATCAGCCAACGATTACAGCCTGCTTAAATAGTACCTTTAATACGGTGTTGAACATTAATATATTCGTATCTAGGCCATTGTAATTAACATAGGTCACTAGTAGTCATAACGTTGCCCCAAAGGGCAGAAGAACTATCAGCTAGTGCCGATTTTGGTGGTGACACTCACCAATAAATGTATCAGTGATGCTGCACAATGAACTCATCACCGATTTCCCATAATAATTAAAAGTGGGAAGGCGTCCGAGTTTTAGATCTCTAGCACCAATAGAGAGCTACACCGCAGACACAGGCCAAGGCCGCGAACACCACGCCTGGAACCAAAGCCCCAGCCAAGGCAAACTTGTATATTTCCGTTAAATCAGTGCGCACCTTCTGCGACAACCCACCAGTCTTGAGATATCCGGTGTCCTTGAGTAACCGTTTCATCACCTTCTTGCCTCCGTGCACCCCTGTCAAATACGTCTCCAACCGCGGCACCACGAGGGCATTGTACACCGAAAGCGCAATCGCGACACCCACAACGCTTCCTACGGCTCTGAAGAGGTAGTTCATGCCGGTGGCGGGAGCCTGACCACGCTTGCCGACCTTAGCAATAACAAAGATCAACAACGCAAGGAGAAAAGAGCCAAACCCAAACCCACAGAGGATTAGGCCGAGCGCAAGGAAGGCTTTACCCGAAAGAGGCATCGCCCCATGGCCTGGGAAGTGCACTGGGAGGGAAAACTCCGTTATCACGAGTATCAGAGCGCCGATTATTTCTAGGAAAACGCTCCAGAGCGCGATACGCTTCGCTTGGAGCATTGTAGCGTGGTCTGCGTCTTCAGGGGAGGCGCCAGCGGAGGTGTTGAGGGCTTTACCCACTATGAGCGGCCCGATAGCAGTGGCCACCACCGCGAACGCAATTAGCCCCCCGGACTGAGTCTGGGTAAAGTCCTGGGTGACCTGGAGATACATCGGGACCATGAACAAGCCGCTATAGAGGGCCATGGTGCCAAAGCCCGCCATCAACGCTGTCAAACCGAGAGAGCCCTTGAACAAATGCGGAGGGATGATTGGTTCGGCCGCAGATCTTTCAATGTAGATAAACGCCGCAAGAGACACGAGCAGGAGAAGCGAAAGGACAATTACTGTAAATTGGGGAAGCTTGGAGCTGAGGAGAAATAACACACTAGTAATGGCGGTGACAAGGGAAAGGGCACCGCCAACGTCAATACGGCGGAGGTTTTCGCGGCTGAATTTGTCCTTAGTTCCAGCCTCGTGGTGAAGCTCGATATTCACATACAAGTAGCAGAGAATAAAACACACAATAACCAAAGGAACCTGGACTGCAAACATCCAGCGCCAGCCGATGGTTTGAACCAAGAGGCCGCCAAGAGGGCCTCCCAAGACTTGGCCGACACAGAATACAATACCGGAGTAGCCCTGGTACAAGCCACGTTCCTGGAGCGAAACCATATCGCTGACAATAATTGACAGGAGGGCGGGGAGGCCGCCCCCACCAACACCAGCGATACCGCGTGCGATTGCAAACTGCGGCACAGAGCGTGCGAAGCAGCAGAGAATGCAGCCGAGCCCGAACCAGAACTGCGCGAAGAGTAACGCCGGCTTGCGGCCGACAATGTCTGAAACCCGGCCATAGAGTGGTTGGAATGCGGTGTTAGTGAGGAGATACAGCGTCGCGACCCAGGAAACCATGTGTTCTTGTTCGAAGGAGGATGCTATGGAGGCCATGGTGTTGGCGACGATGGTACCGTCGAGCGCGCAGAGGAAGGTTCCGATCCAGAGCGCGGGAAGGATCCGCAGAAGATTGTACTGAGGACTCGAGGAAACCACGTCAGAGGTATCCTGAGAGTCTGAGGGCGTACGAACAGGCTGGTCCAACGAGGTGGGAAGGTCGGAGGACTCCGTGTACGAGGCGAGGTCTTTTAAAAGCGGAGTCTCAGACATGAATGGGGATATGCGACGGAAAGGTGAGGGTTATAAACGGATTGGTGTCTGAATGGTCAATGGATTGCAATGCTTGTGATGTGATTGATATGCGTGACCGTATAATACTAGACGGGGTTTCTAAGGTGGAATCGAGCTAATGTTACTGGATAAATATTTGAATAAGCAAAATGAGGGTTAAAAGGGCTTTTATGGTCTTTAGAAATATCGCCAGGTAACCTGTATCTCCTGTATAGTTCACATAACTCCGTAAAAGCCAGTGATAGGTGTGCGGGGAATACGAAAGTGCGAGCCGAGGCACGTTCTTGAAGGGGTTGGGGAAGTAGATCTTAAGAACATAACTTTGGAATTAGGTTCCGTTGAATTTTTCGTGATGTACCCAAAAACAAATAAGCTGCCTTATAGATACGGTCAATGTGGTATTACTCACGGGATTGAGGCACCTCCTTTTTCTGTTTAAGCATGGGTTAAAGTTGATCAACGTACTGAATACCACCGTGACCTTCGATGGCATGAATGAGTTTAGTGGCCCCTAGCCACTCTTGGTCGAGCCACAGCTATATTTCAACATAAAGCATTTGCCTCTCCTCTTTTTTAGCTATTACTTTATTAGTGTTCTCTGCCGTTTCACCTGCATCGTGCACTTTGTCGTATAAAACCATGATTCTAACACAATATGCCAGGATTCCAACCTCGGCCATTATAATCTAGGGCTGTCTTCAGTAATTCTATCCACATGAAGATACAACCCCAATAACCATAAAGGATAGAGATAACATTAAATCGAGAGTGTTCTAAAAAAGGGAAACCACTTATATAATCCTATATCTTATTTGTCTTTTTTTCTGCCTTGTTCACAAGGGAAATCCCCCAACACAACCAGTATTCCGAGAAATGTCCAATATTCTAGGCAAAACCATCGTGAAAACAAGAAAGGATAAGGAAGCTAAGAGAGGTAAGTTACTATGATGGGCCATATCTGCTATCTAAAGTATATCGGGCTTTGCGTTTTTTTGGAAAGTAGATACATCAAATGTAGATAAGGTCGATCGAGAAAGAGGAGTTGGCTAAACTGGTGTGAAAGGACCTGGTTGCTTAGTCAGCTGTCTAGCGTCTTTCCCGGGATAAGGTAATGTCCTTAATCATTTGGAAATTCCACATTTGGGTAGTTACTAAATAAGTAATTAAGCGCTCTATGATATAAAATTGTAATATAAAATATGACATAAAACGGTCCGTGATAGTTTAGTGGCTAGAATCCCCGCTTGTCGCGCGGGGGACCGGGGTTCAATTCCCCGTCGCGGAGCTTATTTTTCTACCCCTATGAGCCCGCAATTATATTTCTGGGCATTTCCATAGCTACAGCCTAAAATTAAACCCGTGGTGTTCCACTTTATTTTTCATTCGTTGTAAATAGCATCAGAAAATATGCAATGACTGGGACTTAAACCTAGAGAACCCCGCCCACCTTCTTCACAGCGCTCTCATAACTGTCAATAGCAACCAGTAAGCTCCGACTGATACTGCCCATGTAATCACGCGCATGTCTCTCGTGCACATTATCCACTGGTTTCTCCACAGCCTCGCCTTCCGATTTCTCAGTTTCTGGCTCGGGCTTCACCGGGTTTTGGGCTGCAACCAACTGGATACTGCTTTCTACTCGCTCCTGGCACTTTTTCAAACTGGCGTACAACTTTCTGACCATCGCTGGGTTCCCCGCCGCTGAAACCCCCTTCCGGTTCGTGAAATTCACCCAAAAGTGCTTGAGGAATTCCATCGAGGTGGCCTGTGTCAACCGCAACGTTTCCAAGTCCGCATCCGGGAGGGAAGAGTCAATATCGGTGGTGACGTTCACCACGGAGACACCGGAGAACAACGATTCCACGCTGGTCACGTTCCATGTCTGTTTGAGCTGCTTGGTGTTTGCTTTAATCATCTGGATGGTGTCCTTGAACGCCTCCTCCGCTGATCGCTTGCGCGACGGAGCAGAATAGAGCTCGGTCAAGTCGAGCTCTGTGGTGAAATAGTCCTTCATCTTCTCTTTAAACTCCGGAAGCCCAGCGTCTACTTTGTCCGCATCGGCTATTGTCACCTCCGTGTCGGTCTTGGACGAATTACTGTTGTGTTGGGAGTTGACGTGGAGCTCGATGTAGCTCATTGGCTGGGTTTCTTCTAAATCCTTAAATTCCAACTCCTCTTCCTTTTCTTTTTCGAGCTCCTCAAAGGTTTCACCGTGGGGAACACAGTTGGAGACGATCTTAGTCGACAACTTGTTCATGCTTCTTAAGATCAGCACAATTTCCGGGTTATTATCTCCTTTCATGGTGACGTCTGGCCCATTCCCCAACTTCTGAGAGTTATCATCCTTGTTCCCTTCCAAATCAAGGAACCGGGGAATATGCTCCTCGTCCTCCTCGTCCTCCTTCTCGAGATAGTCTAGATTGATTAAACAGTACTTGTCCAATATCAAGTCACCCTTGTCGTATACCCCAATTTTTTCACCCTTGAGCTTGCGGAATAACTTGGAACAGAAAAAGCGCGTCCAGAACTCACCTTCAGACAATTTGGGCACATTCTCGTCGTATGCTTTACGAACAACCGGGTATTGCTCGAAAATAGCCTGGATTTTATCAATCGAAATGGAAACATTAACTTGGTTATCGGATGTAGCGACGGTTTTGATGGTGGATAGCACGTTGTAGGGCCCTCTTCTCTGTGAGGATTCAAGAGCAAACGTTCTGAGAAGGTGAATTCTGGTTGACCAAAATTCGTCCGGATGCAATCCTCCCTTGATAACAGTCTCCTGAAAAGCTGTAAACAAGGCTGGCTGTGCCCGAAGTAATTTTTGCTGCAACGTGTGATTGCGCAACAATTTGGCTTCCGTGAGCGAGTCTGTACTGGAAAAAGTGCCCAATGATCCATTTGCAGGAGCGTCGTTAGCTTGTGTGGCATCGCCGGGTGCGGGCGAGAGACCCGGCTGGATAACTGTTTTCTGGCGGGAGATAATTTGCTGCAAGGCATCCCTGATATTGTTCATCGTGGGCCGGTGGTTGAAGGAGAAAACAGTCGTTACCAGTGTCTCTGGGTCCTCTGGGCCTTTGGAAACCACTTTCAACATCATCTTTTCCAGCGTAACAGGCGTCGCCTGTAAGTCTAAAAGGAGGTTAGTTTTTGTACTAGCAGTTGAAGGCCGAGAAATGAAAAATCTCACGGAGGTAGGCATGTGGACAAGTGGTTTGATGAAGGAAACACCTTTGAAGCCTACTATGGATATCTTGAAGGTGAGAGTTAAAGATGCTAATTACACCTGCGATCTCTGAGCACTCGTCGAAGCATATACCACATTGAACCTCACATCACACCAACTTCCATCAAATGCAGCTCAACAAAACACCATTTCCGTATTATCACCCCCTTTCCAAATCGGAACCAAATCCCCTTTTCTCAATCAATACTCACTTGTAAGAGTGCGCAAGGGCAACTCCACCACGGGCACTGGCACCGAACTGTCGATAGACTTCCAGACCAAGATCGGCGGCAGGAGCTCCTCTTGAATGGAGAGCATCCCTGCCCTTTTTTTGTACGCCGCAGCACCTGTTACAGACATGATGTGGTGAGTAAATAGGCTGTCTTCCCGGGGATTAATTTCAAGCTCTTTTTGATCCCTTGCAGGATAAGAGGCGTGTACACACCAGGAAAGTGAATCGATTTTTGTAACCTGCGCTTATGTAAAAAATCGAGCCATGCCAGTTGCTTTGTTTACGAGCCTCTTGTATACCATCCACCATGTTGAGACTTTGCAGAGCTGGTCTTCTTTCGTCACCTCTCCGTACCCCGGTTTCCCTTGTGAGAGCGTTCAGACTGTACTCCGAAATTGTGCCTCGGATAGTGGTTTCCAAGCCGGAGAGTCATCAGCCATTGTCGAAGGATGATCCGCGCAGAAAGCCAATGACTGTCAACTCCGAGCTCCCGGACCCGCTCAAAGAGAAGAATTACCAGCTTCTTAAGGCGTTAGCATTCTTTACGTCCATGACCGCCGTGTGTCTTGTCATCTTCAACTACGAAAAGACCACCTCGCCAATCATCAACTCCACTTTCCACTTCATGCGCCGCTCTACCATGGCGCGTACAATGTTGGGGAACAGTATATCGTTTGATGGGGCTGTGCCGTGGGTTCACGGAACCTTGAACCAGATGAAGGGGGACATAGACGTGTGGTTTAACGTCAAAGGTGATGTGGCCCAGGGCTGTGTCGTCTTGAGAGCCAGTCGAGACTCCAGAAACGATCAGTTCACCATCCATGAGTGGACCTTGACAGTTGGCGAGAAGGAGTTTGATTTGTTGAGGGACGAATCGGTCACTATCTTCTTGTAAGTGCCTTCCCCTGTACATAGTTTATACATATTCATACGGATCGGTGGGTGTAGACAGCGAAGCTGTTATAGGACTTGGATAGTAAGAGTAACGTATATGTGACTTGCCATAGGTATATCCAGGAAGTGGGCTGTTATACCACTCATATTCACATCCTTAGTAACGTCGATATGCCATGCCCAGATATAACCAGTACCCGTCATCACCCACAATCCCTTGCTACATGGTGTTTCATAAGGTTTGGGTCCCACACTTTAAATAAATAGCACAGCTTAGCTATAATACAAACAATTTATAGGTGCTTACAATAAACCGTTCTCCATGCCGATCTTAATGCAAGCATCTGGAAGAATGAGAGAGGAGAGGATGATTTTCAGCACATTGAAGGGAGAGGGAGATTACACAGGGTGCCTCTTGAGCACTGACAGCTCATCTTAAACCCTCCCCTTTTGGTTCACCCGATGCATATGGGAAGATACAAAATTTGGGGTACAGAAGTGTCTATCGCACATCTTTAACCGCCTTTAGAGGCAAGGACCAATAACGGAGCACATCAGCAACAATACCACCTCTAGCTATCATTCACCGAAACGTGTTGTCACCAAAAACCCTGTTAAACCGGTGCTTGTCTTGAACCAGAGCTACGGTCTACTAAGATTCAGAAATCGTTATAACCACCGAAATATATCAACCGTTGCCCTGGACGAAGCTGCTTATTCGGCACCTAGACCAAGCTTTTATATGGATGAGCAGCTTCCTCGGCCTCAAAGTCTAATTTTTGTGTCCCTTGTTCATTCATCGCTCCATTCAAATTAGTGATGGCACTGCTGACCCTCACCCGGGGTTCCAGCTCCTCCTGCACATGTTCAGTAATAAACGCAGCGACTGGTTTTGCTGGAGATGCCGTATCAGACTTGAACGGATCGGAGCCGACAGTGCTGTCGATCTGGGAAAATCCGGACACCATGGAGTCATTTGCAACGTGATGCGGTCTCCGGTCATCCGCGATGGATGACTGTGCAGAATGAAGCTCAAATTTTGTGGGTCTGACGACGCTCATGCTGAGATTGGTTAAGTTATGCGGCTGCGGCTTTGGACTGGACACTAGGTTTGCATTCGCAATGCTCAATCGGCTGCTGTTGCGCGTGGAGCTCAGGCCTAAGGGCGTGAAGCTGCCGTCACGGCTACCGCTGTGGTTGTGTGACAGCGTGGATGTGTAGTTTAACAAGTTTGGATTGGAGATCCGTTTCGCGTAGTCCAGCGGCTTTCCGTCGCTTCCTTCTGGCAACACAGGCACCATCGTGTCGTAATACGAAAGGGCTCCATCCGGTTCGGGATGAGCAAAAGAGTTGAGTCCACTGAAGGCTATCAGCGCGTGTGCAATGTGGCTTGGTTGCAATTTCGGCAACGAATCCCGAGACGCATCGCTTTCCTTCGGGTACACAAACTGGTTTTGTCTCTGTATATCACGGGTGGAGTCTGAGTCACCGGAAGAGCCTTCAGCAAGCGGCTTGACCTGGAAGTACTTGCTCTGGTTCGCTAGGTTGTCGAACGAAAGCTGATCATCCGCATCGATGTCTATCTCCTCGCGGGCCTCTTTCTTGAACCGGCTCAGCGTCTTCAGCCAAAGAACAAATATCACAACAATCGCGACGGCCGCGGGAATCGCCACAGAACAGCCAATAACAAGTGCGTCAGAGGGCATTGAGATAAGTGGGTAAGGTTGGAACAAGAGCTTGACTGAGATAAGGGTGTAGGCGTGAAATGCTTGGAAGTTCTTGTTTGGCCAAGAGATTCAGGGTTTTTTTTTCTGGGACCTTTTCTGTGCCGTAAGATGAGGTGACTATACAGTAGGGCTAGGATTTGGACAGGCTTAGGTCTATGTTTGGCTCACCGCAATACTGTAAATTGACACACAGCTTCCCGATAAAGTATGTTTCGAGATCTCGAAATGACTGCGCGGGGCTCTTAACATGCGAAAATATTTTTGGTTTTGAGTTTGCTCACTTTTGGGCCGATCGCGACGCACTCCTACTATATTTAGCACGGGGGAACGCTCAGTTGGCCAGATCGGGCACACCGCAGAATGAACAATAGTTGTGATAAAACGGCAAAAGACCCTGGATACTATCGGAATAAAATATACCTGATGTACTGAGGTAAAACGTTATTTAACATAATGGATTAAGGGCTCATTTTCTGCCTTTTTCAAGACTACAGGCACTGGACCTGTATTATGGGTTACAGTGCTGGATTTAGCCGGGCCTAGTACTTCCATGGCTACAGGATGCAATTTCAGGAGAGGGGGAAGGAACGCGGGATTTATCGTCATTCAAAAGAATCGCCGGGAAACGGATACCTCTAACTATAATTTGTAATAGAAGAACATTAGCAGTATATAGCTTCTCTGAAATTATTCAATATCTGACGGTGTCGTATTTTTATATCGCTAGAATACGCGAATGTTACATTTGAGTCATTTATTGATAGAGATGCAGCTTTGTAGCTTTTTTTGCTGCCCCCTTCCCCCCAGTCATGCACAAGCTGTCTAAACTAGGCTCGACTTCAAACATTTGTACAGATCTGGTCCTAAAACGGCAACTATGGTGTGGATTTCAGGTGTCTACCTAAGTTAGACCCCATAAGCTACCTAGTATTTGTTCACTTAAAATCAGTATTGATACCAATATTCCATGCTTAGGGTGTAAAAAGAGCTCGGGGGAAGATAAATTGATGCGGTACCCGTATAATATCCATCTCCTTCTCGCTGCAGGCTGGCCATAACAGTTCCGCCCAAACTCTAGGAACCACTGATTCTTTCCTATAGAGACCTCTTTCTATCGTTTTTTGTATTTCTGGGCCTTTGCAAACCACTTCGTCTCTGAGAACATGCGAATCGGCCCAAGAATGATATGCGTTTTTTTTTGTTTTTTTTTTGAGCCTCCGGAACGGGCCCTACTAGGATACAAGACTTTTCCGGATATTGACTAGGGTTCAAATTGAGCGTCATTGATTGCTCAGCCTCCATACGTGGCTGCCGGGGTGAATATACACATCTTTTAGACGATTTGGAGATGAGCCGGCTAATACCGTCATAAAATTGAAAAGTGGGCATATAGGATCCGGTTACTATACTTTTTATAGAATCTTCCGGTGAGGTTGAAGCAAATCAACATAGATCTACATAATTGCCAGATGATATACTTAAAGATGCATATACTAGATAATGGATACAGACACGTTTAAGTCTACGAACTCACGGAGCGGAACAGAAATTTCTCCATCGCCATTTGATACGGTCAATAGGTACTCTAACCATTACACCGATTTATACCCGAAGTCATTTCATGAGAAATTCCCAACACCCTAAACAGTAACACTAACTCGTATTCATCTCTACCAAAAATCAAAATAGAATGGTTTAGAAATATGCATAAAAGAGAAACTAGACACTGCAACATAACACCAATCAGAACAGCCATCACCCCTCGTCAACTTTCTCGTAAAACAACACATAGACGTCCGCGCTTTTCACAGACATGGCTCCGTTCCGAGCGTCCCCATGAATCACTCCAACCTTGACATTCTCGTCGTCGAAGTAACACCAGTATGGATTGTGCAAGTCATGACTGGACAGCTTGTTGATCAAAGACGTGTAATGTCCTGACTTCAAGCTCCCATAGTGATTTACCAACGCGTACAATTTGTAGGTTTCGATTCGCTGGGTGCTTCCGGCCCCCACCTTCATCTGCAATACAAGGGGGTAGCTCACAACGGTGTTCAATTTATCCACGTTGCTGCTCCCAGACTCAAATCGTGACAAGTGCACGACGAGATACCTTGGCAAAGAGAGGAAGGATAGCGATTTGACAGAGGTGATCTTATGGTGTTTGACCAGCTTCTTGCGGGCGAATCGGAACCCACTCGCACGCTTTGCCTTTGCTTCTTCGTTCGGGTCATGACATTTCGGACACGACCACGCGTTGTCGCCCTCCATAAGCTCATCCCGCGAGTACAAATCAAGACAGTCTTCTAACCTAACCTTCTTGGAGTGGTTCTTTGGGATAGGAAGCGTCAACGTATTGAATACGTTGAAAGTTGGAGATTCAAAGCCGCACTTGTTGCATTTCAACTTGCTTTCGATCTGGCCCTGGAACAATGCAGAGACGGGAGAAAGACCCAGGGACGTGAGCTCCGTCTGAAACTTGGCGTAAGCCTTCTGGGAAGTCTCTATGTTTGCGATGGCCTGGTCTGAAGAGGGCTTGACCCACACAGCTCTGTCTGGGGCTATTTGAGAGACAGCTTCGTTGTTCCCAGAGAGCTCACCGTGGAGTGTATCTAATAAGAACATGAGAAACTCCTGGGTGTCCTGCTGTTCATACGGAATATTAAAGTCTCTTCTGGCCGCGGCGCAGACCCTGAGGAACCTCGACGGTGCGATGGAGCAGCCCCCATGGTCGTGAATGCTGCGCATGAGGTTAAAGAATGCGTGGGAAAGCGTCTCCTTGTACTGCTGGCTCTTTAAGAACGACTTATACTGCGAGTCCTCAAAAAGAGACGAGAAGGCCGTCAGCGCAAACAAGCATTGAAGCATGCTGTTGATGTAACAAGTGCAACCATAGTTTCGGATTCCACAGATACACATGCTGACATAGGGGGTATTCACCTGTGGCGGGCGCTGTTGTGGCGGTGGCCCTGATACGGGACGCGTCTTCTGGGACGGGTGCATCTGGCGTTCCTGGGTACCCCGTTGGGGCACCAGCTGGTAAGGCTGTGGTGCAACTTGTGATGCATTTCGTTGATATGCCACCTGCACAGCCTGTGGTTCCGCTTGGATGTAGGTATGTACCCCTGGAACTAGGCCTGGAGACAGGAATAAGGGCATGTAAGGGGCCATGGGCGGCGGAGACTGCGAGGGAATATACGTGTTGTAGATTGGGTACGGAGGGGAGGGATAAGGAACTGGAGCGTATGGCGTGGGTAATGAAGCTCTATCATAAACCGGTTGGTACTGGACAGGATTCGCTCGAGGCATGGCTGGAGAATTCGAGGGTTGCGTCTGTAAGTGAGTTTGGGAGCTCAGGGAAGAGTATGGTGGTTGTCCCTGAAATCTGGGGCCATACAGTTGAAACCTTTGATCGACTGGTTGGGGTTGAGCTCCAGAATCGACCGATACCGGTTGGGATCTAGGGCCGTACACCTGAGCGGCTGGAGTTTGGCTTTTGGCACAAAACGCCATCCACGCTTGGTACCCACCAGTCAAGAGCCGCGGCGAGTGTTTCAACGGCTTAGTTTGGTTACCAGGCTTCATCAAGTTCCAGAACTTTGCTATCGTAGCAATACTGCTTACATCGTTCCGTCCCTCGTCGTAAACCATAAGGCGGTCAAACAAGCTGCGGTTGCTAAAGTACTGGGAGTGGAGCAGATCCACGCAGTTGCGCTGCAAGAGCACCTCTAGTTCAGCATCAGTTCCTGCGAGACGGATCAAATTTGGGTCTATGTTGATAACGTGGGTTGCCCGGACAATATGGGAAGTGTTGTTGTGGGAAAAAACTGGTTGTGGTCGGATATCGATAATGAGAAGTTTCCGGTCGTAGGATAGGATAAAAAGAGAAAGGGTCTTGCAATCGATAGGCGGGAAGTCTGGCGGAGGAGAAATCTCAGGCTGGCTTCCTCGCTCCTCGGAAATGTCGCGGTGATGAAAGTTAGTTTCACTCTTGGAGCCGATAGCATACCCTTCCGGCTGGTGACTCAGAAAGTAACCTCTTTCATCTGTTGCCTTGGCATATCTATCTGATGAATCAGGGACTGCCGAGAATGTGTCAGAATTATCGAGGCGGACCATGTTCCGATCGTTAGTATCATCCTCATCTTCGTTCGTCAAATCAGTGGCCTCCTGAGTACCACGTGTGACAGGGTCCGTCAATTCTAGCCGGTCAAACTGAGCTCCAACATCAACCACTTTATGAGTGGCGGGCTTATCCAGGTCATTATCTTGTTCAATAATGCATCGCAACTGTTCAGAAGATTTGAAGTGCGTGGGCGCAACCCAGATGTAGCTTTCAGAAGAAGCGGAACTAGGCTGGGAATTTTCGTTGGTGTATGGGGTTTCAGGCTGTTGGTACAGCCGTGCGTCAGGATCATCTTCGGAATGAGGTGGAGCGGTATCTGACTGAAACTCCTCTGAAGACTGGCGTGGAAAATGCCGCGGGGGAGCTGCCACATAAGCACCTTCATTGTACCCTTCTAGGTTGTTCGCATAGCTTGAGACATCATCGGCTTGTAATTGATCCTCTGTTTCAGGTATACGCCAATTTTGTGCGGCGGTATAGGCAACGGTGTCGTTGGTTTCTTCAGTGTTGGGATGGTCATCTTTCGACCATTGGCTAAAATTAGCCATCACGGGACTCTTGTGGAGCGTATCTGACTTAACCATCTGAGCATCGTCGCCTTGGCCCATGGACGTGTAGAAATCCTCAACAAATGTCCGGAGCGTGCTAAACAAGTCGAATTTGCCCTCAAAGACTTTTTTGTAGTCCACCAAGTAGTAGAAGATGTGGCCCCTGAGATCATGAAACTGCGGGGCGCTCTTCAAAAGCGATAGCACTTGGCCTACAAGGTAGTAATCTTCAGGGTTGTTCTGGTGGAACCGTGCAAACGCTTCTAAGGCTGGGACATTGTGTCTCAGAATAACCTTTTGGGGCACCATATACGCAACAATCAAAAACGCCTTGATATAGAGGGTGGAGCTCAGCTGCGCACCCTTTGAAACAATTTTGGGGGTCCGTAGGGCTTCTTCCAAGTACGCCTCGGCGTCTTCGACCAAGCTGAGGGTGGAAATGTTCTGCAACAGATTATTCCGTTCCCAGCGTTGCACGTTGTGAAACTCGCGGGAAACCGCCTGGAGGTGTTCACTCAGGAGTAGCTTGTCGGTGGGCATTGTATGGAGAATGGTAAAGGATGCAAAATATGTTGGATGGTGGGAAAGCAGGAATGACGTTAGGTAAACGGTGATGAAAGATCCAGAACGAATACCAGTGTTTCAGACGGGCTTTCCAACGGAATATATGTACCTAAAATGCAATAGAAAGTCCAACAAGTTAGAGCAGTCAATCGAGGACGTTGGATTAAACCACCAAGAGCAGGAATTCCTGAGTTTAGCAATGGACGAAGGAAATAAAAACGTAGAGGACCGGATCACGGGTAATGCAAAGCTGACGGATCAGTGTGTTGTGTCTGTTTTTGCCCGGAGTTTGAGGGGTGTTACGGTTGTAAAGAGGCAAACAGATCGAGCTCGGTCGATTAAATGGTATAATATGCTTGCTGGGGCGTTATATATGCCATCGTTTGGGGCTTGGAAGATCTGATCCAAGGTCCCCGCCCTACCAGGTGACTAGGACTGGAGCTAAAACGAAAAACAGGTCGTGCGTGGAAAGCCTGACCGAGCTGCGCCTTGGCGGCGTGCTGTTTTGCCGGTCCGCCGTCCAAACAGAAGGTGGAGCTGTATGAGAGGTGAACAATATATTTGCAAAGCTGGTAATAATTTTATCAAAAGGTTTGACTATTCATAATAACGATCCGTTTTTTAATGGAAAGGTATCGAAGTTGTTGCTATAATACGCAATGCTTGTGACTAGTGCTATTGGAGCCTACGTGTGGCACAATATGGGGCTGGAGATCTGATAAGCAGTGTAATTAAGAACGTTGACAGAGGCAGGCTTTGGGATTTACAAATCAAGATGAGCAAGATCGTAGGAAGTAATATAACGGGTTATTAGAATTTCTAACGTGATGTCTACTAGGGTACCAATCAGAACCATGGATATAACGTACAACCGCTGGTTTGGAATTAGGTTGAACATTATCTCTGCTCATCCCTGGGAAATAAACCAAGCTGGTGGATGTATACACCGCTACTCAAAGTAATTAGCGTGTGGTCGATTTGTCCTGTTTGGAGACACTGGTCCCAAACTTTGCTAATTTCCAGTCCAACTTGATGTTTGTCCGACATCACCTGTATTGCAGGGCATATCAGATAGAGTACTTTAGCGCTTTCCGTATACTGACCTTTACGTAGAGTAGGTTCAATTAGATTAGTATATACGATTTGTTAAGCGCAAGATTAGATAAAGAAACAAGTTTAAAACAAGGACGCCAGCCTAGAGTCGTAACATCGTTGAAGTCACTATTGACCACTGATGAAGGTCGCTTCGTTAAAGGCAATCCCCTCTTCCTTGTCAACATTGCCGTTGACATCCACTTCGATGGTCATCTTATTGGAGAACTGGTAAATGTATGGCTTGGTACCGGCGACACCACTGACGATGGACTTGACAAACTGAGGAACCTCGGCCATGACATCGACACGCTCTATCAACGTGTCCAAATCACCGGAAACCTTGGCAACAACCTTGGTGGCTTTACCGGCGGCGATCTGCTCGTTAGTAGCCTCGGCGGCGTACCCGTCAAAGTTAAACTCGATCGCAGACGGAGCGGGCCACCCCACGGCATCGATCTCGGCCTTGGTGTGCACGGTTTCGTTGTCGATCGAGGCACTGACGATCTTGTCGTTCTTCACAATCACACCCATGGCAACCTTCGTCTTGGCGTAGGAGATCGGGGTGGTGAACTCCATCAAAATGGCGGAGTAGTTCTCCGACTGGAAATCCAAAAAGTTCCAGGTGGCAGCCGCGTGGTGCGGCTTCATGCCCTGCAACGCCATGGAGTACATAGACAACCCGGAAATGGTGATGGTTTCCTGCTCGCCCAACTTGACGGTGCCCTCGGCGGAGGCACGCGGCCAGAACGCGTGGCGCATGGAGCCCCACGGCGCAGCCTTGTCGGTCCCGTAGTAGGTGGTTCCATTTTCACCAAAAATGACGCCCGGACAGATTCTGGTAATCTTCATATCGACCACAGAGTCGGCGGTGACGGACGATCTGATGTGGTACTCGTTGTTGTCGGTCATGACGATGGAGAGGTTCTGCGCATAGAAGTTGGTGCCGCTGATGACAAAGTCTTCCAACTTGGTCGACGTCCAGGTAAAGTCCGTAGGGGAGTCCTTGTGGTAGATCTTGAACGTGAACTGCGCGGTGATATTGAGGCCCATCACATTGGAGTGGATAACCTGGATCAACCCCTGGTACCCGGTCTGGGCACAGTTGAAGTAGAACGTCTGCGTCTCCACATTGGTGTAGTTGGGGTTGTTCCACTCGAAATCCGTAGCGATGGTTTCTCTGTATGGCTGTTTGCCCTGGACAGTGTCCGTGACGGGATGGATCGCCTCGCGACCGTATTCTGGCTCGGCAGTGCCGGCAACGGCGGAAAGACTAGAGATTAGTGTCCATAGCAGACATTGGTACAGAATTTCACATACCCTGATTGAACCCACTTGAACATTACGACGTGGATATTTGTTTGTGAGAGAAGGAAAACAGCAGTGGCGTGATGCCTATCAAAATACATCCTGATCTTACTTGCGAAAATTTAGCACCAGTCACGTGCATGTGACTCAAAGGAAGGAACAAGGCAGGGTTCCGGCATACCGGGGCTCCAAAAACTCCAGAACTTGTCACGTGCTTTACCGGAATATTGACAGGGTGGGTTTAAAGTCGATGGACAATGTATTTAGAGGGTGGGTCTAGGACCTCTGTGAGACTGAAGCAATGTCTGATGCTTCTATATGCAGCTGTAACGGGCTATGCTGTGTAGTTGATGATAGCACTGGAAGGCTTGCGGCACGTGCTCAATAACGGAGCTATCTTGTTTCCAAGACTCGATAACAAAGAAACGTGGGTGATAAATCTCCGTATCTATAATCCATTAGGTTTATAAGTTGTATGATTCTAATATAACGGTAAGGCTATGCATATTTTCGCCATCCAAGCTCTTTAATTTTTAATCTAGAGCACAGATTCGTCCATCCTGCGAGATTAGACGGCTGCCGGAGACGTAGGGGGTGACCACCAATCAGGGGTGAAGGCCAAGACTAAATTAACGTGCAGTGACTTGCAGTTATTTTTATGTCAGATAAGAATTATACGATTATCGAGAGATCCCTATCCCTAGGTATCCTGGATTAATTGAAATATGACACGTTACCACCTGTGCTATTTAATATTAGTGGTCCAGTAAGAATAGTTGTTAGCAGTGGGGGATCAGAGATATCATTACGTTGGCCTTCATGCTCAAAATACAGTCTTTACTCTCTATTATCTATTTATCTATTACATATTTTTCAGTGTACTCATCTTCAAGAGGCCCATTATCTCCCCCACCCTGCACGAAACCTCGTTGCGAGAGCTAAATACAATATGGGGCAGTGCTGAGCATGCACAGCGCATACTCGTCATGACGAATACTTGTCATGTGGACTAATTAAACAAAAAAGTCCCCTGGGAACAAATTTCTTGGCATGGTTACCATCGAGACCTGACTAGCGAATAATCACCTATCTATGTCTTTCGTAATGCAGTAGTTAGGCCTAGTCACTGGTGTATAACAGGAGGGTATTTAGCAAATCTGCCAAGCTAATTTAGTCATTAACCGTAAGAATGTGTATTGGCTCTAACATAGCCTCCATGCGGATATCAGGAACTCAAACTTGTTTAGGTCACTAAATTGTGACAGATACGGAGTTAGATTATTGCTGATAACAGGGTTTCACCGACCGCAGAGACATACTTTAATTATGCCTGTCAACCATTTAGTATGCCTTGGCTATGTAGATATTGTCAACTGGCTAAATTACATCCTACATGATGTGTATTGCTATTTATCTTATATTCTATGGGGAAACTATAAAATGACCGCATTTCCAGATAAGATTGTAGCCGTGTATATAATGTACCCTTATTTACTTATCTCCACACTTTCAACAGTATCCATGATCATCCCTGCCTCCTATGTACAAAAGCGTATGGCGTATATTGTTCCTGGTAATTATCACATTGAAGAGCCCAGTTTATGCAGTTAAAGTTGGGAAAGTTTCATATAGAACTATTACTTACACATCCAGGTTTCCCTTTATGGGTACCAGTTATGCTTGGATTGGTTATTAGTGCAGTGATAATTTACTCCATTATAACCTACAAACGAAAAAGATCAGTGCAAATGATAAAGCCTGTGCCTATAACCTACGCTGGAGGCTCAATAGACCCTCAGGGTTATTCTTCATTTCACCCTCAGACACAAGAGTATATAGCTCAACCAAGCTATTATTCCCTGCCATTGGTCACTAAACAAGACAACGGGCAGACTGATTGGAGCAAAAACAAGGCAAGCGGAACGATGCTTTCGATTCCTCCTGCTTACGTTCGAGCTTAATGATGGGAGTATCCATGCTCTCCGTGGTACAGGTGCCATTTTGGGACTTTCCCAGAAGGATTTGAGTAGTACTAATTGTTTCGTTCATCTTTTAACCTTTGATATACAGTACGTACATAATTTCTGATCTTTTCTATACGCAGTAAAAACGAGAAGTTCCGTTGGGGTAATGGTTTGAACATAACCGAGCGATTCTGGAAGCATGCCTATTAATAGATAAAACCTTCTTATAGATGAACTGTTACTCCGTACTGCGACTGAAATATATTATTAGAGCTAGGAGCTCGGTCCAGTACAGGAACGTCATGGCCACACACCAAGGACAACAGTTTATGCGATAAGATTGTAATCAAACCTATCCCAGGACTAAAACATACTCAATGTTGGTTAGGTGCCTACTCAGATAATAAACCCCGAAAGTATGCCAAATTTCGTGGGTTCACCTGGTGCTTCGTAGTTCGGCCGATTCGTTATAGCCGTTAGGTTTTGTGGAACATCCCGACTGAATGGACAGCCTTTTCCGAGTTCTCTGCTATCAACCCCTTAATCTTGAATAGGCTTTGGCAAGATATCTCGACTTTAATTTGTCATTCTCCAGATTTGTTCTCTCCAGATTTATTCTCTCCAGATTTGTGCATATGCCAAGAGGAAACGTGCCTTATGGAGGGTATCTCGGTCATCTCCACATTATACGCCGACATTAACACCTCTTACAGCTTCAATGTTCATTCTTGAGTCAGACTGTGGCTTCATAGTTGAAATCAACATTGTTATCACCTAACTCCAGCCGCAACTCTCGGAGTGTCAGGCACGGCCGGTCGCACCGGCAACCAAACCCTTCACCGTATGCGGACCATGCAGGCACACCAAAACACTACTGTAATCTAGCATGTACGGGCTAGTACCTCGCTATTACTTGATAAAGCATTGCTAGAATCATATTACAAATTTTATTCCCGGTATCTGCGTATCCCCATTAAACTGTTTAATACCTCTTTACTATCTATACCAGTGCCATTTCGCTTTGTTCTCGCCATGCCTGAGTCCTGCATGTAGTAGAGAAAATTTGGTTTCTTTTCCTAACGCCATTTGGTAAATTTTTTTGACAGTAACCAAATGTTTAAGTCCGCACCTTGATTTGCGACGTAACCCCTACGAGTGTCAACACCCACACAACTCTGCATCAATTAGCGCTGTCACTGAACGAGTTTGCATAATTACACGCTGTCAAGGTATACAAAGGATTGAATCGCAAAAGAGACTTTGCGCCGTACCTTGTTTTAGTTCCACAGCCCTTCACCACGTCTCCGTCACACCACTCTGCTTCATCCAGGTAGTTCTTGCTTTTCTCATCATTTGCATACGAGTCCCCGCTGCTTCTAGACTTACGCCCCCCCGGAACTTTTTTGCACCCTTCCTCCTGCAAAATACCAACCCGTCTCAGACTTTACAGCAATACTACATCCAGGAATTAACAGCTTTTGTTATACACAATGGAGCAATCAGATCTGACGCCGAGGGAGGTTTCTGCCCAGGGACAAATCCCCACACACATACCCGGACAAGGACAAATAACCGGACACGGGCAGCCCACACCTGGGTCAATGCCTGCCCATATGTCGATGTCCGTTCCGACCAAACGTAACTCCCCCATCGATCCACTTCAGGTCACCCGCTCGCTCGGCTACCAAACGTTCCGGCGCGAGACGCGCCAGCCTTGGACAAAAGCCGAAGATGCTCTCCTCAAGAGCCTCGTAGAAGAGCACTACAACCCCAAGATCGACATGATCAAGTGGGACGTCATCTCCAAACGCCTCGACTCGCGCAAGCCCAAAGACTGCCGCAAGCGCTGGTCGAACTCGCTCGATCCGTCGCTTCGCAAGGGCAAGTGGACGGCCGAAGAGGACAAGGCGCTTCTCCAGGCATTCGGAAAGTGGGGTACATCGTGGCAAAAGGTCTCGCAGGACATTGTGGGGCGGACAGACGACCAGTGCGCCAAGCGGTACATGGAGGTACTCGACCCCAACACAAAGGACCGGCTTCGCCCATGGACGCGAGATGAGGACTTGGAATTGATCAAACGGGTAAAGAAGTACGGCACCAAGTGGCGGACTATCAGCATGGAAATGGCGAACCGGCCGTCGCTCACGTGCCGCAACCGCTGGCGTAAGATCGTCACGGACGTGGTACGAGGCAAAGCTGACCAAGCCATTGTTGAAGAGGTCAACTTGATCAACAACGGGATTGGGTACGTGCCCGAACCGAAGCCTAGCCCCGAAGTAAGCCCAAACGGAGTCAGTCCGATTGGAATCAGCCCAGGCGAGGCGACGCCTCACACCCCGTATGCATCGTCGCACTCCACTCCCAACGCGCCGTCGCCATTTCCGTACTTGTCGCCACCACACATGCTCCAACCACCACAGACGTCCAACCTTCGCTTTCTGTCACAGTCACCGCGGCCAGTGGAGACGCGCACCGAGTGGAAGTATTCGGCACAGACAGCCAGCGGTGAGCCCGTACCGCAGGGCTTTGGCGATATTGTAGACCAAGACTCTGCCGCACGTTTGATTGCCGTTGCCAAGAGCCACGGCCTTAGCATCACTATCCACCAGCACATTCACCACCATTACGCGCCGCTGACCAACCGCAACCTCCTCGAGCCTGAGACTCAGTTGAACCGCTACCAGCACTTCAACTACCTTCCTCCGTTGGCTGAGGTGCCAAAGCTCACGTCTCTGGCGACGTCGCCTGCGGGTTCGTCCAACGAAGACAAGGGCCAGCGCAGCGACTTAATGAAATTGCTTAACAATGACAAGCTCCAGCAGCCGCGGCCGTTCCACCCGGCGGCGCTGCGCGTCTCGCCGGGGCCAAGCGAGCGCCCATACAAGCGGGCAAAAGCTGAGTACGAGCGCAAAACGCCGTTGTCCCAGGCTGCGTACCCTGCGAAGTCGCCACAATACGCCAATGCCGAGGAGCTCGACGAGGAGCTCGATTTCTGGGAGACAATGCGCTCGCTCACAAAAGTGACACAAGTGCAGACCCGTCCGCAGGTGCAGGCTCAGTCACAGCACCAGTCACAGAATCCGCCACAGCTTCAGCTTCGGCCCCATCCTCAGGTTCAACCTGTGCATGCCCCGGCACCCGTATCGCAGCACCATCCGTTGCACTACGCAAGCAATATTAGTGACTTCTACGGATCGAATTTCATGTTTGAGGAGGAGGCGGATGTGGATGAGGACGTCTACGGGTTGTTCTACAGTATCGAAGCAAAGAAGCCTGGAGAAGAGGAGAGCCGCGGGGTGCTTCCGTTCAACCCGAGTTAGATAATAGATGATAGAGGCGAAGTTTTGTAGATGGGGATATATAAGGGTGTTGAGCGAGCTAGTCAGAGGATATAAAGTAATCAGTGATTTAAAGATGTTTAGGAGACCAGTGATGAATGATCTATATGTTTGGCATATTGTATGTGTGGTAGCTTATACTATACGTTACTCGAGGTTTCGGTAGGGGCCTGCTATAACTCTATATATTAACCTCCCGTTAGGGAATAGATCGGTACTGTGTGTAATGGTCGTGGAAGCATTTATAGTTCAATTGGGGCTTGTAATAAATTACATGAATTTTCTTGTCGCTTTGGTTTAAACCTGATTAAGTATTTGGAGCCGCCCTCCCCCAGACACCACCGTGTGATAATGGTTACTCTGGCATGTACATAGCAACTATTGCTAACCAACCCACCGTAATCTCATAGTTCATGATGGTGCAAATATCATTTGATCTCTACCAAGTTTTACCTTAAATAATCACATGCCATCCTACATCTTTATTACTAATACATTCTATACAATTACTTTTCCTGAACACTTCTCTCCACCAGCGATTTGGCCTCTGAGCGGCCTTCGCTATCTTTACGCTGCTTATCTTCCCGTTCCTTCTTTCTCCTTTTCTTCGTCTCAAACTCGTGCCATTCCCCGACCACATCCTTCAAGAAATGGAGCGGTTCCGGTACGGGGTCCTCGGTAAAGTAGCTGTGCTTCAAAGCCTCCTCGGCCGTTATTCTCTGTTCCGGATTGACCGTCAAAAGCTTCTGCGCCAAGTCAAAACAATTGTCCGACAAGAGGAATCCGTAGCGGTGTTTGAATGCGTTGGGTCTCATCCGCAGGGGCTTCACCAACTCATACCACGGCAAGCTGTCGACCTGGGGCCACAGAGAGTCTGTCGGCGAGCCCATGACGTCAAAGATGCGGTGGACCTGGCTAATCTCGTCCTCACCGGGGAAGATGGCCTTCTTGTTGAACAACTCCACAAGCAAACAGCCCACTCCCCAGATATCCACCTCTCTACCATAGTCGGTGGAGCCGAGCAACAACTCGGGCGGTCTGTACCACAAGGTGATGACGCGGTTGGTGTAATCAGGCGATTCACCGGGCTTGACAAACTTCATGGTTCTAGCTAGTCCGAAGTCCGCAATCTTCAACCGTCCGATGCTGTCAAGTAGGATGTTGGAGGCCTTAATGTCACGGTGAATGACGCGCTTCGAATGCAAGTATGCCAACCCCTCCATCAACTGCTTAAACAAGAACTTGCGATGGGCATCGGAGATGCTCAAATTCGGGTGGTTGAGCACTCCCGAAAGATCATGGTCCATGTAGTCGAAGTTCATGTACACGCGGCTGCCCTCCACCATCATCTCAAGTAAGCCCACCACGTTAGGGTGGTGGAACGACTGAAGAAGCCTGATCTCGCGGATAGCGGTAATCGGGAACCCTTCCTTCTCGGATTCCAACCGCAACCGCTTCATCGCCACGATTTCTTTGGTGACGGTGTTTCTCGCCTTGTAGACCTTACCGTATGTCCCTTCGCCCACCTGCTGGATAACTTCGTAGATGGGGAACTCCTTGGTGGTTTTGGTGTAGTACTGTTTCTGAGGGGCCCGGAGCTTGGTGTCCGAGCGGGGTCTCGTTGGAGTTCCCGCAGGGCGAAACTTCAGGCCAGCGGACTCGAGCGATTTCATACGGTTTCCCATTTCTGGCTCCGTAGCGATGGGGCGGAACTTCAGACCGAGGGGCTCTCTCTTGGGGATGGTGAACGACATTTTACCCTCGGATTTCTGTTCCAAATGTGCTTTCGGGCCCTTAGGACCTTTCGGGAGACTGTTAATGTCAAAGGTTTTCTGTTGTGGTCTTTCAGGCTCCCATCTCGCAGCTTTACGATGGGAACCGGCATCGTCAGGCGAACCTTTTTCCTCTCTGGGCCTCTTTTCGCTTTCGATCGTCTTTGGGGCTTCCCTATGGGAGGTGTAACGTTGCGGTCCCAACGGACGTCTCCGCTCTGGTTCGAAGCGGGATCGCTCTCCCTCTTTATCCAGAAGCCTCTCAAGGGGTCTCTCGAGAGATCTATCCGAACGGTCGAAAGGCTTATCTGGCCTTACAGGATTCTCACGCAGCAGTTCGCCCTCCTTTTTGCCAGTCATTCGGTCAGTCCGATCAAAGTGTCTCTCTCTGACTGACTCTGATCTATCCCTTTCTGACCTTTCCAACCCCCTGCGTCCGTCTCTATTCCCCCTCTTGGGTTTTCCGGGCCTTCTCGACGTTTCTCTGTCTTTTCCATCTTTGGGTCTTTCCGGTGTGTCGCTTCTTTCCCTTTCCGGTCTGTAAGATGACTTACCCGGATACTTTGCCGGATGGGTAGGACGCGGTGGTGGCGTTTCGCGCTGCGACGGGTCGTAGTGCGAGCCCGTGTATGGACTGCTTTTGCGATATCGCGCATCGCCAGGCCTGGAGCCTCTATAGGCGTACCGCTTGTCTGAGGGGTTAGTATCGGGCTAGAAGGGTTTCGCCAATCTACATACCGTCTCTGTATGCGTCTTCACTCATGACGAAATGCAAATGAAAAAGTCCTCAAGACTATCCAAGGATGAGATGATAAGTGGCAATGCAAATCGAGGTGGCAACCAAATAGGGAGGCTGTGCGTAAATCAAGTCTCTGTGGGTATGACTCTAACAGATTTAGTGAACTAAAAGCAAGCAGACAAAAGGTTATACTGTGAACGAAGCGTCAAATAATTCAACAGTACAGGCCGTTCACACATTTATGGTTCAGCCTGTACATGCGCTCTTGTCCATACAAAACAATGCCGCCGGGTAACCTTGGACTGTTTAGCGCACGCCACTAAGATAAACTGCTCTCGTTACATTACATTCACGAGAAGCGATTAGGCCTCGTTTTTCTCTCTCGATGTTCAAAATCATGTCCGGTTTCCTGAAATTGATCCACTATTCTTTCGATTTGGCCTTGGCCTCCGCGTTCCTCGCTGGGGTCAAGCGAAATACCGGCTTAGCGTACGTCGCCACTGAGTTCCTTTCTGACTGGCACTAACCCTTTAGACCTAAGACCGATCTTTTCGGCGACGGTGAAGTCCAGAAGTACACCCAGAAATACCTCGGATTTGGCGAGTGGGTGTACGACGCCAGTGTGGGCATCTTTAGCTCCTCCGAGTACTTTGTCCGCAAATAAGCACGCCAATTCAAGCCGTTAGGAGTCATTGAGATGTTAGAACTCCAATGATCTCCACGTTCACCGTATAGTCTAGTGAATACAATTTTCTATCTTTAATTCATAAGGAATAGCGATGGAAATTCATTGTGATAACCGTTATGTTTCAAACCCATTAGTAGGTGCGGAAATTGCCGATATTTATATATGCTTCGATATCTTTTAACATCTCGCCCACAACAGGAAATTTTGGTTTCTAGCCACACTTGCGTTGCACGTGCGTCTAGCAATCTGGAGCGGTTTATCAGAATCCTCCATTCGCAAACTTAATTTCCATTTTGCTTGGTTCAATTATTGACTCTACTTTCTCTATTCGGATACAACTGAAAAGTCTCTACTGAACATAACCAAGGTACTTAACATTACACTTTTGAGAACCCACATGTGTGGCGTATACGACCTTCACAAAAGCTGCGTCGTGCGGCTGCAGGATAGAAAAAATATATCGCACATCCATCTCCTTCTGTCGTTTCCCATAACCATCATTATAATGGCCAAATCCGCAGTGGGAACCCCAAAACACTTGTCAAACAAACTCAAGGCTGCAGGTTTGCAGAAATTGGCCAACTACTGCCAGATATGCTCCAAGCAATGTCGTGATGCCAATGGCTTCAAGAACCACATCTTGTCCTCGACCCATCTAAACAACTTGAAACACATGGACTCCAATCAGATCGAGAAATACTCTCAGGAATTTATGGGCTCCTTTCTACGCCTTTTGCGGTTGAACCATGGCGAGAAGCGTATCAGTGCCAACAAGTTCTATCAGGAATTTATCCAGGACAAGGACCACACGCATATGAACTCCACAAAGTGGAGCTCCCTCACGCAATTTGTGGCCTTCATGGGGAAAAATGGGCTTGTACGGGTGGATACTCCAGAGGAGGGGGATGATGTTGAGCCAGGTTTGTTCATCAGCTATGTGGATAATTCGCCCGAGGCGGTGCAGCGCAGACTTCTACTCGAGCAGAAGGGGAAGTCCTCGCAGACGGATGAGGAGGTTAGCAGCAATCTCCTCAATCAGCAGATTAAGCGTGCGGCCGAATTGTACAAGCAGCAAGTTGAAACTTTGGATGTAACGCCTGCTCCAACGCCTGTTGGGGAGGTCAAGCCTGTCAAGATATCTCTCAAGACCGCTGAGGCCAACTCTACTCCGAGGGTCAGCCTTGGCAAAATTTCCGTAACCAAACCGGTGCAGAAGATTAATGCATTCAAGGTGCTGAAGCCTGTGATGAAGAACGCTTTTAAATAAAGTGGTTGGTTGAATAGTATGGAATACAATTATAGGCTGGTACATGGAGAGCTCCATCAACGGTGGATTGCCTTGGCTGGATAATATTCAGGTAATGCCGTTGCAGGTTCGCATGGAATACTTCAAACTTTTTGGTGCAGTAACCATCAAAGCTAAGTATTTTTTTGTCTATCCGAGTACCACTAATATTTGCCTATTAGTATATTTGAAGGTGGATTTTACTGTACACTGCCATACAAGTATTGATCGGTTTGGTGGGACGAAATATGGCATGTCTCCGCCGCATACCATATGCAGCTTTCCCTCGCTTTTGTGCGCATGACTAGAACGAACGCATCCAATCTTTTGATATATCAATTACTTCCACCCAAGGATCTGTTTTATGTTTATAAGAGCAAGTAAGATTGCTTCCATAATATTGCTATTTACACCATGCGGTCGCTCTTCTATATTCTCTTGGTCTACAACTTTTTCCATCTCGCTGCAGCCTCAGAGACAGAGTCTGATGTTGCCACGTGGGATGATGATTCAAATTATCTATTCACCGATTTATACTCCAAAGCATTTGTAAGTCTTACCACGTTGGACTAGTACAAACCAGAAACTAATATGAAAATAGCACAAAGGGTTTAGTGACTGTATGCTTGAGGTTGAGAAGACGCATCCCGTGTACCACTCATGCACCGCTTTCACCAACGAAGTTTCGTGCAAATGTTCGTTCCTAAAAGTTGTGGATCTGCAATGTGGAGAGCTTGGTATAACCTCCGTATGTTAAACTCCGTTTTTTTTAATAAAAAAAAACTTGCTAGAGCTCGCTAACTGATATAGGGAACATACTGGTTTTTTGAAAACTCTCTCAAATCAATATGCGGCAAAAGTCGAGAGATTGAATTTCAGCAGGCAGAGACAGAGTCTTTAGAGTCAGAACGGGAATTTCTGGCTCTTAGACTGGTTAGGCGAGATGTGAATGAAAGCCCCATGCACGTCGGTCATTCTGTCGGTTACAAAAAAGCGGTTGCTGCAAAAAAGACAAAAGAGCGGGGAATCCCAGAGTTAGAATGGACGTATGGAGCTACGGGGAGTTTCAATCCCAGTAGTAATGAAATAAACTCATCTCTGTCAATTGTTCTTTCGAGTGCTAGCGAAGAAATTCTGACTCAGGGGACAGGGCATGATCCATGTCCGAAAGTTCAAAAGCCGCCAACGATGCATGCAATGACGGTCGATTGTGAAGGATTGGAGATCCAAAAACTCAAAACCATAGAATTACACAGCATCAAAACCTCCATGACGATAGAGGCAACCCGAGCTACCACCGTCGAGGTTATAAAAGTGCAACGGCAGGTCCCCCTTCCCACCACCCTTATGCGGCTAACCATCAAACCATAGAGGTGAGAGGTTTAAGTCGTTGCTTCTTTTTTTTTGCATTATTTCCGTATTTATCTTGAAATCGCTGGCAAAAATTCCTATCAATCTTAGGTGAAATATTGTAATTCGATCGTACATCATAACCAATGATTATGCAAGAATGACTTAGAGATGGATAAAGTCTTACAAATGCCATTTTTGTAGTAATATATTTGTTAAATTGTCTGTCGTATAAAAATATTTCTTCTATTGTCGTAGATTTACAATTCAATTAATTATTTTGTCACTATAAACACGCATCTTGGCTGAATGAACATCTCCGGTACATAACCTAACTAGGTGCCATCTTTTGTCCTCATTCCGTGCGCGATGCCTACACCAAAAAATTTTCTGCATTCGATGCAGATTTTTCTATACTTGAAAGATATTCAGTGATCACATCTGTTTCTTCCTCATTACAAATACCAGACATACGACATGCATTTGATGTACACTTTGGGCCAAGATGGCAAGAGAATCTACACCTTGAAGAAGACCACCCAAGAAGGTGAAATCACCAAGTCCGCTCACCCAGCCAGATTTTCCCCAGATGACAAGTACTCCAGACAGAGAGTCACTTTGAAGAAGAGATTCAACTTGTTGCCAACCCAGCAAGAGCCAATCAAGTACTAATTGGTCTCCCGCTTCTCCGTGATGTGGTTCGTTGCATTTACTACCTGCCCCCATTGATTCCTCAGTGGACGGCGCCGTTTCCCCAGGCTCAAACTTGACTTAGAGCTATGTTTTCATTATTTGGGGTTTGTATAATTATATGTTTAATATATTTGGTTTATCTTTGTTACTATTCGTGTAGCTCCGGGGAGATGAAGATATGTACCAAAGGTGGATACACGGAAGCAGGATGCTCTTCCAGATCTGAGTCGAAAGAGCCGGAATTTTCACGATGTATGGAATTCAGGCTCTAAAGAATCGCCTGAACTGATGGTATGAGCATGTATGTGGATTCCAAGAGCTTAGAGGCTTGTACTTCCAACTGAATCTTTCGGTAATGTCTATCTGGAAGGGTTTGGGATGGACGGGAAAAACTTGTAGCTAGCAAAGCCATAGAAATAGAATTATTATTAAATAGCGTTAGCGTTTTAATTACCATCTATATCCGGGTCACTTGAGCTCTATCGAAGAATCTGCACTTTGGTTAGCGCTTATATTTTGACGTACTTACCCTTAGCCCTTTATTGGTATATCACTTTTAGTTTCAGCGGCAATTCTCAATATCAAAAATGCCTTCATTTTCTAACTTTCCGCACCGTCCTTTCATTCTCGGCTGAAACAAAGATCCAGGCTGCCAGAGTTCAACGGTCACTGCCGAGAGGTTTCCCGGTCTCAACTAGCTTCCAGTGAAATAGTCTCAATAAAGTGCTTGTATCTTCCAAATATTGTCTTCAAAACTCATAGCCAAGAGGCTCTTCTTACGGATGGCTCTTTTGGACAAGCCATGCTCCATGATCAGCATGCTTTCTCTCTGACGAAGTGGTGCCAATGTCTTTGGAGGGAAGACTTCATTCGTCAGATTATGAGTCCCTAAGTTCAGCCAGCTTTCACTCGCTCAACCTTTGCCCTTGTCTATCATCTCCACCATCAGCCCATTTGCCGGATCATCGTATCTACAATGTGCTTAGCTTCCGCACGCTCTTCGTAATTTCTATGAATTTGGAGTGCCCTGGGGCTAATAATAAAGGATGACAAATAATATCGCTCGAAAAATCAATACCTTCGCTTAGGCAAACTTGGTCTCACACTTCACCGCAACCGCGCCAGTCTTGACCTCTCTCGCAGAAACGGTCAAAGTACCGTCTCTAGTGATGTTCACAACAACCTCGACCTTGGCAGAAACACCCTTGAGGGCCAACTCGGCCAACTTAGTACCCGGAACGTACACAACATCCCTTCTTACTTCCGGCTCTTCATCAGAGTAAGCCTCCTCGTCATCAGAGTAAACCTCAGCCTCAAGAACAGTCTCTTTGATGGAGCGCTCACCCTCGTGCAAAGCGATCAATACGTCACCGGAGGCAGTAACCTGAACGGCCTTTCTGATAGGGAAGGCGGTCTCAGCCAATAAGATTGGAAGGAAGGAGCCGTCGGCACCGGCAAGACCGATGGACTTCTGAATGTGCTGGGTGTTGACGACGACTGGGGCGAGAGACTCGTTGATCTCAGCCTCGTCGAAAGATTCAACCATGGAGGCCTGCAAAGCGGCACCGCGGGCAATCAACTCGGCAGGGTTGATAGCCTTGGTGTCCAAGGATGGGGCGACAACGACAGCAGACTCTGGGAAGATGAAGGCGACGTTAGAAGCCAACTTAGGAGTGTGGGAGGTCCCACCGACCAACAAAACCTCATCAATGTCCAAGGTTTCCAAGCCGGCTCTAAGCACGACGGACTCAGTGAAGGCAGCCATCTTGGAGAGGACATCGCGGGCGACGAGCTCGTAACGGAGTCTGTTAATGGTGGTGTGGTAGTCGTAACCGTCGGCTAAGGAGTCGATGGAGATGGTGGAGGTCTGGACATTGGACAAGGTCTTCTTGGTGATGATGCACGCAGCCTTCAACTTGGCCAAGGATCTTGGGTTGCTCTTAGGGTTGGCCTGGTACTTCTTCTTGAAGTCGGCAGCGAAGAAGTCGGCAAGCGCGTTGTCTAAGCTATCACCACCCAAGTTCAAATCGTGGGCGGTTGCGAGGATGGTCAAGATACCACCTCTGACGGCGATGACAGCGGCGTCAGATCTGACACCGCCAAAATCGGCAACGACATAGGTTCTGTCTTGCAACAACTTATCATCAACAGACAAGTGGGCCAACAAAGCGGCAGATGGTTCGTTGATGAACTGCAAGATTGGAAGGCCGGAGTCAGCGGAAACCTTCTTCAACTCAGCCTTCTGGACGTCGGAGAAGTTGGTTGGGACAGTCATCACAACCCCCTCGACGGTCTTACCGATATAGTCCTCAGCGGCTAACTTGACCTGCTTGAGGTGTCTCTTGGTGACCTCCTGGATGGAAACGTCGCTGCCGTCGATCTTGTAGCCGACCTGGCCGTTATAGTTGAGAGGCTTGGAGGAAATTTCGGAGAAGGCGGACGCAGGGAGCTCGGCGAATGGAACCCCAATGAAGTCTCGGAAGTTGACGATAGTGGAAGAAGCATTTCTCACCAACTGGTTGACTGCCTGCTGGCCGTGGTACTCATCGGCACCGACGTAGGAAAGCGCAGATGGGATCGAACGGTCACCGTCTGGGTTAGCAATCACGTCGACCTTACCGTCGGAGGTGGCAACAGCAATGGAAGAGGAAGTGTTACCAAAAGCAATACCAATAACGACAGACATTGTATACAAGGGTGGATATTTGCTGATGAGAGAGCGGGAGCAAGGGCAAACTTTTTTGATATTGAAAAATTTTGTACCCGAAAAAGAAATTGAGTTTTGGCAAAAGAACGACTTTGATGCGGCTAGCACGTGATAACCACACCTGGGGTTTAAGTACTCGCACGTGCTTTGGATATCCACGACTTTTCACGCCAATGTGTTATCGGTGACGTTTCAAAACCGCCTTGTCCTCGCTCTCTATCTCATTTCCTCCAACAACCATATACAATGTCGCGTAAGAATGACGCTTTTGCGGACTTGTTCTCGACGGCCACCAACCACAAACCGAAGACTGACAAGATCCCATTGGCGCAGCGACAAGCGATGAAGCCGGTCCCGGCGGCTTCCAGCTGGGCAGATGTAGACTTGCTCAGCCCCGATTTTGCATCAGGGAACTCTTCATCCTCATCGGTTCCAACCCAAAAGGATGAAATTGACGACTTGTTTGAGATTTTCAATAAGCCAGCTCCAGTGCCAGTTGCTCCAGTGCCGGCCGTTACATCTTCGTCCCCCCAAGCCTCTCAAAATGGCAGCTTTGCGTCCTCTCTAAATGAGGGATCAGAGTCAAGTAATGGCAACCGGTATGGCTACTCCTCCCGGCCTCATGTCTCTCGCTCTCAAGGTCTTTTCTCTAGCGACGACGATAGTGACGACCCTTCAGAGGCATCTGCTCCGTCTCACAGCCACCTGGAATCCACTCAATCGGATGAAATACTTGCTGAGCTTTTGGAAATGGGTTTCACGATGGACCAGGCAACTGGAGCGCTTCGTGTGACTGGAGGCAGCGATATCAACATCGTTATCAGCTACCTCATGGACCAGGCACACCGCTCGCCCCAGCCCAGAGCCCGCGCATCAGAGACTGGTGAACTAAATGAGGTTATTACACAGCTCTCGTCCGACTTTAAAAATGTGGCCACGTCGTGGTTGAACAAGGGCCGCAAGCAGCTTGTGAAGGGCATGGAGATGTACAAGGAGCAACAGTTCCAATCCCAGGGGGCGCAACCAGCGTGGATGCGGAACCAAGAGAAGTACAAGGCTGGGTCCAAGCAGCTAGAAGGGGATGAAGAAGTGGCGATAGACCAGCGGGAGGTGGAGCGGATCGTTCGGGAGCAGCGGGAGAGGGAAAAGGAGCGGACGAGAGAGCGGATGAGCAAGATTGGCAAGGCTGGAGCGTCAGTTGCCGCTGAAAGACAAACCGGGTCAATGGAAAGACAAAATAGAGGTCAAAATGGAAGTCAACATGGCAGTCAGGAATCATTTAGACCATCCCTGAGCCAATCCTTTAGATCATCCCTGAGCCCCTCTCTCTCTCAGAGATCATCCTATTTGCCGGCTTCACCGGCTCCAGCTACACCGGCTCCAGCTACGCCTGAACCACAGCTTGTAGATTTGTTTGGCACAGCCCCAGCGCAAAGATTCAAAAAAGCGGAGGACGAGCCAATGATGGTGAGCTCCTCCCGCAGACGCCGTGTAACCCCTACCGCCTCCCTCGTCCCATCTACTCCATCTTTCACTTCCTCGCCAGCCCAGAGACCCGCCACTCCCTTAAATGAGATCCAACGCTTTGAATACACTCGTTACAAAGACTCAGGAAACCAGGCATTCACGGCTGGTGACTTTGCCACGGCGTTAGAACAATACGAGCTCGCGCTCCAACAGCTCCCTCCAAGACACGACTTTTCCATCGTTGTCTATTCGAATTTGGCTGCCGCTGGCTTGAAACTAGGGGACTCGCGCAGAGCATTGGACTTTGCCAACGCGGGCTTGGAGGTCATTGGTGCGGCCACCACCGGAAACATCAACGGCAATACCACGGAAAAACCTGTGAAGGAGCTCTGGTTGAAGTTAGTGGGACGGAAGGCTGAGGCTTTGGAGCACTTGGAGAAGTGGCCTGAAGCCTTGGCTGCCTACACCTTGGTTATTCAGAACGGTGGAGCCGGTGCTGCCTCCATGGATGCCAAGAGACGGTGCCAGAAAATGGTGAGCCCGCAGGTGAAGCCTGCGCCTAAGCCCGTAGCTAAACCGGTGGTGAAACCGACGACAAAACCTCTTAATAATTCTTCTGGGGCTTTGAACCGGGTCAAGAAGCAGGCGCAGGCGCAGACAGACTTGGACGCTGCGCGTTTTGCATCGTACGATGCAATCACCGCGCGCATCACCGCGTGGAAGCTGAACAAAGAGACAAACTTGCGTGCGTTGTTGAGTTCGCTTCAAGAAATTTTGCCAGTATCATCCAATTGGAAACCGGTGGGGATGGGCGAATTAGTGCTCACCAAGAAGGTCAAGGTGGCGTACATGCGGGCCGTCTCCAAGACCCACCCAGACAAGATCGGCGCGGATGTTGCGGTTGAGGATAAGTTGGTGATGGAGGGGGTCTTTGTGGTGTTGAATGAGGCATGGGATCAGTTTAAAGAGCTGAACGGGATATCGTAGTCCGTGCCCGAGAAAAGCTATAGATCAGAACGGTTAAATAAAGGCGTAACAAGAATAGATTGGGGGGGATATACATTTAAACGTAACGAACAAAAAATATGGTATCAACGTATGAGACAAAAGCCTGTGACTGAATGTAATGAAGGTGTACAAAATAAGTGACTGTTTTGATCAAATAAGGATGGGGGGAGTACCCTAGCTCCAGATCACACTCTAGTAGATGTATGGTTTGCCTTCTGAATTGGGTGTATAGACTTCAACAAAATGGTAAAATGACAAAGATGGAAAGCGAGATTGAAAAGTGGCTGACGCAAATTAATAGAGGTCACCTTGTCCGTTCCACTTTCGATAAAAGCATCCCAGAATAAGTATCCGTTAGTCGTTATCCTTTGGTGTGCTATCTCATAATCATACGCCTGGTATCAGTTGTATACCATGAGTATTCACTCCCATGGGGTAGAGTACAGTAGATTATATCGGAATACGATTGTGAAACAATTGCTAGACTAGACCTTTTGGAGTTTTAAATATTTTTATTATCCTCTCTACGGATTATCTACCATCCGTCAATCATAATCGGACATCGTGTTTTTCCGTAAACCCCTGCATGTTTGCTCATCTCCCTATGACATTCCTTTCAATCTTGGTACAACGTGCAATAAATAAAGCACTCGCTATTGAACAAACTCGACCCACTCACGGGTACTCATCTGTGTGATTCTTGACAAGGCTCTGGCGAAGGCGAATCTCTCCTCATCAACATTATTCAACTTACTCGCCTTTTTGGCAACCAGCTGGTCAAAGCCGTGCTTTTCGATCAACTCCTGGGTTTTTTGCAACTCTACCAACTTCGCCTTCGACGGGGCGCGCTTCAACAAGTATAGCTCCTCAGGGGAGTCTCCCGCGAGATCTTCCGGCTCCACGAACAAGTCTTTAAAGGGGGCAGCAGAGGTGGTTGCGATTCGGCCGTGAGCGTCGTATACGGCATCCAAAAATGTGATGAACCGTCTGATTTGGTCTCTGGCATTGATAGTGAGATACGGAATGTCCGTGATAATGAACGAGTGAAAGTTGGAGGCGAGTGTGAGGTAGTCACCCGCTGCCATGGGTTTCTCACAGAGTTCGTGGAACGTGAACTGGGCTACGTACGGAGGCGTGGACTTAGGCACTTGTAGGTCACGACCCCAAATCTGGAGCTTGAAGTCGGTCTGGGGCTGGGGTGGTGCAGTATTGGACTTGTGGCCCAGTGAAACAAAGTACTCGTACCATTGGTCTGCGTGCTGCTGGGCTCTCGCCAAGTTGGCCTTGGAATGGAGCAGCACACCGGGCTTCGGGCAGTAGTATACCGAGGAGATGGGCTTGGCAATCTTTCGGTAGTCAGTAGGAGAGTTCAAGTATATCACCTTGGCTCTTTCCTTGATGAGGTTGATGCAGGGAATAAAAGTCTGTCTCTGGATCCCGTTAATGTATAAGTCATCTGGCGGTCTGTTGGACGTAGCAAACAAGATCACACCGTACTCCTTGGTCATAATTGTCGATAGGAGGCGTCTAAGGAGCATCGCATCCGCGACATCTGTGACCTGAAACTCGTCGAAACAGAGCACTGTCTCGTTTTGGGCGATTTCCGCTGCCAAGATTGGCAACGCGTCAAAGTCTTGCAGCTTCGTCCCGGTCGTCTGCTGATGGGCCATCTTCAACTGATGTGTCCGTTTGTGCAAAAATTGCATAAACTGATGGAAGTGGATACGTTTTTTGGGTAAATGTGCCGGGATTGTCTGATAGAACAAATCCATAAGCATCGTTTTCCCGCAACCCACGTCCCCGTAGAGGTACACGCCAAGCGGGTTATCGTTACCCGCGTTATCCAAAGGAGGCGAGGGGATCTTTGGCTTAGTACCAAATACAGAGAAAATCTTGGAAAATGCAGATTGGTTGGCGGCAGCGGAGATTTCCTCGATTGTCGGTATCGCCACGTGGGGTCTTTTGTAGTTACACAAAGCTGCGTGGAGTGACGAGAGCGAAGCGATGATTTTCCGCTGATAGGGGTCGTCACTTAACGTTCCCGCAAGCACTCTGGCGTCATATTCTTCTAAAGGAGTCGGGCTGGCGGTTGGAGACGTCTTTGCGGCGGTTTGGACCGTGGCAGTGCTGAGGCAGCGGAAGCCTCGCAAGGCAGAACTGGCAAAACCCCGCAAGTTCGGACCAGAATAAAGCTTGTGCATGTGAAAGTACCTGGAGGTGATAATATAAAGTAATAAGTCGGTTGGTGGAACTGCTTCATAACAGCAGAGACAAAAAAAAAGCTGTTTTTAATCTTCCCCAGATGCCGAACTCGTCTCCGGAAGGTTACGAGCGTTGGTCTCCCGCGTTCTTTGTATGCGGAACACGTCCTGCATTGTGCGAGGTCAAAGTTGCAGAAAGAAATGTGCGAGAAAAGAAATGTGCCAGGCTCGGAGAAATATTGATTACCCGATTGACCGAGAGACATTTAGTGCGGGAATAAACATAAGGCCCGGGGATTAGTGGAGAAGAACTGTTTTGTCAAGGTGGGGAGAACCTACATAGAAACTCTATTTAAGATATTTAGTTTAACTTAAATTGTGCATAGCTAATTAGAAACAATTTAAAGGGTAGGTATATAACAATCATAGTGGAACGTAACTGAGGCTCGAAATGCCATGTGACAGTCTCAAAGAGCAAGCGGAGACGGTCAGATGTTTCAACCCCCACGCACGAGTCAAGACAAACAGATTTGAAGGACAATGGATCCGGAGTCTCAATCCACTTGTGCTCTCCCTAAAGTGATATTGTCGGTGTCAACTCCGGAGATCTTACCATTATTCCTGGTTGTCTCCCAAACCTTATCAGGGGACAAGCTAAAACCTTGGTCTGGTCTCAGGTCTTACAGAAATATCACCATACCCTGGTGAGAGTGTATTGGCCACATATTAGACAAAGACCTATACCACTCTAGCATTCAGAGTTCAGTCTTGGTTTGTAGAAAGTGGGGTTGGCATACAATAGATAGGATACATCAGCGTTATAACGGGTCTCTGCGTTCAAGATAGTAGCAATGCCTTACAATCGTAATTGGCTTAGATATTATAGTATATAAGAATGAAACTCAGGTCGGCCTTTGAATTTTACAAATTTTTGAAAAAAAACAATATATTACACGAAGTTAACCCCTCAAGAGCACGCTAGCACTATCTTGGGTAAAAGATTCGCTTAATCGAGATATCTATCTAACGGCTCTCCCAACACAGATTCGATCACTCTAACCAAACCACCTCTGACCTCCATCTCAACTTCCTCGTCGTCGTCCTCCAATAATTCGGCAATGATTGGCACCAATTGCGGCAACAAGCTCAACCAGTTTTCACCAACCTTTTGGTAGACCATCTTCATAGCCCTGGTGGCCCAGAACTTCTCTCTGGCACCACAGTTCAATCTCATGTGCGACAACAACAACTCGTTCATCTTCTTGTTGTGCTCGTCAGCGGTACAATTCTGAGCCAAGGCGGAGATAGCCTTGACCAAGTACTTTCCAATACCATCCTCGATGTTCGTGCACTGGCTGGTCAAGGCCTGCAAAACAACCTCGAAACGCGACTGCTGCTGCCAAAACTCATCCTGGTCGTACTTGAACGACGAGGTCAAGGAGATGATAATGATACGGCGGAGATTGATATCGTCCAAGTCCCCGGAAACAAATCGGACCAAAATCTTGTCGACTGACTCTAAGATGTACGAGTAGTAGCTGGTAACGATGGACTTCAAAGACTCCTGTAACTTGTTGAAGAAGCGGAAGAAGGCCAAAAGGCGGTGGATCTCACTAATGCCGGTCTTAGAACCCTCGCCATTGACGGCCCAACGTACCATGTTGGCAAACAACGGTCTGAAAGTTTTGTCGTTCAACTTCATCACGTACTCAATACCGCACTGGAACACAGAGGCCTCAATACGATGCACCGAGTTGTTGTCCAACTCACTCTCATTCCTGAACTCAAACGCATGCAACATGAACTTGACAAAGGAGGTGGCCTGGGCAGCAGCGGCCTTCTTGTCCATGCTCTTGATGGTGAATTCCATCGCGTGGAGGAACAAACCAATGGCAATCGGGTCCATCACACGGACGGTGTTCCAGATGCTACATAATGACTTCATCACGGTCTTCACGTCCATATGCTGGACAATCACGTCCAAAATGGATGCTCTGGTTTTTTCCGAAATGGTCGACGCGCGTAACACCAAGGTGAAGGTTTGGTCGAGGTTGGAGGTCATGAACGCAGGAATGCGTCTAACCAAACAGGAAAACAAAACCACGGTCAGGGTCTGCAACAATTGCTTGGAGTCACTATCGTCGGACAAGACAAGGGAGTCTTCGAAGATCCTGAAAGCCGGTGGAACAATCTTTGGGAAGAACCCTATCATCTTGACCCCGAGAACCGAAACAAGAGATGTCACGACGTTCAAGGCCCCTATAACAATCTCCGGAACGGGGCTCGAGAGCGTCGCGGTGGTGACAGAAAGCGTCGCAGTGAGCATGGCTGCATCGATGGAAGCGCCAAACTTGGCAATTAACAACGCCGCGGTGTCCAAAGCCGCCTGCGCGAGCTCGGCGGCGCACTGGGCCTGGACCATCTCGTTCAAGATCGGGAGTAACGCGTTGGCACTGGCCTGGGCGTTTGCGTCCTCTGCGGACTCCGCGTCAAACTTGGTACCCGCCAAAACAGTCACGTGTCTCAATGTACGGGCGTCCGCGCTCGTGTCGGTGAGTAATTTGGAGATGGACTCCACAAAGTGTCCGATCGGTAATAAATTCAACGTGTTGCCCAACAACTTGAAGAGTGCGTCGGACACAACGTCTTCAGTATCAACCACCGCCAACAACAACTGGATGACGTCGCGGAAGGCAGCGGATATGTGCTCGAGCTGCTCGTCAGAGGAACGCATGTCCAACAAGATGGAGGCGATCTTCAAGCGTAACGACGGAACGGCGTTATGCTCAGCGGTGACGGCGAGGTCAATGAACGTGACAAGACTCGCACGCAAGGCGCCAAGCTCGGCGGTGGTGGCCGTAGCAATAGCACCGAAGATCGGGCGCGAGCTCAACTCTGCCGCGCGCGCTGAGTCGCGCTCAACCGCATGTGCAGGCACCTGCTGCCACACACGCACGTAACCGGTCAACGCTGTGAGCTGCTGTTCGACCGAGAACGTTTGGACAAACGCGGCTGCAAACTCCACGAGCGCGCGCGCCTCGGCTGCCTTGTGCTTAGTGATCGCAGCCGCATACTGCTGGCCCGTGAGGAACAAGATCAAGTGAACAGTGTGCTGCACGCCCAAGGTGGTTGCAAGCGTGGTGAAGAGGCGCACACGGCGATGGCGCGGAATGTGCGCAAACGCCGACGCAAATGATGTGAGGAGAAACTCAATCTCCTCGACGCGCCCATGCACTGCGGTCGCCGCGAGCGCGGGAACGACACACATGATGGTCTGTTCAACCACGTGCGCAGAAAATTCGTCGTCCTGGCGGATGGTGTGTGCACCCATAAAGGTGAAAATGGGCATTACTGAGTGGAGCACAATTTCCGGCGCGAGCGCCGCGAGCGCGGCCACCACTAAGAGCAAACGGTTCTGCACCTGCGGCGATGGTGACGCGCGGATGGTGGCGACAATCACGTCTGCACGGATGGAGTTCAGGTCAAACACAAAGTTCTGGCCCTTAAGGCCACCCACCACCTTCAACATGCTCGCGGCCAAAGTCTCTTGAGCGTACAACACCGGCATGTTTCCGTCACTACCCAACGTCTCGAGGTCCGCAAGAATGCTGAACAACGCCTGTAAGAGGGCCGGCGAGTCCTGTGGCCCTTGCGAGCGCTCAACCAACTCGAGGAGAACGGTGACCTTCTTGAGGTGGTCTGATGCAATCTTGCTGACCTCAGTGTCTTTCATGGCCTGTTTAGTGGCCGTGGACGATCTGCGGCGGCGCTTCGCGACGCCTGCAGGCATGGTCTGGTTCAATTGACATCCCTGGAAGAGACCAACAAAGGTCTTGTTGTCCAAGTTCAACGCCTGAAGGGTCCCCACCGCATCATATTCAATCGTCGCATCGTTCGCAGCGTGCTGGACGATAGTCTCGGCCAACTTCTGCTGAAACTCTGGCTTCAAGGTACCGAAGATTGCAACCACACGCGCGGCGGCAGTCTCCGCAAGCTGCTCGGAGGAAGCTTCCAACGCCGCAACCAAGAAGGCAATCGCGTTCTCATGCTTTTCACGCTCGCCCACTATCCCGACCACCTCCGTGTCGAGATCTGTGAGGCTAAACTTGCTTACTGCACAAGCGGCCTCCCACGCAGCACGCTCGGCAACATACGTCGCGAGGAACGGTGCGAGGAGCTGTGACGGAGCAGCTGCGCCCTTAACAGAGCACACGCTGAGCACATGGATGAGCTTGGCTTTGACAGCCGGGAGCGTGGCGGCCAACGCCTGCGATGTGAAGAACGCGTACGCAAGCTTACCGGTTTTTTTCTCTGCGAACGCGGCGGCTGCGCTCTTGTAAACCTGCTGTTGATCTAAGGCAACTTCGTCCGCGTGTGCAAGGAGCTTCTGCGCGAGGAGCTGACCGTCTGCGGGGGATATGATCGCGACATCCTTGTCGGCGTAGATCTCAGCAAAGAGAAACAAATCCTTGGCCTTTGGGTCACGCGCCGCGATCGCGCGCAAAATATCAACAGCCATCTGTCTCATTGTCTGGTTAGCATGCGCGCAGAGGGTTACAGCAAATGGAATGAGGAGATGTAACGCGTAGTGCGCGGGCAAGTCACGCGTGCGCATGCGCACGAGGCGCATCGCAACGAGGCGCGCTGGCATCGGAGCGGCAGACGCGGCAGCGACACGCACGAGGAACGACAAGGACGCGGCGGGCGACACAAATGACTGCTTGAAGAATGCGTTGGTGGTTTTAGCTGCAACGGCACGAACGTATGTGTTAACAAGTACACGGAACTCCGCGTGGTCCGTGGAGGTGATGAATGACGGGGTTGCGGATGCGGCAAACACTTCCGTCGTTTCCTCATCCTCCTCGAGTGGCTCTTCGGTGTCAAACACCACCGCAGTCTCTTCAGAGGTGAGCGTACACGTCAAGGCCATTTCCAAGTCGGTGAGGGCGAGGTTCGAAGCAGTCAACGCCGCAGCAAAGCCGCTGTGTGCGACCAAAGACTCAAACACAGCAATAAGTGGGGTTTTGTCTTCAGCGTCAAGAACGGTGGTTAATTCTTGAACGATTTTCTTCACCTGAAAGGCATTGAGCTGGACGTAGTCCAAAACCTGAGGCAAGTACGCGAGCTGCTTGGTAGCGATGAGAAGCCTGGCGTACTGGAAGAGGAAGTCGTGGATTTTGTGGTTGGCGGCGATTTCCGTAACCAAGTCGACGTTTTCCACCAAGAACTGAGGCTTTAACTTGGTCAAAAGCGCGGCATCAAGGTCTGCGGTCAATGTCGAAGTGAGTTTCCCGGCACAGACGAGCGCAGACTTCTGGATGGAAACGTCCATATCAGCAAACCCCGCAAAGAGCGAGTCCGTGATGGATGCAATCAAGGCGTCACCAAGCGGCGCAACCGCTGCGAGTACAGACAAGACAGAGTGCGCTGCGATCTTGCAATCGTTCGAGGTTTTTGGCAACAACATGTGGCCAGCGGTCTCCAAGATAATTGGCATGTACACTTCATTAAGTCTAGGGAGGTCCTGGGCGAGGGACGCTGTAAGCGAGATCGCACACGACACGTAAAACACCAACTGGAGCGAGTACTCGTTGTGCTTCTTCATCTGGCCGTTGAGGAAATCAGAGTACAATTGGAAGAACTCCACGTTGAGAAAGCCCTTGACCATGGACACGCGGGTAGGGTTTTTCAAGCTCTTCTTATAGCCATCGAGCCACAGGAAAAGAAGCGGTAATTCCTTCACCACATGCAACACCTTGACAAAGAGCTGCGTCGCGTAGTGCGGAAGCGCAGCCAATAAAAGCGCCTCCTTGTTGTGGATATTGATTTGGAAACGGCGCAAGAGCCACTCGGTCGCTTTGATGGCCGGTGCGAGGTGGAGGTACGGCCCTGCAAGCGCGAGGAAGGTCTCGATACCGGCATCCAAGGCGGCAACCTCTTCCTTGGTCTGCACATTTCTATCAACCTGCACAGCTGTCTCACTGAAGAGCGACAACTTGAAGCGTCCGAAACGGCGGTCAATGGTTTCCAACTCCTCCAAGCCTTCCAACCCTAACGTGTAGATCAAGTCGTAGTCCTGCGTGGCGGCCGTCTTGGCATCGTAGATTAACGACGCCGAGTGCAACTTGTGTCTGGACTTCCTGTCCAACGCGACAGAAGCATTATTCTGCGCGATGGTAGCTAACTGAGCCGACAAAGATGACATTGTAAGCGTTGGTGTATAGTCGGTGAGGGGTGAAAGGGAATTGTAGAGGCTGGAATATTTTTTGTATAAAGTGAAAAATTAGACAGAAAAATATTTTGTGTGCCGGATGCCGGGTAACGCGGGTATGGGCGCGGGCGCGGGCGCAGAAAGTTGGCACCACATTTGTAAATCGTAGCCAAAATTCGGAAGACCGACCCCTTGAATTTGGCTGAAGGCATTATAGAAGACACTAGAGTAAGAAACAGATGCCAGGATATAAATGACAAAATAGGGATATTTTGCAAGTTTACGCAGATTAAAACTGAGTATATAGATTTAAATGGGGCAATGGCTGAATGTTTGGGGTCAATCAGTGAGATTTATAGATACGTAACCACGTCTACCTCCTGAGCGCTATGGTATAGTAAGTTAAGCACAGCAGGGAAAGGTAAGCAAACTGGAATACACAGGCCGTTTTATGTGGGTATAAAACTTCATCTAGTTTTCCATAAACAAGGCCGTGGTTTTGGCAAAAAGACTTGATATTCGTCCCTGGGGTATTAAATCGACGTGATAGAGTTGCAAATACTTAAATTCCTGTGCACCATCTCCAGTAGTGGGTTTGAGTGACCGAGACAGGCTAGTAATCTAGGGGATTCAAGGTCAAATGCCTAACTATTACCTGGGGTGAGAAGAGATTGTTTATATTCTATGACAACTAGGTGTATATTTTTTTTTAATTTGCAGCCAGCACATGAGCAAGTTTATATCCCTGTTTCTATTCAGGGCTTGGACTGACACTACGTTTCTGATTATGCAGAACTAGCTGAATCCTAAGGCTAAATAATATACCTTTTCTGGAGTTTTTAAACTGAATTCATTCGAGATTTGGGCTGTTATGTCAATCGTTCCCTCATTATGAGATTTTGTATCACGTGACTATCAACCCTTGCTTCATTTGCCAGGGTTAAGGCAATTCTAGTTAATAATGTGCAATTTGGAGGGCTTCGCTGTGGAAAATGCTAAAAGTGGTCAAGTGAAGATACCAATTATCCCATTTTAGATGATTCATCCCAGGTGAATAATAGTATTTTCACTCTGATAACAAAAGCTCCTAGTAGTTTTGTCGCATGACTGGTGGTGGTCACACTACCGGTCATCACGCCAGCAAATTTCTACAAATCAACATGGCACCATCCAATTACATCGCACAACTATATACCTCCAACCTCCACAACCTCTTCAATGTCCAGAAGATCATATACTCCCACGCTTGGCGCCATGGGAATTAGCTCCGGTGAAGTCTTGCCCACCTCCGATACCTCCTCACAATACGGGAGGACGCCGTCACTCGTGGCTTCCCCGAAAGGCCGAAACCATGCCTATTCTGCCAGACCCAACAGAGTGAGCGCCAATTCGTCATTCAGAATCCCCGTTGTGCTCAAACGGCTCGTCAAACCTCCGACGTTGGACTTCGAGACGGCGCTGTGGGAAATCTTCTATCTCCTTTTTGCCCCGCGCAGGGTCTACAAGCAGCTATACTACCGCAAACAAACCAAGAACCGCTGGTCGCGCGACGACCCTAGCTTTGTCATTTTGCTTGTATTCTTCTTGACCGTCAGCGCTGTTGCCTGGGGACTCGCATATACTAGTGGGGCCGTGGCGATCTTACGGATGGTCTTGTACATGGTGGTGATTGACTTTTTGGCAACAGGATTCGCCATTGCGACCGTCGGCTGGCTTTTGGCCAACAGGTTGTTCAAGAAGAGTTCCCCGGCTACTATTGGCGGCGTCAGCGATGAGGAGTTGGAATGGGCGTTCTGCTTCGACATCCACTGCAACAGCTTCTTGATCATCTGGGTGTCGCTCTACTTGGTACAATTTGTCTTGTTACCGGTCTTAACGTTGGACAACTGGCTCTCGCTCTTCTTGGGCAACACCATGTACTTTGGCGCTCTCAGCTACTACTTTGTAATCACCTTCTATGGCTACAACGCCTTGCCCTTTTTGGAACACACCGAGATGATTTTGTTTCCGATACCAGTCGTGGCGGCCCTCTACTTATGCAGTTTGTTTGGCTTCAGCATGGTCAAGCACATGAGCAGCTTGTACTTTAATTAACGGCCGGGTGGTATTTGAAAATCCTTCCCTTCCTCCCCACTGCAAATCGTCATAATTAATGTTATATGAATAGTGCCCGTTAAATTGTACGAGAAATGCAATTCAAAACTAAAGTCGTCAATCAGTTTTTGATTAAAGGCAGTCCGGTATGAGGTGTAGCTGACATTTGCAATCGATTTTGCTAAAATTCAAATGAGTATACTAGTAAAAGCATTGTGTCACAGGAAATTCAACACTAAATGGCTTTATATAACCCTGTCCTCGGGGAATAAAGTGGCGATGTCAGTGCTCAAGCTGAGGTAAACGTTTCATTATATGGTAAGCTTTCTGTTCCCAGTTGAGTTAATATCTCTCGCCCAACCTTCAAACAGACACTGTAGTTGGGACAAATTCTGCACGAGATCTAAGGGTTTAGAGAGCTCTATCATAAGAAGGCGTGCTCTAGCACACGCATCCACTGTAAACTTGTTTAGAATGAAGATATTTAACCCTGTATAAGGATATGGGAGGCTCCTAGGCCACGGCAGTTAGACTCCCTAAGAGACTCATAAGTATCGAGTCTTTGCTAATCAGCTGTAAAGCACAAGTGAATTATCTGGCAAACCTACAATTGGAGTCGTCGCATGGACGTGTATTGCTATATATCTATAAACTACTATTGAGATGTCGTGCCGTGTCATGATCTGAATACCACATCTGTGTCTAAGTTGACAAAGATATACCAGAGCTATCCCAAAACACGGGCGCTGTCGCTCTTCGGAACCGAAACGGAATTTTCCCTGTGGCCGGGTGTTAATCAGTCAGGGGAAACTCAGCTGAGATGACTGCCAATCTAACACCATCATGGTGCTGAAAAGGAGCCAAAAGGTTCCAATAGTAGATTATATATCTATAATATTGTAATATTAATTGAGATAGTATAACCACTACTGATGTTAATTTCAGAGCAAGGGAGACCGGGGGAAGGACTATATTTATAGTTTTTTCGGCTGTGTGCGGGTAACCGCGATCTATCGTTAAATTTTTCACAGCTCGAGTATTTTCTTTCCAGGGCTTGCGGAAAACTTATGACACTCGAGAAATGAAAAATGTTAGGGCTTGGTGGATGCAGGATGTCCTGATAGAGATGCCCTGCACCTGTTTTCAATCATAGCATAATTACAAGAGGTCATGTTCCAATAGTGATGGAGGTGTATTTTTATAAACTTTGATTGATTACGTAGTCATACTGGTACGTTGCTGGCGTTATAGTGTGGCTGCTATCCTTCCAGGCTGTAAACACATCTATATATATGTTGCAGGTAAAGCTTCCATATGGTAACTGTTTGATGGAAAAAGTACAATTCGAAACATTTGGCAGCAAAACTATAACATTTTGTGGCTGGATTGGCCTGTCATCCGGTATTTCCCGTATATATAAACCAGGTCCTGAGCCTATAGCTTCGATGTCAAGTACTGTTCAGCAGCCTCAAGAGCCAATTTTTCACTCTTGAGGATACCGGTGATGACCCTCTTTCTGGATTCCTTAGCCTGCTCGTACAACGCGGTGTACTGGGCACCGGTAATACCATTATCTGGGTATTTAGCGTACTTTTCCTTGACCCAGTCCAATACCAACTGGTAGGCTTTGACTTCCTTACTCAATAACTTTGCCAACGCAAGCGGCATGTTGGCAGGCTTGGTCTTCGCGAGCTTGGCAAACTTTGCCTCTGGCATCACCATCAAGTGAGCCAAGGCATAGGTAGTATCAGACGGTTCACCGTTAGCCAAAATACGAGGTTCAAGTTCCCATTCTTCCTCATATGGCTCCTCCTCCTCGCCACAGCCGTCATCACAAGTACCATCATGTTCATGGTCATGTTTCTTCTTCTCCTGTCTAATCATCTCGTTGAGGAGATCGTAGCCAATGGTTTCCCAGAACTTGACTCTTTTTCTCACAGCACTCTGCTTTTTTATGTACTTCAAGACTTGCACGGACAAGCTGACATAGTCAGCAGGATTGTTATCGATAATGAAGCCGTATCTCTGTACTAACAATGAGTTTGGTAATGAACCATAGGTGTTGTACAACTCATCCCCAGCCAAGGCTGGGAACTCGAGGACAATATCGCAACACTCAGACGCATCCATGCTGAAGATTTCTTCGAGTTCCGGAGAAATCTCGTAGTCAAGCGAGTCCTCCTCTTCACGATCACTTCCGGTCTCTTCCTTTTCATCCTCTATGTCCTGCTTGAGCTTTTCTTCCAACTTAGTGATGTGCTCCAAGGTAATCTCAGTCATTGGCTCCAACTCCTCGTCAGATTCAAGCTCCTCACCAGACCCAAGCTCTTCATCAGACCCAAGCTCCTCATCAGACTCCCAGCCATCTTCGGAATCCTCTTCACCGGAGACATCTTCAACCCCGTCATCTTCTTGCCCCGAAACCTCTTTGGAAATATCCTCAAACCCATCATCTTCCATTTCTACGTCAAAGTCTTCATCACTTTCGTCGTGATCACACTCCTGTTCGCCGCACTTGGTGCAGCAACCAGCATCACAGACAAAGTGGACGTGCTCAGCACCATCGCCATTGTCAGATGACGGAGAGGCGTGGTTAAACAAGCAAGCACCTGGAACCAAGGCAATCTCGTGATAACTGTCGATTTCAAAGGCACGGGAGGTGATGGCCTGCACGACGGCAGCAAATTCATTGAATCTGGCCCTGTTTTCCTCTTCGGTGCTGGATGTGGTGTTGACATTCAACTCACGTGGAATGGCAATGGTATCAGCGACTGCCTTGGCAAAGGTGACAGATTCCGTAAAGACCTGCTCCAACTCGGAGCTGTCCAAGATGTTCAACATGTCAATTTGGGTATTAGCCAACAAAGCCTTGTCAGTTTTAGACCAGCAGCCCACCGGCTGCAACAAGGAGCCATCATCGTTGCGGTACATGATGGAGTCGATGTAGTCGAACCACGGAGACTTCTCGCCCAAGGCTTTTTCGTATATAAAGGCAAGGATCAAGCCGTGGATACCGCCAATGGAATTTTCGTAGAACAAATTTGCAATGCACGAGTTTCTGGCGCTGAGGATGTTCCTTTTTGGAATCCGTAAGAGCAAAACCTGCTCTTCAAGCTCTGGATCGAGATCTTGCTTGGCAAACACACCAATACCACCGATTGGAGACGGTCTGAGCTCCATGAGCTCGGTGTTCCACAAGGAATTGGCAGTAAGCCACTTTTCCAATGCCTTGGTCTTATGAGTAGAAGCCATGGTTCGTGTTGTGAGATTTATTATCCAAGGTTTACCCCGATAACATGTATGAAAAATATTCATGCAGCGTGAAAAAAAATACGGTACAGGGCATGAACCAAAAAAAGAAATCTGCCATATAAGCTTGAAATGAAATGTTGAGTAGCTTTCCAACTAATATAATTGATTTACATATATAATTATTAATCATATATTTGATCTGGTAGATATAGCTAAATAATTCTAATACAACTTTAACCAAAATTAAATGGCATCACATGTAATTTATATTAGGAATACGTTGGAAGGTTAAAGAAAAGATATAAAAAAAAGTTGAAAAACGAGTAGCAATAAATAAATGTAGATAGAGGTGAACAGTTCATTACATTCTCCTTTCATACGATAGGCCGGACGGTGAACCGTGTTGAGGGGGGTTTTCACCGTCGAATTCCTCATGGTGGCTTACGAAAGTGAAATTGGACAAGTTTGATGGCAAAAGGGCCACTCTAGGAATGGCTTCGATACCGGTCTGGAGTTTCGTGCTATTTCCGAGCGCTGCAATTGAATCGACGCCTTTACACTCCAGTGACCAAGTGTAATCATTCACCGGTTGAAAGGAATCATACAGATCGAAAAGATTTCTTTCGTGACTGACCAAGGGTTCTGGGAAAGGGTGAAGGTGAAACTTTCTGTGTAAATCCCCCGTACTTGGCATTTCATTCTCATCCATATCTATGGCATTCTCATCTTCCTCATCAACCCCCAATTCTGGAGGAGTATCATTCAAATTCACCACATCGTTCATAAATTTCTGAGTCTTTTCATTCTCTTGCATCTCCTTGTACTCAGCCAAGAATTCAGACATGCTCAACTCCACCTCGCAGGGGTCATAGATCGCATGTTCATTCTCTCCATGAAATTCCTGCTGGGTGAAGTTGTGGATCCCTCCAAAGTCCTGAAAATCAGGGTGGTAAACACTAGTGGTCCTGCAGTCAACCACTTCTGGGAAGCTGTTCAGGAAATCACTAGTGATATGTACAGGTTTGTCATTTGTTCCTTCCGTCTGGCCACTGTGATTAGACATGTTGTAGTTTTCATCGAGTGTAGGTAAGACTGATTGCTCGAAGGGCCCCCCACGAATCTTTGGCGAGCTGTTTGTCAACACCGCCTCTCTCAAAGCAGCATCGGTAGTGCCAACTTTGATGGGGATGGAGCTATGGTTTTCATACAATGCAGAATGCCTCAAACGCTTATTGGCACTGCTGGGCATGCTGGGCATGTTTGGAATTCCAGCAAGAAGCAGGTTTTTGGTAAGAGAATTCCTGCCACCAGGACTACAAGACGACTTAGGGCGAGACTTTGCTGGGGTCTGGTATGGCCCGTCAAGTACGGTCCCTTTAAAGTATGACATGCGGCACAAGTCGTCAACAGTGGCCCTTGCAGCGGGGTTCCAGGTTAAGCACGCATCGACCACGTCTGCCAAGTCCGTATTACCTACGGGCAAAACATTATCCATCACCACTCCCTTCGTCACCGGTAAATGGAATCCCAACTTGGCAGCCAAGGGCTGGGCCTCGTCCCAAGACCCACCCAAAGGAAGGGCCTGTTTGTCGCCGCTACACTTGAAATCTGGAGAGCCGAGAACCTCCAAGACTCTCCACGTCTGGTCAAGCTCATTGGAGCCCGGGAAAAGGGGCCTGAAGGTGGCAATCTCTACCGCAACAGTGCCAAACGCCCAGATATCCACTGGACGCGAGTACCACTTTTTCCGCAAGAGAATCTCGGGAGATCTGTACCACCGGGTAGATACATAGGAGGTGTAGGATCTGGTGTTCTCCACGTGCCTGGCTAATCCATAGTCTGCGAGCTTGATGATGTAGTTGTCGCCCTTTCTCAGTTCAGGAATGGAGCTTTTATCGCCATAATAGTCTTGCGCTGGCATCACAAGAATGTTCTCTGGCTTTATATCCCGGTGGAAGTAATCGTACTTGTGGATATGGCGGATGGCATCCAAGATCTGTGAGAGAATGCTCTTCAACGTAGCAGGGGAGAAAAAGGAGTGCTTGCGAGCCTTGATCAACTGATAGAGGTTTTGGTTCATGCATTCCATCACAATGTGTAATTGGAAGCGAGAGCTATCAATAAAGAGTTCGTAGATCTGGACCAAGTTGGGGTGTGAGGGGATGGAGAGGATAAACTTGATTTCCTTCACTCTAGTGTAGTCGTTTAACGATGGAAGCTTCTTGTTCATGGTCTTGATCGCTACAAGGGAATTATTGTGCTTCTGCTGATCCAGTGTAGGCTCTAAGAGGGTACCAACCTTGTGGTTATCAAACCCAATCAAGTTGTCAAAATCGCCTCTAAATTTAGCCAATGTAACGCTTCCAAAACTGCCATTGCCAAGGTTGCTAATGACTTGATACCGGTTTGCGAACGTTCTCAACGGAATCTCCGTAGGAGGGTCATGAATGTCCTTGGGAATGGTAGCTTGAATGTTGGCCATTTTAAAGGGGCGGAACGGGGCTCGGCTAGGGGGGTACCGAATGAAGGTTTAGGGGGAGTGACTTGAACCTTCAAACTTTCACCACGGCTTCCATACAGTCAAACAGGGGACAGACTATCCGGTGAACAGAAGGTGGAGTAAAAGAGATTTGGGTCGACTGCTTCAAGAGGAGAAAAATAGCCGCCTACTTTCTTTATATATGTAATCGCCAAACCCACCCACAAACCCTATCAATCCAATGCATTCTAACAAAACGAATGGAATTGTATCGTGTAGGGGGGATACCTACGCGCCGAGGGGTTTACTTTGTGACTACTTTACTTTGATGCCTAACTTTGATTTTGTGGTCAATTGATTATCTCCCAATCTGGCAGGTATGTACGTAGAAAGATGGAGTTAACCAGAATGTGCAGCGATCTACCTGCGTAGTTTGTTCGCTGCATGAGTGCACAACTAGAGGTTTATTAAACTCAACCAGAGAAAATTTTCGGTCATACCTCAACTGTCGTCTGATTGCCGAAATCAGTTCTATACATGTCTGCGAGGTCCTTCCGATTATCAGAGTCTGAGCTAGGTAAAGCGGAGCTGGTTACCCCTCTCAATTACCTTCAGCCAAGGGCAGCCGACGATACGAAGACTCTCGAGCAATGACTTTGGAATCGCAATTTACGCAAAAACCGATTTCGTGTAATAAAACCTGCAGGGGGTATCACAAACTCACTGCACTGAATGCACAAGTGACACTTGGTGTCAACAAAAGAAACTCAAAATGGCGTGTGTTGTCGCGATATGTTATCGTGCATCTGCCGGCCCCTTTCACAAAGAATACGACCAATTAACCTGTCTGGTAATAAGGTATAACCGCATACCTTAGATACCGAAGAAGCGAAATGCATCCAATACAGTCACTGATTTATACTTACAGCGTGTACCTATAAACATTATGGAGATGCCTTGTTGCACGTAACGAGCCTTCCCTATATCCTGTTCACACGTACACAAACCAACAACTGAATTGCTTAGCTATAAAAGGGCACTATAAATTAGCTAACACTGTATTTTAATATAAGAATGCGAAAAATGAACCGATATACAGCTCATTGAAGGAAGCTAGGGGAATAGGTGACACCCATGCCGTGCGTCTCGGCTCTGCATGTATATGCATCGATATTGAACCCACATGGCTAGGGACCCCGTAAAACTCCACACAAAACCGCAATCTGCAAAATTTTCCTGGCGACGGAAGCCGCTCCCTGCACGCACGCCAGATCCTGCGACAGTAAAGGTGAAACCTAAGATTGCCTTTTTGGTTTTATTTCTTAGATCTAACTTTTTCCGCTATTCACAGGAGAAACACCAAGTGCGTGTATCCGAGTCACGGTTTAATCGAATCAAAACGATGCCGCATTCACGCAGGATATGTCTTTCAACTACCCCTTAGATTGTGGGAATTAGTCTACATAAGAGACAAGGACACACCCATGCCATTCCGGGTATTTAAACGAGGACTTTAAAGTGACAATCTTGCTATATCAGACGTTAAGTCCAAATCCTGAATCCACCATAACATTCAGATGCATACTCCAACTTCTCGTGAATGCCACAAACCAAGAGTGGCTCAATACTCCCACAATGGCTTGTTAAATGGTTTGCTTAAAAGTGGGCGGAATCGGAGACCCACAACCTAGGTCTCTACTATAGAGTGCCTGCCCGGCGTAAGCCTTAAGATGTACACACATATGAGCGGATGAGCCTCATCAATACATTGGGGGAAAATTTAGAGTTTTTTTGCCAGTACCAACAGCCGTTAAGACTCCATCGGTAGCCATTAATTTTTTTTTAATACACACACAGTAACTGTAGTAAGTGCGCAGTGGTCACGTGGCAGGGAACGATACCTTATATAATGAGGTCGATTCCTCCTCCTGTTATCCTATATAGGTTAGATAGCTAATCAATATACTATAAGTAGATTTTCTACCCTCGAGGTAGAGACATACCATGGTAACAGTAGTTTCATCTTCCTTAAACCTTAAAAAAATTCGGTTGATCTTTCCCGCACCCGTGCGACATTTGTTAGCACTGTCGTATAGACCACGTGACATAACGGCTACACGCATATCCCCGCATTTTCTAATGGCCCCGGGCGATTGATCCCTCGGGTCATGCTAGAATTTCCAAAACGCCGCCAAACAACCAGCCTTTCGGGTGAACATCCAACCCTGTTTACCAGGTAAGATTCGTAGTTCTGAATCTGTCATATATTATATAACAAACACAGTTTTCCCCAAAGATCGAATCTCATGCAGCCATACAATCACACTTGATCACCAAATGGCGGGACTTTTAAAAGTACAAGGCACGAAAATCGTTGACACACAGGGCTACGCTGTGGTGTTGAAGGGCGCTGGTATCGGGGGCCACATGAACATGGAAAATTTCATCACTGGCTACCCAGGCCAGGAAGCTGAACACAAGGAAGCATTGTTGAAGGCCATGGGCCAAGAAAAGTTTGATTACTTCTTTGACAAGTTCTATGAATACTTCTGGACCGACAAGGATGCAGAGTTTTTCAAATCTCTCAATCTCAACTGTTTGCGCATTCCATTCAACTACCGCCACTTTGTGGACGACGCTGATTTGTTCACCATCAAACCAAAGGGGTTTGCCTTGTTGGATAGAATTGTGGATATCTGCGCTAAGCACGAAATCTATGTGATTTTGGACTTGCACGCCGTTCCGGGAGGCCAGAACCAAGATTGGCATTCTGATTCTGGTATCCACAAGGCTTTATTCTTCCAGTTCTCGGTATTCCAAGACTCTATGATTCATTTATGGAAGGAAATCGCTAGTCACTATGCGGGAAACCCTTGGATAGCCGGCTACAACCCATTGAACGAACCAGCGGACTCCAAGCATCACAGATTAGTGGAATTTTACATCAAGGTGGAAAAGGCAATTAGAGAAGTGGATCCTGACCATATTATCTACTTAGATGCCAACACCTACGCGATGGATTTCAGCCAGTTTCCAGCGACCCCTTTCCCAAACACTGTATACGCCATTCATGACTACTCAGTTTACGGTTTCCCGGGTACCGGTGATCACTACTCAGGCACTCCAGAGGAGAAACAGAACTTGTTGAAGCTGTACTCGCGTAAGATTGAGTACATGAAGCAGAAGAAGGTGCCAGTCTGGAACGGTGAGTTTGGACCTGTTTACGCGAGTGAAGCAAGAGGAGATATCAATTACGAAAAGGCAAACCAGAGACGTTACCAGGTGTTGAAGGACCAGTTGGCTATCTACAAAACCGGCGACCCTTCAGGCGACGGGGCCCCAATCTCGTGGTCCATTTGGTTGTATAAGGACATTGGCTACCAAGCAATCACCTACGTGTCTCCAAAGTCCAAATGGTTCCAAGTGTTGGGAGACTTCCTCTTAAAGAAGCAGAAGTTGGGTCTTGATAAATGGGGGAGAGACGCGGATCCGGAGGTAGAAAAGATCTACGACCGTGTGAAGGCTCATTTCCATGAGGCCATTCCTCAGGAGTTCCACAAGCTGGTCTACCCAAACAACTTTGGGATTGACAACTATGTAGACCGTGTCTTGAGAGAAATGTTGTTGTCTCAGTATATGGGGTACGAGTTTGCCGATCTTTTCAAGGGCTTGGACTTTGCAGAGTTGGATGAGTTAGCTGCCAGCTTCAAGTTTGAGAACCTTGAGACCAGAGACGATTTGAATAAGTACTTGAGCGAGTATTAAAATGAACACTAGTTGGAAGAGGTGCATCAGATATTGTCTCACACTCGGTTTATCACGAAATCCAATCATTCTACGATTCTTCCGATATAGTGTAACGGCTAGCACGGTTCGCTTTCACCGAGCAAACCCGGGTTCGACTCCCGGTATCGGAGTTATTTTTATTCTTGTGACATAATTCGATGTTTCTTTTACGATCAATAGTAAAAATCGCGTCTGTTTTTGAAAAGTCGATAGAATTTTTGCCAATAAAATCGTAGTGAAAGACCCATTCCGTGTACCTGAAGCCAGGGGGCTTTATCGTCTCTCAGGGGTACAGATTTTACCCTCTCCTTGTTATACAACCAATGGAGAATAGTAACTAGTCTAATAAGCATTACTGACAGAATAAAAGGCTTTAAAATATTTAAAAAATGCGACTTCTGTGGATCGAACACAGGACCTTTAGATCTTCAGTCTAACGCTCTCCCGACTGAGCTAAAGTCGCTCGGGAATGATTGCCTAAATGTGACCGGTGGTAAAAGCGAGACATGATATGATACCTTCATCCTTGTATCCGACTATTGGGGTGTGGGGCGGCTGAACCAAAGGTATTCAGCTATATAGAGACAGGACAACAAATGATATATTTGGATCTAAAATCCTGACGGACACACTACCCTGGCTTATTTCCACACTAACACCTCCAAGAGAAGTAAACGAAAGTCTAATATTGAGGCATTAGTAAGCATAAAATCACCTTTATTTACCCCTTATCCATCTTGTAAACAGTAAGGTATAAACTGTGTAAGTTCAGTGTGGACACGATCTTGTCGGTTTAGCGATGGTCTTGCGTACCCACAACTATGCCCACACCCCCACAGTACAACTAAATCTCCTAGTGGTTTGAATAACTATCTTAATTGCTAGGTTAATTCGATTACTCGCTCATAATTGGGTATAGGCTTAATTAACCGAATTATGATTAAAGAATAGAGTATATAAGCGACGGGATGTCCGGATTATGCCATGAGTTTCATCCTCAACCAGCTCTTTTAAACACTCAGCTTTTATAACTATGACTCTTTATACTGCCATTGAAGCCAAAACCGTCTCTCATCCCTCGAAAACCACCTATCTTGGAAATGTTCCAGGCCAAGGGAAAGAAACTCTCGTCGATTTGACGAAAGGAAAGCCAACAGGTGGCTATGCTTCTTTTGCCTATCTCCTCCCAGCTCCAACCCTTGCCCGTTACAAAAAGTACGGTATCGACACCAGCAAGGGTTACCCAGAGGCCCCACCTCAGACCGAAATCCCAACCTTCGTGGATGAGGCCTATGCGGTCAGAAACAAAGATTTTCCGTATACCGAACGGGGGAAGAACGCTGACCCCGAGAAGAAGGCATTGTTTGGAGCAGCCACAGAGGTTCGCCACTTGACCAAGCACATCGGGACCGAGATTGTGGGGTTGCGGTTACAGGCTTTGACGGATCAACAGAGAGACGAATTGGCCCTTTTGATCGCCGAAAGAGTGGTGGTCTTCTTCCGCGATCAGGACTTGTCTCCTCAGAAGCAATTGGAGTTGGGAGAGTACTACGGCCAGGTGGAAAAGCATCCACAGGCCCAACACGTCCCTGGCCTCGAGGGGATTTCCATCATCTGGCCGGAATACTATACCCAAATTGGCTATAACAGTACCTTTAAGCAACCTAGATCCGGGTGGCACACTGACTTGGTCCACGAACACCAACCAGCGGGGATCACTCATCTCCACAACGACACCATTCCGCAGGTTGGGGGCGATACTGCCTGGGCTTCCGGATAAGCGGCTTATGACAAGTTGTCTCCTGCGTTGCAAGAGTTCTTGATCGGTAAGAAGGCTGTTTACGTCTCGGCTCATAAATACTTTGACAGAAACGATCCGTTAAACGGGAAAAGGCGTATTGAAAGAGAACACCCTATTGTTAGAACCCACCCGGTCACTGGGTGGAAGTCTCTCTATGTCAATCGTGCCATGACTGACAGAATTGTTGGATTGGAACCAGGCGAGTCCAAGGTGCTTTTGGAGTATTTGTTTAGAGTGTTTGAAAAGAACTTGGGCATCCAGGTACGTTTCAACTGGGAGCCAACAAAGAAAGGGCTAGGAACATCTGCCCTATGGGACAACAGAGTTTCGCAACACAATGCCATCTGGGATTACGAAAACACCGAGCCACGTCACGGGACCCGAGTAACGTCGTTGGCCGAGCTTCCCTACTTTGACCCTCAATCAAAGTCACAGCGCGAGAGCCAGGGCTTGTCTATTCAGTAATGAGTCTAAAAGGTTTACACCCAGTATTTATTCAATATCATTCTGTCATTCCCACCTTTATTAGGTGAAGATGTAGGGTGTGTAACGTATGTAGAGAGTGTTATTAACGACCCCACGCTTTCCTCTACCTAGCCAAAAGAAAATTAGATTGAGCCTTTTATTGATGCTACTGGATGGCCCAGAAACTATTTGTAGATAACACCGATCTATATGGCTTTCCGAACCAGACTCCCATCAGACTGTTTTACTCCACAAAGTTGGCCTTGGAAGAATCGGATAACTTAAGAAATGAGTAACTTCTAGTTCTTTGATCTACCGCAAAGCCGTCTTCAGATAGGATAATTAAGATCACGCTTCATGACGTCCTAGGGGAAGAACGCAGGTTATACAAAGCAATCGGATAACTACAGCGAGCCGTATTCCATAACCAGCAAGCGGCTTAGCACCATGTTTGGTAAAAAAATTTGAAATAATTAATATTTCACCTAACTGTTTAAACGGTCTACCGCTGCCTTGATCTTCATGGAGGTTCGGGTACTCAACTCGTAATCGCCCTCACCCACAACCTCGGCGCGCTTTAACCACTCCTTGGCTTCCTTCAAGCCGCACTCGCCCTGCAGCTTCCACGTGAACAAGGCGCGCTCATAGAAGACGGCTGGGTACAACCACGGGTCGTGGGTCAATTTATGAAAATGGAATTGCGCGGCGGGTGCCAGCGCAGGTGACGTCATGATCTGGGGAATGACCTTGGTATCCACGAGCCGCTGGCCCTTCTGGATGTAGCCTAAGCGACGAAGCGCAATGGCCTGCAACGTGTAGCGGATCATGGCATCATCCTTAGACTCGGGGAAGGAGAGCGGATACATCGCCTGGGAGTCGTTGAGAGAAAAAGCGGTGCCCACAGCCCCAGAGTAGCCCAACATCCTGAGCGAAATCTCCAACTCCACGCGTGGCATGCGGTTATACCCGTTCCAGAAGTACTTGAGTTCATGAATCGGCGAAACACCCACCGCATCAACAATACTGGCAAGTTTGTATGCCTTCTGGGTTTTCTCAAACGAGTCGATTTTGCGGAGCAAGAACTTGTCAAACGGCATGGTTTTGGCCAAAAACTTTTTCTTCCCAACCAACAAAGGAGCCTCCAAGATGGTTGTTTCCGCCAACTTCCTGTACTTGACCATGGCCTCGACCTTGCTCAATGCCAAATCCTCCGCGCTCTTCAACGTGTAGATGCCGAGCTTCAACATCCGGTAGATCTCGAGATAGCAGCAGCCGGCAAAATATGTGTAGAGACCATGCGACCATGCATTCTTTTCCACTAGCAACAAGAAGTCAGCCGCCGCACGCTCGTACTCGTGGAGAAACAACAAGATCATCGCACGGTCATAGATGAGCAACGCCTCGACCTGCTTCATCTGGATGTGCGCGATTTCTGCAGGGTTGCTCATGATTGCCACCGCCTCCGCTAGCTTGCCCTGTGACGCAAGCATCCGTCCTTCCTGCAAGAGCCAGAGAGCGGAGTTCGGGAAGAGCGCACGCGCCCTGAGAAGGGCCGTCTCGAGCTTGATGCCCGGTCTGAGAAGCGTCAGCGGCGTGTGTGTGTACGTCTCCAGGACGTGGGGACCCGGCGCCGGTATTGCTTCGTTGGATTTGACAGAATAGAAGTCGTCGGCCTCTGCATCGTCTTCAGTCTTACCCAAGACGCCGCCACCAACACCTAGAACCGAAACAAGAGTCATTTCATCATCTAGGGTGGTTGCCACAGACTTTGCCGGAGCTAAGTCGTCATTAGCAAGCCCCTCCATGCCAGGCAAGCTATCTGGAACGTCAAAGTCCAGGTCGGTGAACTGGAATGGACCGTCGTAGAAAACAAGCAAGGCCAAAAGAGCGATTCCCCCGTGGATGTTACGTTCGTTAGCGGCTTCCCAGAGCATCTTGAGGCCCTGTTCGCGCGAGCCCTTGAAGCCAACCACCAGGAGCACCTTCCCGATGGCCGGTGGAATTAACAGGAGCACCACCTGGAGGATTCCGAAGCACAAGTTGACCCCCGAGTGGATGAACTCATCAATTGTGGCCTTATCATTATCGATATCGAATTCCAGTGATACCTCCGCAGAAGCAGAGGTTTCCGAGGAGGCAGAATCTTCCGAGGTGGCATTTTCTGACGTAGCGTTTTGTGAGGCAATGGTATCCGAAACGGCATTTTCTGGAGATGCCGAGCCGGAGCCGATAGCAGTTCCCTTTGTAATCACCCCCAAGGTACTTCTCAATCGATCCACCAATGGCGAATTGCCGATGTGCGCGCCTCGGATGCGACTGCGGCGCATCTGAAAAACCTTATCCACACGCGCGATCAACTTCGTGTCGCTCATCTGCTTATCGGACAAAGGGAACGGGATGTCAGCGAAGGAGGTGGTGGAGGTTGTCGACCCAAATGACGCGGTGCTGGGGTTCTGGAGCTTCAGCAACGGCGTCAGATATTCGAGCATCGTTCGGTTGATCTCGTCGAGCGTGTGATACGCCTTGCGCAACTTGTACAAGGCTTTGGCTGACTCGATGACACTTTCAGATAGCAACATGATCAAGGCCGAGAGAAGGTTGGACTCGGCGTACATAACGGCGTACTCGGTGCCCGGCGGATACACAGACGACGTTTTGAGCTTGTTCTTCTGAAACTTGGCGCGATCGCGCAGCGACATCGTCTCAGCCAGCTGCAACGTGACGAAGGCTTTGCGCATCGTTTCCGGCTCAAACCCCAAAGTGGCCTCGAGGAACTCCACAACGCCGAGGCCAAGCTTGAAAATGGTGTGTTCGTCTTGTTTGGCTTTGATAAGGTTAATGCCCTCTTCTGCACGGTCATCAAGCACATAATCCATCGCGCGGAGCGTGAGCTCAAAGTCTTGGACCTCATTGAGGATTTGCGCTGTTTTTTCCTCTGCCGTGGCCACTGGCTCCGTCGATTTGGACAATCCGAGAGCCTTTAACATAGGATGAGTAGAGGTAAAGAAGATCGGATGAAATGGAGACCGTTTCAGATGTAAGATAGAAAATTCAGAATTAGGAAAAGGTTGGCTGGTTTAGATAATGTGAAATCAGCTTCAGAAGGCAGATTGAAGGAGACCGTTTCAGATGAGCAATGAAAAAAAAGACCGCCTTGAAGATGGGATAGCCGTCGTTTCAAGGCTTGCGAGATGGTGAAATAGCGCACTAAACCTTTTCACAGAAAGTGAGGCGGTAATTCAGGCGGATCAGAAACGTAGATGCTTGGGGCAGCGAAGCGAAACGGTTGGGAGGCCTGTATCTGATCTCGAAAGAAGTAGGAGAACTTCGGTCTGATACTAGAGTGGTTTGTGAGTGAGCAAAGTGGTAGATGCCTGTAAATACGCGAGGAGGGTGCTCTTGGATCAAATTGCCAGCTTGACTACCCGCCGGGTGTCGCGTTGAGACTCTTCCACCTCCTCCCGATTCGGTGCGTGATGTGGGGAGACGTGCGAATTAGGGAGGCCTAGTTGAGCGACTTATCGGCGAGGTGGACATAAACGAGCGGGCCACAGATTTGTTGGGCGCTGTTCGCCGGATTTATATTACCATCTACCTGACTATACTAGAAGACTGGTATATTCGAAGATCCTAGACATAGTCTACTAATAGTCTGGGATTAATGGTGAAATACCTGCTGTATCGACCTTAGTAACACTAGTACTTGTGTATCGACTTCCGCCACGTATGACAACTGCTAAACCTCACGGGATATCACTGGCCGCATGAACCGAGAAATTTATGACACTCTAACGGCTGGCCACCACTGAATTATGGTATCTTCGCCTTTCGTACCAGGATTCGTTTCTCTGATACGAACTGAGTTCTTGCTTGCGCCTCTCCCAAACAAGCATTCATTGTCCTGCGCCGAACACAATGATTAGCATAATGGATTGGCATCCTTGAACAAGTAGGAATGTGTGAGGAAGTGCGCACTGAGATTAGGTTTTCATCCCCAAATGCTCTATGAGAAACATAGAGCACTTAAAAATTATTGACAAAAGTACATGGGGCCATAGTATACGTTTTATCGTGTGAGTGCAGTATTATACCACGTTATATGTGACTAGGGGCTATATAATATGTACTAAGTCGTATGAAACTCCGCCTCGCGGCGCCTATTGACTAAGAATCCACTGATAGGGCTCTCGACCTCTCTTCGATGGCATTCAGTATACAAATCCGGACGATACTTGTCTCGGATTGATAACTGACTGGTGTATCGTTCCATAAGCTCGTTATCTTAGGTGTCCATCACGTGTTGACTTTACGATATTTGGATGCATCCCCTCATATCTACTCCTTCATAGCCAAGCAACTTGCCTTATTTTGCCAACGGTTGACTTCGAGTTTTCCAATCGATAACTTTTATGTAATAAATGTTTTGATCCTCCTCCAAGGGGATATAAAAGCATGATGTGAGGAACCCCATGCCATGAAAGCCGGGTATACGTTGAATAGTTTTACTCCGTACAATACGCAATAAAAAAAATTGACGAGAGGTTATTTGGGAATTCAACTATTCCCACTTTTTTTTCCCCCAATTTCGCGTTTCTAGATATAAGAAACCTATACTGGCGTTATCCCTGATAATACTGGAGTTATATATGTTGCTCAATTCATACGAAATGATGCGGTATTACCATTATCCTGTCTGTCGCAAGAGCCGTTAAGGGCCAGCCCCACCAGGCAATGCTCGATGACGTAGATGCAAAGGTGGAACATTATATGCAGGCCACACAGTTAGCCTGGACGTGTTTTACCGCACATCAGATCTCTGTGGTAGCCAGTGATGAAATCTTGCTATGTATACCACTTGGACGTTTCTCGTCTCAAACTTTGACTTGGTAGCAATGAAATTTTCTTCTTATCCCTGTCTATTTTCCCGTTTAGTGTGTAACAGCGGATGTCTGACCTCATTGTGCATGCGCCGTAATGCATGCACGCATGTTTTTCCGAGCCCTTCTAAACCACTCCAAGTCTCAGAAACAGATAAGGGAGGAAACCTGTACTGCAAGAATTCAACTTTTGCCTGAATCTATTCCTGCTAATACGTCAGATTTAAACGGTTGGTCTTGAAGGTTCAAAATCTGTTTTGTGCTATAGTGACTCCATTAGTGACTCCGTTCAAGCCTGTATATGAGACTACCAATCCAGCAGCTTTTCACCTATACCTACTAGCACACAGACAGATCGCGCAAGATGGATCCATCTAGTTCCGACAAATCTCTTCATTCTCTGTCACCGTATTCTTCCGATGATGAGCTTCCCCCTTCCAACATTCAGTTCCCAGAGTTGCCATCCATTGCCGCCCAGAAAAGGAAATCCAAGCTATTCACTAGGAGACCTCCCGAGCGCGTTTTACACACGCGTGATCTTCCCATCGGGGGTGTAAACTCGTTACTCCCATTCCATCCTGACCAGCAGTCGCCCTCGAATTCATATTTTCAGACGTCACCTGAGAGTCCTAGTCCTACAAGCGAGGACCCGCCAATATTCCGCCGCGGTAATCTCTCTTTTGTGAACCCGTCCAAGATAAAAAGACAGGACTTTAGTGATAGTGACGATGAACAAGTCTTCAATGTCCGAGATGAATTACCTGAGGATCACGGCCTCGCTAAAACCTTGATGAATCTGAAAGGACACCATAGTGATGAGGACCTCGACGACGACGATGTCACCACAGAGGAAGAGACCATTTCTGACGGCGACTCACATGACCGCCTTCGGGCTTCTCCTCATGAATTTACCCAGGTAGATAAACACCTGGAATCATTCAAAAGCCGGGTTAAGCGCCGTTTAAGCACCCTCCAGCATTTCCATCCGTCAGACCTCCTTTCTCTGGCAGATGCTCACCACGAAGGTATTCCCATTCCCGAACACTTACAGTCCGACTCGTTCTTCCAGAAAGTTTTATCCATTGGAGGGGGTCTTGCACCTGGTGGAAACAACCATTTTACCGATCGAAAAAAGGTTCATGACGAAGAAAGCATGATTGGCGGTGGTCATAATGATATATCTGAGAGAATTGACGGGGATAAAAGCGCTCCGAAAGGGATTCCTTACAGAAGAGCCTCGATATTCGGCCGCAGCCCAGAGGGAGCTACAGGAAGACCCCCAATTTTGAGTCATGTTCAGGGCCACGACATTGAGATGAGAGACATAAATACCGGTCTCGATCCGGTGGAGCTTGAGGCGCGGCGATTGGTACAATCAGGCATTTTTCAGTCGCACCTCAACCACGGCTCTAAGCTAAGACACCACTCCAGCATGACTGGTTCCTCGAAAACGCTACTCCAATCGTCTACCACTCTTGCCCAAAGCGAACGTGATATGCAATTTAATGCGCCCGATTATCTCCTTAGACAAGACTTGGATGACTTGGCGAAGGAGGTCAGCCATATTGGAGGCAATATTGATGGGGTTCCTTTGACCGAAACTGTCCCTGTCCCCCAGGGCGGTGTTTTATCGTCCCTTTTGCAGTTGTACCAGGAGCAGAAACGTCTTGAAGACCAGTCCGGGGACACTACCTCTGGAACCATAACCCCATATACCACCAACTCTCTTCACAAAGGCAGCAGTTCCATGCTTGATATGACAAAGTTAAGGTCGAAATTGCATAAGTTCAAGCATTCGCACCGGAGTGAGCCACAAAGCACCCAGTTTCCGGGGTCCATCTCAGACGACGAATATGACTACAACTTGGATGAGATCTTACCCAAGGATCCTCCTCATACCCGCACAAGCTCGCTCAACTCTTTTGAGAGTACTATGCCCATGTTCAACAAAAAAGCGGTCAAGGGAAAAGCCGGGGAAAAGCCCCGGAACTATGTTTCCGCCACCCTCAAAAAAAACGCGTCAAACTATCGCCAAAGGCGGAGGCACAAGAAACGCAACACCGCTGAAATGGCACAAGCCCGTATCACCGTGCACATCGCCGATATTCTCCACCGTCAGCGCTTCATTCTCCGTATGTGCAAAGCTTTGATGCTCTACGGCGCACCCTCCCATCGTCTTGAGGAGTATATGATGCTCACCACGAAGGTGCTCGAGCTTGACGGTCAGTTCATATACTTTCCTGGTTGTATGCTAGTTTCGTTTGGCGACGCTGCAACCAGAACATCGGAAATGCACTTGGTCCGGTGCGCCGAGGGGGTGGATCTTTCTAAATTGCACGATACCCACCGTATCTACAAGGATGTGGTGCACGATTTGATGGGAGTGGGCGAGGCACTGGTGAAGCTAGACGAGCTATTAGCCTCTCGTGCGAGGTACCCTCCATGGGCATGTGTGCTTATCTACGGTTTTGCGTCCTCGATGGTTGCTCCGTTTGGGTTTCGGGGAGGCTGGGTGGATATGCCCATGTGTTTCGGAGTAGGGGTTCTCGTGGGGATTTTACGGTACTATGTGTCGCCTCGGTCGAACCTCTACACCAGTGTGTTTGAGGTAGCTGCATCTATTGTTGTGAGCTTCCTCGCGCGCGCTTTGGGGTCAATTCGGGGGGGTAACCTCTTTTGTTTTGCTGCCATCACTCAGGGTTCCCTTGCGTTAATTCTCCCGGGCTATATCATTTTATGTGGGTCATTGGAGCTTCAATCCCGGAACTTGGTGGCGGGAGCGGTGCGGATGTTCTACGCTATTATCTACTCGCTTCTTCTCGGGTTTGGTATCACGTTGGGTGCTGCTTTGTATGGCTGGATTGATAAAAACGCGACCTCCGAAACACAATGCCCTACCCAGTTGAATCCATGGTTCCGATTCATTTTTGTACCGGGTTTCACCATTGGACTAGGCTTAGTCAACCAGGCGCGGTTCTCGCAGCTTCCGGTGATGGTGATCATCTCAGGTGTAGCCTACGTGGCGAATTACTTTGCGGGCTTGCATTTCACAAGCGCGACTGAGTTTACCTCGGCGATTGGTGCCTTTGTTATTGGGGTATTGGGGAACTTGTATTCCCGGCTAGGTCACGGGATGGCTGTGCTGGCAATGTTGCCTGCCATATTTGTCCAAGTTCCCCTGGGGATTGCCTCACAAAACTCCTTGCTCGCTGGCGTCACGTCTGCGAACCAGATTGTGAGCAACGGGACAAAGACCAGTACCGATACAACTAGTTCCTCGAGCTTGAGTTTCGGAATAACGATGATGCAGGTAGCTATCGGAATTTCCGTGGGGTTATTTGCCGCCGCTATTGTGGTCTATCCGTTTGGTAAGAAGCGGTCTGGAACGGGGCTCTTCACGATGTAGCCTGGAGGGTTTATATATTCCCAGTTGCCGGTAGTGTTGCCGTAACGATATTTGATAAATCTCGGTCCTCTTTATTTTTGTGACGTTGTAGAACTTACGCGGTAGATACGTGGTATAGATTCTTTGAAATTGGTGTATGTAACTTACTGATTGCAGAGACCAGGTGTAGATGTATAGCTGCACCAATAATCTAGGCCCACGCCTTGGGCTCAAGGGAAATGGCGAGGTGTTATATAGTATGAAGATTTCACCATTACGCATACGGTTGATTATACACGGTATGAAGATGTTTGATTCACCATAAGCGTAGCCCTTGAAGTGCTCAAGCCCTTTTTCCATTTACCTGATTATACTCGGAATAGCACAAGAGCCTATGTTGTAGTATATTCAAAGGTCTACATTTTGGCTCATTTCACAATGGAACACGAGTGCTAGATATATATCGCCATCCCGCTGCTTAACTTTCATTCTCTGTCAAAAAAAAATTGCTAAATGCGCCCAACAACCCTATCACAAGACCTTTTGGACCGTCACAGAAGTGTATATTGATGTATGTGCATTGAAGAATTCCGTTAAAACTCTGCTCATGACGTCATCGCCGAAAGCGAGACAGATACTGCAGGATATAACCCGAAGAAGAAGCCAGCATTATTACTGTCTATATACTAATGGCTTTAGTCGTCAATAATACCCGAGAATCTGACATGTACTTCATGGAAAGGTGTCTCCCGAAAACCCATAGCAACGCTGTAATCGTACAGCCCTGTACTTTGAGCTTATCATCGGGCCCAATGTTTTTCCGTAAAAGTTGCTTAGAGTCTGCAGGATGACCAAAACGTGCGAGAGCCCAAAGGGAAACGCCGGCAGTGCAATAGACTCCATTTCCCCATACTATGCAGGTAGAGTAGCCCTCTGAAAAAATCCGGGAGAGTATCTGATTTCTCTCCCTTCGCGTAATTACTATATAAAGGAGGTTTCCCTAATCCCTTCCACATTTTGCCCTCCTTTTTTCACATTCCATCACACAATGGTTTACCCAGATACTTTCCAAGGCTACGCTATCCACGACACCCAGAAGTGGTCCGAGGCCAAACTCATCGACTTTGTTCCAAAGACCTTTGAATCCCACGATATCGATATCGAAATCCAGGCCTGTGGTGTCTGCGGTTCCGACGTCCACCAGACCGCCGAAGGGTGGGGCAAGAATAAGGTATCGCCGCTCGTTGTCGGGCATGAAATTATTGGTAAGATTGTCAGGGTTGGTGCTGAGGTCGACACCTCTAAGTTCAAGCTCGGTGACAGGGTCGGTGTCGGTGCGCAGGTCTGGGCCTGTCTCAAGTGTGACGTCTGCAAGTCCGGAAACGAGACCTACTGCCCACAATGGGTTGACACGTACAATGACATCTACCCCAACGGCGAGTTCTCCCACGGCGGGTACGCCTCTCATATCAGAGTCCATGAGTACTTTGTCTTCAGGATCCCAGCTTCTCTTGACACCAACACCACCGCGCCATTGTTGTGTGCCGGTATCACTGTCTACTCCCCAATGAAGCGTTTCGGTGTCGCCAAGGGCAAAAAGGTGGGCGTAGTCGGTATCGGTGGCTTGGGCCATGCCGCCATCATGTTAGGCAAGGCCATGGGGGCCGAGGTCTACGCCTTCTCCAGAAACGACAAAAAGAAGGAAGACGCGCTTAAGTTGGGTGCTGACCACTACATCACTACCGAGAAGGAAGGCTGGAATGAAGCCTACAAGTACAAGTTGGACGTGGTTATCTGTACTGCCGATTCTGTCGAGGGCTTTGACTTGAACGCCTACTTGTCCACCTTAAACATCAACGCCGTCTGGGTCAACGTTGGGTTGCCAGATGACGACTACAAAGTCTCTCCGTTCTCCTTCATCAAGAACGGGTGTCTTATGGGCTCTACCCATTTGGGTTCCCGCCACGAAATGGAAGAGATGTTGGAGCTTGCCGCTGCTCACAACGTCAAGTGTTGGGTTGAGGAGGTGCCAATCTCCGAGGAGGGTGTCAAGCAAGGGTTGGAAAAGTGTATGTTCAACCATGTTAGATACAGAACTACCTTAACCAACTACGACCAGGCTTTCAAGAGGTAAAGCTAGACTCTCTTGTGTAAAATATATGATTTCGGTAAGGTAAAATGTGGCTTGGATACTAAAGCAGCATCAGCGATAGCTACGAAGCGCGAGCTGAAATCAAGGAACTATTTTTTTGGTATCCTATTCTGAGTCAAAATCTATGCGAAAATTCCCTTAGTAACCATAACAAGGATTCAACCTTAGTAGCTGTTGTTGCATATTATGCGCTTGGGGGTGACTCGGTGTTGCAATATAGCTCAGCTTCATCACCCTAGGGCTTTTTTCTCAGTGACTTTCAGTAACCCCTTTCCGTAAAGTATCACCAATATATTTTATATTTATTTTTAATATCCGATTTTGTACTATATTCTATCTGGTATTGCTTTATCTCAGAAGCCCAAATATATGCCGTAAGTGATTATAACGGTTGACCAGATAGCCATGTAACCAGCTCTGGAGAACGTAAGCTGCCGGAATTTGGATTTTATTCAATTAGAAGAATCTATATTTCTACAAGGAAATAGCCAAACAGAGATGGATCCAATCTTGTAGAACGCCGGTTCATATCCCCCAAGTCCAGATCTCTCCACCGCCACTTTGTTTCCAATTTGGTTATTGTGGCGCATGCGACTGGAGCTAAATAGTTCCATTCCCCCAACGTGTCTCGACACTCCTAAATCGCACTATTCCAGCAATTTGTACCCAATTTTATCACATTTATCTAGCAAATCCTCTATATAATTCTGAAACCCTCCGTGCGTAGGCGTGCTATCTCTGTCCCGTAACAGGGCGTGCACGGCCCATTCACTGATCCGCAGTGCTTGCATAACATCAACATGAACATATAGCGGCTAACAACGTCTGTTGATTTCCCCCAAATACACACCTTGTTACTCCCCCAAAGAACCCTGAAATCAGCTAACCACACATATTTATAATATTCAAATATAGTATATCGTCGCTGATAATCTTCACAGTTTCCCCTACATGGGTCTACATAAACACAAAGCCCTGGCGTTGGGCCTCCCGTCGCCTAACACACGGCCAGAACCGATACAAGCCTCTTCAGCGGCCCAATTAGCGGCCCGGACAGCCACGCTGATGTTTAAGAAATCATCCACCGAGTCTGTGCGTCCGTCGCATGCCAAACCTCTGACGCTACACCTCACCATTCCCAACCTGAGTCAACATCCGGCGTCCCGTGGCGGACGCAGTCCTGGGGTAGCCTCCCCCCGACCGCCGCTTCCACACTCTCTGTCATACTTTTCCCTTCCTGTGGGATCCTCAGAGCTGGTTCCCACTCCTTCCAGCGGAAACACTAGTTACAGTCGCAAGACGGTTTCAAAGCCTTCGCCGATCTTTAAGAGACACTCGACCCATAATCTGCTGTCAGTGGCCCCTTTGGCCCTAGCTGCGGCTGCGGCTGCTACCGTTGAGGAGAAATCCGTGTCACCCAAAGACGAACACACGTTACCTTCGCCCGGAACCCCTGATTTGGGCCGTTATACAAATTACTGGGATGGTTTTGGCCCCAGGTCCCCGTCTCTTTCCAACTACCTGGTAATATCAAGCGATACAAGCCGCAGGGGGTCGTACGACTTTTACTTGGATGGTCAGCGGGAAAGCCAGAAAGAACACCGGTCAGAAGTACTGATACCCAAAAATGAGGAGACCGGCTTTCAGAAGCTCCGTATTTCAGCTCCGGTGCCCAGAGCGCCACATCAGGAGAGGCACCGTATGTTTGGTGGTCTGGAAATGCAGCTGGAAATACTAAGTAAGCGACAATCGTACATCGAAACCCACTCTAGAGGAATCGCACAAAGAGGCTATGATATGCTAAAAGAGTCAATTGAGCCAAAGCCAACCGTCCAAGAAGATCCGGTGTCCTTGCAAAGGCAGGAAACCCCCTCAGACCTGGCTAGGACAACCCCCTACTACCTGCGTAGCACTTCCACTGACCAGATATCCCTCTCACAACGCCGCTCATCCGTCGACGTTTTGGTTCGACCGCGCCAGTCGACTGAAAGCGACCGCAACCCCACTTCCGAGGTGATGAAAAGACACACGCTCCGCACACCAGCTAAGAACCCACAACGGCTCTCACTGGACTTTTCCGACTCCTCTGGCCGTCTGCTATCTGCCTTTTTCAAAAAGTCCTTCCGAAAGGATTCCACAGACGATTACGACGATTTTGCGATGCCGCAAAAGATCCACAGGCCGATTCCAATCCTGGGAGTGCGCATCCAGTCAACCCCCCTAACACTCAGTTCGGTGTCCAGTCACGAAGGCGATCTTCCATACAGATCGCCCCCTCCAATGCTAGCTGCCAGTACGAGCCAAATGTCACTCAACTCTGTGGGTGTCAGCAGTATCAACAGCGACAAATTTGAGCTCCACAAGTCTGAGTCAGACTCGATCAACCATACGGAGACGCTTACGTTGGACACGGATAGGAAGCCGAAACGGAAACCCCCGGTGTTTGACGATTCGTCGCTGGATTTTTTGGATTACTACGCCAGCCAGAGCTCTGGGAATCTCAATCACCTCCTTGGCGAGTTCAAAACACAAAGCAAAGACCTTTCTACCAGCAGCCTTCCGCAGTCCCGCAAGTCTGCCGTGAAGAGCATTGCTCGTATGAGGGAACAGTCGTCCGGGACGCCTGTTACACCCTCTCAGACCCCACAGCCGCTTCCAGTACTGCTTAAAACCACCCTCCGCAAGGAGAAAAAGGGTAAGAAAAAGTCGTTCAACGAGGATAAGCCCTGGAAGCACCACAAAGACACTTCGCGGATCTCTGAACTGGAGAGAAAGCGCTACGAAGGCGTGTGGGTCACTAACAAGGGCATGTATTTAGACTTGGTGGTCACCCCGTTGCACGCAAATCCACAGGTAGACGACCCCTCAATGGTGGCTGCGGCCCATGCCGCCCAGACGACCGCAGAAGTGGATGTTCATAACTTGATGCTTGGCGCGGTCGTGCGAGACATCTGGCAGCGGAGCCGCTTGTCGGGAGATGTGTTAAAACAGATCTGGAGCTTGGTGGACCGCCGCCATGATGGGTGCTTGGAGAAGGAGGAGTTTGTGGTGGGCATGTGGCTAGTTGACCAGTGTTTGTACGGCCGCAAGTTGCCGAAGCTGGTGCTGGAGGAGGTCTGGAACAGTCTCTCGCGGATGAACGTCAACGTCGTGATTAAGAAGAAGGGGGGAAAGGTGAAGATTGTGAAGAAGTAGACCAGTTGGGTGCCAATGAATTTTTGGCCATAAATGCCACACCCGTTGTGGGTCTTGTAGATGTCATTTTGAGGTGCCACCCCAGGGAAAAGAAGCCAGCCAATAATCGCTCTGCCCATGGATAACCTACAGGTTTCTCTTCTAGTTCCTTGTTCAATCTTGTATTTATCAATGGCTATAAACAGGTTTGCATAGCGAGGAAGAGGTTATGACCGTTAAACGGATCTGTAAGCTTGTGTACGCTTGGTACAATTTTTGTTGAATCTTGGAGGTATGCAAGCTGTACATATAAAAAGGTTGACTTCAATACAGGCTTGGTTTACCTCGTGAACGTGCAAGAGTACAGTAAGAGCCAAGGGTTCATGTTTGCTGTTAATTCGTATCCACTTTCAGTTATGTTGGCCTTATTCCATTAATTTCTCAGATTCTCCTCGTTACCCACTCCTCCCGTTAGCTTATCATAAGGTTTATAAACAAAAACGCTATAGCCGGAAACAAATAATATCGTCAAGCTTGATCCTCTGTATTTGCCCGTTTCAGCCTACTTGTCTTAACACGATTTCACATCTCGTTATTAACACCGGTACCTTCGGTATGACCTGATATCTTTGTAAATTTAGTTATAGTCAATGTGTCTTCTCATAGCACCTAAAATACAAGGCCCAAGGTGCAAATACAAAGCTCAGACACAATATCCACAATCCTCCTTTTTTTTTCTAAATCACATCTAATCGACCCAGACCACACGCCCAGTAGCCTCAATCTTCTTTTCACACACTTCTGGTATTGGCACATTCGCCTATGATACAAAACTATACACCTATTCGTTGTCACTGTACAAGTCGCTGACATCACTGTAGTCCTCAGAGTTGATCTGGATCTCGTTCTCGGAGTCCATCTCCTCATCCTCACTCTCACTCACAGCCTCGCCGTTTTCCCTGGCAGCGATCCGCTCCTTTCTTCTCAATTTCTTGGCCTCCTTGACGGCCTTCTTGGCCTTGACGTTCGCCTCCTGTTGCCTCTTTCTCTCGGCCTTGAGCTTCAACATCTTGGCGTGCTTGCTGGCCAATTTGTTAACCTCCGCGGCGGTCTTGGTGATTCTCGCGTGATGCAAGATCTTTCCGGTGCAAGTGCCCTCCTCGATCTTGACGAGCTCCAACTGCATTCTTGGGCCCAACTCGGTCAACTTAACAGCACGCTTCTTGGTAGGCACCTCGGCCGGCTGGGAGTTGGCCTGAGCGTTCGCCTGGATGTTGACCTCGCTCTTAATCTCCACAATGGCATCGTCATCGATCTCGGACTCAGATGTGAACCCACCGTTGGCGTACGGGTCCAAAAGCAAGTCGGAAACATCTGTAGCCTTCCCCAAGTTTGGCAATTTTTTGTGCAAGTGATTCTTGGCAATGATCAACTTCTTGACATTACGCGAAACCTCCACCATTCTGGTGTCGATGGCATAGTGTCTCAAGTCGATCTCACCGGTTTCAGCGTCCTTGTTGATCATCAAAACACGCTTGATAGAATTGACCTTGGTGGATTGGGGAGAAATCGCCGGGAACATATTCTGCAATACGGTGATAATCACCTTCTCGTGGGGTTCGGCAGTCGCCGGGTTTGTGAATCCGTTGAGCACAAGCAATGGTGGCGAGAGAAACTCGGACGAATCTGCGGCCACAGACTTTGGCGTCTTCAAGATCTGTCTGACATCCTTGCACAAGGAGTAGTTTGCTACCTTGAAGGTGATAGTTGGCCCCTTGGGCATCCGCGCGATCCTCAAGTGCGTCGTCCCCTTGTCAGACTGCGAGAAAACCATGAGGTGTGATACCCCGAGCGGGCCCGCCATGACGATGTAATCCTTCAATCTGTTGTTCTTGCGCTCGCGCAACTTAATCGCGGTGTGTGGTTGCATTACATTTCTAAAGTCACGCACTAACTGGGTGAGCGAGTGGTTCTTCATGGATGACCCGGCGCGAATCACCATAGACCGCGGGATCTTCGCAAGCTCTTCTTCCGACACTCTGGTGTGGGTTCTCTTCTTGGACTAGAAATGTTAGTATTCTTGCTGGTACCTTTTTGGCAGTTACTTACTCTACTTTTGGCCATTGTTGTGTGTAGTGTTGGTGTAAAGGCAACGCAAAGAGTTATGGTTTTGCCTTATGTATGCGAAAAATTATGCAGAAAAAAAATTAAAGAGCTCATCGCAGGCGCCCGGGTAACACAGGGTGCATGCAGGATCTATCAACGAACTCGTACCAAGTTGATAGTTGGTACAATTTAATAATAGTCGGGAATATATAAATGATAAAAAGGGGAAGGACGGTTCTAGAAAACAAATGATTTTAGAACTCTGGCAAATGCTGGAAAATTCAATACAGCAGGTCTCTTTACTCCCTGGGTTGTAAGAGCACTTACCAAAGAGAATTGCTCGGAAGATCTAAGGTGCTTGACGGAGCCTAGCAGAGTCTATTGGAGAAAAACGTACTTCCTCCGACCGACAAGAAAAAAATATCAGATTATTAAAAGGAATGTTGGTTAAAAAGTAGAGAAACCCAAGTGAGACCTTTGTTATCCTCACACGCGGTCTTGGCTTCGGTCTTTCATATCTAAAGTTAGCCCAAAACTAAAACTAACTTTAATATGGAATCCAACCACCTTTAGTCCTATCAATTGATCCCATAGAAGCTATCAACCAAACATATGATATCTCAATTGTGACATGTAACTGGTCTCCCCTTCCCAAGAAACCCTTATCAGTATCCAGCGAACCATTTCCGCATCCTGCGCAGAAGCGAAAAATATTTGCGGCTAAAAAATTTCTGCCACAGCCTGTTTCATCTGATTCGCACCACAACACACAAAATGGCCACTTCCATGGAAAAGAAGATCATGAAAAAGATGTCTGCTGGTAAAATCCAGAAGGCATCGATCCAGAAGGATACAACCCAGGACTTGATTGCGAAACTCAAGCAAAAAGCTGCAGAACAGAAGGCGAGGGCGCCTACGGAAGAAGTTGCCGAAACTGAGGTCATTTCAGAGGCTGTAGCGCTGACGTTCACCACCTTTTCAGAATTAGATCTTATTCCAGAGTTATTGGAGTCACTTCAGCAGATGAAATTCACCAAACCCACTCCGATCCAGGTGGAGTCCATTCCTCACGCACTTGCAGGAAAGGATATCATCGGGCTTGCGCAGACGGGGTCGGGTAAAACTGCAGCCTTCGCGATTCCGATCTTGCAGAGCTTGTGGGAGGCACAAACGCCATACTACGCGTGTGTACTTGCGCCAACCAGAGAGTTGGCGTACCAGATCAGAGAGACCTTCGATGCTCTCGGCAGCAACATGGGCTTGAGATGCGCCACAATTGTGGGAGGAATGGACATGATGGACCAAAGCAGAGACTTGATGAGAAAGCCCCACGTGATTGTGGCCACCCCGGGCAGACTCATGGACCATTTGGAGCACACCAAGGGGTTCTCTCTTAGAGCGTTGAAGTACTTGGTGATGGACGAAGCCGACAGGCTTTTGGACTTGGACTTCGGTCCAGCGTTGGATAAGATATTGAAGATCATCCCTAAGGAGAGAATCACGTACCTTTTTTCCGCCACCATGACGTCCAAGATTGAAAAGTTGCAGCGTGCCTCGCTCTCGGATCCTGTCAGATGCGCCGTATCCGACAAGTACTCCACCGTTGACACCTTGATCCAGTCTTTGATGGTTGTAGGTGACGGCTACAAGAATACGTATCTCATTTACTTGTTAGAGAAGCATGCAGGCAAGTCGATCATCATCTTCACTCGTACCTGTGCCCACGCGCAGAGAACGTCGCTTTTGGCCAGAAATCTTGGTTTCTCTGCGATTCCGTTGCACGGACAGTTGTCCCAGTCGCAGAGATTGGGCTCGCTCAATAAGTTCAAGGCCGGTGCGGCCCAGATTCTCGTCGCCACCGATGTAGCGGCCAGAGGCTTGGATATTCCGTCCGTCGATGTGGTCATCAACTACGATATCCCAACCGATTCGAAGGCCTATATCCACAGAGTTGGCAGAACCGCCCGTGCGGGCCGTTCCGGGCTCTCCGTGTCGTTGGTTACGCAGTACGATTTGGAGTTGTTGTTGAGAATCGAGGATGTTATTGGTAAGAAGTTACCAAAGGAGGTCCCTGAAAGAGCCAGAATTTTGAGTTTGCACAACTCTGTTGATAAGGCACTTTCTCAGGCAATTAGGGACTTGAAGGATTTCCAAGAAAAGAGAAGTACCAGAACTGGTGGAATTGGTAGAAAGAGAGGAGACCAGGACAAGGAGGAGCGCTAGGGCTAGTGTAACGAAGTAGAACGGTTCAAATGGCCTAGGGCAGAATTTTAACAAGTGCATGAACTTCCTCTGACTCTGTTATATGTATAGTAATTTATGTAAAATATGTGAAAAGCTCTGTAGAGACTAAGGTTGGAAACGGGGTGGAGATAACTGTACGCAATATAAAATATGAGGAATTACGATTTTTTTGCATGTCAAGTATAAGCTGACCTTAATAAATGTATTTAGAGGTATTAAATGATCAAATAGAGGAGGTTGGCTGAGCTAGCTTACGGATATAGACCTGGAACTTGCCAGGGAATAACACTGAACATAAATCTGACAGGCGTAATTAGAGGTCCTCAAAACAAGAATATTTCAGCCTTAAGTTTTATAGAAACTTGTAAGATATCTGGTCCTAGGCTTTAGAAAAGGAATCATATTGCCATTTTTAACTTAGAGCACTTGTTGACATTTATAAAAATGTCAACAAGTGCGCGGCAAAGCTGCTACACACATACTGTTGTCATCTGTAACATATTTACTATAGTTTTATCTATTCACATTTACCGGTAGGATACCACCGCTGGGTATTGCGAAAGAGTGGTGATTAGCTAAGACCTTGTTTCGTCAGGTTATTGCAAGCCTGTTACATATGCCAAGCATTTTAATGAAATGCCCAGAAACTAGCATGGTCCAGTGTATCATTACAACTACAACTGCCCCATTATCCTGGAGTATATAAATCATATTGCAGAATCTTATATTATAGATAATAAATATAATCCACCAAGCCATTCTACATGCTATGTACACCAAAATATTATACAGCCTAGATGGATAAAGGCGAGTGCCGTGGGTCTACCGGGACTACGAAACGGTGCCAAGTATATAACGAATAAAACCGATAGGCCCTATATAAGATATATGCAGCTTCCATAGACCAGGTGTCTTTAACCCCCCAATAATGCCTTCCAGTATATACCACAAATACGAGATCCTTCAAGCACACGAACAAAAGCATTTAAAAATAAACTCCTATACAATAACATCCCTACCTAGCCTATCTCCTTGGGATCGCTCACATCGGCGCCGTGCAGTCTTACCCTGCAGGATACTCGTTCCGACATACGATAAACGTTGCGGTTAAAAGGTTCTACCCCATTCCCTCACTAGTTCTTCCTCACTTCCCTCCACAACCAACATATACCGGTGATGCCGCAGAAAAAGTATATGGAGGTTCCGTCAGACGAGCCGCGCGGCCGCAACATCTCGTCGTACTTCCGCACGCTATCCATCAAGTCCAAGTCCAGTGACGAAGTGGGCCTCAACCACGTGGTCCCCGCGCCAGGTACTCCCGTGAGCCGCCTGCAGACACTCAAGAATTCGCCCGAGAGCCACAGACATGTAGGCGCAGATTCGGATGATGACTGGAACGCAAACGTGGACTCGTTTGACTCACCACCGCCCAAGCACATTGAGCATATTCCCCGCCGATCAGGCTCGGTCCATTCGCTCGGACCGGGGCTCGTCATGAGCCAGGCAAACACGAGCGGGCCGTTACGGCGGACACCGCAACTCGAGGCATCGCCGCAGCTTGAGGCACTCTATCCTAGCCTCACGCCCGCGCGCGAGTCGCCCGGCATGCGCGCGTCGCCCGGCCGCGACCCCGCGCCCGACGACCTGGCCACGTCCGCGCAAATCGAGGAACTCAACGCGCTCAACGCAAAGTTCCTCCGCTTCAAGAAGGTGATCACTGCCGACAACGTCAACCTCGCGGAGCTCAAGCGACTCTCATGGAACGGAATCCCACGCGAGCTTCGCGCGGTGTCGTGGCAGCTCCTTCTCGGATACCTCCCGACGAACGCGTCGCGGCGCAGCGACGCACTCGCGCGCAAGCGCGCAGAGTACACAGACGGTGTCGCACAGGTGCTCGGTGCGGACCATACGCGTGACACAGCGATGTGGCATCAAATCGCAATCGACGTGCCACGCACAACGCAGCATATTAAACTCTACACCTACGCGGCGACACAAGCCGCGCTCCAACGCATCTTGTACCTCTGGGCTGTGCGCCACCCCGCGTCGGGCTACGTACAGGGCATCAATGACCTCTGCACACCATTTTTCCAAACGTTTCTCGCGTCGCACGCGCCCGACGTGGAGCTGTGCGATCCCGCGCTATTGCCGCGCGCCACGATGGACGCGGTCGAGGCAGACACATTCTGGTGTCTCACCAAGTTGTTGGACACTATCCAAGATAACTACATCCACGAGCAGCCTGGGATTCTTCGCCAGGTGCGCGAGTTGGAAGGGTTGGTGGCGCGCATTGACGCGGAGTTGGTAGTGCACTTACGAGCGCAAGGCGTGGAATTCATGCAGTTTGCGTTTCGCTGGATGAACTGCTTGCTCATGCGTGAGTTGAACTTGGAGATGGTGGTGCGCATGTGGGACACATACCTCAGTGAGACGCCGCTTGGCTTTGCGACGTTCCATGTGTACGTGTGCGCCGCATTTTTGGTAAAGTTTGCGGACGAGTTGAAGGACATGGAGTTCCAGGAGGTGATTATGTTTTTGCAAAATCCACCGACGCGGGACTGGGGGGTGAAGAATATGGAGTTGATGATGAGCGAGGCATTTATCTGGCAGAGTTTATACAAGAATGCTGCGGCGCATTTGCGCGCGTAGAGACATGCGAAGCGCAGCGACCTCAGTCTGTACATGCACTCTGCTTGCGTTTTGCCCAATTTGGAGGAAACGCCTGAACCGAGACTATGGCCGTTAAATAGAAAAAGTAGCCAGCGATAATGATATATCTGTATATTGGGCAATGCGGTTTAAAATGGTAAGGTTTGCAGTCGTAAGTTTTGTGAAAGGTCAGTCTTCGATTAGATGGTTGTAAGTCAAGTTATGAATGAGTTCAGCTCCAGAGTTTACATAGTATTGAGTTTTTTTGCGGCATCGTGGGGTTATATCGCCTTTTAGGCTCAAGCTGGGGATGAAACAATTAACGGCGTGGTTTTATTCGAATTGTGGACCCAGAATTTTGGATCTTAAGCAAACTTCATGCGTATGTGAGTACAACGTTATCTCTAGATTGGCACCATTCGACTTTAAAAGCAAAAGGTTGATCAGGCACGAAGGCTTTCCTAAAACACTCAAGGTAGGCTTCAGAATTGGGGTTTAAGTATCACCTTATCCACACCCTTGTTAGATATTTGCGATATCGATGCCGATAGATGATTCAATGTTTTTTAAGTGGGTATATCAAGATATCTATAAGTTCAGTATAACTGCCTGGCAACTATCTAATAACAAGAAAGAGGAGATTTTTATTTCCCTGTGTGCGGTGCGCTGTCTATTATGTCTACGGGTTGTTAAATATACCCGCTTGTTCAAAAAGGCGGTGCTGAATAGCTCGGTCAGCTATTATCTTCATTCAAATCCATCTTTCTTGAAAACCAAACAATACACGCCGGTATCATTTGCAATGGTGGCCTACCTCCCTTTACCAGTATTGTTAAATTCATCTCTCCTTTCAGCCTTATAATTAATAATACAAATTTCTAACTCTACCACCCCCTTCCAAACACACTAAACTGCCCCATCGTCTGGCAGTTGCTTTCCTCCCGGATATGTATCGCCTCGGGAATCCACTCTTGCATGTTCTTAATGCGGTGCGCGCTGGCAGGGTGGGTACTGAGAAACTCCGGTGTGGCTCCCCCATGCTTCTTCTCAAACTCAGTCATCCTACCCCACAACCGCGTGGACTCTTCGGGATTGTAGCACGCTCTGCTCATGATCATCAACCCCATGTAATCTGCCTCGGTCTCCATCTCTCTGGAGGCCGGCATCTTCAACGCGCTGTTAATCAACAACGTGTTCAACGCATCGCTTCCCGTCAAAGCGTACAACGCAAGCGAAAGCAACATGTAGATTGGGGCCTTAGAGAGCTGCTCTGATGAATGGCGAGCCAACTGGTGGGACAACTCGTGGGCCAATACAGTCGCCAATCCGTCGTCGTTCTCACAAATCTGGAGAATTGACGAGTATACAAAGACCTTACCTCCAGGCAAGACAAACGCGTTTGGAGGCTGTCTCGGGTCGTTGACGATGTGGATCTTCCAGTCTAGCTTCTGCAAGTCTGGGGACTGCGAAGCAGCCACAAGGTTTTGCATGATTTTCCTCACCTTGCGAGAGTACGGGTGGTCGTCTGGGAGGAGCATGCCCCGGGTTTCGCTGAGGATCTGGCTGTAGGTCTGGTCACCAACAAACTTCTCCAAGCCCTCACCAACCCACATGAACCGTGTTCGGTTGGTGATTGGCGCCTGTTCCAAGTTGCTTGCATAGAAAATACCACCGGCAACAGCGCCCCCGCCGAGAAGCTTGCGGAACGTGGGGTTGGCAAGCAAGGTGGCGCCGTTGGAGGGGTAGGCGCCACGGTTGAAGCTGCGATAGGTGGCGTAGAACCGCCTAGGGAAAGCTCGAAACATTGTCTATCTGAAAAAATGATGAAATTAATAAGTTGAGCCTTCGTCTTGTTACAGATCTTGGAGTGGCAATAGACGGTGTACGAAAGGCTGCCGTACTATGGCGCACAGACAAAAGCTACTCGGAGTATGTGAGCCGCACCAGACACGTGCAAAATGACAGGTGCTTCACATATCAGCATGACGCGCAAAAGATAACAATGGCTCCTCTCTCCAACCCTCATTCCATTCGGCCAAATCCACTATGGAAAACCCACACGAACAGGTGCAAAACGCGATCTTGGCGCGTATTGTTAACAATGCCGAACGCTTGAACGAGTCGGTGCTCATTCTTAACAAGGCTTTGCAAGAGGTCAACAGGGAAAACATGGACATTGAGTTATTGGCCCAGATGTGGGAGAACTACCAGCGAAACGCCAAGTTCCACTTAGAAGCGACCGGGAACGTCAAAGAACCTTTGTAAAGGTTAGCTGGGAGGTGTTTTAGCAACCGTTTTTATGATACGGTAGTCATTGGCCGCTCAGTTTGTACAATATTTATCATTCGGTATGGGGTGTTTTCATGTTTTATTTTCGGTTATCTAGGTGAAATTCAAGGATATAGTCATGTTCGGTCTAAGCCAACGCGTGTCAAGGCAGAAACGTGCTAATACAGGTAGATCTAGATTGCCTCAGTGGAAGGATTAGGCTATACTCTAATATGCGGAGCCTAACTTTGATTTGTAATTTAATCTATTATTCCTACCCAAAATCGGTTATATCACGGCTTTGGTTAGTACGTAACACTAGTAATTCAGAACGTATAGATAGGTCAATAGCAAACGCTACAGTACGGCTGAGTGGCTACCAAAAAATTTTATGTTTGTGCGTGCCAAATCAGACCCAAAGGTCTCTGATACCAGTAGGTTAACACTCTATTAGAATGTAGCTCTTTTTGTTTATCGGATTGCCAATACTTACCTGCTCTACCTTACACCTTGTTCAATAAATAAGCGATTAACGCGCTATACAAAACTATACATATATACAATATCCTCCTCTAGCCCTTAGGCTAAATAGAATGACCCTCTACTAAAACTTCTTGGCTTGCCTAACAATCTTGTTCAGCTTGTCACGCTTCGGCTGCAGCTTCAAATCCTTATCCATGTCGCCGGCAATGGCGTCCATGAGTGTGTCCAACTTGTGGTCGTAGTTGTGTAACGAGCTGTCAATCACCTCACCGTCGGCCAACGTGACGAGCCCCGCCTCTTCTCGGTTAGAATGGAGGTCAAGGTCCTGATACAACCTGTTCTCCTTCAACTTTCTCTCCTTCTCGGTGTTCTTCTTCGCGATGCGCTGCTGGTTAAAGTCGTGGCGCTCGCAGGTCTTCAAGTCCTTATTGTAGTCACGCTGGATCGGATGCACAGTCGGGCTGGCAAAGGCCCACAAGTCGCCCAGACGGACCTTACGGGAGTCGTGGTACGCCTGCTTGTCCTTGGACTTGGCCACCACCCAGGACTCCATCTGACCAGAGGCACCACAGGCGGTGAAGGTGACATGTTTGGCAGCTTTCTTCGGCTGGTTGACAATACGGGGCCATGTTTTCATGTCCTCTGGATCGAGGTAGCCCGTTCCGCGGAGGTTTTTGTTCGGATCCGTCGGATCAATGCCGTGCTCTTCCATGTCCTTCAGAGAGAGAGAGCCCTTGCCCAACTCCTCACGTTTCTTCACGTAGTCGTAGCCCTTTTCAGCCATTTCTTCGATCTTACGGAGCATTTTTCCGCTGTTGGCCGCTCTTTCCACAAGCAAGTAGCTGTAGTTGGCCACCTCGTAGTTGTTCCCCCCAGCTCTTCCCTTCCCAATCGGCGCCGAGCCCTTCATACCGATCCCATCGGTGGGGCTGGCCCAAGGAGTCGCCAAACGGAGCCCCTTCTTCAACTCCATGCTGAATTTTGGTCTAGTGAAACTCTTGCTGAAGTGGCACCATGGAAGCTTCTTCCCAGCTGGAAAATTGTAGTAACCCGGCTTCCCCGTCTGCAACGGGCACTTGCCGTGATGGCTGCACGGTCCGAGGATAGACAAATGGTAGTCTGCGGTAGTTGGTTTTGCCTCGATAGCTTCCTTTTCAAATTCAAACTTCAAGTCATCGTCGGTGACTTCTCCAAACTTAGCATTCAACTCTTGGTTCAATCTTTCCGCCTCGGCGTCCATCTCAACCAATTCGCTCTCTATCTGATCACGGTACAACCGGCGCTGATTCTTCGGTTTGACGGTAGAGCCTCTGATCCACGGCTGGGGGATCTTCACGTTCGAAAGCGGGTGCTTCTCCGGACGGATCATTACTTGTCTCGCACGCGCAATCGTCTCAAAGCCCAACGGGTTGCCCCGTTCAACAATCACAAGATGCCCCTGGGGCTCTAAGAGATCTAAGGCCTGCTCCACGCTTCTGTCGATCTGACGGGGGAACTTCTCGGTATCCTTGAGCAACTGGTGGGTCATAATAATCAAGTCGTATTTTTTGTTGGACGGCATGTCACTGCGTAACTTTGTCTTGACCTTAATTTTGTTGGTATCTACCGGTCCCCAGGAGGGGTTGTCGGGCGTTTCGTCATAAAGCTCCGGTAATTCATCTTCCACGGAGTACTTCTTGCGAAACTCTGTTTCCTCCGCCTCGTGCGCCTTCACCACGTCTTTCAAATCATCAACATCCACTATCCTCGTAATGGAGTTATCCGACTCCGCCTCCTCTTCAAAGTCCAAGCTATTCTCTCGAACAAGCTCTGCTCTGCTCACACTCTCGTCGTTCACAACGGGACTTTCACAAATCTGTCTGCTCAAAATGATCTTGGCACGCTTAATCATCTCTGGATCACCCATGATCACCGCATCTTTCACTTCTGGTCGGAAGTCCTCACCCATCAACTCGTTCAATGCAACCATCCCAGTGGCCGGCCCGAACCCGATGTCCAAGATCTTTCGCGGCATGAACACCTCACCTGTCGCGTCGTTGGTCTTGTGGTTCTTCAACTCGTGTAACGCCAGGTAAATTGACGTATAGTTTTGCGGAAAAAGCGCCGCGATGTGCGCGTCAACCTCTAGCCGCGTCGCTGCAGGCTGGTGCACGTCGTCATGCAAGTTGACAAAGTTTCTGGCCGCCTGAATACGCAACATTTCCGGGTGGTGGAGGCGCAACATGTGGTTGTTTATAGCACGTGCGATGGAGTGCGGAATCACCGTTTGTTTCTTGTACTGCATCCCGCGGAGGGTGTTGGGGTCTAAACGCGCCTCCTGGGCGTTAGATCCGTGGATGAGCGTGCCGTCTGTGTTTCTGAAGGACTTTTTCGCACGCCCAGAGTCGTTAATTTCCTCAAACGGGATGACCTCGAGGTCTGAGGGCGTGGATCCTGTCACCAAGGTTCCGTAACCGGCGCCGCTCACCAAGTTGGCGTACGGTAAACTGGAAACTGGCGTCAGATAGGTGTCCATTGGGTGGGTGTCCTCAGCCGCGACTGCCTTGAGTGCTCTTCTGCGGCTGTATGCACGGCTAGCACAGTTGAGCTGGCTCAACTGAGTGCGTCTAATCACTCTCAACATCATGGATAGGTGGTGATAAAGAAAGACCAGGTAGACTAATAGCTGATGGGTTTACGCCGCCTTCAACGCATACTGCAGATGCTAAAGTTTTTCACATGCATGCAGGAGGGCGATGGGAGTCTGACATAAGGGCACGTAGTTCGTCAGTAGCACTTGTGGTAGGGGTGTAGTGGAAAGAATTAAGGATATTGGTGTATAGGGGGCAAGATCAGGCAGAGTTTTCGGGAGATGGTGGAGGGGCCTTACAGCAGGTTAGTTGTATATGGAATAACAGGACGGTGTGGCGTAACATGTTTCTTTTGTTTGGGGTAACGAGGGAATGCCGATTGTAATCCGTGCTGTTGGCTAGGTGGTAGCCCTAGAAGTAGAAGCAGATAAACCTACTTATTGGAAGCTAGAATAACTCGGCATATAGAGGTATTTTGCTAGTCCTTCCCTCCCATTAGCTCTGTCGACAGCTGCCAGTTGACGTACATTTCACAGATCTCATAGTTGTACCTGTTCACAGCGAGCCTTTCTAGCATATTCAAAATTAGTATATACTAATCTTCTCAGGTAAGGTTTATTTAAACTCTTAGGTGCTTTCGGTAAGCATATGACGCCGTCTGAGCCGGGAAAAGTCCCACATGATCGTTTATCTTGATTTATATCGCGGAAACCCAGGAGCTTTGGTTCATAATTTCCCAATTCTTTGGGTTTCTCCTTGTGATCACAAGTGAGATGATCCAGCTTTGTTTGTAAGTATTGTGCCGCAGAAAGCTTCAGTGAGATGAATTTCTGAGTCAACAGATGAAAGCGTTGCAGGTGTCTGGGGCAACAGTCTCGGTGCGATCCCAACGCCAGTTTCCTGTTGTGGTTCCGGAATTAATTCCGATCCTTGAGGGAAACCAAGTGGGAAATCAAGGATGGTGAATGCGTACTAGTATAATACTCTTCGGGTATTGGATGGATGAGAAACCGCTTAGGTCTACTAGTTGCAAAAATATTAACAGATATTACAAGGGGTCATTGAGTGGGATGCTGGTCTGGCATTACTTATCACCTGGCCTAAGAGAACTTCCAGATACAAGCCAATCCTTTCAAGTTAACCAGCTAACGCCCATGAACCATTAATGACTTAACTCGAGCACGGAGCCATGCGATCAATTGTAGTGCTGTAGTGTTAACTTCCAGGTAGACACTCTCATAAACTCCCCCCTTTGTATTCGTCTAGTGCATTTCAAAAGCGAAACTCGCCAAGCTCGAAGGAAAACCTTGAGGTATGAATCGAGGGGGTTCCGTTTCCTGTTTTGGATTTCGAGAAATACGTTACTAGGAGACTTAGCACCACGCGAACGTTAGTGCTGCACGTCGATCCCCACGCGAACCGCAAAAAAAACCGGCAGGATTAATGCGCATTCCGCATATAGGAGACTCATTGTCCATTTCAACACTTTGATATCTATTGGCAACACATAGAAGTCACATGTTGGCACTTGATGAACACTAACGGAAGAGCGGATGTATGGAGTTTACATCATCCGTTAATGCACTCACTCGACTATGCAACAAACAAGCGAGAAACTATCTACGACTCACATGGTGACAGGGTCTAAGAGCTTTAGTCTTAGCCTACATACCGGTGAAAATCCCGGAGCAGAAATCAGCTTTGATTGGACAATTTCGGAAAGGGTTTGCACGTTCGGCCAGCTACCGCCATAACAACATACACTAGCTGGGAAAGAGTAACTTCCAGCCAAACAATCATAATCTGTTTTCTACAAAATCACCTTGCGTATAATTTTCTGAATTATCACTGACAGTGCGGCGTTAAATCTCACTTCTCTAGAAAAGCTGAGCACATGCTAATTATGATCCACATGACAAGTTGTAGATCCTTTGTCGAGGATATATTCTGCACCTACTGCATACGAAACTCCGACTCCGAATTGGTTTCGACCGATCTTCCCAATATCCAGATACATAATCCCTGGAAATACCACTTTTTTTCCCTAAACGGGAGTAAAAAGACGCACTATTTCGATTTATCCTTATATCTGTACCTCTGACAACTCGCCATACACGCTAGTCACGACCTTTTACTTATCCCCGAGATGGAATCAGCTCTGTTAACCGACCGCGTCTGTACCATATTTTAGTTGTAAGCCAGTCTTTTTAAAGTTCCAGCCATCCAGAAGTCGCGTAGTGCTCCCTAAACCTTAACACATCTTTCAGCGTCTAATCACTGACGCTCAAAAGTGGCAGCGGCCAACTGACGATCTGTCAAACGATCTGTTTTGCTATCTAATAGCATTCCAGCCTATGTGACTTGTCTTGATAGTGGCTGCAACTCTTTTATTTTACACTCGTACATAACGGCCATAAGATCCAGATTTAATCTCTTCCACTACCCCTATTTCAGGTCCCAGCACATACAGCTCTCTCTCTCTCCTATCATCCAGTATATTTTGATGGTATCAGCTCAGTCCAAGATCCACGACGCTTACAATATCAATGTAAACTCCGCCAAGAGCGGAGGGGCTCGCCGCCAGGAGCTAGTCTCGAACGCGAATGGCTTATTCAACCAAGTGAACACCAACTTCCAACCACAAACAAAACAACCCCAGTCAAAGCCAAAGTTTAAACCCGTGTCTCCCAAAAAGAAGCTTTCTTCTAGCCAGGCCTACTTTGAGTCGCCCTCCTCCTCCCGGACCAGTCGCCCCATTTCAAGACCGGACTCCCCGCTATTGAGAACCACACCCGCAGGAATTTGCAAGATTCAGCGCGAACCGTACTCGCAGTCCCGTCTTGCAAGTATCTTCACCTTCATCATCATCCTTGTCCCCACCGCTATTGAAGTCCTATCGCCACACCTCAACCACAGTGATTTCTCTCTAGCACACCATCGCCACCTCCCCGCTTACTCGAAGCTCCTTATTGACATGATCATGCTTGTGCTTGTAAGCTGGCTTGTAAAATTTCTCATGGAATGGCCCTGGTTCTGGTTCGAGCGGGTCAAAGTCGCACAGTCCCAGTGGCAGCTCACCGCGGAGACATGGGCTGAGGAGATCCGTTTACCCCAGCAGGACCACGAACACAGCATGCATGTGACTCCCCACAACCCGTACCACAAACGTCTCTCCAACCTCCAGATGGCCCGATACACGGCCTTCTGTCTGTGTGTGGCCGGTCCGTTTCTCGGCGCCTATCTCATGGTGGCCTCCCGGCAGCATTTCGTCATCGAGCGCTACCGCCAGACAAGTGAAAGCGTCGTTTTCAATGACTTCAATGTGGTGCTTTTCCTCACGTGGGGGGCCATCCGCTTTATTCGCCAGTTGACCAAGACCGTGGAAGAAAACACGACCCAACGCGATTCGGAGATCGTGCCAGTGCCCACCAGCATTCGGTACGAGGTTGAGTTACAGCGCCTCAGGTCAAACTCTCAGGTCATGTTCAGCGAGTTGCAGCAGTTGAATCGAAAGTCTGCCACTGAGCTCTTGGCCACAAAAAGAACCATAGAGGAATTGCGTGAGCAGGTGAGCAAGCGCAGACTGGTTGGCGAAGTCTCTGGGCCTAGGTGGAGCATTCATCGAACCAATCTTGCGTTTTCTCAACCGGCTATAAAGCAACGGAAAGCAGTCCCTGTGAAAGAGTTGCTGTTAGTAGCGGGGTGCAATAAGGAAAATGAGCAGACGTCCCTTACTCCTCTGGTGTTCCATTCGAGTATTACACAAGGGAACTCTTTTGGAGACATCCCCGAGACAGCTAAGAAAGCCCCTGCAAAAATCGGAAAGGAGAAGCGGAGAAGCATCCTTCTTGTGACAAAAGACACTGGGAGCGATACATACAGCATTGTTGCTAGAGAGCGCTCCGGGTCCCTTTCGTCCTTGGATTCTTCGTCCATTGCTTCGTCCACTGTCGCGTCACCTGCCTCACATCTGTCGTCGCCGTCATCCGAAGCTCCCCTTCTTTCAGAGATTCAGCTCATGTTAGGAGCATGTGAGGAACCCAAGCATGCAAATGAAAGGCTGGCACCAAAGCATCCCTCGAAAGTGCGAGCACATGAAAGAGTCAGATACGTCCAATATGAAACGCCCAAGCAGGATCCTCCGAAACTTGTAAGACAGCCGCAGACGCTTCTGAACTCGGTTAGAATTATGAGTCCGATCAATGAACACGACGTGCACGTTTCCTCTTCGGATTTGAACTTGAACGGATTGCACGGCAAAAAGCCCACCAAAAAACTGAAGGTGGTGGAGGCGCCAGTCGAGGAGACACCACCGAACACCGCGCCAGGGTACTCTCTCCACGGGTTTCCCTTTAGTTCTAGCCTCAACAACATCTTTTCTCGCTCCGAAGATAGTGCCTTGCTTAAAGAAATCAGTGAGCTGTACCGTGGCAGTGGGACCAAGTTTGACACGCCGTCCCCCGAGGATATCCCTTCCTCTCTTCTGTTTAAAATTGCCAATTTTGGCCTCAGGTTCTTTCCGGAGCTCCCTTCCCAGTTGAGAGTTGCATTTCCTGTTTTGGCTGATGCCATAGACGTGGTGGACTACCGAGACCTTGTCGTGAAGGTCTTGGTGTACATGTTTCAAACCCTTGGTACTATGCGGCAGTACTCCATCTTGGATGTCATAATATTTTTCATGTTTAAGGTTCCGAGACAATGCGTCGATTTATGGCTCAGAGTGCTCATGTTTTGGCCACTAGTGGTCCACAAGCACATTGTCTTGAAGTTTATTGACTTTCTTCTCCACTGCAATATGATCCAGCTTTCCAAAAGCAACGGTGTTCCTGTATTGGGCGAGAAGCCACTTACTAAACGAATCGAAAACCAGGACGGGCTCGAGGGTGTAAAAGAGGGGACAAGGCGGGGCGAATTCGTTGGGGCCATACGAATTAGGAAACAGAACTCAAGTAAGCACTTGAAGGACACCATTGTGGATTTGGACCCGATGGTTCGTCAGTATTTCTATCACGATGATCAAGTGTAAGTAGTTTAACCGAAATTGTCGTCAAAGGGATGAATATGTAAATGCGGGATGTTGCAAATCACATGATTAACACTGTATTCAATCTGTGTGTGGTTGGCGGGGAGAATCAAGGTGCAGCTACAATTATTGGAGGGTTTGGCATAATTTCGGTGTGTTGGTTTGGGGTACCAGTTTATGGCTTGCGCATTGGAGATTAAGAGAAATTTCTGTGAAAGAGAAGGAAAACTGGAAACCCCTCATAAGCAATAGAAACGAAGTGGTATTAATTGGAGCGTGTCCTATTTTCCGAAAAACAGTGGTACTTTTAGAACGAGAGGCAATGTCTCATGCTGTGCTGATTCGCCATTGGTTAGAAATTGTAGCCTTTCATTGTACTACGATATTCACTAAGCTTTAGTCATTTTTTAGTATTCCTCGAAGTGTGGGGCATGACATTGAATCCGCGGCAGGGGTTTCGGCGCTATGCTTTATACTTCGGCCATCACTCGTAACCCTATTAAGGATTTCTTTTTCAGTCCGCTTTGCTCGAAAAAAAGATTTTGTTACGTGCAGCCTGCAGGAGAAGGCTTATCAAGCGATCCACCGGAGGCAAACATTTTAGCTCCACTCGAGAGACAAATCCCGTACTCTCCGCCAGAAACCCGATATCATACCGGCTGTGCCTGATCTACGCTCTGAGCAGGTCCAGGCCCTTCTTCACCTTCCAAAATAGCAAACAAACAGCGGCCAAAGAAGTTTCGTCCTCTATACAAGAGGTACGTTTACGGCTCCAACTCCAACAAAACCTACTCGTCGGGTGACGAAGACGAGGCTGAAGCTCCAAAGCCGTTTGCCAATAATGTTCCGATAGTCCGGTCTATCTACGTGCTCACAGATGCGTTTTTCACCGGCCGGGTGTGGCCCAAATCCAAATTTGAGAAGGTGGACGTCTTGCGGTGCGCCATCCACGGCCGCAACACCGACTACGAGATGGTAGAGGAGGAGGTGTACGAAGAGGTTACGGATGAATCACACCTCCTCAAGCTCCCCGTTGAGCTTATCCAGTACATTCTCGAAATTCTCGCGGCAACGAAACTCTCACCACGCTTTCTCCGGTTGAACAAAATGTTCTACCAGATCTGCATGCCCTTGATCTACGAACGGCCCGACATCTCATCCCACAACTTCTTCAAATTTGTGGAAGCCATTACCAACAACAAGAAACTCGGGGGGAACGTCAAGGTGCTAGATATGAGGCAGATCCAGCAGAGCAGTAAGAACTCCTTTGTGTCGCGATTGCTCAGACGGTGTTCCAGCTCACTTCAGAGCTTTACAGCACCCCAGACAAGTTTCGGATATGCTCCATTAGTCAGCCTCCGGCATTGCCATGACCTTAAAGTGCTAGACTTGCGATTGGTTTCCGAGACCGTGGATTTGAAAGAGCTTTTTGACGCCATCAAGTCAGCAAAACACTTGACGCATTTGTCATTTCCTCGCTCTTCGGTGCAGTGCAATGATTACGAAAACCTCTGGCCTCCGAACTTGTGGTACCTCAGACTCTCAGGAGGGATATCCGACGATTTCTTGTACAACTCAGAGTTCCCCGGAACCATCCGCAAGCTTGAATTCTCACACTGTCCATACGTGACAAAGAGCAGTATCTACCACTTGCTACATAAGTTGGGGGGTAAGTTGACATCGCTTGTAATCCAGTACCCGATGCCCGGCTTGGGGGGCAGTGACATGGACATGATCTTCAAGTATTGTCCGAATCTCCTTTCGTTGGAGATAACCGTGGACTATGTGTCGAAGGACTTGTTTGAGGACTACTGCCTTCCCTTGCTCCGCTACCCACGGCCTTTGAAGAACATATACATTGAGTCAAGTGGTATGATCGGGCAGGGCGATAAGCTCCATCCAGACGACCTCACACTAGCATTGATCGACGATAAGTTGCCGTGTCTCTTGAATGTGAAGATCAATGTGAAGCTCGGCTGGAACCCAGAGTCAGACGATATGGAGGACTTGGTGGGGGTGTTGGAGGAGCGCGGCGGTGGTGTGTACATGCTGTGGTAATGATAGATTAGAAAACAAGTGTAGGAGAAAGGTGTAGGAGGGGTAATTGCTAGGTTGGAGTGCGTTTCGATGGCGAACTTGATTAAGCCTTGCTTTGGACGGGTATTTGAAACACTCCTTGAGTGGTTCTGCCCCACTATCGGTCGGTCTCGTCCGAGAACTCTATCAGCCTTGTGCTTAGTTTGAATGGTGTCTCCATTTTGCAAGCCATCAGCTTGTTGCATAGGCTATGAACCACGTTCATAACCTCGCTTGCACTTCATTCACTCGGTTAAGCCATCGAGTTTACATTGAACTACACCAGAACGAACCTTTCTCACTCATCCCTGTCATAGCATGTTGAATCATAGTTTTAGTCATTCATTACAGCTAGGGATAGAACTTTTTATTTTTTTTAACAGTTGTTTTCACTGTTCTGAATCTAGCCTGGTTATGTCGGATGCACTCCCGGAACTTTACGATCTGGAAATTGGTTTGCCGAAAACATGGTTTTATCATTCCAGATAGAAACTCAGTTCGTCCAGGTCCGCTTCGATTGGATGCGTGACATCGACAACCTGAACTTTTCTATAGTTCAAGGAGCTGTGTCGTCTTAAAAACCCGTAGAACCATTTCAGGCTGAGGTAAGTGTAATCACCCTTGCTTTGGGAGGGCTTGGCATTATCCGCAACCAACTCGTCATACGCCTCAGCAAGCAACTCTCTGGCCACTTCCTCCACCTTCTGTTTTCCGGGGTAGGTTCCGCCGTCAACGAGATAGGCGATTTTTGCGGCCAAAACAACTTCCTGGGCATTTGTTAACCTCTGTTGCTTGATATGTGACTCAGTTCTATTCTCCGTTCCCTTGAGCCTGCCTCTCAAGGTAGACTCCGGGATGCCATACTTTTTGGCAATGCCTTTCTTCAGCGGGTCTTCCGATTCAAGATATTCCTGTATGGCAGCTTGGATCTTTTCTTCTTTCTCTTTTGGCAAAGTTTTAGCCTTTACGGTGACTTCCTTTGTGATGCCTCTTGCCTTAAGTCTGCCTCTCAAGGTTGATTCCGGGATGCCATGCTTGTTGGCTATGCCTTTCTTCAGCGCGTTTTCCGTCTCAAGAAATTCCTGGATTGCAGACTGGAGCTTTTCCTCTTTCTCTTTCGGCAACGTCTTTGTTCGGGCCGAATCAATCTCTGTCAAACCCTCCACTTTAAGTCTGCCCCTCAAAGTCGACTCTGGGATGCCATGCTTGTTAGCGATACCTTTCTTCAGCGGGTTTTCCGTTTCTAGGTATTCCTGTATGGCAGCTTGGATCTTTTCCTCTTTTTCCCTAGGTAACATAGTTGTGCGTCTATGATGTAATAGAGAGAACGGTGGGTCAAAACAACAACTCTAAGAGACAACGTTTGAAAAGTGCCCGCGTTCGACGCGTCGGCGCCGCCGCTTCTGGTAGAAACACGCTATATCTGAGTTCAGCGCGCGGTGTGCCAGGGCGATCATCCGATTGGACACGGAACGTCTTGTTTATTTCTCAAGAGACTCTAGCCTTCGGCATGGAATGCAGTGTGGTTTCGCGTCTCCAAAGTCACATGGTGGCATTTTTAAGGGCGTTATTCCAAGATTTTGAATTTATTAAATCTGCTAACCGCTCTTTATAGGTATGGGCAGGGGGATACTGACCCTCCACCAACAGCTCTGCGAGCCGTTTTTCCAAGCTATAGCCTGAACCCGGCTTCCCATCCTCAGCTATATTGACTTTATATAAGGTGTATAAGTAAAATTACAACGTTATATGGCTCTTTAGCATTCCCGAGATTCTGTAGCTCGCGTCTTATTTTCGCGCGGCGCCACCTTTGCCCACTTTATGTGTAGGCTATAAAGTCACATGCCTTAGTGTCGTGCGGTGCGCCGCAGCCTCTGCGCAGGTCCAAAAAAATCTGCCTGGGATCGGAACGTATCTCCGAAGTGCTAATGTGCTACAATCCCCGTTATCAGTCGCGAAACTGCCAAAGGAATATTATATCAAACGGGTTAATATCGTACCACTTCCTGTTTACACTACTGGATAACCATCTTGGCTAATACCCTGTGCTACAACGACCCCATACTTTCTGCGTCTACCCCCTATGTCCAGTGACGTACTCGTGTGGCAGCCCGACTCCCTCTCCAGAGCATGTCCCATTTGCTCTAAAAAGTACACATTCTTCAACAGACGACACCATTGCCGTAAATGCGGCCGTGTGGTGTGCGGAAACTGCTCCCAACACGATGTGGTGTATTTGCCACACACGTACGTTGTGCTGCGGCCCACAGGTTTTGTGGCGCCGAGCGGGTTTTCAGATGAAGAGGAAGATCCGCCTGTGAATGAAGCCAGGTTGGGTCATGCCTATAAAACCTGCGATGAGTGCTATGAAGAGGTGCGCATGATAAAAATTGCCCTTGGGATGACGGTGGCGCGAGAAGTCGTCGCCCCACTGTCATCCAGTGAGGAAACCACCGAGGAGGAAATTAGCCCCGTTTCATCTGAGCCTACACTGATTATCAAGGATAGCACTAGAAACGAACGGTATCTACCGCGATCGTCAGGCGAAACCGGCTCGTCTTCCGCGCAGATGGCGCCTGACGCGGGCTCAGACTTTACCCACTGTCCGATATGTCAGGAAGATCTCAAAGCACTGTATGAGACAGAGGAGGAGCGCGAGCGACACATCAACGACTGTCTTACTCAGTTAGCCCTTTCCCCTGATTCGAGACGAAACAACAAACGCAACCACCTTCTTGTGTACAACATCCCCGAGGTTCAGTCGCCACCTGAGAGCTTTTCGAATGAAACGCTCCAGGAACTATTGGAACCTCCCCAGTATGCAGTGAACGCTCCCGTGGACACAGCTGATGGGGTGGCTGAAAACGAATGCATCATCTGCTTGGAGGATATGAGCCCGGGTGACAAAGTTGGCCGGTTGGAGTACTGTTTGTGCGTGTTCCACTATGAGTGCATCAAAGACTGGTTTAACAAGAAGAAGTGGGGTGAGTGCCCAGTTCACCACAACTACAACTATGAATAAAGGCTGAGGACTGTCGTAGCGGGAAGGAAATGGAAGAGATAACCCCTAGTGAGATGGCTTTACTAGTTTCAAGTGCAAGTTTTGGCTGTGGTCTCCAATGCTAGGTATTATCTCCTATAGCATATCCATCTTTGCCCCCAAGTGTTACTGTCCTACGAGTACCCACGCCGATAATCTGCTGATCTGGCTAATTAATTAATATCTAGTATGGTTATGTCATACCATTGTATTCGGAGACTGAAGGCGGACAGAGGGCCAAAATAGGTATTTGGCTTATTGTCTATAATTTGTTTTATCTCTAGTTTTTTTTTTTGTGTAGCGGCGAAATTTTTTACTCCAATATCATTGAAAGGGTTATATCCCACAAGTGAGCTAAAACAAGGTAAAGATAGTAGGGGGGTATCCGGCACTCTATTCCGTTGTAAGCTGTTGGTACAGCATGCAGGTTGAAAACTTGGATGATAAGCAGTAGGCTCTACATCCATATCTTCCTCATATACTCACAAGCCTGGATAAACACAATTATCTCAATGTCCGAGATCCCTTATTCATCACCGCAAACAGGCCTCACGGTTACAGATGAAGACATCAAATACCTCCATTTGCTTGAGTATATCGACGAAGTAGAAACTCTCATGGACACACTCCATCCGCAGCTAGCCCAGGGGTTTTTGAGTCTCTCCAGGGCTAATTTTGCGTCTGGACTCGGCATAGGAAAGAAGTTTGGACAGGACTACTGGGATTATGGTGAACGGGACTCGCACGTGCACGTCTGTGTGGCCACAGGCGAGTTTCGGGATCTTCTCCAGGAGCAGAACGACAAGGTAGATGAAAAGGCAGTGGAGAACGCGGAAGCAGAGACGTCAGGACTACGTAGCAGAAATAGCAAACTTGAACCCAAGAAAATCGATACAGTTGAAGCGCAACCAGTGAAATTTAAGAACCAGATCAGAATGTTCAATGGTGGCATGGTTCCGCTTCCCTTGCGCCAGAGCCAGCAAAAGTTCAAGTCCTGTTTACCAATAGTGGTGAAGATCGCTCAGCTTCGTCAACAGATATCAGATCTCATGGATGAACTCGGGTTGGAGAAACCGCAACCTCTAGAGAAGAAGGACACGGCGGTACAGATTGCTGGAAGCGGGTTGTTTGACATTGAAGAGACGCTAGCCAGGTTAAGTCTTGAGAAAGGTAAAATGGTGAAAAATGTTGAGGTGGTTGTCGACTAGGTCTAGACATATATGCTACATCCCGTGTTAAGCCATTCATGGCGTATCGTATGACTCCAATGACACGATACCACATTGAGAAGGGGCGATTTATACATCCCCATATCATCCCGGTTAATTTGTGTGCATATAACTTGATGGCGAATTTTCAATCTGATCTGGTTCGGCGGGCACGTATCTGTGTTCAAGTGCTACTCCTATATTTATGTAACACCCATAGAGATGATAATTCTCATTAGCTTGTAACAGGCCAAACCCATACTCAGACTGTCGCTTACACCTTCTAATATAACATCCTTTGACAGAAAATTTCCAAAGAGTTGGGTTATTCCTTGGGTTTTTGAATTTTCTCACTGCCTTGTCTACGCAACTCCACGCTCTATCAGATTTATCCCTTTGTCAACAGTTGGTCATTATCAGATTATCTATATCCTCACACAATCAGGCACGCCCACCTGTCTAAGCACTTTAACTTACCCTACAACGCCTCGTAGACCTTGAAAGCGGTACAGTCGTAGTCCCAGTCAGGAAAGACCTTGGAGGCCCAGCAGGCGGCCTCATCCCAGGCCATGCCGTAGATCAATGCCTTGTAGGTCAGGAAGAAGTAAAACGCAGCGGCGAGGAAGCCCACCATCATAGCAGACCCTGCAACGAAGTTTTTAGACGCCACAAACTCCATAGTACTTGCTACACCCAAAATGCCAAACATCAACGCCGGAAGGTAGTTCGCGGGAGTCAATTCCAAGCTCTGGACCACCTGCGGCTTCGTGAAAGGGTAGAAGTGGATGAGCCAGCCAAGTGCTGCTACCCAGAGAGCGTTAATATACGTGTCGTAGGCCTCGTTGTACACCTTCCGCTGGGCGTAAGGACTGAGGAGTTTCATCATCTGGGGGAGCTTCGTGGCGATAAACGTGGCGAGGAAGCCGACGGCCAAGAAATACGTCGGGAGGCTGCCCACGCCGAAAACAATGCTGCCATGGCCCAACTCCAAGCTCTGATAGAGTGTCATCCCGGTGAGGGGCACGGGCCAGGTCCAAGCGACACCCGTATTGACGTCATCTGAGCTCTTGCGCTTGAGCCAGAGCATGCGTGCCATCTGGTAGCTAAGCTCAACAACACGCTTCCAATGCGGCATAGCAAAGCGGATGTGCTGCGCATCCGCATCACTGTCGAGGTGCTCGTTCTCGTTCTTCTCCACGTACCACAAGGAGTTCTCGAGTGCCGGACTGTTGTTACAGAAGACCTCGCGCTCGGCGGATGCAGTCCAGTCGGAGGGTAACATGGCATCATGCGACATGAGGAAGCAGCCGGTGCCCAAGTTGTTGATCTGGAACGCCACATCAATGCTTTCAATACGTGTAGACGACAAGCCAGAGGTGGAAAAGTCGCGCACTACCTTGAGCTGGAAGTTGTTGTTGACGCTCCCCGCGTACGAAATGTTACCTGTGCTGAAGACCAAATTGTTATATTCCTGCTCCGAGACAGGTGGTCTTTCGTTAGCCACCTCCAAGTACTGGGAGGAGACGCGGTGGAGAAGTCTCACAACAGTAAGGTCGCGCACCTGGGAAAACTTACCCGGAACCATTTGACTTCTGTCCTTGCGCTCGATGATCCATTCGTTGCTAGCGTCCTCAAGGCCGTAGCCACTCACTATGTGCTTGCTATCCGGGCTGTTTGGTAAGGTATGGTTGCTCGAATGGAGGTAGGCACCGGTTGCCAAGTGTCTTATGGTGACCGCACCACCGAAACAGAGCGGAGCTGTGGTCCCATGAACAGAAGAGTCGGAGATTCCAGCTTTGAAATGCGGTGACATGTACGAGAGCATTGGCGAAGCCTTGGATGTCAAACTCAAGTGTACGGAAAAGACGGCAAAGTAGATTGTGAGCGGCAACACAAGCAAGGTTGCGGCCTTGGTAACAGCAATCCTGAACACGGTGGAGGAGGAAACTCTGATGTCCCCGGCGACATACCACATGCGAATTGCCGATAAAATGAGAAGGAAGGCCCAGGTGGAAACCCCGGCCCAGTGCAGGGATATGGCGCAGCCAACGGAGAGTCCGCTGAGAGTCATGTAGAGTGCAGCAGTGAAAGATGCGGGCTGGGGGGCCATAAGGACCCCTCTCTGGAAGCCAAACACTGCAATGAGACATAACAACACATACGGTGTTTCGGTGTTCATGTACTTGGCGTAGGTAAGCATCGAGTTCTCAAAAAGCACGAGCGAGGTACCGAACATCGCGGTGGTTCCGCGGCAGCCGGCATTCTTCATCACGAAGAACGACAAGATAATGGTGAAAACGCGGCAGATTACGCCAAACGCACGGAGAAATACGTACGCAAGATCGTTGGAGAACCCAGGGAAGCCGCCCTGGTACTGCGAAAACCGTGCAAGCATGTAGTACACCAAGTCGACAAGCGGAGGGTGCGCTGGCACGAAAAACGTCCCATTGTAGTAGTTGGATATCGTCTCCACAATTGCAGGCTCCTGGAAAAGCGGAGTTCGTGGCTTTTCGATGTTGACGAGCGATGTGAGTGTCGCAAAGAGCGCGATCATGAGGAGAAAGATGGCGTCGGTGGTTGATAATGCGGTCCGGCGTGTGTACGTCGCAGCCGATGCGACCGCCTGGTAGTACGGCCGTTGGATTCCGAGGCTGTACCCGTAGGGCAACTTTTCCGCAACTTTTTCCGTCGTCTCGGAGGTCATTTGGGGCGATAAATAAGTAGGCCGATGGAAGGTTGAAAAATGAGAACGTTGATTTGTACTGGTAAGGCCAGGTGTCCTGCGTATAACGGGAACCGAAAATGAGAATAGAGGCCATGTGAGGGACGGAATTGTAGAGAGCTGGCTTTGTGAGTGAGCTTATCTGCGAGATACTGGATCACTATGAGTCTGTGAGTTGTAGGAATATAGTTTGAAAATACAAGATTCAGAGAGATATCTTTCGGTAAAACTGGTGCTGCTCGTATACGTCTATGGGACCAACGCATTACAGACTGTAGGCGCTGCTGGCGATGCTATCAGTATTCCAATTTAAATTCAACGTGGATAAAATTACAAAGGTATGTTTAAATTATACGAGTATTTAGTATTACAGATAAATTAGCCGTAAACCCAATTGATTCTCCTTCTAGAGCTATTAGACCCGTGGGCAGTATCCACATTGAGTATAAAGGCTTCTAAGCCAATGTTGGCACTAATTGTAAGCACTTGAGTATGCTTTGGCAGTGGCAAGCTATTATTTCCTGTGTTGATACTGTGCAAAATTGAGTTTGTGATGTATATATGTGTTTAGAAACTGCATTCGTTACTAGTTTATATCACATAAAAGTGAGGCCACGATCGTGTCGGGTAAATTTTCGTTAGATAAACATCAAAAAAATGCTTATGTTAGGAGCTATCTTGAATGTTAAATTAAACGCTTGGTTTGAGTAAACTTTAAGGTAGCTGGTGGATATTCAAAATATAGTAGAGAGCCCAGACCACCATCGTCAATGACAGATAAAGACCCATTAATATCCAGGTCATTCAGCCATAGCATTCCAGATATTTGGAGAATGGATGAAAATAAACATGGTATAGTAGGACTTCTCCAGGTGCTGGAATCCATCATTCTGGTTTTAAGCAAGTTCTAAAATACATAGATTATAAAGTCTGTGCAATTTATGCGCTCTTTCAGTATATAAGGAATTCATCAGACAAATCTATTTAAAGGCCAATCAGACCTATCAGCATTCTAGTGATAGTATCTACGATTCCTCAGGGCAGAAGTTCAGGGTACTCCTGTTAACCTCGTACTTGGGCAAGTCTAGGACCACGACCACAGCCATTCAATGTCCTCGTAAATAAACTAATCTTTACCATCTCGCACGTGACTTTGCCTAAGCGGCTCACTGACTAAGCTACATTTGTCAGACAGGGCAATATATACGTTTTGGTGTCATGTCAGCCGCACATATTACTAAGCTCATGTAGCCTGCACCCATTGTGTAATCCGTGTGGGTGAAACAACCCGGAGGATATAAATGCTATCGTGGCTACGCTTGAACACATAAACATACCTGTTCTAGTATCCAGGCCAACCTATAATACTTTAAGATCAAACACACAACAATGTCCGCTGCTACTGCCGCCCCAAAGGCCACTACCTTCTTCGGAAACATCGTCTCTTACGACGTCCACACCTACTACAACTACGAAGACCTAGAGGAGCAGAAGTTTGCCCGCGAGCTCTACAGAAAGGTCGAAGTCGAGTTTGCTGACTTAATTGAGAAGGGTGATGTCCGTATTTTCAAGTTCTGGGAGTACCCAATCGGTCCGCATCCAATCAGTATGTTTGAAATCGATTTCAAAACCGTCGAGGCGTTCATCAAGGTGATTCCTTTCTACCAGGTCAACCACGGGCCATTAAGTGTGTTGATCCACCCACGTTCCGACAAGGGCGCCTTGACCGACCATACCGAACACGCGTTATGGTTGGGCGAGAAGCAGCCATTGAAGTTGGGTGTGTTGCTGAACGATGTTGGCGAGGACTAATTGAGCCTACCACTATGTTTTCAATCTACTTTCTAATAGGTTCGTGTTTCCATGCATCCTTCAGTATATTAGATATATATCCGTTTATCCCGCATCCACTCTTCTGTATGCAAATTTAGACCTAAAGGGTGAAATCCGGCGGTTATGGTGGAAGGATACCCCAGACAATGGATTAGCTTGTTTCACATGATCCCCTTCGCGTGCCGCAGTTGGTTCAGCCGCCAGTTCAATTTGTGGTCGCTGCTATCTTGATCTAATACGATAAATAGAAATAGGCGTCCGTAATGTACAGATCAACAGCGAATGCAATAAGACACCGACTAGTGTCCGGGTAATGTGTGGCCCCCAATCTGTGTTTATTGAAAGCATGATGATTTGGATCCTAGTTGCAGGAGTAATGGGGTTTCCTGCAGCAACTGGGGGTGAGATTAGTCAAAAATATTAGATCGACGATGCCCAAATTTTGCCATAAAAGAGGCTAGACCGTATAGAGGCTATGCACCACGTAGCGTCAAACAAATAATACTAGAGCCACATGTGTTCAGGGGTTGGTGCCACTTAGGCTTAAGGAGTTTTCATGTACTAATTTGCCAAATAGGAAACCCTTCATCTTCCGATAAGGGCAGACCGGCGTGTCAAGCTTTGAATACTTAATGTGTGGCGTGCGCCGATGTCTGTCTCATGTAGGCCGTAGGCATGTCGTGCTTGCATGTACATGCTGTATGGGAGTAGCATGATGAGCTTTTTTCGGATAAATCCCCTGAAGGGGAGCCGTGCGATAACACGGCTTTGTAGCTCCCTTGCTTATTCAGGATGATTTGGAACTGATGTGAACCCGGTCTATTTGACCTGTATTTACTTTAGTCCTAACTATAAATCGCGAAAGCAGCTTAATCCCGGGCCTCTCTCTTAGAAAGGGTCCCCGGAAATGACCGTAAATAACGGCGGTTTATGGCCTACACATGACCGGAAACGGCCTCTACGCCTATTAAAGTTTGAGAGGGGTCCTCAACGACCCCTGATGTGTTTGTATAAAAAAATATATCCACTTCTCGCTTATAACTACTATCGAAACATTTAATTCGCCTAAGGTGCCCCCAATGCTTTCATTGGGTGAAAAAAAAATGCATTACCGTTGGATTTATCTTTGTATACTCTTTTTTCAATACCCAGTAGCTTGTCCCAAGACTCTTAAAAAATACATGGTGAATCAAGTATCAGCCTCCGGCTTGGCTCGACACACCCCGTACAGTTGGATGGATATTTAACTCCCAAGATGCTTCGATGGTCATGTATAGGAAAAGGTGCAGCTTCGGGGTCAGGAGTGAGCCTGCTACTAGCATACGGCACGGTATTAGCCTGTCCCCATTTTAATTTGCTCAAATCCTTGCGGAGTGACATTCATGCCATCCGTATGGGGCACCACCTTACACTCGTGCGGCCCCAACTGAGCCCGTTTGCCCATGGATAGCTCGAGCCGCCGCAGAACTGTCTGTCTGGGCGGCAGGTCATGCATATTATGGCTCCCCGCAAACCAAGTTTGTATGAGGTCAGGTACGGTTAGAAGGGGTACTTCAAGGCTATCGAAGCTCTTTTATTACAAGTCTAATAAAGTAAAGGCTGAGGCATTCCCCTTGGCACACGGCTTCCCTCATTTTTTCCAACCTTACGGGTAATAAAACGGAAATCCCAGGCAAGATGATGAACAAGGGGTCGAACCACACTAGGGCTTAGGACCTGCAGTGTTTATGTCCGAATTCCACCTGGCTGCCGCATATATTTTTAACCAATGTACTTGCAAGGTTTTTGGTGAACAAGCCATATCACGTCTCTACTTCGTATCCTCCTTTGGAGATACCCACGCTAGGGCTACCATATCGACCCCGCTAACTGCAAATAGACACTTCATCGGAGATTAACCCCTTTAGATATAGAAGTCCGTTGCAGCAGGCAGCAGAAAGAGTGATGGCTGTCGAATATGCAGACACCGTGCGTCACTAGTATGTTTTACGGCGAGAGTAGGGATCGACGATCACAAGGCAGCATTTTGAAGCTTGAAATGACATAGGTCGGCTACACCTGTCACCCTTTTTGTGTTTTATCAAGGGTAAAGGTATACTTCTCGTATTATTGTAGACCACTTTCCATGGGCAGCATTCAAGGAGAGTAAGGGGGTAGCCCATTATATTTAGCAAGGTGGCAGGGCTGGCGGGACGGAGATCCCAAGGGGCGATACAAGACGCACAAAGGACTAAAGTACGCCCTTCGTGCGTTTCATACCTCCAAATCTCGGACCAATGACTCATGGGAATTGATGAGATACGGTCTAGGTCCTTGCTTCATTTGGTGCCCCCATTCATCCAAGCCTTGAGAGCCCCAACTCCCGCCACCTCTGTTATCTCTAACGAACAACACGTGAAGGCAGGCTGTACATGGATTACTCATCCCTCTATAGATCGCCCGGCTGGGCTGTAAATGCATTCCGGTGCATTAAATTAGCATACATGGCCTGCATAATTTGAAAAGTAGCCGATGAAAAATTTTCGCCTTACTCGAGCAGGGTCCTTTTCGAAAGGGTCCACCAAAAAGAGCCGGCAGTGTAGCCATGATTAGACCCTGTACAAGCTTTGGTAATCGCATTTTCTTGAACGATTATAGTCCGGATAACCCTGATTTTTTAATAGCCAAAAAGTAAAACCACATGCAGATACATGATAATATGCGAACTGTTCCTGTACAAGTTGCTCAATTGCGTTTTAGTACAACGCGGATTCCTATGCCGCCGACGAAGGTAAAAAGAAACGGGGGAAACATGTCTTGCATCTAGCATACCAGCGTTGTGCATAAGTACTTGCCCTGAAGGGCCCGGATTATGCACGGTGGTGAGATTAGGCATGATCACCCCGCTCAAAAAGAGACAGCTCATCCAAGCAAGATCGCAATACCCATCGCCCCGGGGTGTAGTACGTAAGGGTTGGAAATAGATATAAATAGAAGGTATCCCAGGTGTTTCCTTATCCGCAGTTTCTTTCACTATCTGCAAAGACTAAAATGGGCTTCTTTAGTAAGCTCAACTTTAAGGATGCTCCCCTTTCGGAGACATCTCATATCAAAGCTGAAAATGAGATTCCAGAAGAACTCAAGTTGCAGGCGGTTAAGTCTGGTGAATTGGACATGTTATCCGCCCAGCTTTCCCAACAAATCATGGAAGACGAGTACGCCGGCGTGGTGATTGACGACGACTCTCCATACCCAGAAGTGAGAGCCGCGGTTTCCTCCTCTGATGACCCTTCGGTCCCCCAAAATACTCTCAGAATGTGGGTTATCGGTATGCTCATGAGTACTATCGGGTGTGCCTTGAACATGTTCTTTTCCTTGCACGCCCCTGCTTTCCAGATCACTACCATGGTCACCTCTATCGTTGCCTGGCCCATGGGTAGAGCCTGGGAATACTTAATGCCGCAAATGAAGGTCTTTGGTATGGAATTAAACCCGGGTCCTTTCAACATCAAAGAGCATGCTTTCATAACCATTATGGCTAACGTCTCTTTCGGTGGTGGTGCTGCTTATGCCACTGATATTATCTTGGCCATGAACAACTACTACCACAAGAACTTTGGCTGGGGGTTCAACTTGTTGGCTATCTGGGCCACCCAGTGTATTGGTTTCTCCATGGCTGGTCTCTGCAGACGTGTCCTTGTTGAGTCGCCAAGTGCCATTTGGCCACAGAACTTGGTCACTTGTACCTTCTTATCCAACATCCACAGTAACATAAACCACCCTGCGAACGGGTGGAAGATCTCGCGGCTTCGCTTTTTCTTGATCATCTTTCTTTGTTCTTTCGTCTGGTACTGGTTCCCAGCCTTCATCTTCCAAGCCTTATCTTACTTTGCGTGGGTTACCTGGATCAAGCCTAATAACGTCATCGTCAATCAAGTGTTTGGGGCCTCTACCGGCCTTGGTTTATTGCCTATCACCTTTGATTGGAACCAGATCGCAGGTTACATTGGGTCCCCGTTGGTTCCGCCAGTGTCTGTTATTTTCACCATCTTGTTTGCTATGGTTTCCATCTACTGGGTCGCCACTCCAGTTCTCCACTACAAGAACGTCTGGTACGGCAAATACTTACCAATGTCCGACTCTGGTTCCTATGACAGATTCCAACAACCGTACAACGTGTCCCGGATTGTGGATGAAAACTTGAATTTCAACCCCAAAGCTTACAAAGAATACTCTCCATTGTTTTTGTCCACCACCTTTGCCGTCTCCTATGGCTTGTCTTTTGCGGCCATGACCGCTACCATCGTCCACACCGGTCTTTTCCACGGAAAGGATATCTGGAACCAGATGACCGGGTCCAAGAACCAAGCCTCCGATGTCCATCAAAGGTTGATGAAGGCCTACAAGCCGGTTCCAGAATGGTGGTATGCAATTGTCTTCCTCGTCTTCTTCGGTATGTCCATTGCTGTTGTTAGAGCCTGGCCAACCGAGATGCCCGTGTACTCCCTTGTGCTTGCCCTTTTGATTGCCTTTTTCTTTTTGATGCCAGTTGGGGTTATCTTCGCCTTGACCAACATTGCTGTTGGCTTGAACGTTATCACCGAATTTATCGTTGGTTACATGGTTCCAGGGAAGCCAGTTGCCATGATGTTTTTCAAGACTTTTGGTTACATCACCAACAACCAAGCCATCACCTTTGCTCAGGATATGAAGTTGGGTCACTACATGAAGTTGGAGCCACGCTTGTTATTCTGGGCTCAATTTATTGCCACCATCTGGGGTTCCTTAGTGCAGATATGTGTGTTGAAGTGGGCCCAGGGCGCTATTAATGGCCTCTGTGACGCACACCAAAAGAACCACTTCACCTGTCCTACCGGTAAAGTTTTCTTCAATGCCTCCGTCATCTGGGGTGTCATCGGTCCAGAGAGACAGTTCTCCAGTGGTGAAATATACAATGGGTTATTGCACTTTTTCTGGATCGGTGCTCTCTTGCCAATCATCAACTGGGTTATCTTGAGGAGATGGCCAGGTTCTCCAGTCAAGTACATTCACTGGCCAGTCTTTTTCTCTGCTACTGGCTACATTCCACCGGCCACTCCATATAACTACGGCTCTTACTGTATTGTTGGTATCGTGTTTGGCTACTTTATTAAGAAGAGATTCTTCCACTGGTGGACAAAGTACAACTATTCCCTTTCCGCTGGCTTGGACATCGGTTTAGCGTGGGCTTCATGGCTTATCTTCTTGTCTTTGTACTTGACGAACGCGAATGCGCCAAACTGGTGGGGTAATAACGTGATTACAGAGACTATGGACTATCAAGGCACCGCCTTGAACCGAGTTTTGGCAGATGGTGAATCCTTTGGACCATCCACTTGGTCTTCTTAAGTCCTTGTTGAGCTCTTTTTACTCTCCTGAAGTCACACGTTTCGTTTTTTTTTTTGGTTTTTTTTTAATTCCTATACGCTTCAGACAACGCGCAGACTTACCAAACGCTAATATATTTAATAAGTTATACCTCGTCACGGTAAATCTCTCTCGGCCAGAAATCTCAATGTGGATTAGTTTTTACCCCTCAGGTATTAGTCATTTGTGGTTCCCCTTTGGTTATCTTTCACCTGGGTAACTGGAATCTGCAAAGAGACTGATGATGCTGGTGCGTATAATATTTGTCTACCTGAGTAAGCTTAAACTATGCAATTGGCGAATGTGAGTCCACCGTTCGATGCACCCTACATCTACTAGGTAGGTACACCCTTAAATCGCATATTCCGATCCCGAACGCGCAAAAGGCTTATAGCTCACGTCTCGCCCCTTAAATGTTTATATTATTTTCGCCTAAGTAGGAAATCTGTTATTTTTGCTACCAATGGGCCTCTACGAAATATCAAACAATGCCATATCCAACCAACTATTGATACCTCCCTGTGACCACGTGACCTACCAAGCTCTGTAGACCTTAAACCTTTTTTCCGACGAAAAACACGGCCATTGCATTTAATTAAGCGGCGAGCCATACTAATAGAGTACATAGCTTGCCTCACCTGTTTACATACCAAAATGTCACAACAACAAAAGGTCGATTTGACCCAATTGCCAGCCGAGCAGATTATGGAAATCCAAAAGAACTTGAACCAAGAGGTGAACCACTTCAGCACCTCCTTGCAAGCATTGACCTCTGCCCAGAGCAAGTTCGATCAGTGCATTCAAAACATCAAGCAGGTGACTAAATCCGAGTCTGCTGATACAGCAGCTCCAAGTAACCAAATCTTGGTTCCTTTGTCCTCTTCTTTGTATGTCCCAGGTAAGATCAAGTCCGGTGACAAGTTTTTAGTCGATGTCGGCACCGGCTACTACGTTGAAAAGTCGGGCAAGGGCGCTATCGATTTTTACCAGAAGAAGATCACCAAGTTGGACCAGGACCTGACCCAGTTGAAGGAAATTATCCAATCCAAATCAGAGACCTTACAAACCGTGACGAATGTGTTGCGCTCCAAATTAGCTCAGCAACAAGGCCAAGCCCAGGAATAGAAAAAGGGCACAAGACTTGCACAGACACGGTTGAATGCATACAGGGTGAAGCAAGATCCATGAGTCATCTGATGAGCCGAATCCATTGATCGGGGTCAGTGCACGCCTCTCGGAGAGTGCGAATGATTTAGTTGGAGTAACCCTTCAACGTGGACTCAGGCCACTCGATTTAATTGCAATAAATCGGCCGTCAGGCTCGCCAATGAAACCCTACTACACTATTAACAGAGAATTCATATAGACAGTAAGCTGGAAGCAGATATGGTGCGCACGTGACATATCTTCCCACGGTTCTTTAGACTGTTTCAACCTTGTGTATATAATTATCTGTAGTTACTGCGTACATGTCGCAAGAGGGATTTTTAGCACACTGATGACATCGTGGTTGTTAGGAGAAAATGTGCAGCGAACAAGAAATCCTGCAGCTTGGGGCTCCAATAATCCAAAACGTTCGATCGAGCTCTTTAAGGTTCTAAAGGGACTGTCGTTTCTTTTTGCCATAGAAATCCTTTCTTATCTCTATGCATAGGCGTGACCAATTTGTTACTAAGCGAGTGTCTATCTTATCGGAAGGGCTGGAACTTCCTGGCCGTACTATAAATTCGAGCGCCCCCCGAATATTTACCCTTTCTTTCTAATAATTCTCTCCATCTTTTCCGAGAATATCCTCTTTATACGCACACAATGGTCTTAGTTGCTGATTTACTACACCCTCTCCCTCAAACCGAAGCTGGCATGCACAAATTGAAGAAGTTGGTGCAAGCCCCGGAGTCTTACTTCATGGACGTCAAGTGTCCCGGCTGTATGAGCATCACCACCGTGTTCTCCCATGCTCAGACTCCGGTCAACTGCGAACAGTGCGCCACCATCTTGTGTCGGCCATCCGCCGGCAGGGCCGAATTGGCCGAAGGCTGCTCTTTCAGAAGAAAGTAAGGATCCCTATTCCACGATTATGAAAAGAGTTATTGGGAAGCAAAGATATTCTTTCAAGTACACCAGGGTTCAAAGGGTTGCTGGACCAGTAATTTGCTTTGATACCTTGAGTCCTTTTCCGCCATGTTCTAACGACGTCACGCATATATTACAAGTCAAACAGCAGGCGCTGGCCTTCAGAGATCTCTGGATCCTCCTCGTTTGGGTTAGACAGCTCTGTTATATAAGTTATAATTTTCAATTCAATACACTCTGTAGTCTGAGGAGAATTTCAGATTTAGGGTTTGTGAGACTATTAGCCGACATGCAAGGGCCAGCGCTGAGAAGTCGCACTCGACTCCCGTATGGTAATCTAGAGACTCCTGGATGATAGAGTATACCTGGATCCTTTTGTGAAAGGACTTTATTATTTTACGTACGTCTAATTTATTGGTCATCCCACCAGGTAGAATGTTAGTGGCGTATTCACATATTGGTCTTTGCTCAACTTGTATTTGGATCGAGAGGAGAAACGGTCATGTGCGTGACGTCAGTCACGAACCTGTGGTATATGCACATTTTATGCTTACATGACTTTTTCCGAGCGTAAAAAAATAGTGTAACTAGGGGCCCGAAACGATGGCGCATACAACATAACTAAGTACCAATACGAATTTACTAATTTGGTATATATGCCTAATAATTAATCATTTCTAAGATAGTTTTAAATATACATATATTTGAAGTATATATATAGGTTTTTTGCTGGCTTACATTTATGTTATTAATATATTATATATTTCGATTAATCAATAATGTTAATATTCAGATGTAATTATATACATCAATATATTATTAATTGATTAGCAAAAGTAATTCACACACTTACACATAAATATGATTACATTTTTGTCAATAACCACAATTCAAGTTTAAGAGTACAGGTGGAGCTATTATATATATAAGACTGTATTTTGTCTTATATTCTTAGACACTTTCCACTGCATTGTAAAAGGTTTACCCTGCTCCTTTTTGCTAAGGTCGGCACTAAGGACCGCAAAAGATATATGCAGGATATATAGCTCGAGTAAGTATAACCGTAATCGATTACTGGGGTGTACAACTGATTGCACACATGAATCATCTATGGATGCTTTGCGAATGTATCGTTTTTTCAAATCCTCTGTAATGATGCTTGACCACTTTATTGACACGCTTGACACAGGAACCGGTGAGAATCGCAGGCCATTCACGTTAAACTGTCACCGGCGCGTTCTATGCCCGTAAACTGTCGCCGGCGCGTTCTATGCTCATAAACGGTAGATTCTGGCCAAACTAGTCTAGTTTCGACGGAGTTGGAAATTTTGGAAGTTTACGAGTCCGGGATGGAGCATGAAGTATAACACGCGCCACGGTCGCTTGTATTCAATATGGCCGCTTTGATATGATTTTGAGGTTCCAGTACGTCAGGGATATCGGCACTCACCAATCATCCAAGACCTAGAGTTTGATTCCTATAGATTTACTTTGATAAATTTTGAGGTCTATTCAAGCTGTATGGCATATTGAAACAAAGCTAGAAAATATAATCTGTACAAGTTGTAATTGCAATTTATATTTAATTGGCAACATTCGTGAGGATCCCTTCCTGTTGACCTGGCAATACACCCCTTAAACCCTTATCATTATACATTACATCTAAGGTTTCCGAAAAAAGCAGGTAATTTAATCACTGCCGCTGCAAAACGTGTAGAGCGCGATGGCTGAACGCGTGCACACGCGTAACGACCAATTTCTTGGGCAGCACGCGTAACGCATATGCATGCGAGATCGTTGGGATTCAGTAACTATGACACCGTAAACCTGATACAGTGTGGGCTACTTCCATCAGCTTAATCCGCACTACTCACGCTTTTGAAACACAGATGTATCCGAAAGCGATACTCTTTCACTGTATATTGCCAAATAGGATGGTAGTCATCGAACTTTCCAGAAGCACGAAGCACAGGCAAGTTTCTGGCCGAATACTTGTGCAGTTTTGCGAGACTTGAGGTCTAAGGATACATCGAATAAGGTAAAAGAGATTGACGTCTCGGGGAGTAAACACCGGACCTGAGTAGCTATACAAGTCTTGGAAAAGATGCATGTACAAGTTACATGTATGTATCAGACATACCGCTCGTGCTTAATAAGACTTGGCAACAGTATAGCCGTCTAAGCCTTGCATACAAGAGAGATCACATCGGAGTAATTCTGCCCCTTTCAGTAATAAAATACGGTGATTTTCAACTTCCTTGGCAACAGCCATAGTTGAGTAGCCTTAACTGCCGATACGTACGTATGTAAAGTTCTGAACATTGAGATGTGGGGTTGAAGAAGCCAGACCCGTCTTTTTATACGAGCTGTTATCTTGATGGCTTTCCAGCCCAGCATTACTGTGCCTCGCGCCTAATTTTGCGCAGTGGCCAAAGTAAGCAAAAACGAAACCAAAAGTATTCATTTCTATTAACTTACCGCATCTGGGATACTTAAACCACTGGCTTCGCAATACAGCGCGAGGGTATAGCGTATTTCAATCGATCCAAATAACCAGCGAATGTGGGGGCGAAAAACGCAGTTTCAAATCGCATCCCTTTTTGCACCCCCAAATAGTTTGCAGGAGATACATCAACTGCACGAGCTGGTGCCATCTCTTGAAAAAAAATAACGGTGCTGTGCCAAGGGTGCTGGCTTTTTACACGATACGACTAGAGATATGGTAAGGCACATTTTTAGCCTGATGAAGACCAATATTCTCCATCATAGAAACATAGTTATCGTATGACATCCCCCCGGCAATTTCAATGAGTTTTGTAAAAGTTCTGTGGGATATATAACCATGGTTTTACCAACCAGGGGTAATATCAAGGAGGTGTATGAGGATGTCCTCAAACCCTACTGCAACCCTCTGCTGATGTCAGCTATATGCCCCCCATAGCCAGACATTCAGGAACACGTCCAGATCTCGATGGGGAATATTACTCTTCTTTTAAGCCATACTCCTTGTTCCATCGTAGAGGTCGTTAAGGAAACCTTCTCCCCCACGTTAAGCACATGTGTAGTTGTGGGCAACCTTTGGTGCATTAATGTCCATCTGCGGCTACGTTTCACAGCGTATACGTTCACTAGGACTCCGAACAATCCTCAAAATAGCAAAAGGAATCGTTGTTTAATTTCCGAGTACCCCATCTGTCACTTTCAGAGCGTGTTTAGCCCAGGTAACTAGCTGCAGTACGAGTCGCAAGAGAAATTTGTCCGTGTTTTGACACACGTAGCTAGATTCTGCGCAGATACCATATAATATAAGGCTTCTCTGCTGTGCTAGCATCAACTTACGTCGCTAACACCCCCGAAACCCGCACTGCCTACGGTCGACTCGGATTCTTTAGACAGATGTTTCTCGAGGAGAGACGTACGTCTTAGGCGAAGAAGATGCATGCATGCATGGTAACCATAGCTGGACAGCCGCAAAGGTCCGTGCTCGTGGGTCACCATAACAAGGGTCTGGCTTCCCGTAAAAGTAAGCAAATACGGGCTTAGAACCATTCCATTTATTTCATAGGTGGAATCGATTCTTAATAATCGTTTTAGCAGGTTTCATAAACTTCAGCATCACCATTGAATTGTGGACTCCTGAGGGTGGATGTCAACGATTTTGAGGCGGGCAAACATGTCTACGCACACAGGCGACGCCCGAAAGTTCCCTGAGCTACATATAGACGAGCTATAGGGCCCAAAATGATATTGTACGTGGGCGGTGTCGGTGCAAGCAGCTTACCCCATATGAATTAAGTTTTAAGCGAAATAATAGCTAATCCATATACAACGCACTCCAGACCTCAGAGATCAGGACTGGGGCACTAGGCGATAGCTCTTTCCGGAGGTGTGGAGAATAGCGGCAGGCTTCCATGAGGGACTGCAATGGTTTAGACAGACACAAGAACTGATTTAGCGCTACTTGGACTCATTAGAACTAAAACTTAGAGGTAGTTTAGACATTTGTAAAAACAAACAAACAAGAGATTGACGAAATGTCCCCAAAACATATGTTCACTAGGCGCTAGGCTGTAATCCCATAGAAGCAACAGTACTTCATTCGTGCTTTGTTTACTTTTGATCCAGAATACAATCACTCTGTTGATGTGTCTTTTGGAGAGAGAGAAGTTTGTGAACTGCGAAACACCGTTTCAAGTCGCACCTTTAATATTTCCCAATAACTGCCTGTTTATCCTCGAGCTAACAAACACACCCTGTTCAAAGAGGCTAAAATAGACCTCCAGATCGGGAAATATATGCAGGCCAAAAGAGGTTCCCCTTAACATTTATAGTATCCGCCTTAAATCCACCGTGCATACGGTTGCGGTAGAGAAACAATAGAAATTTTAGTGCGAGCGCAAGGGCGCGCCTCTGATAGCATAATTAAGTGCAGCCTTCGCAGGAGCTACGTACATCAAAAACAGGCGCGCCGTCTCTAAGAGACCTTTTTCTATTGTACATTATGTACGCCATAGGCTGGTCAAAGCGTAGACTTTATCGTATATGTAGTGGATGCGAATTCCACAGTGAATCTCGCTTCTCCCTCCTCACCAAACTTTGCCTGCAACAGTGTTGTTGTCACACTTTCGTGTTTATAGCTGAGAATCCAGTTTCCGCTTGCAAATATATATACGCCCTAACCTCCCCCACCAGACCAAGTAGCTCATCTCGCCATAACTTTACCCGCAGGTACCACATACACGCACATACGATACCTCATTGCAGGACTACATTGATTTATACCAGAGCTACAATATTCCTTACTATGCCAAAGGAAACAAAACAGCAGGCTACGCAGATCAACTCTATTTGGTTCGACGAAGCGGATGCCAAGCACCGCCCCACACCTTCTTCCAAGTGGATGCCCTTCCGCAGACTGAAGATCAGCAACACCGCGACCAGCAACAAGAGAAGCTTGAACATTACAGTCTCTTCGCCCTTCAACTTCAATCATTTGGCCCATGTGGATACCGAGAACATGCCCAACGTGGCTAACGTCTTTTCAGAAAGGGACATCGAGCATCTCGGATTGCGTGACCATGAGCTACTCACATCCAAGGAAGACAAGTTCTCCCACAGCCCTCCAACCCCAACCAAGTTCAGGGCATATTCCTCCTGTGTAACACCGCCAGTAAACTCCAGAAACAGCAGTCGCAGCAGCAAGGGAAGCCAAATGACCGTCCCCGAAAGCCCTGTGTTCAGCGAACGTGACCGCCTGTCCACCTTTACCAACGCCACCGCCATGTCCTACGACTCAGTCAGCCAACAGCAATACTCCAAGACGCCGCTATCGAAGTCCAACTCTTTCCAGTGCAGCCACAAGCCCAAGACGGCCTCCGGCGATTCTATAAAGTCTCTCATGATGCTAGAGCAGGAACAGCAGCGCCAGAGCTGCGACAAGTACAAGAGCGACTTGTGCTATAGCTCGTCGAGTGTGGCAAAAGATAGCGAGGAAAGCTTCCACTTTCCGGGTTCTTCTACAGTCGGTGAAGGCTGGTCCTCTCCACCCCCTGAGGGGTTCCTCAGAAGCTCCTGGTACGAAGAAACTCATATTGATCCAAAAGCAGCTATTCATACAGCCAAAAACTCGGGATGCGAGACACCAAAGCGTGGTGAATTGAATGCAAGTATGTTGGGGACTCCATTGTTGCCAATGTATCAAAGCTCCACCTCCCAGGTAACTCTCCTGCTTCAACAGCGGCAGGTACAACAGCAGCTGCAGCCACAGAAGATGCGCATTTCCCAGTACTTCCGCATGTCCCAAGATGATTTTATGATGGAGAAACTCTCGGAGGTACTTGATCAGACGTTTGGGTCGTTTGATGAGGCAGAAAATACGGATGATTTCTTTTCTGTGACCCCTCCTGAAATAAAAAAGGACGAACAGGCACCTCGATCCCCAACATATGATCAATTTATCGAAACATTGAGAAACGAAGAAGATGAGATGATGGACTCCGAGAAGACATGGAACAGTATACGTGCTTCGAGAAATAGCACCCACTCCAGACAGTTAGCCTCCAATGCCAAAAAGGCCGCGAGCCAGAGTACGTTGGATAAGGTTGACGAATAAGAGGCTTATAGAGGTTTTATTATATGGCGTGAACTAACGGATTTGCGTTGCTACAGAAAACTGTGTCATGACTACACTTGAGATAATTATTTGCTTCTCGTTTTTTTCTATCTCATTTTTTTTGGGTGTTGGTTGGTTAGTGCGGTTAATAGACACTGAAAACTGGATTCGTCATAATCCTTTCATACCCGAACGAATTTAAGCAATGAGGGATACTTCGTTCAACTGCCACCGGACCTCGCTCTGGGTGCACTTTTCCAGTGTATAAAGACAAACAAGGTCCATAGGTAAAAGGACAAAAACTAGAATCGAGCGCTCTTCGTACAAATCTAGAGTCAAATTCATAATCTTATCTACTAGTTTCCAGGAGGGAGGTAATGCAAGAATGTATTAAACAAGTATATATTAAACAAGTATATCTACCTGTTAAAAATAGGGCCATCCACATGACAGCAGCTTCTAGTCATAAATCTCGATCGGCGGAATTCTGTCCGCGCTATAGAAAAAGTTCCCCGAATCCACCTCCTTATACAACCAATCCACCGGGAACAACACCAAATGACCTTGCACTTCCGAGCAGATTTTCTCAGCCGTCTGTCTGTCGAAAATCCTGTCTCCGTGGTGACGGGGCCTCTTGTGCCTGGTTCCAAAAGTCCCTGCTCGCTTTCTCAGCCTTGGACCACGATCCTCTCTATTCCCTTCGCTTTCTTCAGACACCGGAGTTCCAGCCCTGTCCCGGTGCGTTCCCTCTCTAGGGGAGCCGTTTTTAACGTCAAGCATCTCGTTGGAATTTTGATTCTTCGAACCTGGAGGTACCATTCCGATCACCCCTCTATCATTCTCCCCGAACTCCTTAACGAAAATACTCCCCACTTCATTGGACCCATCGTCTGACTCTTCGTCCGTGTGGTTGTGCTTTGAAGTGTTGTTGGTCTGACTGAGCCAGAATGCAGCATTGAGCTTGGAGTAGTTTTTGTATTCCTTCCAGGTCGTCACGGCGTCGTCTGGTTGGCAATGGAACACCGTACGGAACAATTTCGTGTTTCTGTAAGCATTTTCAAACCACACATCCTCGTAAAATTCCTCGTCCAATGGGTCTTCGAAGCCATACGGGTCAATAAACTTTTCATAACGGGAGTCTGGCTTCATGGTTTCGAGTAAGTGGCTGACCCCTTGTTCGTCCAAACTGACAATTGGAATCTCTAGGCCCCCAGGCGACTCCGACTCGGGGTGCTCTTTTACAGCAGAGGATCCAGCCGGGTCGGCAGCTTCAGGGTCAATACTACCAGTCTTAGCGCTTCCAGAGCCGTTGCCATGGAGTTTGGCAGTGTTTTTATGGTGCTTCGCAGCTACCCTCTGCAAGTACGCCACGCGCTTGAGCATTGTCCAGCGTTCAGCGTTTCTTTCCGTCAACGACACTTCGCTTTCTTTCGACATTTCTCCGAGGCCATCAATATCCGTGTCGTTGTGGAGGAACTCTGAAACTTGGTCGAAGGCTGGCACAAACGGCGCCCCTGAGCCCTTGACCGTAACCTGAGCCCACTCTGCCATCAAAGCCAGTGCCTTCAGGGCATACTTTTTGTACGCTTTCAGCCCAAACCTATCAGGCCCGTTACCCTCTACATCTTCTCGGTGCTTGGCGTTATTCTGGACTCTGGCATCTGATGAGAAATTCTTCTTGTCACGAATCCCCGCGTTCTCCTCTCCAGCACGGTGGTTAAACGACAATGGCGGCGGCGGTGGCTGGTTCAAGTGAGGGGGTAAATCTTCCACGTCATTCGACATGTCAAGGACAGCGTCGTTGAAACCGTTGGTTGACTGGAAGAGCTTCCACTTTTGCGTTCCCTCAGCCTCTCCCATGACTTCTCTAGCGCCAAGTTCAACCATCGCTGAGGCTAGCGCACCCTCCGGGGTCTTGAACTTGGCAGTAGCAGCCTTCAAACCTTCCTCCGACTTGGCGAGTCTCTCCAAAGCGTTAAATCGTCTTTCCACAAGTTCGATAATGTCCACGTCGATGCCCAAGTGTTCGCGCATCAAGCGCATCCGGAGTGAATGGGCAAACAATCCCGCAGAATACGGTGCCCCGTTCATCTTCGTATGTACCACCTCTCTGTCTCTGACTACAGCCGCAAACTCCGAGTCTCGGACTCCTCTCATCGAACGTTCATTGATGTTGGCACTACCAATGATAGCCACGCGATCGTCCACAACCATCGCCTTTGCATGAATGTACAACTGCTCGGACACAATGTTCTTCTTGGGCCCAATTCTGGCCCACTTTCTGAGCGAGAAGAACTGGATATAGTCGTCGGGATCGATACCCACCATTCGCAATTTGGCGAAAATGGAGGTGGGACCACGCGAGATGGACATGAACTGACACTGCATGATGATTCTAATTGCTGAGCCCTCTGGCTCGTCAACTTCAGCCTCAAAGCCGGGCATGAGCGGAATGACAATACACGCGCGCCACGCGGTGCCTTCCTTATGGGCCCGGATGATTCTGTCCACCAACGCATCACCAATTCGGTTCTTGATCACAACCCCATCCCAGGCAGAAGCAGTGATGAAGAACTGATTTTCGATGTACACGAAGTGCTCCGACGTCTCGATGAGCTTGAGGTACGCGTTCTGGATGGATTGCTCATGGTCCTTGAGGCCGAGAGACCAGTTGCAGCAGGAACGAAGCAATTGCACCTCACAGGTTCCCTGCAACCCAAGGGCTTCAATTTCAGGATTGGTGAACTCAGGTGGCGGAAGGAGCAACGGCGTCGGTCTGGAAGGACGTTTCTGTCGCAAGAGATAGTTCCAGCGCTGGACGAAATGGCGAGCGAGGTCCCTTGCCGGCTGGCCGGCGGTCACCATGTGGATATCGTGCCACGGCATCCGCGGAGTGACCTGGCGATCGTACATCTCTTCGTACGGCTTATCGAGGTCGAAAAAGTCCTTGACTCTTGGGTTGGAGTAGTCCTTCCCTGGGAACATCTGGAACTGAGATGGGTTAGATGTCAGGTTTTGGGCAAACGCTTCGCGCGCTTCGTCTGTCAACACATGGTCCGGCGTGTCAAATCTTCCATAACAAAGATCAATGCCACCGAGGAAACCAACCGTGTGATCCACCACACAGAGCTTTTCGTGGTGGGCCCAAAAGTACGTGTTCTGGAGAAGCTGGTTGGGTGAGCGGATTACGTGGATGTTCTGATGGAGGTCCAATAGCGAGTGCTTGGCCCAAAGCGAGTCGGTGGAAACCGTAGAACCAACATTACGGTAGAGAATGACAAAGATCTTAACCCCCTGTTCGGCCTTGCGTTTGAGAATACGGTCGAGACGCCACTGCTGATTACCGTTAGCGGGACGGCGCATGTACAACTCCGGCGACAACCACCAATCGTGGATGTAGATCGTGTCCTTAGCCATCTCCATAGCAGACGAAACAGCCCAGAAGTAGTCTCTCCCATCCACAAACCATTGGGCGAAGCAGTTTTCGCGCACGGGCGAGAACGACTCAAATCGATGGTCTCTTGCCCAAATTGTCTTTGTCTGCATGTTAGACAAGGATTTGATCCACAACCGCATTTGTTCCTTGGATCTGGCCACCATTTTAATTTCACGTTCACCATTCTCAAGGGTGATTGTGAAATGCGGACGTTTTGTGGAGGCAATGGCCTTGTCTCCGTCGTAGAGTGACTCGTTGTCTAGCGAGTGAACGTCGTCATCGGCCAAAAAGCCCGTGTCATCGTCCCCAGCGTAGCTCACCTTGAAGCTATTATCAACCAAAAAAACCTCTAGTGGAGTGGTAGAGTTGATGTCGGCCACATACATCACGTACGAGTGGCGGATCATAAACCATTTATTGGTGTGACGATCCACCATAGCCTTGAAGTCACGGGCTCTGAAATGGCTCACCCTCCAGCCCTGGGCCTTGGCCGACGATCTGACAATCAAATACCCCTGCTTGCCCAGGTAGCCCGTTTCGCTCGCAAGCATAAGCCCGATCGGGGAGAGCTCGAAGAACTGGAAGAGACGGTTGGACTGCGGACGGATGGTCAACGCATATGTTAACTCAAGAAGGTACACCTCCAAGAGGCGCTGGAACTCTGCCACCTTGAGCGAAAGGCGCACGTGCTTCTGTTTATGGTTGAACGTACGGGGGCTGGGGTTATCCGAAGAGGAATCCGACATCGAGCCGCGTGAAGCCATGCTGCGAAGACGGCTGCGGAACGACGTGGGCAGCGCGATAGATTCATCACACGGCAGAATGTTTGACGAAAGATCGTTTTCAGGGACCGCTGAGACACCGTCACCTCCGTTGAGGGAGGCACTTCCAGGCGTGTACGGCAAGCCGTCAACAGAAGCGGTTTCTGGAATGGCGGTACTAGCTTTACGGTGGTGGTGGTGGTGGCGTGGAACGCGGGTCTCGCTGAACCTCGGAAACTTTGGCAACTCTACCCTCTTGTTCATTCGCAACGCCAACGCTTTCTCCTGGAAGAACAACACTTTAAGTCTAGAGTGCAACTGGATAAAGTCTTTAGTGTCTTTGAGCACAAACCAGCGGAGGCGGTTGGGCCCCACACCGTACTCAAGGTCAATGCGGTACTTGCGGTTCTTGTGGTGCAACTTTGGGGTAATATCTGTGAGAGTGAATCCAAGAAGCGAGAGCAAGAGTGGGGACCGTCTGGTGCCGTGCTCGTCCTTGAGGAAGATGGACCCAGCAAAGAGAGCAGCAGGTACACCTGCAACCAAGGAGGTAACAAGCTCACTGGCACGCTGACGGGCCAAGGTATCGCGTTCGGACGCCTCGGGCGCCACCTGCGCGGGTGTATCTGTTCTGTTCTTCCCCTTGAACTGCATTAACGCCTGGCGGAAATCTTTCCACTTGGTGGAGTCTTGCGCGCCAAAAGTTGAAAGAGAACGGTACCACGACGGCCTCTCATGGGACGTTTCGGTTTCGTCGCCCTGGGTGGCGGTGATACTTTTTGGGCGTTTGAAGAAATGGGAATTAGTGTTCGAGGCCCCATTGCTTCGGATGGTTTCAGCCCGGGTGGTGTTGGGATCTGATTGCTCCCCTGAAAAGGGTTGGGGCTCTGTTTCTGACTCAACGACGGAGCTTCTTGCTCGGTCCACGTCGTCTAGGTTTTCGTACCGGGTTTCCCGTTCGTCTTCCCGCTTTTTAGAGATCGACAAGGGGTTGGCCATCTCCTTGGGGGTTTCCTGAAGATTTCCGGGATGGTCCTCTTTGGCCTGACCATTAAAATGGTCGTTCCGGAAGGCTGGTGACCAGATGTTGCCCAAACTCATCCGTTTCTTCTTGGTGTTTGGAGCAATCTCCGTGAGTACCTCGGGTGCGGGCTCTTCCTCAAATGTCATATTTTTTTTTTCTATATGAGGCTGACAAAGAGGTTGAAGGGAGTTTAACGTGGGGAGAAGGCGTGTTAAAAAGCAAGATAGAGAGGTTGGATTAGCCGCCCGGCGGCCTAAATTGCATCTTTTTGATGTTGCTGTTTAAGGTTGCACGCCCTAGCGGCTGGCATATGTAACTAAAGACAACAAGTATGTGCAGGATTTTAAACATGGGCCTGCTAGACGACTACGAGTTGAAAATTGATTAATTAATCGGAAGAAGGTGGCAGCCCAGAGAATCTTACTATAACACGTATTTACGCTTCTAAACGTTCCCGAACTAACAGGGTAATGTTCTCAAAGTGTACGATCAGAGGCATAAGACTTTACTCTGGATGTATTCGAGACTTGAAATTGCAGCTCGGCTTGGTCTACTTCTGGGGTTCGGGGCTTCATCCCTTCCAATTGTAAAAGATAGAGGACTAGCTACCTAGCTCTTATGTAGTTTAACTGGAATCTGCATTTTTTCGAAATTCAGAATACTCTGGTCGATGAAAAGGCGGCATTGGAGGTTATCTTTTGGGTGACAACTGCAAGTATCACGCACCAGACGAGTGTTACATGCACAGTCCGCTTGTATCGGTCTTGTGCAGGCGCATAAGGTGGGAAACCATCGTTGCATGTACGTTTTATCTTCCACCTTCCGGTGACTCCACTCCGTAATTAGCATGGCCAGCTGGTAAACCATACTGTTAGTGCTTAGTAAAAAAAAAAAAAAAAAAAAAAAAAGGTTTTTAACCTATATTTCGTTTCCTCTTCGTTACGGAGTCGCTTAAAATGTATATGGCGACAGCATGACACAATCTATAACCAACCACCAGCACCGCTACGACTTGCACCATCGTTTGGGCTGACGAATTTGTAACCCTATTTGGTTAAACCATACTCAATTCTTGGAGAGAGTCTGGGGATTTGCTACTTACTAACCAAAGGTTTAGTTTGAGTCGACATGTATACAGCGAATAAATGCAGAATTTTTACGGCAGCAACAGTAAACGCTTCCAGCTTCCGAGTCACTCTCACAGATGGACTTACACCTTTCTCTAGGGACTTCTCACTTTGGATTTAGACTGTTATACACGTATCTTTCCAAGCCTTCGTAAGCATTCAGGATCTACAGAGACCTTGTAACTATACTTGCCAATATTCAACTGTACTCCTCGGCTAACCCTCACTCGTTAGGAATTGCCGTTCGGCTTTCCACCACTCATCACAGATAGTAGGACCAGTGTGGCCCTTGGATTTCGAAGGTTACAGAATTAAAGCCACACGGCAGCTATTTACAGAGATTCTAGAGGGCTCCCAGGTGCTGCAATGGATTATATCATAAAACTCTTTATAATGGATACATAACCTAGTTCGCACTCGCTCCATGACGGTTTGCTAATCGTCGCTAACTATATCCATAACCAGTACTTACTTTCCGTACTCTACAAGGTAAAGAGCCCAGTAGAACGCTTACCAAAGGGATACACCACTAAGGTCGCGGCGAACAAGCCCACGGTGATCCCAATGGTGATTTCAATCAACGTGACGCCAAATGACAAACTGGACGTCCCATCAGTAGACGTCCCATTAACAATCTTGTTCGCGGTGGCTACCCCCGCGAGCAACGTGCTCTTGGCACCGATCCCCCCGGGTAACTGGCACATGATCCCGGGTAACATCGCCAGCACTGCCATTCCCTTGCCCAACCGAGAATACAAGTTTCCCAAAACCCCAATAACAAAGACACCGATGGCAGAGGAAAACTCGGTGACGTCAGAAAAGTGCAAGTTGGAGAAGTACGAAGCAGTGGTGCCGGCTCCCAGAATCAATACCATCACGGGTAACTGCAGCCACTTGGCTTGACTCAGAAGGCCCAAGCCGATGGTGAACATGGGCACGAACAAGAAGTTCCACCAAGGCGACAAGTTGCGTTTGCAGGTGACCTCGGAAACGGCGTTCGAGTCGATCCAGCCGTACAACGCAGCCCCCAAGGTGATGCCAAAACCAAGAAACAAAAAGTAGATGATCGCGTAGAACATGCGCACGGCGCCAGAAACGGTGTTCCTCGTCTGGAGCTCGAGGGATCCGCACAATACCATGTACCCGGGTAAAATCAACGCAAGCGAGCCCTGCGCGATAGCGGAGAAACAGAAGGTGTTTCCGCCGTTGACACTGCCGATAGCGCGTGCACAAAAGCTGATAAGAATGGACGCGCATATCTCAAATACGTTCAGATAGAGGTTGCACCGTGGCGACACGTAGTTCTGTAGAATACCTACAAGCAAGCCAATCCAGAAACACATCGGCATGTCAACCCAGGTGCCGCCAAAGGACCACGGCGCGACAAATGCCAGCGCAAACGCGTAGTTGAGCACAAGAACCCACGGGGGGTAGCGTGGTGTACGTGCGAGAATCTCGTCGAGCTGCGTCAGCGCGTCATCCACGCCAAGGAGATCGTGTACGACCGCCTTGTAAATCTTGTGCACGTCCGCTAGACGTGACAAATCAAGGCCCTGTGAGCAGCGCACCAAGTGCATCTCGGATGTTCTTGTGGTGGCGTCGCCAAAGGACACAATCATGCACCCCGGGAAGTAGATGAACTGCCCGTCGATCTCAAGCACGCGCGACGTCATGGTCATGTACTCCTCAAGACGATGGGTCGGGGCCCCGTAGAGCATGAGTGCTCTGCACATACGGAGAATGAATCGCTGGCGTTGGAGAATGTCCGCAATGTGGACCGTGATTTTCGCCTGGGTTTCGAGGTGCTTACGTTTTAGCAACGTCGCGCGCGGTTTGGGCGCGCGCGGTTTGTGGGCGGGTTTAAACGTTGGCAAGGCATCCGCTGAGTTGTTTTCTTGTTTCTTCAACCCAAACATTTCCGATCTACTGCGCTTATGGGGCTTCACCTTTTTCAGCCTCTCTGCCTCGTCGCTTTCGTCGGAAATCCTGTCCTGACTGAACTTCCGGGTGAGCTCCTCCTGGCTGAACTTGCGAGTGAGATCATCTTGGTTGAATGAAACCAGAGAGCCATGCTTCCGGAACCGCTGCCTCAATCTGGACAAGCCCCTGGTTTCGGAAACTGCCTGGCTGGTGACAGGTGTGAGAAGCGTCTGCGACGATTTTGCCTCGTGTGGGTTTTGGTAAAGTTTGAGTAAAGACGAAAGAACACCAGCTTGGACTCTTCGTGGGGGCGGGATATATCCTTCCACGTGGTTTGTTTCGTGGTCAGAGTATATATCGTACTCGTCGTCCAACTCGTGACGGAGGTAGTAGTCAGGATTGGGGGCTAAAAACGTAGAGGAAGTTGAAACATTGCTGACCTGCAGGTGAATTGCGTGCGAATCCATGATGTCTTTCACTTCAGCCTCGAGCGTTTCTCCTGAAACTTGGCCGTTTTCCGGGTCATTACTAGGGGTCAATCCTCCCACACTCCCCACGTGCATCACGTTCCCCAAAAGGGTTTCCAGAGGTGCCGTCTCAGGCTTGGCGAGATGGAATTTGGTCATAAACTTGTCGCGCAACGACGCGCGACGTTTCATATCTGTCACGTCCGTGGATATCCGCAGATTGTGTCTGCTGGGAAGCTCCTGCGGCTGATCCATGTCCTCTTCCGTAGAGACGTCTTCGCTGGAGTCGTAGTAGTTGAGCGGGGCCTCTCTATCATCGGTAATTTCGGTGCTCCTAAACTCCGTGTCAAAGTCGTCTTCCATGTCCTGTTCGAACTTCCGGCCTCCTTCCGGCTTGGTAAACTGCGGCATGAGCTGTCTTTCGGAGTCTGTGTCGAAAGATGAATCTTCAATGTATGTAAAGTTTTCATTAATCTCGGGCGAGACTCCTAGAGGATCCACCAGGGAATCCAAGGGTACCAGCGCCTCTCGCCTGTGGATGTTTCGTTTGAGCTCCTTTATGTCTTTCTTGTTGGGTTTGGAGAAGTTTAATGTAGCGAGCCTCACGTTGGACCGGGGCTGTTCCTCATCCGAGGACGCACTATACACCAGTTCCATCGCCGTGTTTAATAGGTAATGTTCTGAATGTGTCAAGAAGAAACGTGTCTTGATCTTTGATTCGTGTTCAGGTCTTGCGAAAAGTTTTCGATTGTGGGGCTCAACTGCAGGAAGCCGCAGATTCTACGTCACTGTACCGGAAAAATCCGTTCCAGATGCCAGACCATTAGACCAGAAGGTTCTCTGGATAAGACCGTATAACCTCTCTGACGGCAGAGATTGAAAAATCGTCAGGTATTGCTTGAAATAGAAGGTTGTGTGAAAATTAGAGAGAAAAGGTTGTATTGACAGGACCTAAACTTTCATAGGCGATGACTGTTTCGGTTTGGCACTGAAAAGCATCAACAAAGAGGAGAGTGACTGGATAAGATGAACCATCCAACGAATTACAGCTGGTATGGCTAAGCCCATTTCCTTTTCTCATGCTATGGAGTCTGATCTAAGAGGCAGAGCAGCCACCCCCTACGGAGTGGGGTGATTTATTCTATATTTCCCCCACAGCCCACACCGAATATAACGTATTTAAGTTTTCAGTACAAGAGCATCTTAGAGGAGATATTAGGGCCTAAGAGCGAAAAATACTCGAGAGTAACATCGTTGATCGCCGTATTTAGACGTCAAGCCACACAGGAAACCTGTATATACAAAGTCACGAGACGAGTGTTATATGTAGGCAGCTAAACCGTTGTGTATTGCCTTAAATTGTAGATAGACATTACCAGCCCTATGGTTGATGAAATGCCAAAACTGACCCAATATTCGCTATGAGACGACTTATAGATCGAATTAGCCTGCCATTAGGATTGCCCAAACGTGTATGTCTTGAATACACTGAATGAGCCCTAAAGACGGATGTGGTTATGCCATTTTCGGAGTCGTCAATATGAGCCAATAAACTGTTGTAAAGGTCTGTAAAAATCCGTCAGTGCGGTGTAATTACTAGCTATATTCTTCTTGGAGTATCAAGTCAGTGTAGATCAATAGGATAAAAAAAGGAGGGCGACAGAGGCCTTACAGGACTAAGCACCTTCCTCCGAGACTTTGAAACAAAGGGGGAATAGGTAAGGTTCTCTAGAAGGTAGACTCTGTAGAGCACATATAAAATATACTATGTTGTTGTCCATGCTTGTGGTAACTAAGGTGGATCATTTGATAGATAATAGATGATGGATATTAACACCGAATGTTACTACCCAGAGCATCATAAATCGTCTCAGTACTCAGAAAGCTTTCGACAGTCCCTCTCGCATTCTGCTAGCAAGAACTTTGTAGTAGGCGTGTAGCTATCACGTGGTAGGGATCAATATCCTATATAAGGATGTCGATCCCTCTCTCCTTTATCCTATATACATCATATAGGCAACCAGTATTACTATTACTATAAGTAGATATTCTACCCTTGAGGTAGAGGTATACCACGAACTTCCTCCGTTCCAACCCTGTATTGTTTAGAATACATGTAGACAACCTTTAGCGAATGACCCTTTTTGATCCCCACTGCATCTCAAAAAACTAGAGGCAGGCAGAATTCCTTTACGGCATGTCTAGGTCCACGAGGAAGGCATCCTCTTGTGTACCATAGGGCCTATATTACCAGATTTGGACTACCCCACCGTCTTTTGGTACTTTTTGATCCCTGTTTATGACACCGCAAATCTTTTTAGACATGCTTTTTATGCAGTCCTAACAGGCCGCATGACCTAGTACGATACTCGTTCTAGATAGACCGCATTTTCATTTGAGCCAAGAAGCCTCTTGGCCTATAGTTGCTGGGTTCTCTGAGAAGAGGGGACTTGTGATCAATGTTTTTGAGTTAGGGTGATTTTTTCAGGATGCACAACCCGTAGTTCGTAACGGGGTATACCAACCATCCGTAAATATCCTCGCAGTCTACTACGGGATGAATGGGTATAGAATGGAAGAGCTTGAAACACTTAGCTTACAACACAGAGGATATTGGGCAAAATATGGAAGAAATACTACAATACCTAGAGGTGATTGAAAAGGGTTGGAAAAGTTGTATATACGTGAGGAGGAGGAGGGGTCCAGCCCTGAGGTCTTTTAAATCTAACCACAATCGTACAGATATAGAAGAAGTAAGACCCCCAAGCATGGGAGAAAATAAAAATGCCAATAGTCAGCTCGTCAGGGATATCCTCCTCAGTGCGCTGAATTAGCCATTACTGAGAAGCCAAATACGGCACATGTTACTTTTTCAGATTTACAACAAAGCCAAGAAGACAGCAGCAACACCAGCCAAACCAGCAGCGTTAATAGAGTTACCGGCAGCAGCACCGACTAAGGTGGAGGCCAGTGGGACTTGAGGAACAGTAGCGTTGCTAGAACTAACTGGGAAAACGACAGTTTGGGCAGTGGTCAAAGTAACAGTTTGGTTGATTTCAGGAGCGGAAGTGACGGCTGGAGGAACAACGGCGGTAGTTGGCTTTGAAGCAGCGGTCTCTGGGCAGTAGGTGGTGTAAGAGGTGACAACTTGACACACACCGTTCTCACACTTGGTGATAGTAAGGGTTTCAGTGGTGGTCTGCGGAGCGACGGTGGCTGGAACAGCGGTGGTTGGAGCAACAGTAGTTGGAGCAACGGTCTCTGGGCAGTAGGTGGTGTAAGAGGTGACAACTTGACACACACCGTTCTCACACTTGGTGATAGTAAGGGTTTCAGTGGTGGTCTGCGGAGCGACGGTGGCTGGAACAGCGGTGGTTGGAGTAACGGTCTCTGGGCAGTAGGTGGTGTAAGAGGTGACAAGGTGACACTTGTTATCAACACAGCTAGTGATGGTGATGAGTTCGGTGGTCCACAGGCTCTCAGTGGCGTACAGGGTGACGATTGACTCAGTACCATTGTTGTAAGAAGTTGTGGAGACGGAGGAAACTGGGGCAGCAGAGGAAACTGGAGCAGCAGAGGAAGCTGGGGCAGCAGAAGAGACTGGGGCAGCAGAGGAAGCTGGAGCAGCGGAAGAGGCTGGAGCAGCAGAGGAAGCTGGAGCAGAAGAAGCTGGAGCAGCGGAAGAGGCCGGGATAGAGGTGGTAGTTGTATCAACGGAGGAAGCTGGGGCAACAGCGGTAGATGAGGCAACAGTGTCAACTGGGGTGGTTGAGTCAACGACAATAACCGGGGTAGTAGACGCGGCAGTAGTAATAATTATGGTACTAGGAGCAGCGGCAGTAGAAGTTGGATCAGCAGAGGTTGGAGCAGCAGAGGTTGGAGTAGTAGAGGTTGGAGTGGCGGAGGTTGGAGCACATGCAGCATCACCAGCAGCCAATTCAGCAGATAATCTGCTAGAATAGAAAGGAAGACCAGTGACGATGCTTTCGATGGCAGCGTATGGGAACCCTGAGGTAATCAAAGTAGTGTAGGAATCGTCGGTGTAGGTCTGAGCGGCAAGGGCCAAGGACAACAAATCTGGCGGGATTTCACCGGCGTATGGTAAGTACTGGTCCAAGTTATTCTTGACATCACTGATCAAAGCGGTAATGTAACAGACGTTGTCAGCAGCCTGAGCGACGTTAAGGAGCGCCAAGAAGGTGGCAGCGGAAACAGTAGACTTGAATTGCATTGTAAAAGAAAGTGCGTTAGTTGGAGTAACGAATGTAAGGGTTAGTTTGGGGGAAAAAATAGCGTCTAATTAGAAATTAGAAGATGCGGATGGTGGGTATTTATACTACAATTATTGTCAAAGGGTCTAGGGCCTCAGGGTTTGTATTTGGAAACACAGGAATGTAATACGATAGTGGCCACCTTCTTAGTGAATTAGGCAGCGAAGTGCATATTAAACTTACATGCATCATGTGCAAGGCAGTCGAATGAACCCAGTCTGGTCACTCATCCCTGCTGGCAGAGCCGCCTAGTATTCCGTAATTTCCGCAGAGCCTAGGAGCTACACCCACATATGCTTTCTCTTGCTGAATCCACCGGTAGATTAGCGCCACGAGCTGTGCTGGTGCATTGACTAAGGGCAATTGGTAGTATGCAAGGCATGGAGACAGCATGCGTCATGCTATGCAAGGCGCTTAGACGGGGTAAGGGATAGCTTTGGGCGTGCCAAGCGCCGTATCACGGCATGTAAAAGAATCCCTGAATAGCAATCGAGCTGCCACCTACGCTAACTTCACTTTGTGATATTTACGGTATCTCGACACTATGTATGACACCATGGGGGAGAGTGTGATGCCACTAAAATGCTAGGCATTAGATATACAATTCTTTTAGCCTTGACTTGAAGGGAATTGTCACCGCCCCAATTAGGCGATTTGCAGATCTAAACTACTTGTGAGTCAAAACTTAATTTCCTGACCAGGAAAAAGAAATACCGCTTATGGTACCATATTTGGGTTGTTTGGTTGGAGCAATTTATACGGGATGTATTGCGTCTGCACTAAGAGTCGATTAGGTCGATCCTAACAACAGAGAAGACCGTACCCCGACCCTATAGCGAGGCGAATGTACCCACAATTAGGCTGTTACACCTACTTTTTAACCGTGAAAACCTTGGCAAAACCTGCGCCGGGCTTACATGTGTCGATACCAGAATACCACTTCCTCACATTTTTTTAGCGTTCTTTGGAATTAATATTGGAAAACAAAATCTGAGGTATATGGCTTGTTTGTAATGATTCAAACGTTAAAAATCAAAGTCGTGGAAATACTGTCTTTACTAATTATAGAAGTAACTAAAGGTTTATGGTAGCATTCACGAAAATCCGTACATCGACCATACCGAGGGCATTACCGGCCATCCTATTTGCCAGAGTGAAGTGAGTTTTAACTCCGAATCCAGCGGTGATCTTCCCTGCATGACACTCACGTTCACTGATATAACGCCAGTCATTGATTCAATCCATACTGAGGGGCTTAGTTTCTATTTGACATTTCGGTACTCCTAGACATGTCTTGTAGCCACATGCAGAAGTCTTAGCATGTGAAACCATAGTACACATATGTTACATGTTAGCTGAAGAATTCTGCACGGGAGAAGTATTTCAATTCTGTGATGGTTCTATAACTGGGATTTCATTGGAAGGTAGGGGCATTCTTGAATTGTAACCTACTTGGGAGAAGAAGATGATTTTCATAATCTTTAATCGTATACGAGAACATCAATAGATATTCCACATATCCTTGTTTAACACACATATTTTAAACAAAAAATAGCTCAAAAGTCCTAAAGATTTCGGCACCTGCTTTGCAGATAGTGCTCTTAATCTGTTATTCCAATATAGATTGACGCTTCGCTTACAGCAAACAAACCTGGGTTTGGCCCTCGATACATGTGTATCCATTTGCCCATAAATGAATGGTCGGAGGAGTTTATCCAATTACGTGTTTCAGAAAAAAATGGTGGCTGGGGGAGGCACTTTGTGCGAGCGGGTTTTATTCATGTGGTTCCATGTTGGGACATATGAAATGTAAACACCCCATTGAGTTCAATTACTGCAGGGATGACGCACTTCTAAATTTAGCTCAAAACGCGTAAATTCAATGACTAGGGTTTTTGTCAGTTTCGTTGTTGATGACCCGATAAAGTCTAGTGCTCGAAAAGAGTTTGAAATAATAAAATAATAGTTGGGTGTTATTGTGTGCAAGCATATTGTTTAGATCATTCTTTATCCGACAGGAGCCTCTAATCTAAAGCTTATTCGTGTACTTGATACAGTCCATATCAGTAAGCACCATAAGAGGCATCTTCAAGAGCGATGCTGGGGGGGGGAATACCGAAAAGAATCTTGTGTCACATGTGCAGCCAGAACAATACCCGAAAAAGTATATATCTTACTAGAGACGTTCTGAGGGTGAAAGTCGGTGTATTTTCAGGAAGCCCCCATCACTTGACAACATCGATGCGTCACTGTCGCTTAGTTCACTAAAGTCGTTTGAGCTACCGTATCAAGTACCGTGCCACAAAGTCGATGCTTTCTGTTGATAAAAGCAAAAAGATGCAGCTCATTAAAAAACGATGATGCGATTTCTGTGGATCGAACACAGGACCTTTAGATCTTCAGTCTAACGCTCTCCCAACTGAGCTAAAGCCGCGGGGATGTAAATTACTGAAAGTTGTGGTCTCCCCTTGGCTATGCCCAATATATGGTTATTGATCATCACAAATGGAAATTCAGAGTATACAAGGTAGGAACTTTGCAAGTTTTCTTTATGGTGAACAATACAGCAGTCAGCGCTTGTTGACAGAGTCTAGTGACATCCCACTAAACTAACTAATTGTACAACCTTTCAACCCGTGGTCCATAATTCTTACAGAAACGCCAGAGATATAACGCAACAAAGAATGTATGGGGATATTATCACAATCACCTTATAGCTGCTTTTTCAACAAAACCGTCTGCTCAGATACCCCACCCGATTTTTCATCTCATCTATTGTTCCGCGATACAGATAGTTGTGGCACCTGCTCAACACGCAGTATATCCCCAGCTCGATTCTAGGCGCTATCATTTGATATTTCTCCCTTTTTGAGGATGGGGCTTAATCACTCAGTATTTCCACTTGGTGACTAATAAATCCAGAACGCTGGGGAAAGGATTAAGGCCATGAATCTGATCTAGAGCTTAAGCATAAATACGCATCCTGCACTCTGTGTATCGATAAAATTTCACTGGCTATATTACATCTTTGCCACCGAAGTCCCATCATATCCAGCCATTCCCACCCCACCCTATTTTAATACTCAATCGAAATACGTCAATTACCCACTCTTTTATCTATAATCAACTAAACTCACTATGGATGCCCGCTCGTATGGTATCAAAACGTTGAAAGACCTACTCCCGTTAGACCAGGACGCCTTAACCCAAGTGATAGATTACGCTCTTTCCTTACCCTCCGATGATATCGTGGTAGATCACTTTCTAAACCTTCTCGGTGAAAGTCCAGATGCCATAGACTTTGTTACAAAATTCAATCTGTACAGACGCCCAGCCACGAAAGCACCAATGGCAGCCGCTTTAAAGAAGGAGAGAACCCCTACGCCAGCTGCCGAGCCAGTAAAACCCAAGAATGCAACTTCAAACTCTGTATGGGGCACCAGTCCTCAACCCCAAGCGCCAAAGGCGACTAAACCCCGCTTAGCTGGTACCAAAACGTCCACAACTGTTGCGGAACTCCTTGATACGAAGCCCGTGAAGGAACCCTTGACGGCGCAACAGAAAGCCAAGAAGGCTGCTAAGAAGAAATTGACCGATTTGAAGGATATCGATGCCGCGTTGGCGGCCCTCGAGTATAGGGAAACCGGAGCCGAAGCAGACGCCGAAGACCGTCGCTCGTGCAACTGTATGGCCACCAGACACCCTCTCTTTGACGTGTTTCCAAACTGCTTAAACTGCGGGAAGATTATCTGTGTGAAAGAAGGTTTGCAGCCGTGTTCATACTGTGGTCAGCCGTTGATTTCATGGACTGAAAGAGCACAGATGGTGGAGGCGTTGCAGAGCCAGAGGCTCGAATTAGAAGGCAAAAAGGCGCCTGTGAGTGAAAATAACAGCGGAAGAAACTCCCCGAGCGTGAAACTCCCCCAAAAGAAGTTTAAAATCACCATTGGAGCACCGGGGCAGAACTCTTTCAAGGCCCAGGAATGGGCTATGGGTAGGCTTGCCGAACACAACAAAGAAAAGGCGGCTCGGTTGGCCCAGGAGGCAGAGAAAACCGAGAAAATTACTAAGCAAGACGAGGAGCTACAATACTACAGTTCCATGAAAGACATTGACCCAGATTTACAGAATGCGCAGGACCGCTTAAACACCTTGTTGAACTTCCAGTCCACCGGTGCGCAGAGAACAAGAATTATCGACCAGGCTTCTGATTACGACGCTCCAGCAACTAGTGGAAGCCTCTGGGCGTCGCCATTGGAGCGTGCTTTGCAGTTAAAGAAGCAGCAGCGAATGGCTCGCAAGCAGGAGGAAGCAATGGCCACTCGATCTGGCAGGGGTAAGCGGGTGATGGACTTGACGATAAGAGACGGTAAGGCCGTTATACACGAGAAGCAGGTGAGCGGAGACATCAAGGATGACGATGCCATTGATCTCGAGCTTGTAGACTCAGAGGATGAGGAGTTGAAGGAAATTAAAGAGTTGGAGCAGCAGGCGAATGTTGCGCGGATGGAGGAAGATGCCAAGAAACAGACCAACGTGTGGGACTACGAGGCTGATAAAAAAAAGTGGGTAGCTCCAATTTACGTGTCCTCGAGCGATATAAAAGACGAAAAAGAGGTTGAGGAGGCTGTCGGAAAGGGGTGGTCCCGTGTGCAGCTTAGCACCCCGGAGGATCCTGACGAGCTTGTGGCTGAAATTTAACGCCAATATTCGTATAACGTGATTGTGAATTATATATAAAAAAAAGGTGCCATATTGCTTGGTTTATACAGACTGCCATTGCAGGGTTATTGAATACTGGGAGCTTTACATCTGAATGCTAGAGCGCTAACGTGCCACCGCCCAAACCCAGTACAGTGATACAAACTTCCACCTGAGTTTCCGCACTATTGCACTTGAAGGGTTCACTATGATTTCCCCGCGAAGCTGCGGTATGGATAAGGATCGGTGTATTGCTGCTCTTTTTGCTTGATCTACGGATCCGTTCAGTCGACTTTGCCATATCAAGTTCCAGAGGGGGTATATACCGATTCAAAGGCTATTGGCAGATTAAACTCCTTTAAGAGATGGAACGTGGAGGAATAAAGGCTTGTTCTAAGTCTTTTATTTTTCATATGTTGAACTGATTATGAATATTTTAAGGCTATCAAAAAACTGTGTAAGGTGATTCCACTTTTGTGGGGTACGCGTGCTGTGACGCGATTATCGTATGCAGGGGAGAGTTACACACTTACACAGTATCAACGGTACAACCTAATATCTTCTAAAACCCCCTAATTTGATTACTAATACGTATTTCAATCATTAATAACAGGGAAATGAACTACAATAGTGCCCTCCTGTATCAAGATTAGGCCAACAGCGGGTATAAAAGGGATAAATTATTCCTCTCTAACCTTTCCATTCAATAATTAGCAAAAATACAATGTCTCCCCCAACTGCAACTGCTGCAGAGGATATTACCCTCTCATTAAAGACAACAAACCTCAATGACGTCTCTGACCAAGGCAAGGAAATCCTCGTCGACTTGACGAAGGGAAAGCCAGTAGGTGGCTATGCTCCCTTCGCCCATCTCCTTCCAGCTCCAACCCTCGCTCGTTACAAGAAGTACGGTATCGACACCAGTAAGGGTTACCCAGAGGCCCCACCTCAGGCCGGAATTCCAACCTTTGTGGACGAAGCTTATGCGGTCAGAAACAAAGACTTTCCGTACATCGAACGTGGGAAGAACGCTGACCCCGAGAAGAAGTCGTTGTTTGGAGCAGCCACCGAAGTTCGTCACTTGACCAAACATATCGGGACCGAGATTGTGGGGTTGCAGTTACAGGCTTTGACGGACCAACAGAGAGACGAATTGGCCCTTTTGATCGCCGAAAGAGTGGTGGTCTTCTTCCGCGATCAGGACTTGTCTCCTCAAAAGCAATTGGAGTTGGGCGAGTACTACGGCCAGGTGGAGAAGCATCCACAGGCTGTGCACGTCCCTGGATTAGAGGGAATTACTATCATCTGGCCTGAGTATTTACACCAGGTCGGCGTGAAGAATACCTTCAAACAGGTTAAATACACAGCCAGATGGCATACAGATTTGGTTCACGAACACCAGCCGGCGGGAATTACCCATCTCCATAACGATACCATTCCAGAGGTTGGCGGTGACACGGTTTGGTCTTCTGGCTACGCGGCGTACGATAAGTTGTCCCCAGCGTTGCAGGAATTTTTGGACGGTAAGACTGCTATCTACATTTCGGCCCATACATACTTTGACAGGAACGATCCGTTGAACGGGAAGAAGCACGTTGAGAGAGAACACCCGATCATCAGAACACACCCAGCCACTGGATGGAAGTCGCTTTATGTTAACCGTTCTATGACCGACAGAATTGTTGGGTTGGAGCCAGGCGAGTCGGCCGTAATTTTGGAGTACTTGTTTGGAGTGTTTGAAAAGAATTTGGACATCCAGGTGCGTTTCAACTGGAAGCCAACCAAGCCAGGTTTGGGGACTTCTGCCTTGTGGGACAACCGAATCTCCCAGCATAATGCCGTTTGGGACTATGAAAACACCGAGCCACGCCATGGGACCAGGGTTACGTCTTTGGCAGAACTTCCGTACTTTGACCCGGAGTCCAAGTCGCAACGTCAAAGCTTGGGGTTATCTCTTGATTAACCCTCCGATTTTTATCCTGAGGACAACCCGATATCAAGGTTTGTTGGCTTTTCCCTTCCTTCTGTAGCTCTGGATATATCCGTTATCAAAGAGGTAGCATTGAATATCAGAGATTTGCCTGAAGCAACATCAAAGGTACTTGACTAGGTGTGTGTAACCACATTTTGTTTTAATAAATTAGTCATGGTTGCAACATTGAAGTAGGATTGAGTGGGTTCATATTTGATAGACATTGAATTTTATACGATTGAAGAACCCTATGGTATACTTACGTAGGTAGAAAAGGAGGATTATATATCAACTAGATATATAAAGAGGCGGTCAGTCGGTCTTTATATAGACCGGCTGACATAGTTCTGTGACAGTCATCAGATTTGTTACAGAGGTTGAAACGTTATCAGCGTTTCGTGTAGCCCCGCATAGGATGGGGCACCTGCGACGCCTATACCACAAATCTTTCGTAATGCTGTATACACGCACTCGGGCAACGAGGTAAGTCAAAAGCGAGGGATTAATCTGAAAATTACAAGTGGAGCATAGGAATAACCCTGACCTGTGATTTAGAGTGCTCTAAGATGCTCCGTTTTCAGCGGCTGATTTCGTGTTATATATTATTTGCTTATTACTGTAGGTAATGCCTTCATGTACGCGAAGTTTCGGGGACGATAACCTAAATCGGTTTCCCAATGCGGTAGTCAAAAATGCGTCTTATCTGATTATTCTATTGGTCCAGGCGCTTACTATGCACCATGCAGGCTATCTTATCTCTCACAGGGCCCGATAGCTAGACTAAAACCGGGGAAGACCAGCGAAGTGCACTGACAAACGTCGACAACTTGATCCTTGTCGAGTATATAATCAGAGCGGGTCGTAGATGGTTCTGACTCGCAGTAGATATACCAAGCTGAGAAAAAAAAATACAAAAAATCACCCTTACAAATATTTCACTCCAAAGGAAATCCCAGCCGTTCAGACTACAATGTCAACACATGCTTTCCCTCCCAACAATCATACTAGTCAAACACATGGGTTGAACAACCACCCAAACAAGTTTCATGCAGATCTTTTATTAATGCACGATGTATACCCTGGAAGAAGTCATTCTGGGGAGAGGGGTCGGCCGAGGAACCACAGCTCAGATCGGCCAAGGTTGTTGGGCCAGACGCCTAGTACGGCTAGAGGGCATGAATCACCCAAAACCAAACCAGTGTTACAGAGAACTAGAAGTAGCACTCTTAATAAGACCACGGGAACTTTCCGTAACAGCTCCAATGGACGGGTTGTGTTGTTTAGAAACAATTCCAGCGGTGACGTGACCCGACACAACACAACCAGCGAGTCATCCAGACACCATCCAGTTGGGCACGGAAAGATTCTCCGAAACAACTCTAACCCGCACGGTGGGATATTCAGGACTAAAAGTGAAAGAACCGATCCCAGATCTAGTTCAAGTGCGGGCCTGTTTAGGTCGGCCGATACTAGGTCGCGAAATAGTTCCACCACACGATTAGGGTTAATCTCGAGAGACACTGCTTCGATGCTTAACACCTATGACGATTCATCTTCTATCCCTACGCTTGCCCAGAATTCAACGTATACGCTGTCCAAGCTCCGGACTTCACTCAATACCGGCCGCAGCTATGAGTATCTGATACAGTACCAGCAAGTGCAAACTCCTATGGAGTCTGAAATGATACCTGCCTTTGATGAAATGAAAATTGACATTGAAAGAGAATTTCCTGGACGTTTGGCAGCTACCGCCCCTTCCCACAACTTAAACTCTGACTCTGGTTCGGATGTCGATGACAACGATGATGTCTCCATCGCCTATCTATCCCATTTACCCTCCCTTGAAAACTCACCCCATAGCCTTGGTGTTTTCCCGCTAACGGCAATTACTGATAATCGAGTTCTCAGAACTCGGGCACCCTTGGATACCCATGCCGAACAGCAAACGGTCTTCGACAACTTTGACTCCATGTTGAACCAACCATCCTGGAGTGCTCCCATGCGAAGCCAACTCAAAGCCCTTGCCCTTAAAAGTCATTTTGAGGACGAGAAGAAGAACGAAACATCGTTAATTAATGAGTGGAACAAAATTCGTAGCATTGAGCAGAGGGTCCAACATGAGGAAATTTCCCAAACTTTGCTGAAAATTGAAATCTGGCACAAGGGTCTTGCTCGAAAGAGCTTGGAGAGGCTATACAAGGGGAATAAACCTTGCGCGGAGACAGTACCTAGGAAATCTTTTTGTTTCGAGCAGGCGGATTCAGTGTTAGCGAAGTTTTACAAGGGCTTGGAGAAGCAGTTTATGATTCTGGAAGTGGAGGTTCATGTGGCTCAGGAAGCTCCAGCACTCCACCAGAAACTTTCCATCGATACAATCCAAGAAGCTACAGAAGACGAAGGGGAGGTTCGACGGGGTAGTCTATCTGTGGATCGATTGAGCGTGGATCTGGCTTGCGTGGCACAGGTAACAGGAGAGTTCGCTCCAGCAGAGGATGGGGATATTTTCAATCGAAGGGGGAGTGGACTGAAAGACAAATTGAGTGTGGATATGTCAAAGTTGGCCCAGATGATCAAGATAGAAGAGAACTATGAATAAGGTTAAATGAACAAGCTTTATCCAAGAATTAGCTCTCAACATCTTTTGTTTCATGCTATAAAATGGAGGTTTGATTATAAGCCTTGAATGAAGGGATGACCTATTGAATGCAAAACTGTTTCAATTATTGGTCCATTGTTAAATGGTGATGCCAAAGGGAAGAGATTTACGTGTTAAAACAATCAGACCATGGTATATCCAATGTGTTTCGAAGGGTGAGTTAGCGGGGGAGAGAGCATGGTTGGTTCTGCCGCTAGTTGATCAAGCCAGCTGTATAGACTATTATTCCCCAGATGAAAGCCAGTAAATTTGTGATGTTACTCTCAACTATATATACTATGTGACACACAAACCTCCCGGAGGAGATTTTTGTGACATCTGTAAGAACTATTCCGGCTTGCAACAGTAACCAACTTTGGGGAGCATATTTTATCGCTGCATCTGGGAAACTTGGAGAAATTTCTTCAACCTCTTACATCTTCCTCGTACTACGGATTGCTTTATTGTTTCCGTTTAGATGGCCTGTTCGACCCATATTCTAGCTTTCAGATCTTGGACCGCAACCGCATGCATAGTGACGCACGTGCGGCATACCAAGGGATGTACCCTAACATGTGTAGGTGATCACATCTGAGCCACAGTGGTATACGGCTACAGTCTAACTACGAGCTTTAACAAAACTCAGCTACAATTACTTAATTCCACCCGTTGAAGTTCCTCCAAACCAACATATTCTCATCCTTAGCTACACATGTCTACCTCTACCACCGCCTTCACCGAGAACATCCAGGGATATGACATCCACACGTACTACGACAACAAGAACCCTGAACAGACACAGTTTGGTAAAGACCTTCATGAAGCTGTCAGGACAGAATTTGCGGAGCTAGCCGCCAAGGGGGATATTGTGCTTCTCAAATGGGTGGAGCGGGCCATAGGTCCCCACCCCATCACCATGTTTACCACGGAACTTCACACCCCTGAAGCGTTCGCTCGGGTGGTGCCGTTCTACCAGCTCCACCACGGTGAATTGAGTGTGTTGATTCATCCGATTTCGGGTAAGGGGGACTTACTTGACCACACCAAACATGCATTGTGGTTAGGTGAGAAGCAACCATTGTTGTACCATTTGTTAAAGTAGCCACCAATTTATTCTTTTGAGAGATTTAGACTATTTACACATTGCCAAAATCACGTAACGAAGTTGCATCAACCGGTGCTGCATCAGGCTAGTTAGTTTTATGACTTTCTCTGTAGTGTGCATCGCAGATGTTCTTCGGCTCAGCCGAATCCTGCTTGTCCAGAGCGACATAAGTATTCCTTCCGTTGGTAAGGATTTCCTCGTCATCTTGATAATATATCTAATGTATAAAATAGTTAATAATATCATTTCTTGGCAAAACATATTCACTAGTACCTATTAGGCAAACCATACTCCTTTTCCGGCTCAAAGGTCTCGACAAATCGTTGAGCTAGAGATTTACCTTTAAATTCTTTGACGCCTTTTTTTAGTACTTTCAAGATTCAAATTTAAACTCTTTATTTCTCCGCCATCACGGGGAATAAGACAATATTCACCGGTCAAACATGTATGGTATATTAGCCCCCCTATGTCTTTCAATATTTGACATGCCAATATATTTGAAACCACAATCTGTTTGCTTCCATGCATACAATAATTCGTACACCAAGCTGTATAAATTCATACGCGTCCTGTCTCTTCGATAGGTTTAATTGTCGGTGTATTTTTCTTTGAATACTCTTTGACATATTTTTAGAAAACGGATGTCATATTGTCTAGATTGCGAATGTACTCAAGGTTATTCCATTTATTACACGAACTGTTTCAACCTCCTTGCTGGCCGTTAAACTACTAAACATGGCCTGCCTAGGCCGACATGTTTTAAAATAACTGGGAGTGATAGATACGATATGGCACTGCCAAATCACTCTTGAACACGAAATGGCCAACCAATACTTTCAGGGTGGTCACCCCGATATTCAAATCGACTATTTCGAGCAAATATAACCTCATTCCCAATGTTTACCCCCAGTCCTTTCTTGGATATCGAAATAATGCACCCTATACCATGTACTTACATGAAAGCTCCCATAATTCATTCTCCAATGTTTCATTCCTTCTGCATCTCTAACCCATCAGGCATTTATAAATTATCCTTGAGAAATTTCGTGATGGCAGTGTACGCATAGCTTTCCTTGTAACTCTCAAAGGTCTCGGTGTAGAGCATAAACTCATCGTGCATTCCTCGAGGCTGGATACCCAACGAAGAACGGTCAATCTTTGCAATCTCCACCCACCTGAGAAGCTCATCCACAATTACCTCAGACTCACCGCCCAAAACCAATAGCATTCCAGGCAATACGCCTTCCCAGTCCGATGACTGTGAGTAGAATGGACTGATAGGCAAGGTCCGTCTGAGCTGGGTGTCTGGGTGGTACATCTCACTAAAAATGCGATACATGCCGAAAGTAAGAATATCGGTCTTGGCGTTTCTAAGGTACGATCCGACAGGTTTAGGATCGAGATTGAGCCAGGGAGAGATGAGGATTGCCCCGCGTGGCCTAAACCTTTCCGGGATGACGGTAGTAATGGCATTGATAGGTGAGTGGATATGTTTGAGTAACACCACGCACATGTTCCCACCGGCCGAATCACCCATTAGCCAGATATTGGTGTTGCCTTCTTGCACCACTAGTTTATGAAAGATATGGGCCACCTGGTTGATCGCACCCGGGAAGAGAACCTCTGGCGAAAGCGAATAATCCACCAGAAGGATGGATAAGCGATCGTTTTGCAACCCTCGATGGATATGGACCAAGGCTTTGAGCTGGGTGTCGAAGGTGGGAAAGAGAAAACCACCGCCGTGGAGGTAGAGCACTACTGGATCAGCCGTAGTTCTATCGGGGGCTTCTACAATCCAATGGGATCTACCATGTTTAGAACCCAGATACATCTTTCCAAAGTTGGAGGGCAAGTGCCCTTCGGTGGTAAGGGTCTTTTTCACCCCTGCGAGCGTTTGGTCAATGGTCACTTTGCGGCCGGAGACACCGATTAAATCGGATGCAGCGACATAGTCCAGAATGTGGTTGGAGGCGACGCTGTGGAGAAGTGTCTTAATGTCTTTACATGCAAAATTAGAGCCGACGGTGAAGTAGAGGATAGTCTGGTAGAGGAGCTTGGAAGGTAAGAGAAACAACAGGGCCAAAAACTTTAAGCTAATCATGGCAAAATAGAGGTATATTGTTTAAATGTGTGGGCTTCAAGCTCTGGGGACGGTTATTTTCCGCTGTAAAAGAGTGGGAAACAATGACTCCGAGTGTGAATCTACGAGGATTCAGGCTTAGCAGCCCCGCTTGACATAATGGGGTGCAGGGGGTACAACCGCCAGATTGTGGGGGTTATCTTGGCTTGGTAATCCGAGGTCCTGCCTGCAGGATACCTGATATTAGGACTCAATAAGAGATTGCAGTTTAGCGACAAGCATCTAAACTGATTAACGCTTGCTGTAGCACCATATTGTGTAGTGCCAGTACTAGCAGCCTGTTCTTAAGACATGATCGATTCTTAACTCGTGGTGTCTTTTCCGTTTGGGCTATTTTCTAAGACGAACCATTTCTTTGGCTGCTAAATCAGAGGTTATCGCTATGTAGCTCCCTTCCCAAAGTCGTTAGCAGATTTCTGCTCCTTAAACGAGAATGCGTGGACGTCTAAGACGTCAGCTCACGACGCATATGCAGAGATACGTTTATTAGCCCCTCCACTACCGAAATATTCCTTGTGGACTACGTGTTTAATGATTGAAAGAGGCTTACATATCTATTCCCGTTACTTAAAGGTGCTACCACGATCGCTGAAGGTTTACAGGCTTAGCTGTAGACACCATAATCATTCAGTATGGTTAAAAGCACATCTAGTCCTCCGGCTGGAGGGAGCTTTTCGTTGCAACGGAGTCCCCTGTTGCACAAAAAATTATCGTGGGTGACGTAAATGAGATGACAGTCTATTGTGGAAAAAAAAATCCTGTGGTCAAAGTACCTAACGGTTGAGAAAAAGCCCTGAAATCACCTCAGTGTACGAGAATGCTGTTTGCGCCACACGCCATCGGATAATCTCGACCCTTCTTCAACTTCGCCACTATTCCAATGAGGTTTCGGTCTGTGGAGTCGCCACTCACAGCACCCCCTTCCATGCCGGACAGTTGCTTTCAATAGGGGACGTGGCATCTTTGACAATCGGACCCGGTAATTACGTAATGGACAGCGAGCCCCCACGAAACTACAGGACACGCTGTTACACCCGACGTGCCACCTCTGGCGCAGGCTTGTAACACGTAAGCAGCTGGCTATTTCTCCTTCTTTCATTTGCGCTTCTTTCCAGTTTTTTTTGCTCCTACTCACTTAAAATCAGGTTTTCATCCTTACACCCATATATACCACATATCAAGATGCAATTCACCAAATGGAGCATGTCCGCTTTGGCTACTATGTTAGCCGCTGTCAGTGTTGTCACCGCCAACTCTGAGGCCGCTATCGCCGATCCAGACTCTGCCGTGGTCAAGTTGACCGCCGAGACATTCGAGTCTTTCATCGCCGAAAACCCTTTGGTGCTTGCTGAATTCTTTGCCCCATGGTGTGGTCACTGTAAGACCTTGGGTCCAAACTTTGCCGCCGCCGCTGACGAGTTGGTCAACAAGCCTGCCAAGTTGGCACAGATCGACTGTACCGAGGAAGCCGAGTTGTGTCAGCAGCACGAAATCAGAGGCTACCCAACCTTATTGGTGTTCAAGGGTGATGCCACCTCCTCCTCCCCATACCAGGGCGGGAGAACCGCCAGCGACATTGTCCTGGCCATGACCAAGTTGTCCCAGCCAGCTGTCAGCATCATCAAGTCCGATGATGTCGAAGACTTTATCGCCGACAATACTGGCGCCGTCGTCCTCCAGGTCGGTGCCAACACCAAACCAAACAACGCATCCTTCTACGAGATTGCCGATACCTTGAGAGATGACTTCACTTTTGCCACCGTCCCAACCTATGGCAAGCACGCCAAGGGGACTGTGTTGGTCTTCCGTCAAGGTGACGAGGAACCATCGGTCTTCAAGGCCCAGAAGAAGCTTGACGCTGATGCGTTGAAGGAGTTTGTCAAGGTTGAGTCCAAGCCATTCTTCGGCGAGTTGGAAGCCGCCTCCTTCCAAGCCTACGTTGACGCCGGTGTTCCTCTCGGTGTTTACTTCTACGAGGCTCCAGAACAAAGAGATGCTGCTGAGAAGCTCTTCACTGAGTTGGGTAAGGAATACCGCTCCAAGGTCTCTTTTGTTGGTTTGGACGCTGCCCAGTATGGTAAACACGCCGAGAGCTTGAACGCCAAGCAGGAGTTCCCATTGTTTGTCATCCACGAAGTGGAGGCCGATCTCAAGTACATCTTCCCACAGTCTGAGGAGTTAACCGAAGCCGAAATAACCAAGTTTGTCGCCGAGTACGCCAAGGGTTCTATCGAACCAACCATCAAGTCTGAGGACATTCCAGAGGTCCAGGAGGCTGCTGTTGTCAGATTGGTCGGTAAGACCCACAATGATATCATCAATGACGAAACCAAGGATGTGTTGGTCAAGTACTACGCCCCATGGTGTGGTCACTGTAAGACCTTGGCTCCTATCTATGAAGAGTTGGCTGAGGCCTACGTTTCTGATCCAGACTCTAACAGCAAGGTGACCATTGCTAACTTGGACCACACTCTCAACGACGTGCCGGGTCTCCTGCTCAAGGGCTACCCAACCTTGATCTTGTACCCAGCTGGTGACAAGGCCAACCCGGTCACCTTTGGAGGCCAAAGATCCTTCGAGGAGTTGTCCAAGTTCATCAAGGAGAACGGTTCTAACGGCGTTGACGCTGAGGCCATCATCCACGACAAGATTACCGAGGTTATTGGCGATGACGCTGCTGAGGAACTCCTTTCCGAGGATTCTGTCGTTGACAAGGCTGCTGCCGCTGCCGAGGCTGACCAGAAGGCTGGTGAAGCCGCTGAAGCCGTTGACGATTCTGAGACCGTTGAGGCTGCTGAAGCCGTTGACGATTCTGAGACCGTTGAGGCTGCTGAAACCGTTGTTGCCAAGGCTAAGAAGGCCTCTGGTAAGGCCGCCAAGGCCGCCAAGAAGGCTTCCAAAAAGGTCAAGGCGAAGAAGACTGAACGTGACGAGCTTTAAACGGCCCAGATCTCCCAAGGAAGGCTATAGCTAGTTTCTGGGGACTAAAATTTAATTACGTTTTCGAAGAGGTTAAATGGCGTAGCAGGACGTAGGTGGCATGTGATCGAGATACAGAGATAGGCTTGTTTGTCGGTGTCAGCGGCCTACCCGGGGATCTGTGTATGGTTCCTCAGGTACAGGTGAGTGCCACATCCAAGGTTGATGGGTGTCTAAGATATGTTGGACTGTTAAAACCCAACACAGTGGTGGCTGGTACGAGCTATGCACGTAAGCCTAAGGTTTTATTCTTAGAATCGTAATATATCCAATGACGGGCTTCACGGTGGCTCTACTTCCTTGGTTGTGGTTAGTCTGAGAGTTAAAGCGACTTAATCATTCGATAAGCCATCAATTACATTTATTAAAGCTTAGAGGGTCCATGTAATAAAGGTGCCTTTTAAATAGACGGAAGTCGGAGGCCACTGTCCCCTTACCCCTGATAAGCAGACACCCTGGCATCGTATCCACCTCAGTATATAAGGCCACCGACTACCCTTTTCTTGTAGATATCTTACATAGGAAGTATTCTCTTTTAGCTAGCTAACAGTATCCACTATTGCCTACTAGATATACCACGGTCCAGGTAGAATGGCGAAAGGTATAGGTCTGTTTAATATCTGTCAGATGCCAGTATATATTCTAGTATAACCAATCTTATAGTCGTCCGATTAGTGCCGAACCAAACTGTTGGGAGATTTTCTGCTAGATACTAAAGGTTCTCGCAAAAGGACTCGGATGGAAATGTTGGGCTCTGTCCAATAATACACCGCCGGGTGTATCGTAAAGATTTTACCGTGGGCACGCTGACCTCTGATTCGCGCATAAAAGGATACCAGTCTGTCGAATCAAGGCTATTGGGTTCAAATAGGCGTGTTTAAGGACCATGTTTACTTAGGAAGATACAAGCATGAGGAACCTGTTTGGTAAGAAATACGTTTAGTGCATCAAGTCGAGACTCAGAGTCATGAGTCAACTGATGCATGTAGTATGAGACTAAGGTTTCCTGTGTATAAATATCCGGTTTCTCCACGGATTAATCCTTCAACTGCTCTTTAAGGCTATGGAATAGAACTCTACTACGCCGATCACCTTTCGTGTATACCCATTTGTGCTTTATCCACCATGTTCCGACTCTTTTCCCTTTACAAGGACTCCTTCCAGCGGAGACCGCTATTGACCAATATCATTTCCACTGGCCTATTATCTGGTATCGGTGATACCATGGCCCAGAAACTATTTCCCGCGGAGACTGGCAAACAGACAGAGTTTGACTATGGGCGGCTTCTGAGAGTAATGTTCTACGGAGGGTTGATCTATGCACCAATTGCGGACAAATGGTTCAGAGCTTTGGCCAAGATATCAATTCCCACCTCTAGCCTCTTCGCCATGGGTCTAAAACAAACTTCTATGGGTATTGCGGCCGCGGGTGCCGTGGCTAGAGTCATGATAGACCAGTTGTGTTTCCGACCTGTCTCGGTGGCCATGTACTATCTGACCTTGACTCTTTTGGAGCAAAAGTCAATGAACGAAGTGCAGGAGAAATTGAAACTCAACTATTGGCCCACATTGTTCAGTTGTTGGACAATTTGGCCCGCTATCCAATTGCTAAACTTTAGTTTTGTCAAGGTCCAGTACAGACTCGTAGTTGTGAGTACAGTTAGTTTGGCGTGGAACTGCTACCTCAGTTATATGAACAGTCAAAAGGTGCCCAAGTTGAATATCGAGTTCGAGGTCACTCCAGATAGCACCAGCGCTGTTATCATTCACGATCACACTAGTCAGTAATCAGTAATTAATTACATAATATATATAGAAATACTTTATAACAAACCTAAACTTTAAACATTTAATATTAAAATATGAAAAAACATGCGTTATATTTAACTGGTATATTGATATTGAACACTAGAATTCGGAAAAACGTATATTACAGCTTTGATTTGAATTAAAATATTGTCGAATCGAGAAATCTATCGTTTAGCATATTGTTAAAATATTAAATACAATGACAATAGCGGCTTCCAAGACAGAGTACATAGAATCAAGTATACATATACGTGCACAATTATTTATAGGCGCCCTGACTGTACACCAAGTCTCTAACCTCCCAGTGTTCGTTAGCATCCTCCAAGTCCTGCCAGTTGCCAATGAAATCGTCCACGTTCTTGACAACCCCTGGCAAAGTTTTGCCATTGCTATAACGCCTCCAAATCTTCTTGGCCTCGTCGTCGGTACCTAAATCCCTAGTCACAAACTTGATCTCGTTGGCCTGCAAAATGCTTTCAAGTCTGCGGGTGCGGCTGGCGACTTGGAACCCACCGGCAAAGGAACTGAAGACAAAAACGGGGGTGGCCTCGGGTTTCTTAGCCCCAAACTCTTTTTCAATCTCCGCGGCCGTAATACCAGAGAAATCGTCGTCGGTGATGGTGGTGACTTTGGCGCTTGGGTTGGATTTGGTGACGAGAGTATCCAAGTCTCTGCCGCCAAACTCCTTCTCCAAGTCTGATTCGGAAATACCAGCAAAGTCGTCGTCTGTGAAGTCAACCGAAGAGCCTTTAGATTGGGCTGCAGGGGCAGTAGCTTCATTCGCCTCAGATTCGGCAGGCACGTCGGTGCCTGGTACATCATTCTCCTCTTCGATCTTTGTTGCCTCAATGCTCACAGCAATGGGCTCAGAAGATGGAAGCGCCTCTTTTGTGAGAGTCGCATCAGCATGGACGTTATCGGAAGTGGCTTCCTCCTTCGAAACAGGTTCACTGACCAGGGCGGCATCCTTGAGGAGATGAGAGGCTGGCTCGACCTCAGTAACTGGTCTAGTATCGCTGATTAGTTCATCCTCAGTATTAATCACAGGTTCCTTAGCGGTTGGCTCATTACTAGCGGACTCGTTACTAACAGCTTCAATGAAAGAGGTTTCTTCACCTGGCCCATCTGAGGGGGCCTCGACGGAAGGGGATTCATCGATAGCTGAATTCATTCCATTGGAGACTGTCTGAAATCCAGACACTGGTTCGTTATCAGTAGCCTCTGCTGTGGTTACTGGATCGACTTTAGCGATATCTTGAACCGACTTCTCCACCGCAGGCGTTATCTCCTCACCAGCGTCTTGCTTAGACTCCGCCTCAGTCTTGGCCAGGCCTGGTTCTCCGGCTTTAAGATCCTTCGCTTGAATTGGCTTGGAAACCCCAACAAGCGGTTCATCTATTTCCTTCGTGATCTCTTCGGTCTCATTCGGTTCTATCCCAGTCTCACCTCCATTCGGCACTTCGGGCGTTTCGACCAGGGGTAAGGCGGCTAACTCCCCACTCGACTCCTTGGCGGTCTCCTGGGTGAGTGTGACATCACCATCTGCTGGCTCCTCATCCTCTTCAGCTTCGGCAATCACTTTGGAGTGTTCGTGCAAATTGGAGTGTTTCTCTTCGCCGTATGCTTTGTCTGCAAGCTCCTGCAAGTCCGGTCTCATGTCCAAGTTTCCGCCAATCAAGGCGCCTTCCTCGGTAAGCACCTCGTTGGTTTCTTCGTGATGCGCCACACGGGACCCCACGGACGGCTGCCTGGAGCGGGATCTGGAGATGGATCTCAAGTAAGCCTGGGAGGACGCCGATCTAGTGTACTTCGGCCTATCAACCCCCGACGTCACTGTGCGGCCAGTTCTACCGGTCCGATCAGCTTCATCCTCTTCCTCCACCAGCTCTTCCCCCACCAGCTCTTGCACTTCAGGCTCGCAAGACGGGGATGGCGACCTATCGTGGGTATTCTGGTATGAATCGCCTCTGGCCAAATGAGGCTTGCTCATATTCAACGGCTTGTGAGGGTTCAAGTTCAGGGACTCCTTGACACGCGACGAGGATCTGGCGTGGATAAACGGCGAGGCAGAACCGTCACGCGCACCGGCTGGTACAGTGAACAACGAGTCGACATGACTGACAACCTCTGGCGTCTCTTCCGTGAACTGCACCCTGGCCGGCACCACGGTTGGCTCCGCGGAATGCTGGGAAAGGTCGTCCACCGAGTGACTAGGAAGGAGATCGCTAGAGGACAACAACGCGCCTTCAGCCTCCAATATCATCAAGGAGGGCGTATAATGGTCCTGGTCGTAGCTAGCTGCAGCAGAATCACCGTGGGAAGGTTCCGAGACAGTTCCCCGGACTGGCGAGGGGGGCTCGGGAGTTGCAGAAACCGAATCGGGGGTACCAGGTACAATCCCAGCAGTTGCTCCATTGGAGGCAATCTCTCCCTTGGAAATCTCTTCCTTAGAAATCTCTTCCTTAGAAATTTCATCCTTAGAAATTTCATCCTTTGAGGGATTTTTGGTAAGCTCCTTTGGCCCCCCCTTGACGGAAGCAACAATCTCAGACTTGACATTACCGGAATCGTCCAAGAACTCAGCAAAGTCCTCTTCCGATGCAAGTAAGGCGCCTTCGCTGATTAAATCATCAAGAGAAGTGGTGACGGAAGCCTTGCTCTTCTTCTTCTTCTTCGACTTGGACTTGGATTTGGACTTGGTGTTGGGCGGGGGCGTGGCCTCTGAGGTATCATCAGCGCATCTGACAGAGGAGCCCACGAGCGAAACCGTGGGTGTAAGTTCGTCGCCAGGGTAAACGGGGGTTTCAGACATGACAGTAATGTTGGAGTGTATTCTTCAATTGAGTGTAGGCAACAACTATTGCTAAATAAAGGGCTGGCGCTATCTTTGTGGTGTATTCGCGAATCGCAAATCGCGCAATGTGGCCCTATCTCTGGGGGAAAAAGCCGCTAGTAGAAAAGATATGTATCGCAGCGAGGGGCTTATCCCCGATCCCGGGCGCGACAAACAAAGATTCCAGTCACGAGACAACTAAGCAGGATGTCTGAGGTAGACTTAGCTACCGCCGACTGTACCAGGTTTATGCCTCTTTTCTTGTACTTTTCAAATCACTCAACAAAGGCGTAATGTATCTCAAAATCCAATGAGAGTATGATGCATGCAAAGACCGATTAGACGCTTGGGGATTAAGAGACCTTGGCCTCAGGGTGTCTCCAGTGACCATATACACAGCGGATGCTCGCATCCGAGTGCTTAACTAACGTTTCGGATGCGTGCAGGTGCGACCGGAAAGTCGCGTCTCCATATCCTCTACGGCGTAGTCTTTCCCCGCATATGCTCTTGTCAAGTTCAAGCAGTCGACAAGTCCGCAGCAACAGAATTCACACGCCAGGCTGAAAGTATCAGCTAGTCATCTACTTCTGAGCCGAATAACGAAGGAGTGTCCAGAGGTTGATTTTCCGGTGCTGACGATGGTGGGTCTACGAAGTTCATTAACCGACATTCCAACGCCAGACGAGGTCCCAGGCTTTGAGCTCACTGTTGAAAAAGAAAAAAAAAATACCTTAGTGTAAACTGGGTTAGTTACATGGACTTCGGAGTTACCCCATAATGCGTTACTGCGCGACTTAAAATGCATATATATATCCCATGGTTGCCCTCCATCTCCAGTTTCCATTCATATTCTCATTATTCTCTCTAAAACCTAACAATGTCTGTTACGTACACTGACAGCCCTAACCCGGCGGCCTCCATTGCCAAGGAGAGAGCCCAAACCAGCTTTGACATCGACACGATGAATGAGTTTTTGGAGGGCGGTAGTAACCAGGCAGCCTTGGTCAAGAGCCTCTACCTTCAGTTCGAACGCGACCCGATTCTCACCACCTCCACTGCCGTGTACGACCTTACCAAGGATCAGAAGCGCGAGCTCACTGCCAAAAAGATTGCACGCGTGGCACAGTATTTAGAGGCCGACACCCCGACAACATTTGCTAAGCGATTGCATTTAATCCACACCGTCGACCCCCAGGTGGGAACCCGGATTGCCGTCAATTTGGGCTTGTTTGTCAACTGTATCCGCGGAAACGGTACCGACGAGCAGTTCAAGTACTGGGTCCTCACCCAGGGTGCCTCCCAGATGAAGGGCATCTACGGGTGTTTTGGGATGACCGAACTTGCGCACGGCTCTAACGTTGCCGGATTAGAAACTACCGCAACTTTTGACGTTGAAACCGATGAGTTTGTCATCAACACGCCTCATGTGGGGGCTACTAAGTGGTGGATTGGCGGTGCCGCGCACTCCTCCTCGCACTGCGCCACCTACGCCCGTTTAATCGTTAAAGGCGTGGACCACGGGGTCAAGACCTTTGTGGTGCCGTTGAGAGACGCCAACCACGACTTGATGCCGGGTGTCTCTGTTGGTGATATCGGGGCGAAGATGGGTAGAGACGGTGTGGACAACGGTTGGATCCAGTTTAGTAATGTACGCATTCCCCATGCCTTCATGTTATCTAGGTATGACCGAGTTTGCCGCGACGGAACTGTGCATAGCGCTCCCTTGGCCCAGTTGGCATACTCGGCGCTTTTGGACGGCAGAGTTACGATGGTGTACAACTCTTTCAGATTCGGCTCCCGTTTCATCACTATTGCGTTGCGTTACGCTGTCGCCAGAAGACAGTTCGGGAAGAGCTCCGATGGTTTGGGTGGCGAGGAGCAGTTGTTGAATTACCCTTTGCACCAGAACAGATTGATGCCTTACTTGGCATCTATCTACGCCATGTCTGCCACAGGTGACAAAATGAACTGGTACTTGAAGGATATTATTAACGGCTTGGAAGCTTCCGTGAGGACCGCTGATATGTCTCAGATTGGTGCAGCGATTGATGATATGAAAAGTTTGTTTGTGATCTCTGCCAGCTTGAAGTCCACCTGTACCTGGTTGACTTCCTCCTTGATCGACGAGTGCAGACAGGCGTGCGGGGGACATGGCTACTCTGCCTACTCCGGGTTCGGCCAAGGATACTCCGACTGGGCCGTTCAGTGCACCTGGGAGGGGGACAACAACGTCTTGGCCATGTCTGCCGGTAAGGCCATCGTGCAGCACGTGCAGAAGGTGCTCAAGGGCAAGAAGGTTTCGGGCGAGTTTGCCTTCTTGAATAGCTACAAGGCTGACGAAACATCTGAGGTATTGAAGGGCCCTGTTGGGAACTTGACCACCTTGTTGGCGACGTTCCAGACCTTGGTCGGGAGATTGTCTGGCCACGCCAACGAGATCTTGGGACATTCCAGTGGTTCCTGGGAGGTCATTTCCGTCCACCAGGTCAACATTTCCAAGATCTTTGCCCACACCTACATCTTGAGCACCTTTACCAAGAGAATTGCCGAGGTATCCGACTTTGCCATCAATATCCAGTTGACCCAGTTGGCCCAGTTATACGCGTTGTCCACTTTGTCCCAGTACTCCTCGTTGTTCCTCCAGTACAATGTGCTTGCTGCCTCCACTTTGGCTAAGGTCCAGGCCGAGGTTGGGAATTTGAACGCCAGAATTAGACCACAGGTTGTGGGTTTAACCGATTCTTTCATGATGCCGGACTTTGCCATCAACTCTGCGTTGGGCTCTAAGGCAGGTGATATCTACGAGAGCTATTTCAATTTGGTCAAGAATCAAAACGATCCGTCTGTAACCAAGGCGCCGTACTCCGCTGTTTTGGAAAAGATGTTGAACAGGCAGGACCTTGAAGTCAGAGAGAGAAGTGAACGCACGGAACAAGTTTTGAGGATCTTAGGCAGCACCGATGAATAGGCGAATTTATTTATAGGTGCCAGATCGTCGATATCGGAGTTGCGCCACGTACACAGCTGGAGACATAAAAAAGTCGCAAGACAATTACTTTTGAATGGCTTTCACAGCAACGCTCGGGCATATCCATCGTTCAAAATAGCTAATTCATTTGTCTAACGTTACATTCCTTCAAAGCGTGTAAATATAACACCTTAATGTATCCCATCGAAGACTCCCTAGGACTAGATCATACCTTTTAATGCTTTGGCTATTAAGCTTAGCAACTAAACCAAAGCTATCTGAGATCCACCACACAAGCACCTGGACAGCATTTACCTGGAGTTTTTTCTGTATGCGTTCATATGGCGCGAAAAGACAAACTATGGGATTTAAGACAGCCTAGCAGATTATTAGGCTGGATTTACCCACTGACCGAAGGCAGCACTAAATAGAGATGTCATGGTACGTCGATCAGATAGGCTGTTACGGCGAACCGTGTTACGATTCCACCGCAAATATGGCTTGCTCAAAATAGCAGTCCCCTTGATAAGACCCCGTACAAGACTACAATGAAATATCCAAATGGTTCTAAAGTGTGGTAAATCTTGTCAAATCTACATGGCCTTGCTTATTGTCGTCCTTGAAGGTATCGGTGACTGGCTGTACGACGGTGGACTCCCTAAAACCCAGAACAACCTGCATCGTGCAGTCTTTCCTTGTCATAACCCCTGCTTCTCCAGAATGGATAATAAAACTTTCATTGCTTATTGAGTCACATAACGCCTAATTTAGCAACAGTACTGAGCTGCTACCTTGGCCGAGGACTGTTTCGGGGGAACATGTTAACGGCTAAACTGCGCATAAACGAATAGTATGGTAATCAGCAGTACAATGAAGAGTGCAATTCCTCCAGAACCCGAGATAAACTGTAAGGGTATTTATCAGCCGAGCCTACCTCTAGCAGGTAACAGCTTCCTAACCAGATACCTACGCTAGTAGAACGGGAATGATACTTAAATACATGTAAACTATTCTTAGATCCCCAACCAGTTATCGGTCTTCTTCACGTTAAACCACTTTTCAATACTCACCAGTTCCGACGACGTACACGCCAAGACCTTGTAATAGCCCTTCTCAGAGCACCAAAAGCTATGGATCGAATCCCAGTAGGAAGTAGCATACCGCACAGGGATATCCACCGACACAACTTCGCACTCCATCGGTTTCAACACTCTGGTTTTCAGATAATCCTTCAACTCCTTGACAGGTCTCACCACCGTGGTGTTCTCCTGCTGGACGTAGAACTGCACGCACTCCGCCCCCGAAACGTCCCCGATATTTTTCACCTTGACCGAGCATGAAACGGTTCCCGGTCTGGTCATCTTGATGTTAAACTCAGAGAGATCAAACTTAGTGTACGACAAGCCAAAGCCAAACGGAAACAATACAGGGACCTTCATCTTCTCATAGTAGCGGTAGCCCACAAACACATCCTCGCCGTACACTACCTGGTAGCTGTTGTTGGAGTCAAACGTGAGGTACGTTGGATTGTCCTCTATTCTTTTCGGCCACGTCATTGGCAACTTTCCCAGCGGACACACATCGCCGTACAACACGTCGGCTACCGAGTTACCCAATTCGTTACCACCGTACCACGCCTGTAGCAACCCTTTGACCCCGTCTAACCAGGGCATATCGATGGGAGTACCCGATTGGTTCACCACCACGATATTCGAGTTCACTTTCGCCACCTCCGCCACTAGCTGGTTCGTATAGCCCGGCAACGATAAGTCCTTTCTATCAAATCCCTCGGCTTCCCACTCGTGCGACAAGCCAATACACATGATCACCTTGTCTGCCTTGGACGCAATCTCTACTGCTCTTTGTATTTCAGCAACTGGGTCAATCACCTTGCAGCAGCCAAATGCAAACCCACCACACCCAGGAACAATCTTGTTTGGATCCTTCTTACCAAGCGTGTAGGTAGGAGCAGAGCCGAATTCCATCCGCACCTTGTATTTCCGTCCCTTTTCCATCTCCATATATCCCTTCTCCTCGATGGTTCCGCAGGAGAAGAAGGAGTTGCCGGCGGTCTGTTTCGTGAGATTGTCCACAACGAGATGGTCATCCACAAAGAGCTGGGCTGTTCCGAGCACGCTGACACCGAATTCGTAGAGTCCACTTTCGTCTGGAATGTACCAGCCAAAGACGGTCACGTAGAAGAGGAAGGACTCAGCGGGGAGATGGTAGTTGGAGTAGTCGATGAGCTGGAAGTAGGACTCATCATTGTAGAACTGGTCAATGATGGTGCGGTCTGGGGCGGTCGGAGGCTCGAGGTAGAACGTCGCCATGTAGCCACGCTGGCCCTTGTTGTTGATTAAGCGCTGACCCAAACCAGGAATTTCCTTGTGGATCGTGGCTCCGATAGCGTAGGGTATCTCGTGAGCATTCTCCAGAGTAGGTGGATCGCTTGTAGAGCCGCTCCACGTACTATGTGAATTTCCGGACAACCTCACTTTTTCATTGACGGAATCATAGATGTTAGTGTAGTATGGCTGCTTGAGGACCGTCGTACCGCCACCGGCGTGCGAGGAAACCTTGCCTAGCGGCCCAATCACACAGATTGAATCAGACGTTTTCAACGGAAGGATCCCGTCCTCGTTCTTCATCAACACGATAGACTCCAGACAGAGGTCCCTGAGCGTTGCCTTTGTCTCATCGTTCACAATGGATGTTTGGGGCCCACCGTTAAGTGGGATTCCCGACTGGATCCCTCTTTTGATCAACTTGAGCACGTTTCGTGCAGCCTCATGGATATCCTGCACCTTCAAGTTCCCTTTGCTAGCCTCATTGGCGACCCTTTTAAGTGTTCTCCATCTGGGAGGACCTGGCATCTCGAGGTCCATCCCAGCCACCACAGACTTTGCCACGCTGTAAGACGAAAACCAATCCAGAGCAACAGTCCCTTTCCAGCCCCATTCCTCACGGAGGATCTTGTTGAGCAAACTGTACGAATCAGAGCAGTACTCGCCGTTGACCTTTTGGTACGCGGTCAAGATCAATGCGGGATTGGAATCGCGAATACCGATCTGGAACGGAAGCAAATATATCTCTCTTAGGGCTCTGTCGCTGACCAAGCAGTTCACGATCCGCTTGTCGTATTCCTGGTCGTTGCACACAAAGTGCTTAAGGGTGGCCGTCACGCCGGTGCTTTGGATCCCGGAGACGACCGCCGCTGCTGCGAACCCACAGAGCGTCGGGTCTTCACTGAACCCCTCGAATGCTCTGCCAGCTAAGGGACTGCGGATAATCGCGCACATCGGCCCCAAAACCGCGTGGACAGACTTCAGTTTGGCCTCCGCTCCAATCATCTTCCCTGCTCTGACAAGCGATGCCTTGTTGAAGGTGGCAGCTAGGGCCGTCCCGCAGGGAAAACAGTTAGACGGCTGGGAGTTGAAGAACTTTGTGCCTCGCACACCGTTGGGTCCATCACTGAAGCGGATGGCGGGAATGTTCAAACGGTCGATACGGTTTGTAGACCAAAAGTTACCGCCAGCAAGGAGAGAGATCTTTTCGGTGACGGTTAGAGCGTTGAGAATCTCATCAATGTCGAAATTAGGCGAAAGGCAGCCGGTCAGCTTAGTCTGTGCTTCGGTCAGCTTATTGAGCACCGAAGTATGTTCTTCCGTCTTGTTAGCCATCGCGATATGTACGTTAATTGTATATATAGGGTTGTCTGCGGTATGGAAAAGCCGAATGACTGACAACGTTTAGATGAATGGTCGAGATAGATTCGGTTGAACAGCTTTCACTGGTGAGTGCGAGAGGGTAAATTACCTGTGTAGTCGAGAGGAAGTAGGGGAGGTATTTGGAAGCGAGAAGAAATAATCAGTTGAGCCTGCAGCGGTTAGGATTATCGATATTACTGTACGTGGGTAGACAATGGTTTAGATATCACAATACAGAGCAATTGTTGGATATATAGGATAATGGCACGGATGAAACTCTGTTATACTGTAACGACCAGCGAAATATAACGTCGAGAGGGAAAGGAGTGGCAATCCCTGGGTGTGTGTTGCTTTATCACGGCGGACAGATTTCTGGAGCTGCCAGGTTTTTTTGCGCGCTCCCACCGTCACTTTTTCTGGGTGAATCATCTGCCGAGGTGATCGGCAGCTTGCCTTGTAGTGCCGCATAGCACGTGACTATGCAGGGGCGTGTGGGGATGGCACTTCGCAAAGACGGTGGATTATAGTCAGAAAAGAAATAACATATTTGTTGGTAAAACGGGGGGTTTGATGGGTGGAGTGTTGTGTATCATCACTGAGAAAGTTTGGTTGTATGAGAATCTGTTCGGCCTCCTCTCTACTTGCCTGAAAACGATTGTCGTCGATATGCCACCGTTTGTGTACTAAAGGACCCTCTCGGTGTAATGTTTAACCCTCCCGGCATAATGTCTACGGTTGGCTCCAAGTGATATATAGAGTGGGGGTTGTACGAATCACAGAACTAGTAACGTTAATTAATAGTCCAGATGGGTTCAATACCCAACTGAGCCAAGATATCCAGAGCTATCAATTAACTGAGTGTCAGTTAAGTAGAGTGGCGAAAGAGAGACGGCGGGGTGATATTCCATTTATAATTCCACCCATGCTCAACCACTCCTGTTAATCACTCCTGCTAATCACTCCTGCTAATTACTCCTGCTAATTATTCCTATTAAACACTCTTGCTAGTCACTCTTGCTAACCACTCTTGTTAATTATTCATGTCAACCGCTCCTGCTCAATCCCCGCCAACCATTATTGCTATTTTAGTAGGAGTTCAGAAATAACACCTTTCACAAGTAGTAAGTGCAGTATTCACTGAAATTCTCGTGAAGAATGTTAATAGACTATCAATTATATATATGCAACTTGTTTTTTTTCAACTCCCTTGGGGTACGAATAGAGCTAGTGGGTAACTTTGGTACATATGGCCAAAGGATAAACATGCTCGTCCTCTCTCACTCGAGCTATCAAACTTGTCGGGGTGAAGCTTATGAACTTTATGAAAATCTTTGGGTAACTGATATTAGCATCAAGATCCACCACTATCACTGCCGTACTGTCAAAACCTTCACACCATCCCTAGCCTTTCCCTTGCCTCTCTCACACATTGCCATATTTCTCCCAAGTCCTGTATATAACATATCCGTCTTCCACCAACGATCCTGTATGTTTGTCGAACCCCACACCCCCTAACCCCACACCCCCAAATCCGTACGGTAGTGTTGGAGAATGCGCGGTACATCCCCTGGAGAAACTGCGATCCAGAGACGAGAGCTCTCTTCAAAAAATGTTCGCAGTTTTCTCTTCGGTCCAATTTTATTCCTTAACGGTTAAAATTTCTACACCCAGACAAAGCATATTCCAATGACTGCTTCAAAGACAATGCGAGCAGTAGTGTTCAAAGGCCCACGGGACGTGGTCGTGGAGACCCGTCCGATCCCGGAATTATCCTCCCCTAAAGATGCGCTTATTCGCGTACGCGCTGCGGGGGTATGCGGTACTGAACTTCACTCCTACCGCGGCGAAATGACCCCGCAGCCGGGATACATCATGGGCCATGAGTTCACCGGCGAGGTGGTCGAGGTTGGCGCTGCTGTTAAACACTTCAAGGCGGGAGACTTGGTCGTTGCTTCCTTTACCCAGCAGTGTGGCGAATGTTTCTATTGCCTCAAAGGCTACTCCTCGATGTGCGAGGTGACCACCACTTTTGGTGGACCGGCTTTGGACGGGGGGCAGGCCGAGTACGTGCGAGTTCCATATGCGGATACAACCTTGTTCCGCAAGCCCGATGACGTAGAAGACTCGGTTCTTGTGATGATGGCAGACATCTTTCCAACAGGCTACTATGGAGTCAAGAACTACATCGACCGAATCACCGATAAGAAGGACTTGGAAACGGATGTTGTAGTGAGTGTTGGATGCGGGCCGGTGGGTTTGTGTGCCATTCTCGCGGCAAAGGCAATGGGGGTTAAGAACTTGTACGCAATTGATACAGTACCACTGCGGTTGACTATGGCAGCGGAGTACGGTGCGATCCCGATTGATTTGGCTGATGGGGATGCAAGCATTCTCGAGCGTATTCACGCGCTCACCGATGGGCGCGGCGCCGATGCCGTGCTTGAAATAGTAGGTAGTGAATCTGCGTTACGCCTTGCGTTTAACTTGGTTCGTCCTCTGGGGTTCATCTCATCGATTGGGTATCAACATGGCAAGATCCCGTTCACTGGATTGGACTGCTACATGAAGAACGCACGGATGCAATTCGGGCGCTGTCCTGTGAGGACTATTTTTGCAGAGTCTTTAGAGGTGTTTAGAAAGGTTAGTGCTCAGTTGGAGGGGTTTGTCGACACCTCCATCGATTTAGAAGATGCGGCCAACGGTTTTGCGTTGTTTGACCAGCACAAGGTTAGAAAGGTGGTGTTGATCCCAAACATGAAAGAAGCTTGAGGAAGGAGTTCTATAATTGTTGTCTATGATCTTGATATGTAATGGGGGGACGGGTTGAGCACATTATGAAGTAGTCCCAGTGAACAATCAAAATTAGAAGCCGCTCTTGCAGTGTATCATGGGGCTTAGACTATACTATGAATTAAACATCCGTCGGTCAATTTCATTGGGAAGGTACCTTGATGCAGTCACACTTTTGGTTGTAGCCAAGACTAGTGTTTCCGGTACTCATACAACTCGTCTCGGTTAATTACAAGCACTTCGAGAGGAATTTATTATGAACTTAACCAAATCTGGATAACGTTTACCCTGACTGGGAAGCCAGACTAGAAATGCGTGAGGGACCATTATGTACCCCATACTCCAATGCACATTCCGCGCTAAAATCTAAGTCTAGCAAAAGAGGCATTTCTGAAGCATGCACTATCCAGTAGCCATTGTACATGATTGATCTGGTAATATACATAGATCTGTTTCTGAATACGATATCCAGCCCTGTCGCCCGTCCAGCTTCTAATCACGCGATAAAGAGAACAGACATACAAGATGACTTAGTATCGCTTACCAGCCTCGGAATCCCTTTAAACTATTTGTTAAGAGTTGGAAATAATAAATGTCAGCAAGCTCAAGTTGGAGTTATATCCAATATATCATAATTGTCTCTCCAACACGTTAATTGATAACATAGTAGGTTGAGGTTTTGGCTAAACGGGCTCTCCGTTAGGTGTAGGACAGTTATCACATGCCAAATCACTCACATATTGGAGCTAGGATCTCACACCGAATATGTCCCCACTTTCTCATAAATAGGGATATAGAAAAGGTTAAGAAATTTAGCTAGATTAGTGCTAAAAGATAAATAGTATATACTCTGTGTACTAGCCTCACTTCCTGCCATATTCCTCCGTAGTTGGCTCTCGGCACCCGTTAATGCTTCAGGCTTTGGATGCAGACTCCGCTTCTGGTAGCTTTTCGCAAGCGCACGCTCGGTCTGCCTTCCAAGTTCCCGAACGGCCTTCGGTAAACTCCATGAAAGCGATGCCAGATCAAAAACACCGCCTTCTTTTCTTTCCTCCAAAGCGAAACATAAACACACAACACATCATGGATACAGCGTCCTGTGGGCCGTCAAATGCCTTACAGAATTTAAGCAAACACACACAACGTGATCGTTCACTCCAGAACGACATTTCCCTGGGAGCCAGGCAGGCGCTGTTTGCCTCCAATAAGTTCAATCAGGTGGATAGAAACTTGCAGAACGACTTTGCCGCGTTTAACCAGGGCCAGAACTCCTTCCAACAGGCGCATTACGAACAGTTGTACAACCAGCAGTTTCCGGCGAACGTCGAGCAGCAACGGCGGGCGGAGGACAGCCAGTGGGCCCAGTCCTTCCAGGACCTCAACCTCACATCACAGCCACAGAACCTGTCTGTCGCCTCCAACCAGTGGCAGAGCCAGTTTATGCAGCAGGGTAATGTACAGCAGCCGCAAATCCGTCCCCTGAATGCCTTTGCCACCAACTTCATGAGAAGTGGAATGACGGGGAACATGGCCATGACCGTCCCACAGCCCACACATCAGCTGGAACACCAGCAGCTACACAAGCAGGAGGCAGAGCAGGATCTTTTTAACCAGGAATTTGCCAACGTGGAAAGGGAGCTACAGCAGGAAGCACGACAGGTAGATGTGACTGTGCCAGAAGACCATTCGCTTGCTGCCACCGCGGAACAGGTCCTGGCAGTAATGACGGGAGAGGCTACCAGCCGCTCAGCGGAGACGAACAGCAAGTTCCAGAATTCCAACTTTCTCAAGCTCATGCAGTCAATCGCGGCTAAGGAGGTGGCCTTGAACGATAGCCAGGACAAGTTGGTTACTCGTGACGGAACGGACATCCGGGAGGTGCCAGAGATGCCCGCAGTGATGGCAGGGGGGTTCAGCGGGAATCCACTCACCAGAGAGGCCCGCGGTAGTCACCTCCCAGACCCTTTAGCACACATACCCGATGGTGCACTCTCTCCGACATATAACTCGCCACTGGGGTCCGCTATGTTTGTGCAAAAGAGTATGGGCAAGAAGATCCAAATGCAGGACTGGGTTGAGGACTACGGCATGGACAGTGAAGACGAGTTATCGAGCCAGTGGAAGGCTAACTTCGACGGTGAAGACATGTTTATGCTTAGAAACAGGGAAAACGAAGCATACATGGGGTATGACGGATAGGCGCATGTCTGCGTAATGCAAAGTCAAATGAATGATATGAATTAATGGTTTGTGCTTAAAATAGAGCCGATAATGAAGGCGTGGGAAGTGGTTCCAGGCCGATAATTACTGTTAACCATCTGTCAGTTAAATAATTCCGGTTTAAACTCTGACGAATATGTATCCTTTCAATCCTTTAATCTCGATATGTGAGACAATGGAATCACCTGTCAACAATAAGTGTGATGAACGTCTGATATTTTTTAAAAAACATAAATCATCCGCGCTAAAGTTAGCCAGCTCTCTAATTCATTGAATCGCAGAGGCTCGTCCATCACCCAGTTCAGGCTCAGTGCTTTACGTCGGCCACCCACGGTCACGCACACGATAACCCATAATTTAGTAAACCCAGCCACCTCTCATTAAATAGAAAACAATTACGATGACAAGCAAAAGGATTGATTCCGTAATAAGGAATAACCTCGGTTCCTCACTTAGCGAGTGGAGATTCTTATTAAATAATCGCGGGTACATGGAAGTGAAACGCCTGGGACCCACCCTATCGTATTGCCATTTGACTGTTCCAAGGCTATGACGATAAATTGAAAGTGAATACAAATAGGAAACTGGAAGTAACGTTAATCATAGATGAGGGGAAATTTTGTATAGCCGAAAAATCGCATAACATAGACGGACAAGACCTTTCAATATCAAGGGGCGAATGGACATGTTCACGTATATCCAAAACTTTCACACCACAAGCATGTCCCTCGCTTTTTGCACGAGGATTCCGTCGATCTTTAATGCTTGCAATGCATGAAACTTGCTGAAATACTCCTTCCTTGCGTATTCTACCAATTTGTGCTTTATCCAACCGATAAACGCTTCTGACTCGGAGCCTACGCAGGAGCACACACTCAGTTTATGATACTCGACGTGCAATTCAAACTCGCGGTACTTTATATTGCGGTAGCTGAACACGGGAATGTTCCAGTCCGGTGGGCTTGCAAAGGGGTAATCATAAACGGCAACCAAGCGCAACTGATCCAAAAGCTCTCCGATAAGCCTGCAGATACTCAGCGTATCCACGTGGCTCAAAAAGTCGATGAATTGAGGCAAGCGAGCCATGCAATGGGAACAGTCCGAAAGGTGACATCGCTGGAAATACCAGTCACGCTCCATGAACCGCTCGGCGGTGGTGAACGGAGTCAGCACTGCCAACTCTTGTAGCTGTTTCAGAAGATAGACGGGGATTTCCGCGTGATGAATCGGAAACACATCGACATTAGATCCTCGGTTGGCAAGCATGTAGGCTTGGGTTGCGGCGATTCGAGAAAACGTGTACCCAAACTTACGTAACCGAGGGAATGAGCCGGTGCCAAAGAATGGACCCATCAAGTACCGGAAAACATCCAAGTTCTGCAGTTTATTATACGACAAGTTGACAGAGATTTCTTTGAGTCTCGACATGTCACAGTTGTCTGCCAACATCTGCAATGTCCCATAGGTGACAGCTGGTGGTTCATCAAAATGATTTTGGGACAATGTTTCCCTGGAGTTTATTCTTAAATACTGCAACCTTTGGCCAAACTGAAGCCCGTTGCGGAAGAGGTATCTCAAGGAAAGTTCCGTGGCCAAGGTCATATCAAGCGTGAGGGATGTTAAATTAAAGGCAACTGCCGTTGCTTGCCGGTGATCATAGAAGTAATCGGGGACTATCAATGACAAGTGTCTGACCTTTTGGAAGTCAAATGTGTGAGCGGTTAGTTCGGTAATACCTCTATACGAGGTATTAAAATATTCCACGTTTCGGACTTTGCTGATATCTAATCGTGGAGGAGGACTATCAGGGAGCGGATGCCACTTCTCGGGCTCGGTCTCAATCGCCTCGCCACTAAGAATATTTCTGAGCTTATAACATTGAGAACCTATTTCGTAGATGGCGAGGGTGTCTTCCGGGAGAGGTATCAACAGTAAATATGTCAAGCTGTCGCGAAGTGCGAGTAAATGTGTGTATAGAAACCTTGTGAGAAGGGCCCGGATGGATTCATGGTCAGGCTCGACAATCTCCTTTGGCTGAACTTGTACCACTGTGTGCACCAAGTGGAAGAGATTTTGGGGGGCTCCAGGCACGAGGGACCGCACCATGCTTTGGGTAAAGGCGTTATAGGCGCCTAGGGATTTTATGACGGTGACAAACTGGTTTTGCCTTTTGTACGTAGTATTTTCGGGTATGGTGACTATTTCAGCCCTAGAACTGGTTGCAGAAATGATAAGGTTGCGATACAAGTGAGGTGCCCCGAGAGAGTAGAGTTGGCGATTCACCTGGAGAAGGTGCACGAGATCATGTTGAGAAGTTACATGTGATATCACCCGATCAAGTTCGTCGTTGGTGAGGTGGTCTGTGAGTGACATTAAAATAACTCAATCATTACCAAACTCTTGAAACAGGAGTTCTATGAGTCTACCCCCACAGTCAGATAAAGCAAGCCGAACCTTATCGTGAAAAATTCCTGCACGGAAGATCTGCATTACCGGAATAGCTTCCATAATGAGAGCACTATTTGACTCTATCTGTTTAATGAGCATGACGTAACTATTATCTGATCTCGGCAGGCCATATTATGCTCGAAAGTTTGTTTTAAAAGGCCATCTCGGGGTAATTGCTTTATTACGGTTTTTATTCTGCAGTTTATACACAAAGGCTGGTTTGTAGCTGTGGCCAACGTATTTAGCCAGGACAAAGCGTATGTTCAACTGAGTGGAAAAGGGGATCTTGAGCGAGATTTAGATGCTCGGGTGGGTCACTAAAATCGTTCACTGAACGGTGTTTGAAAATATGAGCTCCATAAGGAAAAACACGCGACCTGTGGGATATCACAACCTCAAGGGCTGAATATCTACTTTTGGCAGTATACTGATTAACTATATAATGTATAGAGGATAAAGTAGGGAGAGGTCGATCCTTTTCACGTGTCCGCTTCACACTTACAATACGATCGGATGTATGCTGTGTCATATATTTACAAGGCAATGGGGTATAGAAAACATAGAGCTCCTGGAGACCGGTTAGGCCTCTATGCTTCCGGAACCAATCAGATAATTGTGAGACTGGCTCAATATCTAGTTGGTTCAAGAAACTCTTCAACAAGAGCTTGCCTATCCATACTGGGAATAATCTATGTGAATTAACCATTATCTCATAGAAAAATCATTCATTAAGAAAATAGCGGCAATAACCAGTTTAGCCAAGCCATAGTGTTTGGGCTATGATAAAAAATTAAGCTTGGTTAGTAGTGATAGTCCAAATAGACTCTCAGTTAGAGATACTTTCCTTGGAAAACTCCTCCAGGTCGCTGGAATTTTCAATACCTCCCTCCAACGATGACACCACACGCTTGTTGTACTTTCTGATAGGAACATCGCTGCCCACAACGATACCCGGATACGCACTTGGCAAAGACATCACAATTCCTGTGATAGCTATCATGGCCCCATCCAACACAAGGAAATATGGCTCCGTCACCTTCAAGTACCCAGTCCAGCCTTCTGACAACTCCACGACTCTGTAAACAGAACGCACAAAACCGCAGATTATGCCCACTAAAGCATAGTGCTGGAAAGCCTTAAACGTGTAAGTACTGCGCAAGTACTCATATTTCGGGTCAAAGCCAGGCTCAGCCAACTTGGAGGCCTTGTACACGCGCCAGAAGAAGATCAATCCAAGGACAATGAAAACAGATATCGAGAACAACTGGGACGCAAGGCCGGCAAGCATAACATACGTAAGAGCATGGGACGAGCTCATTTTGGACACCACGGAACCTGCAGTCGCACTGCCCGTCACTTGGAGGACGAAAAACAATATGTCACTAAAGGTAAAAATATAGAGGTAGTGCGTAGGCTTCAAGACGGAGAACTGTTGGCCGTAGACAACAATAAGTTTTTCCAAGATATAGTAAAACAAACCCAAGATGAAGCGGGCTGACATGGTAAAGCACATAGTCTGGCACATATAAGCGCCTTGGTTGAAGGGCTGGAAGTGTGACACCACTCTGGCGACGAAACCAGCGAATTCCAATGCGATACCGACGCAGAAATACGTCCCGTACCAGTACTGGCGGTATTTCACGGCATAAAACGTCTGGATCGCGAGCACCAAGCCCATGATGATAAGCATAAGCAAGTTGCCCGGGAGGCTGGGTACGTAGCCATAGTAAAGAACAGAAGTGTTGTACATAAGCGACAGGATCGCTGCCGTGGCTGAGGCTACCGCTGAAGAGTCAGTGGCCGTAGCAGCCACCGCTGCTTCAGATATGATTGCAAGCGTCACGGACGCATCGGACGCGACAGTAGATAGCGAAGCAATTTTTTTGGCGGCTGTGGCGATGGTAAGCTCTTTCTGTGCAGAAGCAAGCTCCGCGACTGCTGAAGTGAAAAGCGCTCCGTTGATGGTAATGCCCCGAAAGGTTGTGGTAGGGATAGCGTTCATAGCGGAAATGGTGATAATGTGGATAGTAATAGTGTTAATGTGAAGGGAAATAGTGATAATGTGACGAAAATGTGTTAATATAAGGTCTGGTTATGAAGAAGAAAACGAATAAGTCGTCGTTGGAAAACCCCTCAATGTAATATGTCCGTATCGGTTTATGGTTGCAATTGATGCAAGCACGTGTGGGGAATGACTACGCGTTAGGCAAACAGGGCGGGCAAATGGAAGTTTCAACGAAGCAAAGTCTCATTGGATAGAATCACCGTCATTCATTAAAACATCATCACTCGTCAAGACATGACCATTTTCTGAGTTAGTCACTGTTCTGCTAAAATGTAGCCACTGGTACTTTCATCATTGCAGAAAATGATACACGTCAACCAGCGAAGGGTGAAGGTCAATATAAGCTTTACAGCATGACGTCGGCTTCGCCGTGCATGCAGCACTCTAGAATCGAAATTACCGGATATAAGTAAAATCGCTCATCCCTAGGAATTGTTTAAAACGAGGACATCGGTGTGACACTACGGGGTAAATTACAAATAGGCGGTAAATTCTGTTGAGAGTCGATACGTCACAGGGAGAAAAAACTGTAAAGCCTGTAGTGTATATGGTTAACCAACTATCGGATGTATACAAGACCCTAAACTAGCAGCATGACTCTCAGGGTATAAGGTAGAGCTTTTGGGGATCAGTTTAGCCTTTGGTTACCAGAGACGATCAGCTATCTATAATCGAGGCTCAATTCCAAATTATCTTGTTCAATAAAATGACAATAGCTCAAGCCTATTTATCCATCATAGAGAAAGCCTATCAGGATTGGCCTATATCGATTGGTATAAAGCTGTACTCATAAAGAAAATAGTATACATGGTTAGTTCACCTAGTACATATGCTATATGGCAAGGAAAACCGACGTAACCAATAGTAATGCGACAGCTATCTAAAGAGATCCACGGTGAACAGTACTTCCTTGAAGGAACTCCCCCAGATCGCTGCTCATTTCTGTATTCTTTTCAACCCCAGAAAACACGCCCTCATTGTTCTTCTTCTTGATAGAAACCTCACGACCCACAACAATGCCTGGGTACGCACCTGGAAACGACATAACAATCCCAGTGATAGTCATCATGGCCCCGTCCAATACAAGGAAGTACGGCTCGGTCACCATCAAGTGCCCGGTCCAGCCTTCTGACAACTCCACCACTCTGTAAATAGAACGCACATAGACGCAGATTACAGCCACCGAGGCATAGAGTGGGAATAACTTCATGACCGAGGTACTGCGTAAGTGCTCAAATCTCGGGTCAAAGCCAGGCTCGGCCAACTTGGAGGCCTTGTAGACACGCCAGAAGAAAACCAGCCAGAGCACAATAAAAATGGTCATGGATGCCACCTGGAGCCCAAGACCCGCAATCATAATATTCGTGCCAAGATGGGTCGAACCGCTACCAGAAACCGCAGTAGCAGCTACTCCACCACCACCACCCTGGAGTACGAGAGAAAGGAAATCACTGGCGACAAAGATTTGAGTGTAGCGAGCGGGTTTCAAGATAGAGTACCGTTCACCGTAGACAATAACAAGTTTAGCCAAAATACAGTATAGCGCCGCCATGATAAAGCACGGAGCAATAGTCAAGCAAATAATTTGACACAAGAAAGCATTTTGATTCGTGTAGGGCTGGTAGTGTGAGATAACTCTTGAAATGAAGCCGGCAAATTCCAATCCGATACCGATACAGAAACAGGACCCGTACCAGTACTGACGGTATTTCACGGCATAAAATGTCTGTATCGCGAGTGCTAACCCCATAATGACAAGCATAATCAAATTACCAGGAAGGTTGGGTATGTAATTGTAATACGAAACAACAGTGCTGTCAATAAGTGACTGGATCTCAGCTGTTGCAGAGGCAACCACTGAGGAATCAGTTGCAGTAGCAGCCACCATCGCTTCAGATATGATTGCAAGCGTCACGGACGCATCGGACGCGATGGTGGAGAGCGAAGCAATAGCTTTGGCGGCGGTGGCGGTGGCAAGCACCTTCTGAGCTGAAATAAGCTGCGCAGCTACTGAGGAGGCAAATTGCCCATCAACGGAAATACCTTGAATGGTTGTGGTAGGGATGATCATAGCAGATATTATTATGAGATCTGGTTATATGGAAAAAACCAACATAAGTTGAGGAGAAATCTTTCCGTCTTATATATTAACTTTTTTCATATTTATAGGCTAAATGTACTTATACAAAGACTATGTGAAAGAAAGAAGGGCCCTGGAAGTAAGGGTGAAGAGGGGTCCCATGCAAGCATAGCCCCGTAGGTTCAAACAAACATTATCAATTCTTTGAACCATCTCCGCTCGTCAAACTAATTAAAGTACCGTACATATATGTATCTTTTTATCGCCTCTTTGGTACAGAAAATTATACATTTCAGTTTAAGGAGGCTGAAAACCGATCTAAGCCTCGCCGCATGGCTTAGTCGACAGTGCCGTTCATGCAGTACCCTTACTTTGAGGTTCCCGGGCTTAGAGAAGGGTGTCGGTTACCGCTTATGGATGACTAAAAACGAGGCTGTACATACGACATAATGACACCTTGGTTAAAAATTGGGGTTAAGTCGTTGTGGGTTGTCATGGGGCGATCAGAATGTTAAATCCACGGCATAGATAAGCTACTAACCATTGGGCGTATAACTATGTCTTAGAAACACAGAAGTTATGGCGACAGGTTCAACCCGTAGGTTTCCGGAAACAATCTGATATATCCCTTCTTAGTTCAATTCCAAGTTGATTAAGGCCATTAGTTTGGCGATACTTCAAGACTGCCTTTCCATGGTAAGGGTAATCTGCCTGAATCTACCATCGTTGATTTGTAAAATTATTTATTAATAAATGAAATAGTATACATGGCTGTATTAGCCATGATCTAGTTGTAGGCAATCGGACAAAAAAAATTAACATGCCTTAATCAATAGTGGTCTAGACAGATCCGCAGTACACCTCTAAGGAGACTCCCCCATGTCGATATCCTTTCCCGCAATCTCCTCAAACTCATAAAATATCCACCTTATCTTCTTATTTTTGACGGAAACATCATGACGCACAACAATACCGGGGTACCCACCCGGGAAAGACATTACAATCCCAGTTATAACCACCATAGCCCCATCCAAAATAAGAAAGTATGGCTCAGTCCGTCTCAAGTAACCGGCCCAGCCTTCTGAAAACTCCACAACTCTGAAAATAGCACGCACATACATGCAGATAATGCCTACCGCGGCATAAAGCGGGAACCTCTTCATGGCAGAAGTGCTGCTTAAGTGTTGAAACCTTGGTTTATATCCTGGTTCGGCAAACTTGGAGGCCTTGTGGACGCGCCAGAAGAAGATCAGCCAGAGGACAATGAAAATGGATAACGACCCCACCTGGAACCCAAGACCCGCAACCAAGAGGTACGTGCCAGTATTGGACGAATGACCGCTAGCGATAGAGGAATAGGCAGTCCCAACGCCCGCCATCAGGATAATGACAGTCACTAAATCACTGGTGATAAATATTTTGGAGTAGCGGAAGCGCTTCAAGACGGAGAACTGTTCACCGTAAACGATAACCAGTATATCCATGATACAGTAAAAGGCGGCCAAGATGAACCGGGTAGTGGCCGTCACACAGATACTCTGACACAAGTAAGCACTTCCATTGAGGGGCTGGAAGTGTGACACCACCCTGGCGACGAAACCAGTGAATTCCAATGCGATACCGAGCCAGAGGCATGTCCAGTACCATAACTGGCGGTACTTCAAGGTATAAAGCGACTGGATCCCGAGGATCAACCCTAAAACGACAAGCAAAACCAAGTTTCCTGGAAGACTGGGTACGTAATGGTACAAGTCGACAGCGGTGTTGTCGACAGACGACAGAATCACAGCGGTGGTTGAGGCTACCGAGGCAAGGTGTGCCCCATCAATGGTAATACCTTGAATAGTTGTGGTAGCGATGGTATCCATTGCAGATATAATATTAATGTAGAATCTTACTATGGGATAAGAAGAAACACATATATTCCACTAACTGGAGATCCCATGGTGTTATATAGCTGTATTTTTTTCACTATTGAAAATTATTCAATCGCTTTCAGAGTAAGAACATGAACCAGGCAAGCAGGACCCTGACAAGACGGGAAAATAGATATCCCACAGAAGCACAGCCTCGTTGCATAAATTCATCGTCATTCATCTAACCATCCCTCGCTAAATTTGCCACAAGTTAGCGCTAATATGCATCTGATGGCACCCTCTTTTCTGCAGAAAATAATATCCTTCCGTCAAAGGGGGCTGAAGACCGATACAAGCCTTTCAGTGTAGGGTGTCCAGCCCCGCCGTTCATGCAGTGCCCTGGCACCAAGATTGCCGGATATAAAAACCGCCTGCAACAGCTAGGGATTTTTCAAAACGGGGCTGTACGCGCGGCACAACCAAACTTTAATCACCAATTAGGGCTAAGCCGTGTGGTGAATAGACACTCCACGGGTAAGAAAAACGTGTAAAGTGTGTAGTAGTGCAGACAATTAACACACCATCGGATGTATACAAAGTCCTACACTCACAAGAGCATGGTTTTTCTGGGTATGAAGTGGAGCTTTTGGGAATCGGTTCGGCCCTTAGGTTACGGGGAAACGATCAGAAAATTACTATCCTGGCTCAATATCCGATTGGCTAAGGCTAGTAACTTAGCAATAGTCCAAATCTGTCTATAGTGAAGGTCATGAACTAAAATTTATGTATCCATAATCGGAAGAACATGGTATTGCTTATGCAAATAACGCATACGGTCAGCTCATCCAATGTCTAATACCTAGGCTATGTGATAAAACAACGAAACACAGTTTAATGAGTAGGGATCTAGACAGGTCCATGGTAAATACCAGGAAGGAACTCCGCCAGGAAGGAACTCCGCCAGGTTGCCGATCTTTCCTGTATCCTTCCCCAACACTGAAAACACCCACTCGTCATCCTTGACGGAAATATCGCAACCAACAACAATTCTCGGATACGCACCTGGAAAAGATATTACAACCCCAGTTATAGCCACCATACCCGCATCTAAAACGAGGAAGCATGGCCCCGTCACCATCAAGTACCCGATCCATCCCTGTGCAAATTTCACCACCCCGAAAATTGCACAGACATAGATACAGATAATCCCCACCGAGGCATAACGCGGGAACATCTTCATGGCAGAAATGCTGCTTAAGTGTTGAAATATTGGTTTATATCCGGGTTCTACCAATTCAGAGGCCTGGAATACACGCCTGAGGAATATCAACCAGAGGATAATGCAAACCGATAAAGAACATACCTTAAATGCAAGACCCGCAACCAAGAGGTGCGTATCAAGATGGGTCGAATAGCCTCCGGAGAGGGCAGAATAAGTAAGCCCAACACCTATCGCCAGGTGAATAGCAGTCACTAAATCGCTGGTGACGAATATTTGGGTGTAGCAGATGTATTTCAAGATAGAGAACTGTTGGTCATAGACAATTACCGATATATCCAAGATGTAGTGAAGGGCAGTCAGAACGCAACAGATAGCAATGATCATACAAATAATTTGGCAAAAGTAGGCGTTTTGGTTGAAGGATTGGAAGTGTGACACCACTCTGGTGACAAAACCGGTGAATTACAATGTGATACCGAGCCAGAGACACGTCCAGTACCAGCACTTGCGGTATTTTAAGGTATAAAACGTTTGGACCCTGAGTATCAATCCCATCACGATAAGCAACGGAATCGCAGCTGTGACTGAGACGACTGCTAATGAGTCCATGACCGTAGCTGCCACTACCGCTTTGGATATGATTGCAAGTGTCACAGACGCATCAGACGCGACGGTAGAGAGCGAAGCAATGGTTTTAGTATCCGTGGCGGTAGAAAGTTCCTTCTGCGCGGAAGCAAGCTCAGCAGCTACCGAGGTAAGAACCGCCCCATCAATGGTAATTCTGTGAAAGGTTACAGTAGAAATGGAATTTATAGCAGGAATAGTATACGTATGAGATCTGGTATGGAATAGGAGAATTAATATATACCACCGTCGGGAAATTCTCCAATGTTACACATTTTCTTTTCTTTTTACACATTATGCGTGCACATACAGAGAAATACTATGCAATCGGCAAGCAGGGCCCTAAAATGGCGGGCACTTAGAGATTCCATGGAAGCACGGCCCTATAAGATAAAATCACCGCCACACGTTCTTCAAATCATTATTCTTCACTAAATTGGCAAAAAAAAAAATACTTTTTTGTATCCTTTGAGAACCTCATTGCTGTAAAAAGTAATATAATTCTATTTAATGTAGCCGATGGCCGGGTTGAGCATTTCAAGATGGCGCAGCCGCCTCTGCCGTACATACAAGCACGCTAGAACAATCCACAATTGATTCAAACGAGCAGGTTGACAACAAATCAAGCCTGTATATCCATTGTAGGGGTTGCCTAAGACAGTCTATTATATTTCATCCTTGATAAAAAATACTATATCAAGGGATTAATGTATATGGTTGGTTCAGCCAGGACCTGATACTTATGCAACGTAAAAAAGAAAATTAATAGACTAACATGTACCAATAAAGCAGTGGTCTAAACAGGCCTACCGTAAGCGGTATTGCCTTGAGGAAGCTCCATGTCGTAATCGTTCTTTTCTATGCCCTCCTCAAACTCATAAAACACCCATCCATTCCTCTTCTTCTTGACGGAAATATCATGACCCACAACAATACCTGGGTATGAACCTGGGAACGACATCACAAGCCCAGTGATAACCACCATAGCCCCGTCCAAACCAAGGAAGTATGGTTCATGAACCCTCAAGTACCCGGTCCACCCTTGTGCATACTCCACAACCTTGAAAATTGCACGCACATACATGCAGATAATACCCACAGAGGCATAAAGTGGGAACTTCTTCATGGCAGAGCTACTGTTTAAGTGTTGAAATCTTGGGTTATATCCCGGTTCGGCAAACTTGGAGGCCTTGTGGACGCGCCAGAAGAAGATCAGCCAGAGGGTAATGAAAATGGATAACGACCCCACCTGGATCCCAAGACCCGCAACCAAGAGGCTCGTACCAAGATGAGTCGAATTGCCCCCGGAGATGGCAGAATAAGTAAGCCCAACACCTACCGCCAGGAGAATGACAGTCACTAAATCACTGGTGACGAATATTTGGGTGTAGCGCACGTGTTCCAAGACGGAGAACTGTTGGCCGTAGACCATTACCAGTATATCCATGATACAGTAAAAGGCAGCCAAGA